TTCCCCATTCTCTTAACCGCAGCCACCACCTCTTCCGCTAAAAAAAGTTTTGACAACGCCATTAACTCCGCAGTCGACATAGCCGTGAAACCCTCGGCTGGCAACAGTGCTCTCATCGGGCTAAGGTCCTCCAGCGAATATAACCGTTTATAATACTCTACTGCCAGACTCTCTAATTCGCCCTTTTCCGACACCCAGCGACCCTCGCCATCCTTTAACATCTCAATACGGTTTCTCCGACGCCTTATGACCGTTGAAGTATGAAAGAACCGAGTATTTCTATCCCCAAGAGCAATAAAACTCTCCCTTGATTTCTGAAACCAAATCATTTCCTCTTGTTCCAAGATACTATCAAATTCGCCCAACAGCCCGGCCTCCCTTTCTAATAACTCATCCGTCTGACTCTCTTGGATAGAAGCTTGGACTCTATTGATATCCCCAATGAGTTTTGCCTTGCGAGCATGAACATTACCGAACACTTCTCTGTTCCACTTCTGCAACGTCCGTTGTAACCTCTTCAGAGCTTCGGGTGTCGAGATAGTAGAATCCCAGGACGTTGTAATTAACTCCTTAAAACCATCATGGCTCAGCCAAGCCGCTTCAAAACGAAATGGTCGACGTCCTGGGTCGCTTGCATCTGTCGGGCATAACTGCAAGTAGACCGGAGCATGATCCGACGACAGAAATGGTAAGTGTGTAACTGTCGCTTCTTGCCACTTCAGTCTCGTTTGAGCACAACAAAGCACCCTATCCAGCCGCTTAGATATAAATGTACTCTCCATCCTTCCCCTCCTCCATGTAAATTGCCCTCCTTTAAAGCCCATATCAATTAGGGAGAGTGCATTGATCCATTCCCCGAACGCTATAGAATCCGGCGACAAACGCCCATTCCCTCCCGTACGTTCATCCACTCTTACAATGGAATTAAAGTCACCTCCAATAATCAAAGGATCCACCAACCCTTGAAGAACGTCCGTGAGTTCCTCCCAAAGTCCACTCCGACGACTCACTGTTGGCGCCGCATACACAGCCACCAAATTTGTACAGTCGTCCCCATTCCGTACTTTCGCATAAATAAACTGGTTCGACGAGTTAACAACCTCCACTTGCCCAACTCTCGACCTCCACAACAGCCAAATCCCCCCGCTCTGACCCGTCGCATCAACACGAAAAGAATGATCGAATCCCAACCTCTGACAGATCCGACCAGCTCTTTCCCCCTCCGCATGTGTTTCAAATAACGCTAAAACATCCGTGTCAAACTTCTTCACCAAGTAACGCAACGAACGTCGGAAATTGGGTTTGTTAGCCCCCCGGCAATTCCAGAATAAACAATTCATGATGATTCTTAGTAATGCAAGCAGAACAGCCGGGGCAACCCGTTAATCAAGTCTTGTAGAGCCATCGAGCCCCAACATGCCTTCCGATGACCCTGCCACCCGCTTCTCAGAACCGAGTTCCACACCGTCGGCCCCCTCCATCTGTAACGCTATTGCGGTACACTGACCTTCTGCTGAGGACTGAGAACGACTCACAGGAGAAAACGAGCCACCCGCCCTACCCGTACCCTCATCCTCTGTCCGAAGTCGTTTCCCTGGATTCGGCATCTCTCTATTCGAAAGAACCGGTCCAAAGACTAACCCCCTCGTGGGCTTATTCTGTTTTGGGCCCTTACTACTTGGCCCAGCCCCTTTCCCACTTCGCAGCCCAGTTAACTTCCTCGCCTCTCCTCCTCCTTGTGCACGTAACCCCTTGCCCGACGATATTGTTTCCTTAACTTGGAATACACGCACACTCCGTGGAATATTCCCAACATCTTCATTCTCCTTATTCTCCTCATTAGTTTCCATAACCTCTCCGCTCTCCTTTCCTTCCGCATCTTCTGTCAATCCACCAAAACGATTAGAAATGGCAATATTCCCGGAACCCGTAATATTCTCAATCGATCCAACATTCCTTTCTTGGCTATTCCCCGTCACCGTCTCTCCCATTGCCCTAGACGGCGGCTCCTTCTCTACTGTTCGTCGTGCTGGCCGTCGTATCACCTTGAAACCATCATTGTCATGGATCTGACCTTTACGTCCCGCTCCCGTATTATTCTCCCCCTCCGTGGTTACTTCCCTTGACTCCGAAGGACTCGTTTGCCTCGCCTCTCTTCCCGCCTCAACTCTCATCCGCGGGCATGTGTGCACCAAATGGCCATACATTCCACACCCAGAACAGATGTTCGTCAAACCTTCATAAGAGACGTAGTAGCGCTCCTCATTTATCAAAACCATCCCTTTCAGAGGTTGTGACAAGTCCACCTCCACACAAACCCGTGCGAACCGAGCTCTATCAAACTTCAAAGTCGTCAAATCCTCTCTAATAGGCTTCCCCAGCCCTTCCGCTATGATCATCAGAATGGAACTATGATACAAGTTCATCGGAATATTCAATAAGCGGATCCAAACCGGCATTGTGACAATGTCATGACGTAGTGGATCAAAATCCGGTGACCAGGCTTGTACCATCAAATAGCTCCCAAACATCTTCCATGGTCCACCGGTTAACGCCGCCATATACTCCTCTTCAAACTCAAACCGGACCACAAAAAACTGGCGCGGAAGGTCAGTCACCACCATCGCCCCCTGTGGACGCCACATCTCCTTCAACTTCCGACTTAACACCGCGATAGACAGACTCCTTCCCAGCACCTTCACAACCATACACTTCTTCCATAATCCATTCATCGCCTCCATCACCTCACGACCAACCGTAATCACCGGTTCTCCATTCAAACCATCCGGAAACGTCAACTTCGTATGAGTTTTTACAAACTCATGCGGCACCACTTCCTCTGGGATAAGCATTCCACCAGAATTGCTTCCGACCACCTTTTGCACCCAGACACCCCTCCCGTCCGGCGGATCCCCTGGTGGACGGCCCGCCTCAGTCATGTTCGCATCCTCCTCGCACGTATCCGAAACCCTAGAGTCGCCGCTCATCTTTTTTTATTGAATTCCAATGACAAAACAGTACACAGTAGTGGAAGTTTTTAATTCCAGCAAAAACTATGAAATGGCTGGATTTATTTATGTTTAGATTGGGAAACTGAACGTATATCATATTTAATAAGTTATGCAATTAATTAAAAAGCAAGATAATTGAATACAAAACATGCTCAGGTAAACGTAGAATCCAACCAAAACCGGATTAATATTTCATATATGAGAGGCCTAAAACCAGTTATTTAAACATGGTAGATATATATGGTTTAACAATCATTTATAACTTTGTTAATTATAGTATAGTTTAATTAATTAATCATATGGTATAAGGTATAACACTATATTTTTAATTCATTTATATTTTATACATTATTCTTGTGAAGAGCAGTTTAAATAATCACATGGAAATTAAAGCAAAAAGAATTTGAAAGAAAGAAGAATATTAAAATAAAAAGAACATGGTACAAAACATGTGGGAACAGAGAGAAAACACAAAATAAATTAAAAAAGGGTATGGAACTGACGATCACCTGACTTTAACCATTTAACCAAACCAAATGTGACACTCATTTTTGTTATTGACTAATAGTGTCAATTGCTTTAGCTCTCCAGTTCGTCTTCATGGTAAGGCCTAATGCAACAGCTTTCCCAATTTTCCCTCGTGGCCGGGTCTTTCTCCCACCACTGGTGAAGCACATGAGCTGGCGTAGACTTAGTCGGTTTGCTATTGTTTACAGTCATGTCTGCTGATGGAAGAACGTGAAGAGGTTCTTTTGACAAATCCGGCGGTGATCTTCTAATTATACCTACCAATAGAGTTCTATATGAGATTGAAGCACCCATTTTCTCGATTTGGCCTGCACCGTTCTCAGACATGCGCTTTTTGTGTTTGAAGTAATCAATATATCCTGCACAGATTGGATCGTTTGGGTTGACATATAAATAAGGTATCCATGATGCTGTGTATGGATTCTCTTCTTGGACCTGTAACAATTTTTATACAGACGGTTTCTTGTTAAAAAATCAACTTTAAAATTAATCTCGGTCAAAATGGTGTCGCAAGTGGCTGAAACTATGACTAACAAGATGAGTTCTTAATGACTGAACTACCAAAGTTGATTAAACCAATCTTAAAGATGATTTTAGTTTACCTGGCGATGGGTTATGGGACGCAAGGCCATGGCAATGTTGCCTTTGACAACACTCTTGGCCGTTTGAAACATATCTTTAAGCAGATGTCCTCCAGGTAGCTGCTCTAGAGGAATAGAAGAGATGGGTGGGTTGAATATGTAACTTTCCAGGAGGGACCCAGAACTTGTCATGGTCTTTCCAGCAAGCAAAACTAGGGCGGCTCCTAAAGAGTGTCCAGCAAGCCATATAGCTGATTCGCTATGATTCTTCACCATTCTACGGATTTCTTCAACGGCGTTCTTAGACCTGCCACCTTGATGAAGGGTGTTAAAGATGCATTGGAGGTCAAGTTTCAAATCAAACTTCCAAGTTCTTTTTCTTAGAACCGTGCCGCGGAAGGCCATCACATAGCGTGGAACTTTCACATGTGGGGTATTTTGGTTAACGTTGTAGCTCTTGTATTCGAAAATGGCACCGTATATGGAGCCGTCATCGTCGATCAACTTTTCCATCAAATCGAATTCGAAAAACTCCCACCAGGGCTTGGCTAGTGGTTCCGGACAATACCGCGAGCCAAGCCTGTACTTGTACTTTTTTTTTATGCTGAGAAGCCTGTCCCTTTCTAATGTGTACACTCCGTTTACCAAACTTGATACCACTGAGGTTCGGTGGTGCGAATTGGCCCTAGTTAAAAATTAGAAAAGAACCAATCAATCAATTATTCTTCGATATTGTTTTTAAGTTCAAATGAGTATATATGTATCATCGATGTACCGCACATGCATTAATATAATTTTAACTGATAAATTACATCATCGTCTATCATAAAAATATTTGTAACACCATAAAAACCATAAAATTATAGAGACTGTTATATAATTTGTTTTCTACATTAGTTTACTATAAAAGGAAACTATGCTACGAAAAAAGAAGAAAAAGTTGTTACCAATCAACAGAAGTAAGATGGGATGGGCCAGAAGTGAAGAAATTATCATCTTTATCTGAAACTTTCGGTCCTCGTCCCATTTGTTTTTGGCAGGTAAAGCCTCGTCCTCTTTTTTTCTTTTTTTTTTTCTATAGCAGAAATTAATAGAAAATGGTGGAAATAAGCAAAACAGCTGAAGTGAAGAAAACAGATTAAAGGGTTCTTCTTCTTCTTTTGTTTTCTTAGTTTAAGAGTTCAACAAAGGAACTAATGATTTTATATAGGTGCTACAAGTAAGAAGACTTTTTGGATCCGGAGACTTTGCGACTGTAGAGACTAGAGAAGTAGCTGCCTAGGAAACGGATGAAATGGGAGCCACTCTTAAATTGGGGCGATAAGGAAATATTAACGTTTTTAGAACATTTTCGTAGTTAAAATAGTCGTCGTTGGTGGCTTCTAACTTCTATGTTATACTACTGGACTTATTTTACTAGTTCGATCGAGGAAGTGTCGAGGAAACTTTAAAGATAGTTTTTGGAGTTTTCTTTCGTTCACTTTAGTCAACTTCATCGGAAAAAAAATAATAAAAATGGAATTTAGTCATATATTCTTGTAATATTGATGAAATTGGTTAGGTTTCTAATTACAAAAACAATTATCAATTAATTTTTTTTGTATAAATTTATTTGCAATATTAGTACGTAGAACGGATAGTTCAGATATCGTGTTTCGTATTCGACATGTTTTATCTTCACAGTGATAGAGTAAAATGTAGAACTCTATTTATCCTATATTAATACAACACGAGCCAATTATTTTTCAACATGGTATAAATCTGTCATTTATCATTTCAAAAAAAAAAAGTTGAACACTAAAGGACCATATTCTTTTTTCACTTAACTATCATGTATTATCTGTATTATTGTTTTAAGAGGGTCCGTATTTATGCAGAATAGAGACAGGTTTTTGGGATGTACTTAAGATCCAAAAGTGAAGATAGAAATTTCTTCATTTTATCAAGGTCTGATTTCTGATGATATATTTTGACTTTTCTTAAGTTGTAACAATTTACTTATCAATACAAAATCAGTTGACCAAGAAAAAGGAAAAATAAAATCGCCATTGTAGTTGTCTGAAATTATATATTATGACCATTTTTATCTGAAACTAATCTCTAGGGAGAAAATGTCTTATGGGTAGAGTTTCTCCTAAGTTTTCAAATGGACTTTAAACAAGAGATCCATATCAATGTGGCTAAAGAGATAACGAATTAGAAAAAATCAATCTTTAGCCTATACCAACATGACGACTTTTCCACCAGACTAAAACCACTAGTCCACCACTTTATAGTTAATATTTCTTTATTTATATTATTGGTTTGTATAAATATATATATATATTAGTTATTTCCAAGTGGGCAATGAACTCGACTACAAAACCCGGTTACGTACAAAAGGGGGAAAAGATATATGGTCGTGCTTTTTGTTAAAGGATACATAGATTATCATTAGAAATATATTCAAAATTTCAGTATTGCAACAATAGGTCCGGTGACTCGTGACCGGTGTGGCCAATGGCGGACCTAGTAAGGGGGTTTACTATATATTATATATATTTACGCTATACATCACTTTTTTAACATATACCCCAAAAAAAAACAAGTGTTACTTCAATCTACGTCCAAGTTTCATGTGTGTTTTATCTTCATTATATAGCAGATTGTATCAGGATCCTTTTTCGACCATGCATGTACAGAAGTTTGTTTAGTCAACATCTATACCGACAAAGATAGATACGATTTGGATGGAAGAAAACCTTTATTTTCACCGGATATAGAGTCAACATGGACATCAAAACATTTTATTTTGTGAGTACAAACATTTGAACATATTTTTATCAAAAGAAAAAGGAAAAACATATGAAAATATACAATTTAACAAAGTATTCTATTGCAAAGAAAGAAGAGTGGAGCATTGAAAGCCATGAATGAAATTAGTATGAATCAAACCCTGTAAAATTTTGAAGCGTAGCATTCCACCATTGGTGAATCCCATGATTATGATAAAATATCGACGATTCAGTCGAGTTTACCATCATAAAGACCGACGGGAGAAAATGAAGATGATCTGGTGAAGAAGACGACCACCAATCTTTTCCTTTTCCGAACAACATACTCCTCACTGAGTATCCAGAAGCCAAACTCGAGATCTTACCGAATCCTGCCTCAGTCATATTGACTATGTGATTGATATTAGCTATATATTCTGCGCATACTGGATCTGATTGGTTCACGAACAAATGAGGTCTCCAAGAAGCTAAATTCTTATATTGTGGACTTTCATGACCCTGTAACAATTGGTGGTAAGAATTGAGAATAACATTTTAAATATCGTTTAAGGACTATTTTATCTAAAACTATTCATGTTATGGGAGAGATTAATTATTTGTGAAGTACCACAAGTATAATGAAAATTGTCTTATAGAAAACTTTATATAGGTACCTCATCAAGGTCTAGCATTTTGGCCGCGCCAGCTTTAAAGATATCCCTGCTGACTCGATACAAACTATTAAGTGTCTCATACTGACTGTAATGCTTTAGAGGAATCAAGGCGATAGGTGGGTTGAAGATGTAAGCCTCCACAAAAAGTCCAGACATGGCCATATTCTTTCCCGCGAGTAGTGCCAGGGCAGCTCCAAGAGAGTGTCCAGTGATCCAGACATTTGTATTTCCATGATCGACAACAATAGAGCGTATTTCTTCAATGGCCTGCTGAGACCTTCCCCCACGACGGAGCATCTCGATTGGTAAACGGACGTTAAGCATCAAATCATTATAAGTAGGAAAACTTATGACAGTTCCACGTAACGCAATCACGTAACGTGGAGGTACTATCGAGTTGGGGGCATGATTCTCATAATTGATCAGGTTTTGGAAGACAGCACCGTATATGGAGCCGTCAATTGGGTCCCTAAGTTCTTTGATTAAAGTGAAGTTGAAACTTTCCCACCAAGGTGGGGCTAATGACTCGGAACCACGCCGGTTGTTTTGGCTGTCTCGTTCCATTGCGTAAACTCCTTGCACCAAACACGACATCAATGAGGTTCGGTGGTACAAATTGTTCCTATTAGAATAAAACCAAGTTAGAGGCGATATATATAAACGATCGAGTAAATATATATATACAGATACTAGTTCTTTCCTTTTTTTCGTATCATTATGAAATGTTATCTACATATAAATTCGGTTCCTAATAAATGGCTGGTATCAAAAGCGTCGTGAATCTCATTATTATCCAAAAAGAGAAAAAAAAAAAAAACAGAGGTAAGTATTTTTCTTTTTTTTTTTGTTTTGGTGACGAAAACTTTTCTTTATCTCCGAAAACAGATACGTATTATACTTTCGAAACAGAGGAATGGAAAAATAGCAAAACTTTGTTACGGAAAGCAATGTATAGCGTCAAATTTCTAAAATATACTAAAGAATTCTCTATTTTTTTTCAATTTATGGTTTAATTTTTCTAAGAATAATAGATGAAACGAAATTTACCAGTCAAAAGATGGAATTTTAGGGGGACCTTGACGGCTTAACTCATCACTGCGTAAGGCTATCTCCTCCTTCTTCATACTGAGTTTCGTACGTCTTTAATTCTTCTTATCCTTTACGTGTAAGAATTGTAATCACCTGGCGTATTTCATACAAATGTAAGATGACTTTTTCTTTTATAAAGAAAATTATAATAGTACCCCAAATCTAATGGAATCATACATACGTACCTTTTTAATGGTTTGGATTCTGGAAGGTCGATGATATATAATCGAACAAGAAACAGAGAGTTTATGTACATTTGTCAGAAACAAACCCTAAGGATATATATATATATATAAGTATATATAGCAGAAGGTGAGAGCTAGCAACGTAGGCATAAAAATGACGTCATAAAAGTGATGCCATAAATAGCTAGTACTAGTTCGAGGAATGGACGAGGAAGTTTTTAAAAAGATTGTGGAATTTTATTTTGCTCATATTATTGAGTCAAATAAAAAAACTTGAAGAAACTTAGTCAACACTTCTTAGAAAACAAAAGACTGATATTAAGTGGTAGCCATTTTATGCAGCCTTACTAAAAGTTTTATTGATTGTACTGTTTTGATTTAGGCCATGAATGGTTGTGGATTTGTAAATGGTTTTTAGATTATGGTTTTTGATTTTTAGGTTTCTTAGTTTTTGCAATAGCTATTATTTTGAATCTATTATAGATTTGCCAATGTGATTAAACATGCGCTTTACTCGTTAGGTTTAAGTTTTATTCGGTTATAATTGTCTTTAGCGTTTAAAATTTATTATAATGTACGTTTTTAGCCAAAAAAAACAAAAATTTAAAAGTTAAAAAATGACAAATCCATAAGATTTTAGAAAAATGGCACGTTCGTAAAATTTCCATAGAAAATAACATTTTCGTAAAAGCCCCTATTACTTTTTGGTTGTTTTTTATTTATTTATAATAGAATAAGGAAAAATGAGAAGTGTTGTGAGTATTTTTTTTAATCTCATATATATACATATGGATTTTGGTTTTCATAAAAAAGAATGTAACCTATTTTCCAAGAGAATCTATATAATCTAAAATTTTGAATGGAGAAAAATGGGTTTTTGAGAAACAAAATCCAAAATCTATCATAAAATCTACTACCATTCAAAGTCTTACTATTTTTTTAATACAGTTTTGTGCTATTATGTAAAAACTTATTTTTGCTTTCAATACGTTATCAATCAGATTTAATATTAGTAAATTTGGTTTAGTTGGTAAACCCATTTTTTAATAAAGAGTAGTACGTACATATTACTTTTGTATTTTGTAAGGGATCACATGGGTTGGTTTGCATAACATGGTTGTGGCTGTTGTAGAAGGATATATATTATCATTTGTAAGTTGCATGCAGGGACCATATTATCTTTTCACTTCACTATCATGTATCATCTGTGTCATTGTACTAAGAGGGTCCATATTTATGTAGAATAGAGACAGATTTTTTGGATGTACTTAAGATCCAATAGTGAAGATAGAACTTTCTTCGTTTTATCAAGGTCTGATTTCTGATGATAAATTTTGACTTTTCTCAAGTCAAGTCAAGTCATGTGTAACAATTTACTTATTAATACAAAACCAGTTGACCAAAAAAAGGAAAATTTGTACAGCCATTATAGCTGTTTGAAATTATATATTGTGATCATTTTTATCCAATATAAATTATTTCGTTTTTAAATAAAGAAACGCTGGTTTCAGAAACGCTAATCAGTTTCATAATGTTGCTGAAATTGGTTTGGTTTACTTAAAAAAGAATTAAATGTATTTTGTTTCATAAAAATATAATTAAAGTATTAGTAAAAAGGATAATTCAAATCTCTTGTTTGGTATATTTACATGTTTTATGTCCATTTTGATTAACTGATATATGAAACTACAAATATACTATTACTTTTGATACAAACCCTAACCAATTAACCCAAATATGTTAATGTCACATTTCAATATGTACATTTATACTTCTATTGATTTTAAAATTAGACATGTGGATTAAAATCCATAAAACCAACAAACTTATAGATTATCAATAGAAATATATCCAACAAAATTCAGTATTATCATTGCAAGTTGCAACAAAAGGTCCGGTGTGGCGGTGCATGCATAGTTTCTTGGAGGGTCCGTATGTCGAACGAATAATAGAGACTGATTCTTCGGAAGTAGTAAGATCCACACAGCGAAGATAAAACTTTCTTTAGTAAGATCCACACAGTGAAGATAAAACTTTCTTTCTTCTGTGGACTTCTCTCTTTCCTATGGTCACATACTCTTGCTTGTTGCCAACACACTAGTCCAAATCATCAACGTGTGACGAGGATGTATAGTTCCTCTGAACACTATAGTCCAAATTATCATTTGCTTATTTTTTTTCAACATTACACATAGCTATATTCTTAATTGCCTAATTACTAGTTTTGCTTTTTCTCCAAATTCTCAAAGAAAGAAAACCACAAAAGGAACGTACTTATATCAAGAGATGTGAATTATATCAACATACTTATTTTTATAATCACATGGAAGCCTATTAATTTATTTCTAGTATTTAGTTACGTACTTAGCTAACTAGCCCTTTAATTGATTACTTAATAACTCCACACCTAACCTAAAACACGTTTACGTTGATAGATGTTTTACATGAGTGTCAAGTAATACATCTAGGTAATTAAACACCTTTACATGATAGATGTTATTGTCGCAAAATAGAACAACTAGGTAATTAATTTTTATTTTTTTCTTTGGCAGCTAGGTAAATAACTTTTACGTGTGAACATCAAAACACTTTATCTTGTACGTACAAACATTTGACGATATTTTTATCAAAAGAGAAAGAAACAAAAAAATTGAAAATATACTGAATCGTTGAACAGAGTATAGAGTTGACAAGAAAGTATACAATTGACAAGAAAGAGAAAAGACTAAAGCGTTGAAAGCCATGAACGAAATTAGTATTGAATCATTCGTTCACTGGAAATAGTTGAAGCATAGGATTCCACCATTGATGAATCCCATGACTTTCATGAATGTCCGACGATACAGCAGTCTTGTTTATCCACATAATGACGGATGGAAGAAAATGAAGATGATCTGATGGTTCTTCTCTTCCGAAACTCGAACACTTACGCCTAACTGAGTATGCAGCAGCCAAGCTCGCGATCTTACCGAGTCCCACCTTTGTCATTTTGAATATGTGTTTTGAATTACCAATATATTCTGAGCTTATCGGATCTGATTGGTTCACAAACAAATAAGGTTTCCAAGAAGCTAAATTCTTAAGTTGTTGACCTTCTTGATCCTGTAACAATTGGAGGTAAGAACTGAGAATAACCTTTTAAATATCGTTAAGGATTATTTATATAAAGCTGTTTATGTTATGGGAGATATTATTTGTGAAAAAGTACCACAAGTATATAATATAAAGTTTCTTATAGACTAAAGATACCATTGGTAAAATTCTGGAATTTTTCACTGTTAACCAAAAAGAAAACTTTATAGATACCTCATCAAAGGATAAGACTTTCGCCATGCCAGCTTTGAAGATATCCCTGGTGAATCGATACGTGAAATTAAGTGTGTCATTGAAACCCAAGTGCTCTAGAGGAATCAAGGAGATAGGTGGGTTGAAGATGTAAGCCTCAAGAAAAAGTCCAGACTTGGCCATGGTCTTTCCCGCGAGTAGTGCTAGGGCAGCTCCTAGAGAATGTCCAACGATCCAGACAGTCGTGTTTCCAATTTTGGACACGAAAGATTGGATTTCTTCAACGATATGCATAGATTTATCCCCCTTCTGGAGGATCTCGAATGGTAAACGGGAGTTTTGCATCAGATCATTAACAGCAAAAACACTTAGGACAGTTCCGCGTAAAGCAATCACGTAACGCGGAGGTACGATCGAGTTGGGGGTAATCTCATAGTTGATCATGTTTTGGAAGACAGCACCGTATATGGAGACGTCAGTTCGGTCCGTGAATTTGTGGATTAAAGTGAAGTTGAAACTCTCCCACCAAGGTGGGGCTAATGACTCGGAACCAATTCGGTTGTCTTGCCTATCTCGTTCCATTGCGTAAACTCCTAGCACCAAACACGACATCAATGAGGTTCGGTGGTGAAAATTGTTCCTATATAAGAAACAAACCAATTCAGACCATAGAAACGATCGAGTAGATCGATTTGGATATTGTCTCTTTCTTTTTTTTTTGTATCATTATGAAATGTATTAGATGAAACGAAATTTACCAGTCAAAATATGGAATTCGAGGGGGACCATTACGGCTTAGAGCGTCACTGCGCGATGAGTCGAGGATTCCCATCAGCTCCTCTTTCACACTTTCGTCTTCAAATTCTTCTGATTGCTTATATGTAAGTATTGTAATCAATCCGCGTACTAAATACAAAAAAAAAAAAAATTGGATGTAACTAATAGAAATATATATTAACTTAAAACATATTTAAATATAAAACTGAAAGTGTATAGTGGAATTAGTGAAATTTATAAACAGAATTGAATCTAATGGAGTCACAGGTATGTCAGGGTTTGGATTCTGAAAGGCCGTCGAGCATAATCGAATTCAACCGGATATGATGAAGTACACTAAAAAAATCATTTCCACCAAACAAGAATTATAGAGAGTTCATGTACATTTTTGCAGAAACAACTTTTAGGTATATAACTATATATAGAGAAATAGCAAATAGGTAACCGCATAGGCATAAAAATGATGTCATAAAAGTGATGTCATAAATATATAGTACTAGTTTGACTGTTTGAGGAATGGTCGAGGAAGTTTAGAAAAAGTTATAGAAATTTTATTTTGCTCACACATTATTGAGTCAAATAAAAAAACTTGGAAAATTTTAGTCAACAATTCTTAGATAACAAAAGACATAATGTTGCTGAAATTGGTTGGTTACTAAAAATTTTTTCAATGAAATATATTTTATCTAAATTTAATTAAAGTATTATAGTACTATATTGACATGGTTAATGACCATTGTGATAAACTGAAATATAAAACTATAAATATATATTACTTTTGATACAAACCTATATAACCAATTATTCAAAATATGTTTAATGTTACTATAGCACATTTAGAATATGTACATCTATACTTTCATTGATTTTAAAATTAGACATGTGGATTAAACAAAATCCATAAACAAACAAATTTATAGATTATCACTTATAAGTAGAAATATATTCAAAAAATATTCAGTATTATCATTGCAAGTTGCAACACAAGGTCCAGTGTGGCGGTGCATGCATAGTTTCTTGGAGGGTCCGAATGTCGTCGAACGAATAATAAAGACATATTCTTGGGAAGCAGTAAGATCCACAAAGTGAAGATAAAACTTTCTTCCTTCTATGGACTTCTCTCTTTCCTATGGTCACGTACTCTTGCTTGTTGCCAACACTAGTCCAAATCATCAACGTGACGAGGATTTATAATTCCTCCGAAGACTAGTCCAAATCATCATTTGCTTTACCAATTTTGTTTATTCACCAAATTCTCAAAGATAGAAAATCATAAAACATCATTTTTTTTTTATCAAGAGATGTGAATTATATCTTTAAAACATCTTACTTTCATAATCACATGGAAGTTGCTCAATAAGGTAACCTAACTATCAAAAACAAGTATCCACTTTTATTGCTTCATTAAGTTTAGTTCTAGAATTTAGTTACTTAGCTAACTAGCCCTTTAAGTGACTACTTATAACTTTAAGCAGACAACACTTAACATAATATTTGAGTTATATTATCTTTGTTGTAAAAATTAAAGTAGTTTTAAGAAGAATATAATTATCAACAATTACATGAAAAAAAAAATCAAAAACATGGGAAGAAAAAGACATACATGAAATAGAAGACAACAAAAAAAAAAGTAGAAGAAATGGAAAAGATCACTTGAACAAGATACAAAAGCTGATTATCCTAACCAAATACAATATTATGTGACCCTCACTGTTAATTGTTTATTGTATGGTTAACTGCTCCAACTTGTCTTCAGGGTAAGGCCTAATGCAACAGCTTTCCCAGTTTTCCCTTAGGGTCGAGTCTCTCTCCCACCATTGGTGAAGCCCATGAGCTGGCCTAGACTTAGTCGGTTTGTTCTTGTTTACAGTCATGTCTGCTGATGGAAGAAGGTGAAGAGGCTCCTTTGACAGATCTGACAGTGATGCTTTTCCTTTTCTTCCGACCAAAAGACTCCTAACTGATTTTCTTGCACCGATTCTCTCGATTTCACTTGCACCGATCTCAAACATGAAGGTTTTGTGTTTGAAGTAATCAATATATCCAACACAATATATCCAGCACATATTGGATCTGCTGGGTTTACATATAAATATGGTATCCACGATGTTGTTTTGGGATCGTCTTCTTTAAGCTGTAATAATTTAAGACAAACAGTTTCTTGTTAGAAAATCAGCCAAAATCAACATATATTGAAACGGTGTTAGTTAACTATTTAAAGGAGATAAGTCAGCTGATATCGTGGTAGTGACGGAACATCATAGTTGAGTAATATGACATCGTCTCTTGAGTTTAGGATTCTTAAATCAAAGAATTGCTAAAGCAAACACTCATCGAATCTTCAATTCGAGAACCCTAAACTCACCAAACGTTTTACTCAACTCCGATATCCCGTTAATGTGACGGTGTCGGTTGACTCATCGCCGTTAAGTGGTTAACTAATATTGTTTTGGTATATGTTGATTTTGGCTAATTTCATATAGTTTAGGTTGAGAATTTTGTTTTTTCGAGTTTAGTTTGCTAGTTGCCGGGTATAGTAGTTTGGGTATAAAAGTACCGCCAGCAAATATTCTGGGTTGATTTTCGTTATTTTCCCCACATGTTGTATCACGAGATGAGTTTGTATAAATATTACTAAAATATTAAGATATCATTAATCATTTACTTCTGAACAGGTTAAAACTTCATTATACTAACCAATATGAGCTAGACATGAATTAAGTTTGATATTACGCAATCATAATGTTTTTAAACAAATTCTAGCATAATCTATATTAACATTTTTGAAGTACCTTTTGGAAAATAACCTTTTATTTTGTATTATTTGTATAATAAATCCTTGCTATTTAAATAAATAACAAACTTTTTAAGATAAAATTTGTAATTAAATTACAACTAGAATCGCAAAATTAGAAACTAATATTTATTACATTAAAAAAATTACCCTAAAATTTCTCCCTAATAAATTGAATATCTCTCCAATATCTTTATATGATCTTATTTGTTTTAAAATTTAAATTATTACATAAAACATAAGTATAATAAAAATACAAATTTTTTTTTGCATATGTAGCAATTTGAATTTTTTAAAACGGACGTATATTACTCAATCGATAAAAGAAAAAACATATATGTATAACGTCCCACATCATGTAGAAAATTTTAGACAATGGTTCGGAACCATTATAAATATGACTAATATGAAACTTAAAAATCCAAAATCTTGAATGAAAGATTACAACAAAAAAAGTTTTAGTAACTTTTAGGGAATCCAAAATTTTAAAATCTTGATTGGTTAAAAATGAGTTTTTGGAAAACAAAAACCAAAATCTCTCTCGAAATCTATAAAACATTCAAGATTTATATTTTACATAAATATGATTTAACGGGTTTGAGTTTTATGTTTTTTCTTACGGGTTATCTTATGGGTTAACATAACAAAAAAAAATAACAAATATAACTTAAACATAATTTTTTTAGTCCCGCCAGCTACAAAACAATATCCCGCGAGTTAAATAATAAAAATAACAATCAAAAATACAATTACACAATCTTAAACACTAAAAAGGTAATAAAATTAACAAATATAACTTAAATATATATATATATATATATATATATATATTTTATTCAAAGAAATCGTCCCGTGGTGTACCGCGGGTTAAAACCTAGTTGAATTTTAAAAAATAAGTTGTTAAAATCTAGTAACATATTTAATAAGTTATGTAATTAACAGAAAAATATTTGAATACAAAATATGCTCACGTAGATGTAGGATCCAACCAAGACCAGAGTATTGCGTATAAAATTAGATTTTCAATTCATTTGTACTTTTTTTTTTTGGTTTTTTCTTGTGAAAACCAGTTTAAAACAGTTACATGGAAATTCAAACAAAAAAAAATTTGAAAGAAAGAAAAAATTACTTATAATGTCAATTGCTTTAGCTTTTCCATTTTGTGAGATCTAATGCGATAGCTTTCCCAATTTACCCTCACGGCCGGGTTTGCCTCCCACCACTGGTGAAGCGCATGAGCTGGCGTAGACTTAGTCGGTTTGTTATTATTTACCGTCATTGCTGCTGTTGGAAGAACGTAAAGAGGTTCTTTTGACAATTTCGAAGGTGGCGGTGATCTCATTACTTTTCCGACCAATAGACTTGCATATGAGACGCCAGCAGCAAGTATCTCGATTCCGCCTGCACCAATCTTAGACATGAAGCTTCTGTGTCTAAGGTAATGAATATATCCTAAACAGATTGGATCATTGTGGTTCACATATATGTGAGGTATCCACAATGCTGTTTTTGATTTGTCTTCTTGATCCTGTAATAATTTAAGACAAACTTTTCTTATAAGAAAATCAACTACAAAAAAAAAACTCATTCATTAAAGTATCGCAAGTGGATGAAACTCTGACTATAATGACTCAACTGTCATAGTTAATTAAACCGGTTATCTTGACTCTTACATATGATTTAAAGTTTACCTGTGGTTTTTTTGCGAACATAGCTATGGCGCTTTTGACGACACTCTTGCCGGTTCGAAACACATGTTTAATAAATTTTCCTCCAGGTAGCAGCTCATAAGGAATAGATGAGAATGGTGGGTTGAATGCGTGACTTTCGAGGAAGCATCCAGAACTCGCCATGGTCTTTCCAGCAATCAAAACTAGGGCAGCTCCGGAAGAGTGTCCAGCAAGCCAGATTTTTGAGTCGCTATGTTTGTCAACCATTCTACGGATTTTGTCAAGGGCGTACGTAGGCCTGCCACCTCGATGAAGGGTGTTAAATATACATTGGATGCCAAGTTTAATATCAGCTATCCAAGTTTTCTTGTTCAGAACCGTGCCGCGGAAAGCTATCACATACTCTGGAACTTTCACACCAGGGTCATTTTTGTAAAAGCTGTAGTTCTTGTATTTGAAAACAGCACCGTATATGGTACCATCATCCTCGTACAAGGTATCCTCCAAATCGAATCCGAACTTCTCCCACCAAAGATTGGCTAGTGGTTCCGGACACTTGAAAAAGCCAAACCTATACCTTTTTTTTTGCTTAATACGCCTGTCCTTTTCCATTGTGTACGCTCCATTTACCAAACATGCTAGCACAGCGGTTTGGTAGCACGGACTAGTCCTATTAAAAATAAAATAAATAAATTCAAAAACAATAAGAATCAATCAATTATACTTGTCAATATTGATTTGCAAAGGTGAACATTTACTTTGAAACTCATGAATTGCACATGAATTCATATATAGTTCTAATTAATAAAAATTCCATCGTATATCATAAAAACCTTTGTGACATCATAAAGTTATAAACACTATTCTATATAAAAAAAAACTTCTTCGTCAAATTATATTTAACAGAAGTATACTAAAATTAAAAATAAATAAAAAAGAATCTTACCAATCAGGAGTTGTAAGATGGGATGGGCCGTGAGTGTTGAAATCTGATGTATCTGATTTGGCCAACGATCCTATCCCCATTTTTTTTGTTTCTCTGGTAATGCCTCGACCTGTTTTTTTTTTGTTTTTTTTTGTTTTTTAATAGTAGAAAATGCAGAGATTTCTTTTTAAAGGGAAAGAAAATAACAGAAAATGGTGAAAATAAGAAAGAAAAGAAAAGTGAAGACAAAAAGTATAATCGAACTTAAGCGAATCTTATGAAGTAAAGCTAAGAGTTCATGTTAAGTAAACAAACTTGTGTGTGTGTGTGTGTGTGTTTTCTCTCTTTAACTATATGGGCTATTTTATTTATAGGCTGTATGACGACCCCTAGTAAACTCACTTGCAACGACTTAGAAACATCGAGGAAGGTCCTCTATAAACGACATTATTATTAATATTTTTAAAAAGTTTCTGAAAATTTTGTCGGTGATAGTGAAATAAGTAGAATAATCTAGTTTGAGAGTTTTAACTAAGACTAAACCAATTTTTTCTTTAAATACATCTTAGCCATTTTAAAAATATTAATGAAGATGTAATTTTGATTTTGATTTTTTACTTTAAATTAGAAAAAGTACTTTAAACAAAAATATAGAAAACCTTTTTCTCAAAACTTCAAAAAAGAAATGGTTTTAATTGTGGAATTTTCTTTTGTTCGGATTTAATTTAGTCAAATGAATTTTAAAGAACTTATAAGTCAGCAACTCGTAGAAATAAAATACATAATATTCTGAAAATGACTTGATTTGTAAATAAATTTATCAAATGAATTTTATTAAATATTAATTTATTTCCAGTATTAGTAGAGAGGACTATTCAAATATCTTGTTTCGTATTTGAAATTTTTATGTCCAATATGATAATTTAATATATAAACTATGAATATCCTAATTTTAATATAAAGATGAACAATTATTCCAAACATGTTACGATAGCACATTTTCAAACAAGGAGTAAAACCAATTTTGGCTCTTTGAGAATAATCAAGTTTAAGATTTTATGTGATAATTATGTTTGATAAATGTCAAATGATGACTACAACGTCGTATTTTATCTGTTTTAGCAATAGTTTCTAACGTTACTAATCTAAAGTGTTTGACATAAACTCGAAGCTCTTTATGTTTTTGTTAAGTATATCCTGGTGTTAATTAGATATCACATGCTTTCACATCGGTTTATGAATTTATTATGTAGAGTTCTTGGGAAGACAGAAAAGTCGCATTTTCACCTCCAAGCAGAACGTAACAAGAGAAACAAAGGAACGGCTAACCAGTGAAGACCACCCAGTGGTAGAGGTAGAGCCCATGACAGATATGACCAGCACTAAAAACTAAAATGGTCTAGCTGTGTCCGTCGACCATTCTAAGCTTTATCCTTGACCGTGGACCAGCTTTATCCTTTGCTTGACCGTGGAGGCAGGCGTGGACTAAAAACTATGCTTTTATCATTTTCCTTATTCCACACGTATTTCCAAATAACATGGATTTCACTAGGATTCGTTAACAATATATATGTGGAAATCAATTAGTTTATTAACACATGATTTCAATATATATTTTATATCTGTGATCTAAAAAAACATAACTTTGTTTTGAATCATTGCTATCAATTAAAACGTATAAACCAATGTATGTACCTTTTTACTGATATTATTTTTTTATAAACGTATAAACCAATTTTGTTATTTTATTTATAATATAAAATATTTTTATATAATGCAAAACCAAAATATAAAATATTTTTTATATAATGCAAACTAAAATGAAATGTCAACGTCTCAATTTATGGGATCACATGGGTTTGTTTGTATAATATGATCCCTTTTATAAATTATTAAATTAGGATAGAACTTTCTTCCTTCTATGGAGTTGTTCTTTCTTTCCTAACACTTGCATACGAATTTTGTGACGTGACGTCATATTCGTGACGTCCAAAAGGCAAATCCAAATCCATTATTTGCTTTTGTTTTCAGCATTACATAGAATAACTGTTTTACAAATTTCCAAAAAGTATTTTATAAAAAACATTTATATCAAGGGACTAGTATAATAATAAACATTTTATATCAAGACATTAACTATACTATATTATTTTTTACTTGAGTGTCTATGCTTCTGTGGACAAATAAATGATTGTTATACTTACAACAATAAAGAAAGGGAATACGTAAAAACTAAAAAAAGAAAAATATCGCAAATATCAACATAAGATAAATACACTTTGCTTCACTGATACAGTTTTACTTTTATATAAGATGTTTGTATATGCACATAAAAAAGTCAACATGAATATTTTATATACACACACACGTATTCAAGATAATGTATTTATATAAGTGCCCTTTTCATTTTGAATGTGTTTGCACGTACGTATACATCTTTTTTTTTTACGCACAAGGTTAAATTTTTTATTCATTTTGCAAAATTCATCTTGTACAGTTGTACGTATACATATACAAAATTCATCTTGAATTAATGTGGCTGATCAAAATTTTACAGTTAATAGTAAAAATTTCAAAATGATGTACTTCCTATTTTTTTAAACAGTGTTTTAAAAGGGTTGTTAAATGTATTCTCTTGAGCATATTGGATCTGATTGGTTGTTCACAAACAAATGGATTGTCTCCAAGAAGCTAAAATTCTTTTTTTTTTCTTTTTTTTTTTTTGGTAGGAAGAAGCTAAAATTCTTAAATTGGAGGTAATAATATCAAAAACAAGATTTAGTTTCCTGTACGAAAAGTATTACCTAATGTACTACTATTGGATTAGAGAATAGCATTTTAAATATCTTTAATGATTATTTATATAAAGCTTTTCATGTTATGGGAGAGATTATTTGTTACGTACCACAAGTATAATGAAAAAAGTTTTTTATATAAACTTTATAAAATTCTCATCATTCATCAAGATCTAGGACTTTGGCTATGCCAGCTTTAAAAAAAAATATTTTTAAATGTGTATATTATTTGGACTAGTCTTTGGACGAGCTATAAATCCTCGTCACGTCGATGGCGTTCTATAGCAAGAGTGCGTGCGACCGTGCGTGACCATAGGAAACAGAGAAATCCATAGTATTAAATATTTTTTTAACGTTTGGTTAAATGCGATTTAGTTCTAGAATTTGGCTATTTAGCTAACCAACCCCTTAATTTATTACCAACAACTAGACTTAATATAATACTATTTAGGATATATTGTCTTTGTTGTAAAATTTAAAGTAGTTTTAAGAATATAAATATCAACAATTACATGAAAAAACAAAAAATCTAAAACTTGGGAGAGAGAGATAGAAAAGAAATAGAAGACAACAAAGAGGTACTAGAAGAAATGGAAAAGCTCACTTGAACAAGATACAGAAGACGTACAAGCCATTTAACCAAACCAAGCACAATTATTATGTAACAAGCTCACTGTTATAGTTTATTGTAAGGTTAACTGCTCCAACTTGTCTTCAGGGTAAGGCCTAATGCAACAGCTTTCCCAGTTTTCTCTTAGGGTCGAGTCTCGCTCCCACCATTGGTGAAGCCCATGAGCTGGCCTAGACTTAGTCGGTTTGTTCTTGTTTACAGTCATGTCTGCTGATGGAAGAAGGTGAAGAGGCTCCTTTGACAGATCTGACAGTGATGCTTTTCCTTTTCTTCCGACCAAAAGACTCCTAACTGATTTTCTTGCACCGATTCTCTCGATTTCGCCTGCACCGATCTCGGACATGAAGGTTTTGTGTTTGAAGTAATCAATATATCCTGCACAGATTGCATCTGCTGGGTTGACATATAAATATGGTATCCACGATGCTGTTTTTGTATCGTCTTCTTTAAGCTGTAGTAATTTAAGACAAACAGATTCGTGTAAGAAAATCAACTTCAAGCAAGTCAACGTGGTACCGCAACACTCTTAAGGCCTTAAGACTTATGTTTATTCAATTAAGATGGTTTTAGTTTACCTGATGATCGCTTAAGGCCATGGCTACCGTGGCTTTGACAACACTCTTAGCCATTTGAAACACTTCTTTAAGCAAATGTCCTCCAGGTAGCTGCTCAAGAGGAATAGAAGAGATGGGTGGGTTGAATATGTAACTTTCCAGGAGGGAACCAAAACTTGTCATGGTCTTTCCAGCAAGCAAAACTAGGGCAGCTCCCAAAGAGTGTCCAGCAAGCCATATAGCTGATTCGCTATGTTTGTCCACCATACTACGGATTGTTTCAACAGCGTACTTAGACCTGCCACCTCGATGAAGGTTATTGAAGATGATTTTGAGGTTAAGTTTCATATCAGACTTCCAAGTTTTTCCTTTAAGAACCGTGCCGCGAAAGGCAATCACATAGCGTGGAACTTTCACTTGAGGAGTATATTCGTAAAGGTTGTATAGTTCGTATTCGAAAATGGCACCGTATATGGCGCCGTCATCGTCCACCAAGGTTTCCATCAAAGTGAAGTTGAAAAACTCCCACCAAGGCTTGGCTAGTGATTCAGAACCTACCCGTTTCTCAAGCCTGTCCCCTTCCAATGTATACACTCCATTTACCAAACTTGATGCCACTGAGGTTCGGTAGTACGAATTAGTCCTATATATATTACAGAAAATAAAAGCAAATCTTCTTTAGAATCTGAGTAGATAATGTTATTAATAATAAAAACTTCTGTACGGCACATGAATTTATGTAGTTTCAATAAAACTTCTATCGTACGTCTATCATAAAAAATAAAATAAAAAACACTTTAAAAGACTGTTGTTAAATAATAAACAAAACAAATATTTATTTTGAAATGAAGTATACTAAACAAATAAAAAATTGTTACCAGTCGGTAGATGTAAGATGGGAGGGGCCAAAAATGCTGAAAGTATCGCTATCTAAGTTTGAGTCTGAGTCCGTCGCTCCTCCTCGCATCATTTTTCTGATAGAACCTCGTCCCATTTCTTCTTCTTGTAGTTATATCCTATTATCTTTAAGATATTAGATCACCAAATTAGTAATCAAGAACTGGTTTAAAATAGAACGCTGAATGACAATATGCAAGTGTACACATATGTATGTCTATAAATATTACATATATTCTTAGTTATACAGAATGAAACAAAAATGTTTTTTTGTAAAAAGTACCTTTTTCCGTGTTCTTATTGGTCAATCAGAATCGAATATATGATTTAAGTAAACGAAAGAGTTCGTTTTTAAGAAAGAAAAAAATGATTGTAGAGTTCACCACGGACAAGAAAGAACTAGTGATTTGTTACACACATAAAAGGATCTTGCTATTTATAGATGGTAAAAATATGAAGACTTTTTGGATCGATCCGGAGCAATAATACGAGCCAGACTGTATGAACTACTTCTTTAGTTGCAAATTGGGGTTGACATCTACAAATTGGCAGTTAAAACATATTTAATAAGTGTGGAACCAAGCGTTCTTTATCCATCCATAGTCCTACATTATCAAACCAATATAACAAGTAAACAATTTGTTCCTTTTATTTTTGTATATATGGTTGAAAAACAAATTAGTTTTCAACTAAAAGAAAAAGATTATGGTACAGAAATGAAATATAATTTAATATATATATACCTAATGAACGATACAGCATTCAACGAAGACATCAGATCATATATAGAGTCAATAAGTTATGATTTTAATGTTAGTTATATAACTTATATTTGCTTATTCTCAAAGCATATCCTACATTAAACTATACATTTGTTCGAATTTATATACTATAATTTACTAACTTAGTATTAAAATTAAACCATATATGGTATATTAATATTGGATAAGTCAAAATGAACTTAAAATTTATTCTTTCCGAAATTACCAAAATAATTTTTCGTTTGAATTTATTTATAAAGTTTTATACTTCAGGTCTTGTAGTATGACTTAATTTACTCAAGTTGCACATACTCTAACTAGAAAGCATTAGAAAATAATTAATGTAATTCTATTCAAGTTATATTTACTCTCCACCATGGTTACTTAACAATATGATTGTACCATGACACTCGAAGTTTTTTATATATATCTGTGCTGTGCGGAAAAAAATTTCGTTTGAATTATATAATTATTGGTCAACGATACTCTATTGGCTTAACCCAAATTTCATGTAATGTCAAAGGACGCTAAAGAATAATAACAGGCAGGAAATAAAAATATCAAGTGTCAAGCATCAATATGTTGTAGCTTATTACAATTTCTTTGGTCAACACTTTTTTTTGTTGTTGCTTTAACAATTTCATTGTTTTTTTTATAAGTTCTAAGTGGCAGTATTAGTATAATCGTTTGACTTTATTCTATGGTTATAATAATCGCAATAAAATTCCATTCATGATTCTTTTTATTTATTTATTTTCTTCTTTTTTTTTTTTTTGGACAAACATTTTCTTCTTCTTTTAAATCCAAGACTATGAACCCAAGTGGCAAGAAGATAAAGTTATATACACATACACTATATGACATACTATATGACATTTATGTATTTTCTTCTTCATGTGGACGAGTACGAGTAGATTAATATGGTTCTTAATCTACATGTGAATTTCGAGTTTATAATCATTTTCATAGTGTACAAGACTTCGAAATAGTAGTAAATATCCAACCAATTAATAATTCGAAAGTTTGTAACCTACGTTATAACAGTCATATTATAGCGGATACTTCAAGAAAACAATGAATCCATTGTCCATGTAATACGCAATATACAAACTTGAAGAACTGAACACATATTCCAACTGAACAAATTCAAACTTGAAGAACTTATGAGCAAGTAATACGCAATATACAAAGATCTAGCGAATCCATGTTCGGATCAAAAACTCACTTTCTCCATAAATATTTGTGGATTATTGAATTAATTCTATCATAACGATTACATCATTATAATGGAAAAAATAATTTAAAAAATACAACTGTACACATTAGAGCGATTATCAAATTAATTACCCTTATTGGACTTGGGCTTAACGTGGCCCAAGAGTTGAGAGATGATTCACACATCATCATTGATCAAGAGGTGCGAGCCACATTTTGGTTTTATTTTCAACGGTGAATTCTCCGATAGTCCGATCATCCGGTAAAAACTAAAACAGTACTAGAAAGATGTAGAGGCTGAACGATCTCTTCATCCGATAGTTTCCTTGAGGATGGATCGGAGTGTCTCTGTTCTCTCTCTCCTATTCAGGTTTCTCCTCGATTCTGCCTTGGGTCTATTTTTGTTTCTCTGTGTTAGTAACTTAAATACTTAATCCATCATCTTCGATATTTGTAGAGGATGTACGCATTCGCTGCTTCTTTGGCCACTGGTTTGCTTCTAATGTTTTACATTGTTCAATGCCTTTTTTTTAGGGCAATATTACTATACATCCAACAAGAACTAGGAGAATTGCTATGCCTCATAATTTTTTGAATAACAACGTTTTAAATACTACGAAACTTCAAAAATGCCCTTAAACAAAAGACAAAAAATAGCAAGATAGTGTAACATGGAAAAAAACATGAAATATGAGAATATAAAAGAACTAAGAAAATATAACTATTAGGATATATATCAATCTTTTGTATTAGATACGGTTCTATCATATTTGGCAACTTGTATGTGTATAAATACTACTTTTAACATATGGAATAAACACACTTTACATTCTATTCTATTTTATTTCATGGTATCAGAGCATAAGATTCTGACCTAATTTTTTCTCTTCTTCTTCTTTGTTCACAGCCGTCATATCGTCTGTGGCTGCTTCTTTCTTCTATCAAACTTGATTATATCTTCTATATTCTATTTTCTCCTCTTCCATGTCAGGTCCAGAGGATTCAGTCATTCCTTCTGCCCCTAGGCCAGTTGCCGTGGTTGACACACCTAAAAACCCTTATGCCTTAAGCTCCTCTGATAATCCGGGAGCCTTGATTTCTTCTGTTATCTTGCAAGAGAACAATTATTCCGAGTGGGAAATCGAGCTTCGCAACTCGCTTCAGGCTAAGTTCAAAATTGGTTTTATTAATGGGACAACACCAAAACCCGCTGCTAATCCCGAACTTGACCAATGGTTGGCTGCAAACTCCATGATCATTGGTTGGATTCGTACTTCCATTGCTCCTCATATCCGTTCGACGGTCTCTTTTATTGATGATGCTTCTACTCTTTGGGAAAGTCTCCGGGTTCGGTTTTCAGTCGGCAATGGAGTCAGAAAACAAGTTCTCAAAGACGAAATTGCTTTATGCAAGCAAGATGGTCAACCGATTCTTCAATACTATGGTCGTCTATCAAAGTTATGGGAAGAACAACGTAACTACACATCGCATCACTTGTGTCGTTGCGAGGTCTCTCCTCTCCTTATCAAAGAGCGTGAAGATGACAAAATCCATCAGTTTCTCTTTGGTCTTGATCTTCCTCGGTTCTCCCACATACGTTCTAAGATCACAGATGAGGATCCTTTACCTTCTCTTAATCAAGTTTACTCTCGTGTTATTCGCGAAGAACAGAATCTTGATAAAGCCCGGATGAAAGAAGCTACCAAACCAGACGCCATTGGTTTCACCGTTCAGTCCGAACATCCATCCAAGGTTGCTGCTGTTACTGCTCCTAAGTCTCGTGATCGTACGTGTACTCACTGTCATCGCCAAGGTCACGACGTCACTGAATGCTTCTTGCTCCATGGTTTTCCGGAGTGGTACTATGAGCAAAAAGGTGGACAACGAGACAATACACCACGGTCTGACAATAAGAATTCTCAACGCGGCGGTCGCTCCAATAGAGGAAACGGTCGTGGACGTGGGAAGGTTCACGCTGCTCAGGCTGATGTTTCGTCTTCCTCTAGCACTGATCAAATTTCTCAATTGATCTCACTTCTCCAGGCACAGCGTCCCAACGTCTCCTCTGAACGGTTATCGGGTAAAACTTGTCTTACTGATGTGATTCTTGACACGGGTGCTTCGCATCATATGACAGGCGATTGTTCTATTTTACATGACGTATGTGATATCATTCCCTCGGCCGTAACAAAGCCAGATGGGACTGCTTCCCGAGCCATTAAACGTGGCACGCTTCCTCTTAGCTCCACTTATACGCTTCGAGATGTCCTTTTTGTTCCTGATTTTGATTGCACATTGATCTCTGTTTCAAAACTTCTTAAACAAACAGGCTCGATTGCGATATTCACTGACACATTGTGTTTCTTACATGACCGTTTTTCGAGGACTTTGATTGGGGCGGGGGAAGAACGTGAGGGAGTGTACTATTTTACGGGTATTCTGGCTGCTCGGTCCAACAAAGCTACATCCGATCATTCATCATCTGCAGCCTTGTGGCATCGAAGATTAGGCCATCCCTCTACTAGTGTTTTACTTTCTTTACCGGAATGTCAACAATCTTTGCAAGATTTGGGCAAGATTGATAGTTGTGATGTTTGCTTTCGCGCTAAACAAACGAGAGACGTTTTTCCTCTTAGCATTAATAAAACAACGGAATGTTTTTCTTTAATTCATTGTGATGTTTGGGGTCCTTATCGAACACCGTCTACCTCCGGTGCGGTTTACTTTCTCACTATCGTTGATGACTACTCTCGTTCTGTTTGGACATACCTTATGTCCGTAAAATCTGAGGTCTCTCAACTGGTCCAGAACTTTTGTGCTATGACGGAGCGTCAATTTGGAAAACCAGTTCGTACCATCAGAAGTGATAATGGTACAGAGTTTATGTGCCTCACATCCTACTTTGCAAAACAAGGCATTCATCATCAAACGTCTTGTGTGGATACTCCACAACAGAATGGCCGTGTTGAACGCAAGCATCGTCACATTTTGAATGTAGCACGTGCATGTCTTTTTCAAGGCAAACTTCCAATCAAGTTTTGGGGAGAATGCATACTTACTGCCACACATCTTATCAATCGTACACCGTCCTCTGTCTTGAACGGGAAAACTCCGTATGAAGTTCTTTTTGGAACACGCCCGTCTTATGCTATGCTGCGCACTTTTGGGTGTCTTTGCTATGCACACGTTCGACCACGGGACAAAGATAAATTCAAATCTCGTAGTAGGAAGTGTGTGTTTATCGGTTACCCTCATGGCAAGAAGGCTTGGCGTGTGTATGATCTTGACACTGGCAAGATTTTCATGAGTCGAGATGTTCGTTTTCTTGAAGATATATTTCCCTTCTCTACTCCGGACCAACCATCTCTTTTACCTACTCCATCTTTCTCTGTTGATGATGATGACTGGTTCTCTCCAATGGTCGCTTCTACTCCTTCTGTCTCTGTTACTCCATCTGCTCCAACTGTTCCACCAGCTTCAACATCACCTGTTCAGAGAGATGGATCGATCGATCCCTCCTCCGGACCGATCGATCGCACGCTGCCAATCGTACCTGAGAGTAGTGGACCGATCGATCGACAATCTCGACCGATCGATCGGCCTCCGTCAGACAAACCCGAGAGCATCGGACCGATCGATCCCCTCCAACAACCGATCGATCCCAACCCTTCCGACAAATCCGGCCCGATCGATCTTCCTGGCACTACTACCTCGCCTTCTAGTCTAGTTAACCCGTCTTCTGAACTCGTTGATTCTGCTACTCCTCCTTCGCCTGGTCTTCCTCAGTTGCTGGGTAAAGGACATCGCATTAAAACACCGTCCATCCTTCTCAAGGATTATGTGGTTCCCCCTAAACGCTCTTCCTCTCACGTTCTCTCCTCTGGTCTTCCTGATCCAAGTCCTTCGACATCGGTCTCTGGTAAGGTCCTTTATCCTCTCTCTGATTATTTGACTGAGTCTGGTTTTTCCGCAAATCACATGGCCTTTCTGGCGGCCATTCTTGATAGTACGGAACCTAAACATTTTAAAGACGCGGTGCTTATTAAAGAATGGTGTGATGCTATGCAAAAGGAAATTCAAGCTCTAGAGGATAACCATACTTGGGATCTTACTGACTTGCCTCCCGGGAAGAAAGCTATTAATAGCAAATGGGTTTATAAACTCAAGTTTAACTCCGATGGAACATTGGAACGTCATAAGGCTCGGCTTGTTGTTATGGGAAATCACCAGAAGGAAGGCACGGATTTTAAAGAAACATTTGCCCCCGTAGCAAAAATGACCACCGTTCGTTCTCTTCTAGCAGTTGCAGCTGCAAAGGACTGGGAAGTTCATCAAATGGATGTTCATAATGCGTTTCTTCATGGTGATCTCGAGGAAGAGGTATACATGAAGTTGCCTCCAGGATTCAAATGTGATGATCGAACCAAGGTTTGTCGTCTTCTTAAATCCTTATACGGCCTTAAACAAGCTCCTCGTTGTTGGTTTGCTAAGCTCTCTACCGCTCTTCGACAAATTGGTTTCACGCAAAGTTACGAGGATTACTCTTTGTTTTCTCTAAAGGATGGATCCACATACATTCACGTGTTAGTATATGTTGATGATTTCATTGTCGCAGGCAACAACCTTCAAGCTATCAATCGTTTCAAGGCTCAGTTACACAAGTGCTTTCATATGAAAGATCTGGGCAAACTTAAATACTTTCTTGGTCTGGAAGTTTCACGCGGTCCGGACGGTTTCTGTCTTTCTCAACGTAAGTATGCGTTGGACATCATTAAAGAAGCAGGCATGCTTGCTTGTAAACCTTCCGCTGTACCTATGGAGCTTAATCACAAACTTGGTTCGGTTACTGGTCCGGAATTTGACAATCCAGAACAATATCGAAGACTTGTTGGTCGGTTTATCTATCTTACTATCACTCGCCCGGATCTAAGCTATGCAGTTCATATTTTGTCTCAATTCATGAAAACTCCTCTTGATGCTCATTGGGATGCTGCTTTGCGCTTGGTTAGTTATTTAAAAGGTTCGCCTGCACAAGGGATTTTTCTTCGATCGGATAGTGCTTTGTCTCTTACTGCTTACTGCGACTCTGATCATGGTGCTTGTCCCCGCACTCGACGCTCACTCTCGGCATATATTGTTTATCTTGGTGATTCTCCGATTTCGTGGAAAACCAAGAAACAAGACACTGTTTCTTCTTCCTTTGCTGAGGCTGAGTATCGAGCCATGGCTCTCACACTTAAGGAAATCAAATGGTTAAAGGCCCTTATGACTACTCTTGGCGTTGATCATCCTCATCCTATTCCTCTATATTGTGATAGTCAGGCTGCTATTCACATTGCGGCTAATCCGGTTTTCCACGAGCGTACGAAGCATATCGAACGTGACTGTCATCAAGTTCGTGATGCAGTTCAAGCCAAACTCATTTCTACCATCCACATTACTACTACTGACCAGGTTGCCGATCTTCTTACTAAGTCTCTTCCACGACCAGCATTCGAGTATCTATTGTCCACGTTGGGTATTCGCAATTACGAGTTACCAACGTGAGGAGGGGTATTAGGATATATATCAATCTTTTGTATTAGATACGGTTCTATCATATTTGGCAACTTGTATGTGTATAAATACTACCTTTAACATATGGAATAAACACACTTTACATTCTATTCTATTTTATTTCAATAACTTATGTGTTTTAAACTTTAAATCATCTTTTGGATAAAATCACATGTAATCTTAATATAATATTTAGGATATATTGTCTTTGTTGTAAAATTTAAAGTAGTTTTAAGAGTTTAAATATCAACAATTACTTTCGACAAAAAAAAAATTCTAAAACATGGGAAAGAGAGATAAACATGAAATAAAAGACAACAAAGAAGTAGAAGTAAAAGATCACTTGAACAAGTTACAGAAGGCGTAAAGCCATTTAACCTAATCAAACACTGTATTATATATGTAACCCTCACTATTAATTGTTTATTGTATGGTTAACTGCTCCAACTTGTCTTCAGGGTAAGGCCTAATGCAACAGCTTTCCCAGTTTTCCCTGAGGCTCGAGTCACGCTCCCACCATTGGTGAAGCCCATGAGCTGACGTAGACTTAGTAGGTTTGTTCTTGTTTACAGTCATATCTGCTGATGGAAGAAGGTGAAGAGGCTCCTTTGACAGATCTGACATTGATGCTTTTTCTTTTCTTCCGACCAACAGACTTCTAACTGATTGTCTTGCACCTGTTCTCTCGATTAGGCCTGCACCGATCTCAGACATGAAGGTTTTGTGTTTGAAGTAATCAATATATCCTGCACATATTGGATCTGCTGGGTTTACATATAAATATGGTATCCACGATGCTGTTCTTGGATCGTCTTCTTTAAGCTGTAGTAATTTAAGACAACCAGTTTCTTGTAAGCAAATCAACTTAAGAAATTAAAACTCATTCAACATGGTACGTAAGTATGTGTAATTATCTTAAGACTTAATGAATGTATAGCAGCTTATTCAATCAAGATAACTTTAGTTTACCTGGTGATCGGCCAAAGCCATGGCTACGGTGGCTTTGACAACAGTCTTGGCGATTTGAAACACGCCTCTAATCTTATCTCCCCCAGGTAACTGCTCTAGAGGAATCGTGGAGATGGGTGGGTTGAATATGTAACTTTCGAGGAGGTATCCAACACTTGTCATGGTCTTTCCAGCAAGCAACACTAGGGCAGCTCCCAAAGAGTGTCCAGCAAGCCATATAGCTGATTCACTGTGTTTCTCCACCATACTACGGATTGCTTTTACCGCATGCAAAGATCTGCCGCCGTGATGGAGGTTGTTGAAGCTGAATTTGAGGTTAAGTTTCATATCAGACTTCCATGTTTTTCCTTTCAGAACCGTGCCGCGGAAGGCAATCACATGATGTGGAACTTTCACATTTGGTGTGTTTTGGTAAAGGTTGTAGAGATTGTACTCGAAAACCGCACCGTATATGGCACCGTCGTCGTCTATCAAGGTTTCTAGCAAAGTGAAGTTGAAAAACTCCCACCAAGGATTAGCTAGTGATTCGGAACCTACACGTTTCTCTAGCCTGTCCCCTTCCAATGTGTACACTCCATTTACCAAACTTGACGCCACTGAGGTTCGGTAGTACGAATTGGTCCTATTATCAAAAAAACAATACTTAAGTAAATCTATATTAAAGTCTGAGTACGCAGGTCGCAGATACTGTTTAAACTAGTGGGTATAAAAATCGAATATTAATTCCCAAATTAATGGTCAACTTTTACTATGCAACTCCTGCACGGCACATGAATTTATTTAGTTCATATTTCAGTTTAAAAAGTAAACTCCTATCGTCTATCATAAAAAAAAAAAAAAAACTTTTTGATGCTGTTATGTAATAACAATTAACAAGTATTTATTGTGTACCAGTCAATAGATGTAAGATGGAAAGGGCCAAAAATGCTGAAAGTATCGCAATCTGAGTCTGAGGCCGTCGTCGCTCCTCCTCCTGCCATCAATTTTCTGAGACCTCGTCCCATTTCTTCTTCTTATACTTGTTCCTTTAATCTAAAGTTATTACACTGCCAACTTAGTAACCAAACTGATTTAAAAGTAGAATATGGTGAATAACAATATGCAAATGATACATATATATATGGACATATATATATAAATTTTTGGTAATCACAAGTGAAAAACTCGTTGCAAAAATTTTAAAAACAAAAAGGAGAAAATTAAACTACTCACTATACTACTCAACAGAATCGGTTTCAATGGATGGACTCTTTTTCGCCACTGCCAAAACTTTCATAAGAACTCTTTTATGACTTTTACACAAAAATATAGAGATTTAATTTTAAAAGAAAGAAAAATTAAGAACTCTTTTTTTTTTGCTTTTACATAGAAATTAAAAAACTGATGAAAAAGAAAAAGAAAAAAAATGTTTAGAAAAATACCTTTGTTCCGTGGCTCTTACTAGTCAATCAGAATCGACTTTAATCGAATCTGATTAAGTAAATTTAAGAGTTCGCTTAACAAAAAAATAATAGCTATAGTGTTCTTGTGTTTTTTTTTTTCCTCCTTTCAAGAGTTCTTCACCACAAGAACTAATGAGTTATTACACACATAAGGATCTTGCTATTTATAGATGGTTAAAAATATGAAGACTTTTTGGTTCCGGATCACCTTGAGACGGCCTATCCCTTTAACACTGACACGAGCCAGACTGTATGAACTACTTCTTTAGTTACAAATTGGGGTTGACAATTTATTCTACAAATTGGCAATTAAAAACATATTTAATAAGTGTGAGAACCAGTCTCTGCGCATACACACAACTATTTCGATCATCAAAATAGTATATAATTTAAGAAAACAAGTGTTTGTTACCCATATATATATATATATAGTCCAACATCATCAAACCATTATAACAAGAAAACAATTTTTTCTTTTCTTGTATATGGTTGAAAATCAAATTAGTTTTAAGCTAAAAGAAAATTGATTGTCCGTACACGAAATATAGTTTAATACTCATATAATTATCATCATTAATTGTAACTTTGATTTGACTCAACATTTTCATATTTTTGAAACATTAGTAACCAAATTAGTTTCGAAGACGGATTTGACCACGATAATGTAAAACCTAACAAATCCAATGTGATCACATGAATGTTTGGCCACTCAAGTAAACATAGAAAACCAACATGCATATCTGACGAATGATACAACGTAACCGAAAATATCATATCATATATCTAAGACACAATAAATTATGATCATAGTGGAAGTTACACAAGATTAAGATTTGCTTGTGTGCAAAGTATATCCTCCATTATAATATACATTGTTCAAAATTGTACACTACAATTTACTAACATTGTATTAAAAAATCATACACTATGAGATATAGTAACATTGGATAAATCAAAATTAACATGCTAAATAATTATGTCTGGACTTATTTATAAAGTAATATGTTTGTACCACGGTCGACGACACTCGAAATTAGTACTTTAATTTACACTTAAGGTCAACGATAACTCTATTCTCTTAACCTAAAACTCATGTAATACCAAAGGACAACTAAAGAACAAGTGACAGACAATAATAGATATCAAGTGTCAAGCATCAAAATATGCTATATTTTATCTTAAAAATTCATGGTCAACTGTTTATTGTTGCTTATCAATTTCATAATTGGTTTACTACTGATTTATCAATTTCATTGGTTTCTTATATGAGTTCTAAGTGGCAGTATTAGTATAATCGTTTGACTTTATTCTATGGTTATAGTAATCGAAATAAAATTCCATTCATGATGCTTTTTATTTATTTATGTTCTTCTTCTTTTAAATCCAAGACTATGAATCCAAGTGGCAATAAGATAAAGTTATATACACATACACTATACGAAATTTATGTATTTTCTTCTTCATGTGGACGAGTAGATAATGGTTCTTAATCTTCGAGCGAGTTCCAAGTTTATAATACATATGAAAACATAATACAAGACACTTCTAGTTACCCTTCTGTGTTATGTTTTAAACTTTGGGATTTTAGAATCTTTATTTTCGTTATCTTGTACTTTAATTTCAATGCATGAAAATGAAATCACTCGGAAATTATAAACTATCAAAAATACCCAACCAATCCATAATTCAAAAATGTAACCTACGAAACAAAGTAGTAATGCTGACACAATATACTAAACAAGCTAATCCATGTCGGACCAAAGACTCACTTTCTCCATAAATTTTCTCACAAAAAAAAAAACATTATGAATTCTATCATATACAAATCATTATATTGGAAGAAAAATAAAAATACAATTGTACACATCAGAGCGATTCGCAAATTAACTCTACTTATTGGACTTGGGCTTAACGTGGCCCAAAGAGTTGAGATCATGATTGCACAACATCAGTGATCTAAGAGGTAGCGAGCAACATATTTCTATTTTCAACGGTGAACTCTCCGATCATCGGGAAAAAAAAAAAACAGTAATCAAAAGATGCAGAAGCTGAACGATCTCTTCTCCGGTGGCGGAGACGGCGACGGAACAACTGATAGTTTCCTTGAAGATGGATCGGAGGGTCTCTGTTCTCTCACCCATATCCAGGTTTCTTCCTCGATTCTGCCTTGGGTCTATTTTTGTTTCTCTGTGGTAGTAACTTAATCAATCAATCTTCGATATTTTTGCAGAGGATGTACGCATTCGCTGCTTCTTTGGCCACTGGTTTGCTTCTCATGTTTCTGGTAAGTTCAATTTGCGATTGATGAGAATCACAAATCCGATTTTACTGTTCTTATAATGAATGATGATGTTCTTCTCTTAATCACGTTCTATTGATCGAATTGAGATGATTTTGATCAGCATTAGACTATCTAGGAGAAGTAATTTTCATATGTATGTATCTTCTTATGCAGTCTATGATTGTATTTGCTATCCCCATCAAATTTGCACTGCTCTTCACATTTGGGAATGTTCTTGCTGTTGGAAGGTATGTTTTTGCTTTAATGTTGCGGCGAGCTATTTACATTCAAAGATAGGATGGTTCTTAGGATGAAACTTCATTAGTAACATTTTTAGTCATTCTGAATTTGAAGAGATTTTTACAACTTTTCGTCGTGCTTTACTTGTCTAGCTAACCGAAGTATTACATAGCAGTTCATGATTCCTCCTGCCGCCGAAGTTTCCTCACAACTTTCTTTGACATTAACGGCGAATGGAACTATGTATGAAAGTAAAATTTGAGAGCTATAGATATGTTCCTGTCTTTGATTGCTTGCTTGTGTTACTACAATTAATGCGGTTTTCCATTGGAAAGAATCTGATAATATTGTCTTATATCTAACAAAAAAAAATTGCTTGTCATTTCTACTTCCAAGTTGTTATTCTGTTTTAAACCACAAGAGATCACTGTTTCTTTGGCAGCACAGCCTTCCTCATGGGACCTGAGCAACAGATGAATATGATGTTGGACCCTGTTCGTATCTACGCGACATCCATTTATATTGGATGTGTTGGTATAGCACTCATCTGTGCTCTCTTGGTATGCTCTTACTCTCTATACAACAACCAATAAATATATGTGCTTCCAACATTAGATGTTTAGAGTAGAGTAACTGCAGGAACCAATATGAGTAATGTCCAGTCCTCTAAACATCTTACCTTGGAACTTTTAGTCTTTCTTAAAATATTTTTCGTCTCCTGTAGATCCACAGCAAAATTTTAACGGTCCTTGCGATCCTATGCGAGATTTGTGCACTGATATGGTAAGTTCAATGCTAAAATTCAATTGAATACAGGGCTTGTTTCTTCAAGAACCCGAATATTCTTAAGCCTCATTGGATTGAACATTTTCTTATACACGTTGTGATGACAGGTACAGCCTCAGTTATATTCCATTTGCACGGAGAATGGTCTCTGAAATAATGATCCGTCTCTGCGACACGGAGTTATGATCAAGTCATCTGGCAGCAAACACAAAGCAAGTAAATTGTATTTACTGGTCTCAAGAACTTGAGATCTGATTTTTCTGAACAGAATCTTGTTTGTCTTTTGACCTGATTGGGTGAAAATCAGAAGGAATGCAGATTGAGTTTTTTATATTGGGATTTGGGATCTTGAAGCTCTTGTGTGTATTTTGTTGCTTCAAGCTCTTTTCCTGCTTTAGTCTCAACCATTGTTTGGAATTTCGTGTGATCAAATACTATGATTTCTTTTATTCAATTTACACATCTTGGAGTTGTTAACCTCATAATTAATATCTTTGATACAGCTATCTTATAAATACGGTTAAGAACTAAGTTAAACAACTACTGAACTACATATAGGAGAGATTTATAGTCGAAAATAGTCTAAAAAATATGGAGGCATTCTCACAAAACCATTGCATCATCAGTGATCACACAATTCGCATCATCAGTATCAGCAAGAGGCTAATAGTTATAAAATTAATTTGTTATCTACCGAATTTTGTATACTGCACATATCATTCTTTCAATTGTTTTTTTTTTTTTTTTGATCAAATCATTCTTTCAATTGTTTAACCCTCAATAATTGTAACCTAGTGGCTTAATAAAGAATTGTGAAGAAGACAATAATAATGCAGAAACTCGAAAGAGGCAATTGTACTTTTTATAATAATAACGAGAAAGAAAAGAGTATAATTGTTACAAAATCATCATTTTCCTCTACATTATTAGTTATTTCTTTACAATTTTTAAAAGAGCATAAACAAACATCACCAGCCGACAAGACAAGAACCCAAACTAGTCGATCGATCGAATCTTCAAACGTCCAAAATGTCAAATCAGATGCAACCACCCAACTGCAACATTTTCACAAGTAGAAAAAAAAAATCAGAACTGAACTACAAAACCTTGTTTAATTTTAACTATATAAAAGAACCTTACCATTATAGATTCGATTTCTTTGTCGGAGACAGGTGTACGTTTTGGCTGCAGAGATGCTTTTCCACCATCAGCAGTGTTCTTCGGAGCCGCCGGAACATCTGAACTCGCCGTCACATTTTTCTTTCCGCCGGCAACAGATCCTGGCGCTGGTCCAGAACCTTAGAAATTTTCACAAAAAAGATGTCAAGAAACAAGAATAAAGCTAACTAATAAGTGATGAGCTTAAAATAAAGCAAGAACCAAAGAAAAATGTTTAACCAGATGAAATAGAATGTCTCTGAGGGAACTTGATACGAGGGATTCTCTTCATCTTCAGCTTCTTCCGATTTCGCTTTCTTATTTTCTTGATTTTTTTCTTTCTTTCTTCAGATTGTTCTTTATGTCCATAGAGATGAAACGAAACTCTTATCTTTATCCTGAAGTTAATGGGCTAATGGGCCGAATAATGTTCGTTTGATAGGCTTTCTGTAACATAATGCAACTGGGTTTTCAACTTATTAGAAGAAAACTTCAATAGGATGGATAATAAAGTCATGTGTAGATGATGTATCATATAGTTTGAAACTGTGACATCATCACATCGATGAGATCTTATATTGTCGTGTTCATAGAAAGCAAACCAAGAATTGAATTCGTTATGCGGTGAGGATTTCACTGAGTACGTATATTTGAGATTTTCATTGAAAAAAAGGCCTAAAAATCTAATTAGTTTCTTACGAAAATGATGGAAAAAAAAAAGAAAATTTAATAATGCACGGAACGATGAATGTGACATCATTCATTGGTCTTTACCTCATTTTTTCAAATCGACCTTATAATAATAGTCACGCAAGTAAAAACAATATACATAATTATATAACAAAAATGAACCAATATGCATGGCAAATTGGTCAAGATCATACATTCATATTAGAAAACGTAACATCGTCTCTCTTCTATCTTCTCCCATTGACAGCTGAGAAATGATATTGAGTTAAATGAGGATAACTATTAATCTAGTATAATTGAGGAAGTAGTGTTGTCACGCCCAAATCGATATATCTTTGCCCTGGCTATATATATATATATATATATTACCCCTCTTTCCTCCAATATCTCATAAACCATATAGTTTTACTCATAAACCATAACTAGATATGGATATGGCTTTTACGCACGTATGTTTCTGGACGCTACTCACGTTCATGTTGACATGGACGGTGTTCTACGTCACAAACAGGAGCAAGAAGGCGACGAAGTCTGAAGATGCGGCGCCTGAGGAGCGAAAAGACGGTGCTACCGACGTCCTTATCGTCGGGGCTGGTGTGGGCGGCTCGGCTCTCGCATATGCTCTTGCTAAGGTATTTAACTTGATTGTTGTGTGTTTTGTATGAATTATAAGATAATATATACGCAATATGTGATTGTTGTTGTTTTGCATGATATATACTTATTGTAATATTTTGGGTTGGGACGAACAACCTTATGCTAATGAATTTTCGATTATATATATATAGGACGGGCGTCGAGTACATGTGATAGAGAGGGACATGAAAGAACCAGAGAGAATGATGGGTGAGTTTATGCAGCCTGGAGGACGACTCATGCTTTTTAAGCTTGGGCTTCAAGGTCTGTTCTCTCTTTCTCTTTCCTTTATGTAAGTAAATCAAGAAAGCCATATTGTCATTTAGTTAATCATGATCAACTTTGTGGGTTTATATACGTATATATAGATTGTTTAGAGGGAATAGATGCACAGAGAGCCACCGGGTTTGCAGTTTATAAAGATGGCAAAGAGGCAGTGGCACCTTTTCCGGTGGAAAGTAACAACTTTTCTTATGAACCTTCTGCTCGAATATTTCACAATGGCCGATTCGTCCAACGTCTACGCCAAAAGGCTTCATCTCTTCCCAAGTACGTCTCTATATATTATGTTCACTAAATTTTGACACTATATATCATATATATGTGTTGAGAAATTTTGTTATTATTCATTAAATCTGATGGAGAACCAAAGTAACCTAGAGATGAAAACTATAATAGTGTTTTGTTTGAGAACATTTTTTGTGTATCTCCCTTTTTTCTATTTTTTTAACAGATAAACGTTTTAAGATCTCACCATAGAACTGGTATAAGACCATTTTAAGGGGGTATTTTAGAGCAATATTTTCATTAATAAAATATCTTATATTTTCTCCATTAAAGAAAACATTGCTCTAAAATACTCTCCTATTAAAAATGTCCTAGAGAAAAAAAAATATATCTCACCGATATAATACTTTTTGGTTTTTATTGATTTACACAAAGCAAAAAACTAAACAAAATGGCTTGGTAAAGACTCAATTTTTCCTTGACCCAATTTTTCTTTGACTTGGGGTTGACGAAGAACTCTTAACAAAAATAAAAGGAAAAATAATCTAAAACTCACTAACTTGTATTAACATATAAATCGTGTGTTACACATAATTTAAAACGAAACCAGAATGTTCCCCTGATCTGGTAAGCTACATCATGAGAATCTGATAATCTATTATTTGCCATAGCATGTGGGTCTAAATCGATAAATTTCATCATCATATTCTATTTTCTATTACCTAAAATATATATACAAAATCCAACTAGAAATCGTTAATTAGTAAGCTTTGATTATCCTCTTACTAATTGGCAGTGTGAGGCTCGAAGAAGGAACGGTGAAGTCTTTGATAGAAGAAAAAGGAGTTATCAAAGGAGTGACATACAAAAATAAAGAAGGCGAAGAAACAACAGCCTTTGCACCTCTTACTGTGGTATGCGATGGTTGCTACTCAAACCTTCGTCGTTCTCTTAGCGACAACAATGTAAGTATACTCTTTTAAACGAAAAGACTTCAAACTTCTCCATTACTCAAATCGTTGAGATGATGGTACTCACTATATATATGGTACACTGATTCACTTAATAAGCATCAATGTACTAAATAATTTGATATAGGAGGAGGTTTTATCTTACCTAGTAGGTTACATCTCAAATAATTGTCAGCTTGAGGAACCCGAAAACTTGCACTTGGTATTGTGTAAACCCTCGTTCGCCATGTTGTATCAAATAAGCAGCACTGAGGTTCGTTGTGGGTTTGAGCTTTTCCCCGACAATTTTCCTTCTATTGCAAACGGCGAGATGGAAACTTTCATGAAGAACAATATAGCTCCTCAGGTACGAACGCAATGGGCTGATTCATCTTTGATCAATAAAAAGAAAAAGAAAGAACTAAACATAGAAATATATAATATGTTATACTAGTACATAGACACCATTCTAACATTTGTAAGAAGTCCCATATATAACTCTATATACGTTTGACATTATAATCTTAGACTTATTTTGCAGGTACCTCCAAAACTTCGTATAATCATTAAGTCCTTTTATAGTATCCGCAAGGTGAGCCTACGTCACATACTAATTAATATATGAAAATTCCAAATTTCTAAACTTGTTACCAACTTCACATAATTATACTTAAAAATGAATGTTTTTGTATGGTGAAGCCAATGTCAGCGACAGTGAACATATTAGGAAACGCATTTTCTCAAGCACTAGTTGCATCAACGGACGAAGCCAAAGAGGCAATGAGACAAGGTTGCTATGATTACCTCACTAGTGGCGGGTTTCGCACGTCAGGGATGATGGCTTTGCTCGGCGGCATGAATCCTCGTCCGCTCTCTCTCATCTATCATCTTTGTGCTATCACTTTATCCTCCACTGCCCATCTGCTCTCTCCATTTCCCTCTCCCCTTCGCATTTGGCATAGCCTTAGGCTTTTTGGTGTAAGTCATTAATTTCATCTCTTTTTATATCATATTATTTCTATAATATGTATATTTTTAGTAACACTCTTTTTTAGTTTACAATCACTATTCGACATTATATACATATATATATTTTGTTGATGTATGTTCTGTGTGAATCACTAGTTGGCTATGAAAATGTTGGTTCCCCATCTCAAGGCTGAAGGAGTTACCCATATGTTGTTTCCAGCAAATGCAGCCGCGTATCGCAAAAGATATATGGCCGCAGCAACTGCTCTCTAAACATTGAGGCATATATTGAGCACCAATCTTAGTGATTGTGCATTTGTCAAAATTGTAATGCAGTTTAATAAGAACATTGAACACCAATCTTAGTGATTGTGCATTTGTCAAAACTGTAATGCAGTTTAATAAGAACATTGAACACCAATCTTTAGTGATTGTGCATCTTCGAAGCATCGCATTAATTGGTAATGCCTAGATCCACCTACTGTATTAGACGAGTCTTTAATTGCGTTAAATTGTCCATCTAGAGCCATAATTTTGCAAAGAATATACTATTAGACGAGTCTTTAATATGCCTCTATTTAATAGTTTTATGAATTTTAAATTAAAGGTAAAATTAGGATTTTAGTGTAAAAGATGCGTTGACAATATAAAATAACATTTTTTATTAAACAAAAATAAAATCTAGAATAACCACTTTTTGTGAAACAGAAGAAGTACTAAGATTAAGTTTTCAAGAAAGAAAGAAAAAGAGTATTAATCTCCTTTTTTTTTAAATGCTCTGTTTTTGTGTACTCTATTAAATTTATACCCAGAGAAAACAAGTCCAATTGTTGACAAAAAAAAGATCCAATTATAGAAATGACTAAATATAGTTGGTGGAATATTATGTGATTTCTCATAAATAATAGTGTGTACCTATTTCTATATAGTATACATGCAAGATGTTTTGTTTTGTCCCAAAAAACAAAAAATTAAAAACATGTAAGATGTAAAACATGTATGTTTACTGTATGGAAGAGTTTGGGGGAGTATAGGAATATATGTTACTTTTATTTCCCTGTATATTTGTTTGTAACATCGTGTATATAAAACACGTGCAAAACAAATTAAAGAAGCATTACAATCAAAGATTAATCTATCATCTCCGCATAATTCTTATACTAATTTATCTTAAGACTAATTTTTAGTTTATTAAAAAACTTTTGTATGTTGGAAGGTTACTTTTAGTTTTAAACTATTTTATAACTTATAACACACATGCAACTCGAAAATTAAACTGCACTATAATGCTTAATTAGTTTTATATATATATTCCATTATGTTAAACTTTTTATGAACACATTTCGAAAATCAAAAAAGATTATCTTATAGGTTTGACTTTGGGTTGTCAATGATTTAATCATTCCGCGTTCAAACATATCATTCTGTATAAAGGTACTTATATTATAAAGTTATGTATATATAACACTAAATATATGAATACATATATGTATAAGATATCATTTCAGTTAAATTACTCAAGGGTGGTTCGATGTTTCCAGATTTTTCTTTGATGTCTCTCAGCCATAAATAAAAGATGGAGGAAATTAATTGTTTTATTTTATCTTTGCCGATGTTGTGGACTGATTGCTACATGTAGCGTTACTATTTTTTAATTAGTCACTCAACAGTATCAAAGGTATCAATAATTTGAATGCTACATTGAAGTCGCTTGCTCTATATACTAACAAAATCATTAACTAGGGTGGCCCGTGGCTTTGTGTTTGTATCTGAAATATAAATATCGTTTGTAAACTCCAACGTAGACAGCTCATAAATCATTACAGTTGTGTGGACAACAGAACATTTCAATTTATTGCTTTCAAACAATATCGATATATATCAAAAGTTAACATGTGGTGACGCCACGTCCAAACTGACGTATCTTTGCATTATATAATCTAAAACCATTCTAAGAAGCAAGCTCATATATCATAGTTATAGTCTGATAGATATGGATATGGCTTTTACGCACATTTGTTTATGGACATTACTCGTCTTCCCTATAACGTGGACTGTGTTCTACTTTACAAACAAGAAAAAGAAGCCGACCGTGGAGATGGCGGATGCGACAGCAGAGAAGAGAAGAGACGGTGCTGCCGATGTCATCATCGTTGGAGCTGGTGTCGGCGGCTCGGCTCTCGCATATGCTCTTGCTAAGGTATTTAACTTGATTGTTGTTTTCTTGTTTAATAAATGTGCATGAATGAATAAGATAATAACTATATACACTATGATTATTGTTATTTTGCATAATATATTTCTGTTGCCATATTTTGGGTTGTGACAACAATCTTCCGAGTAGTCAATTTTTTAAATAAGAAAATACTACTGTTAATTATAATCTTTCTTTATTACGGCCAAGTTTGTAAGATACTATTTATAATGTATCAAATTAAAGTTCTTACGGAGTCCAATCCAAAATCTATTTGAAGAATTTAAAAATTTAATGTGTGTGACTGTGAAAACATTTTAAAGATATATACTAGACTTATAAAGCATATTTTTATTTTATTTTGTATGATTGATTTGTAGTTTCTAGAGATAAAAAGTAAAATTGTAAAAATTGACGACTAGAGATTTTTTTTTTTTTTGTACAAAATCATGTTTTCAGAGTGATCCTCGATACGCTTTTGCATAATAATTTTACAGCAATATTTTGGGTTGGGACGAACAACCTTATGCTAACTAATTTTTGATTAATAGGACGGGCGTCGAGTACATGTGATAGAGAGGGACATGAGAGAACCAGAGAGAATGATGGGTGAGTTTATGCAACCTGGAGGACGACTCATGCTTTCTAAGCTTGGCCTTCAAGGTCTGTTCTCTCTTTCACATTCATAAACATTTACATTTCTTTTCTTATTTTTTATCAGAGAATCTACACCAAATTCATACTAATATTCCAAACTTGTGGAAATTCTATATTCTTGTCATTTAAGGCGTTCATTGTGGCCAACCATGATTGTAACTTCTAGTATAATTTGAACTATGGGATTCTAAACCTTAATGAATGCACTAACTCTTGAACCACCATAAAATTGGTACACATATTGACGTTTATAAACGTATATGAATCAAAAAGACATATTTTGTCTTAGTTTCGTGACCGAACTTGTGTGTTTATATATATATATATATATATATATAGATTGCCTAGATGGTATAGATGCCCAAAAAGCAACGGGCATGGCAGTTTATAAGGATGGAAAAAACGCAATCGCATCTTTTCCGGTGGACAACAACTTTCCTTATGATCCTTCTGCTCGGTTTTTTCACAATGGCCGATTTGTCCAACGACTGCGGCAAAAGGCTTCTTCTCTTCCTAAGTACGTAGCTCTCTCTCTCCCTGTTCACCCGATCATATATACATTAAAAAGAAATGTTAAGATATATCTAGTATTAGAATCAGGTTGATCCAAAATAAGTATACATGTGGAAATGATCTATTGAGTGAACAAAAAAAATATAAACCTGATTCATATCCAATTAATGGATGCTAATAAATTTTGATAAATTTTCACCCCAAAAAAATCGATAAAATGAACTTTTTCTATAAAATAAAACTTTATAAGAACTGAACTATGAATAAGTCCTTAATTATTCTCTGATTAATTAGCTAGGTGGTAGGTCCTCCAAACGTCCAAATTAACTCCTAAATTAATTAGTTAGGTGCCCTTTAAACGTCAAATTAATTCCTAATAAAATTTTAATATTAGAAAATACTACTAAACTTGACAAATAGCAATTATTTTTTTTTTTTTTTTTTTGTATATGATTGGTAGTGTGCGGCTCGAAGAAGGAACGGTGAAGTCATTAATAGAAGAAGAAGGAGTTATCAAAGGAGTGACATATAAGAATAAAGCAGGCGAAGAAACAACAGCCTTGGCACCTCTCACTGTCGTATGCGACGGTTGTTATTCAAACCTTCGCCGGTCTCTTAACGACAACAGTGTAAGTATACGTTAATGACATTTTAAATTGATGTTACTGATCAGTTTGATTTAGTCTTTTTAGTTAATCAATGTATTATATTAACTTCATATATAGGCGGCTGTTCTGTCTTACCAAGTTGGTTACATCACAAAAAATTGCCGGCTTGAAGATCCAGAAAACCTTCACTTGATAATGACTAAACCCTCCTACATCATATTGTATCAAATAAGCAGCACCGATGTTCGTTGTGGTTTCGAGCTTTTCCCCGACAATTTTCCTTCTATTGCAAAAGGTGAAATGGCTACTTTTGTAAAGAACAACCTTGCTCCTGAGGTAAGTGTTGGGCTGATTAATGAAAAAACAGGAACTAAACATATATTGATTAAGTTGTTCATACTGGTACATAGATATAGTCTATATAAGTCATACAATACGCATATTGTAAAAGGTCCATATATAACTTCGTGCACAATATGTTAGTAACACCGGTTTACACTTTGTTTAAAGGTACCTCCAAAACTTCGCGAAATATTTTTGAAAGGTTTAGATGAGGGAGCACACATAAAAGTTGTGCCAGCGAAGTGCATGTCAGCTACTTTAAGCAAGAAAAAAGGGGTGATTGTGTTGGGAGATGCATTCAACATGCGTCATCCATCAGTCGCGGCTGGAATGATGGTTTTATTTTCTGATATTCTCATTCTACGTCGTCTTCTCCAGCCACTAAGCAACCTTGGTGATGCTAACAAAGTCTCCGAAGTCATTAAGTCCTTTTATAGTATCCGCAAGGTGAGCCTACGTCACATACTAATTAATATATGAACATTCCAAATTTCTAAACTTGTTACCAACTTCACATAATTATACTTAAAAATGAATGTTTTTGTATGGTGAAGCCAATGTCAGCGACAGTGAACATATTAGGAAACGCATTTTCTCAAGCACTAGTTGCATCGACGGACGAAGCAAAAGAGGCAATGAGACAAGGTTGCTATGATTACCTCACTAGTGGCGGGTTTCGCACGTCAGGTCTGATGGCTCTACTCGGCGGCATGAATCCTCGTCCACTATCTCTCATCTATCATCTTTGTGCTATCACTCTACATTCCATTGGCCATCTTCTTTCTCCATTTCCTTATCCCCTTCGCATTTGGCATAGCCTCAGGCTTTTTGGTGTAAGTCATTATATCTATAGCTCTCTTATATTTCGAAAACAAAATTTTGACGCTCTTTTTGGCTATCTTTATTATACTTTTGACACTGATCATTTCGTTTTCAATTGTATGTTTTATGTGAATCACTAGTTGTCTATGAAAATGTTGGTTCCTCATCTCAAGGCTGAGGGAGTTAGCCCAATATTATTTCCAGCAAGCGCAGCAGCATATCGCAAAAGCTATATGGCAACCACCGCTCTTTAAACACCGATCCTCTAAGCAGCTAATAAATATACCATATATGGAGCACAAATCTTTTTAAAATTTTACTAATTTGTTGAAATTATATAGCATATATTGCTTGTATCTAAAAATATTGTCTCCATGAAGGCATGAAGTCTTACTGTAGCTGTCTCAATAATTGATGAACTGATGTGGTGAGGTTTATGTTGTCATATTCATATAAAGCAGCCAAAAAGAGTTAAGTCTAGCTCGTCTCTATTCATCTATATATAAACAAAAATAAGATGCAGCGTTTAACGATGAATGACATATTTCACTGGCCTTAAACTATCGTTTAGGTCCAATGCAGAGAAAGACAAAGCCCAGCGTTAGTGTTATTTGAGTTATTAATTTTTCTATTTGGGAATGTGATTATGAAGTATTATGAACTTTATTAATTATCGTTATACTACAAAAGAATACGCTGAGATACGTTTATATATATCTACGTCACAATCTAAATTAACCGATTTAAATTTCTTTGAAAACATGAAATTTGCCGTCGTTTTGTAAACCGATTGCAATTTCATCTAGACTGATCATTTCACTATTTATACTTTTTCCTTTGATGATTTTTGAAAAGATGTATAAAGTAAACGTCGCTCACACCTTATTACGACGGTTTTGAAAGTGATGCTGTTTGGTTTAAATCGGTTTAGTATCGACGTCAAGCAACATGTTTTTTGTGGTTATTATATAAGCATGAGAAACGTTGGGTTTTTTTTGTTTTTTTCTTTTTTGGTTAAAGAGAAACGTTAGTTACCTAATTGTAGTACGTAGCATTTCGCTGGTCACTCGAATAGGTATTCATTGTCATTTTCGTATATTGATAAAACTATATTAAAAAATAATAACTTGTGTATTTTCTAAGTTGTCTTCTATCTTTAAATTCGTGTTTAAAACTATTGACCCCATAAAAGTCATAATCATATAAGTATGTACGTAACCTCTAGGTTCTCTGTAAACATCATCTTTTTTAGAGGTAAAAGAAAAAGAAAAAAAAGCAGCGTCAGTAATGAAAAATTGATTTGTGTCGCATAATAAATTGGTTGAATATATTTAAAATGGAAGTATAAGTAGAGTTAGATTAGATAGATACGTACCTAAGAATCCAATTCGGTACGTCTCCATAATCAAAATCAGTGGCCAGCTTTAGCTTAACGCCTATAGACTAACTTAAATCATCATTTAAGAGTATAAATAATTTGAGTAGTACTTTTTATTTTATTGTTTCTAAATAGAAACATATTCATGAACTTGGGTGGACAGTACTATATATTTTGTCTGTATCTAACAATGAAATATCGTTTGTAACTTTGTGTATGTCGTCGCTCGTAAATGATAACGAAATATGTGGACAACATAAAAGATCAATTTATTGCTTTCTAAAATTATTATGATATTTTAGCATGTGGTGATACTACGTTCAAACTCACATATCTTTGCATTATATATATGTTACTCGTATTTTCTCAATTTTCTCATAAACCACATATTGAGAACTAATAGATATGGACATGGCTTTCACACACGTTTCTGTATGGACGCTACTCGCCTTCGTGCTGACATGGACCGTCTTCTACTTCACAAACAGGAAAAACAAGGGGACGAAGTTAGCCGAGACGGTGGTGGAAGAGCGTAAGGACGGTGCTACTGATGTTATCATCGTTGGGGCTGGAGTTGGCGGCTCGGCTCTTGCATATGCTCTTGCAAAGGTAATTAACTTGATTGTCGTTTTTTTTGTATGAATGCTAAGATAATAACTGTACATACACAATATATGATTGTTGTTGTTTTGTCTAATATATTTCTATTGCAATAATTTCGGGTTCGGACATAAAACACAAATATCCTACATCGAAAGTTGGACTGCATCATGACTAGTATATAAGATATATTTCTAACTACTAATGGTCAATTGGTTTTAAGTTGGAAGTTTATAGTCTATTACATAACGCTAAATAATTTTCGATTATATATAGGACGGGCGTCGAGTACATGTAATAGAGAGGGACATGAGAGAACCAGAGAGAATGATGGGTGAATATATGCAACCAGGAGGACGACTCATGCTTTCTAAACTTGGCCTTGAAGGTTTGTCTATGTTTCAGTAGTTCATTTATCTAATTGATTTTTTTTTTAAAATTTCAGATTGTGTTTTAGTATAATGATCAAATTGTGTGCGTCTATATATGTATAGATTGTTTGGAGGGAATAGATGCACAGATTGCTACGGGCATGACACTTTATAAGGATGGAAAAGAAACGAACGCATCTTATCCGGTGGAAAACAACAACTTTCTTTATGAACCTTCTGCTCGATCTTTCTACAATGGCCGATTCGTCCAACGACTGCGCCAAAAGGCTTCTTCTCTTCCCAAGTACGTCCCTGAATTATAAAATTAAAAACATGAAACCACTCTATATTTAATGTTATCTATTTGTTTGAGATGGGAAATAAGGAATTTGATATACATATGTAGAAATTATATCTATATTGGTAACTGATTATACGATAAAATAGTAACTTTATTGCCAATTAACATAGAGATGATGGTTAATAAGTTTTGATAAGATATATTATTTTCTATAAATTTTGTGAAATCCAACTGAGTTTTCAGGATAATGTTTTTTTCTTTCTAAATACTAATATTTGCAACGAAATGATTAATTTTGGTCGACCCCATAAATATATTTATTAAATAATGAAAAAAATCTATTATTAAATAGATATATTTACATGATACTTTTTAATATATTGATGGATAAATATAATTTTTTGGTCGGGAAAAATGGCATATTGATGAATAAACATGAAGCAATAATAAGAAGAAAAAAATCTTTCAGTTAAACACTTTATAAACTTTTGAACATTAGACACAACAAACAAGTAAGCTCGGCAATAACAATTAATGGTTAATCTTTACACCAAACATTGATTGATTGGTAGTGTGCGGCTCGAAGAAGGAACGGTGAAGTCTTTGATAGAAGACAAAGGAGTTATCAAAGGAGTGACATACAAAAATAGCGCAGGCGAAGAAACAACAGCCCTTGCACCTCTGACTGTGGTATGCGACGGCTGCTACTCAAATCTTCGTCGGTCACTTAACGACAACAATGTGAGTATATATGCTCTTTTATTTGTAAAGTCTCTCTATATATATACACACTTAGAAGTGATGTTACTATTAGTTAATAAGCATCAATATACTAACTTGATGTAGGCGGAGGTTCGCTCATACCAAGTTGGTTACATTATAAAGAACTGTCAGCTTGAAGAGCCCGACAAAGTAAACTTGATAATGTCTAAACCCTCCTTCACCATGTTGTATCATGTCGGCAGCACCGACGTTCGTTGTGTTTTTGAGCTTTTCCCCGACAATGTTCCTTCTATTTCAAAGGGGGACATGGCTACCTTCGTGAGGAACACTATTGCTCCTCAGGTACACATCGGACTGATTAATCTTAATTCAATAATAATTTTTGTTTTTCAAACATAGGTTGATGTACATAGATAAAGTCACATATTCTAACATTTTAAAGAAGTCCATGAAGATAATATACATCTAAAATCTTTTAACAATTATTTTCTAGGTACCTTCAAAACTCCGCAAAATACTTTTGAAAGGGATCGATGAAGGAGCAAACATAAAAGCTGTGCCAACAAAGAGCATGTCAGCTACTTTGAGCGAGAAGAAAGGAGTGTTTGTATTGGGAGATGCATTCAACATGCGTCATCCAGCAATCGCATCTGGAATGATGGTTGTACTGTCCGACGTTCTCATTCTACGCGGTCTTCTCCAGCCATTAAGAAACCTCGGCGATGCAAACAAAGTCTCAGAAGTTATCAAGTCCTTTTATGATATCCGCAAGGTGAGCATATGTCACATACTAATTCAAAACATATTAACAACCTTAAAAGCTAAGTTTTGATATTAAAAATACATTATTTTATCATGGTGAAGCCAATGTCAGCGACGGTTAACACACTAGGAAATGCATTTTCTCAAGTGCTAACGGCATCGACGGACGAAGCAAAAGAGGCAATGAGACAAGGTTGCTATGATTACCTCTCTAGTGGCGGGTTTCGCACTTCAGGCATGTTGGCTCTGCTCGGCGGCATGAATCCTCGTCCCATATCTCTCATCTATCATCTTTGTGCTATCACTTTATTCTCCATTGGTCATCTTCTCTCTCCATTTCCCTCTCCCACTGGCATTTGGCATAGTCTCCGACTCTTTGGTGTAAGTCATTAATTTGTCTACACAATTTGTTTTTGGTTTTATTATTACTATTTGACATTGATATATCTTTGTTTTGTTTATGTCTGTTTTATGTGATACACTAGCTGTCCATGCAAATGTTGGTTCCCCACCTCAAAGCTGAAGGAGTTACCCAAATGCTGTTTCCGGTTAACGCAGCTTCGTATCGCAAAAGCTATATGGCCGCAACCGCTCTCTAGAGTACAGATCCTTTAAACCGGAAAATAAAAACACGTATAAAGCACAGTATTTGTGACTGCATTTATGTCTTTCAATAAATAAAACGAGTTTTTCGTACTATTGAATGTTAACTTGTACGTGCAATTAGTGACTTCAAAATATTTAATCTATTTAATATATGTTGTATATCATTTATAATTTGCAAGAAACCATATAGATAAATAAATATTAAAATTTACGTTTATAATTATTGTAGAACATTCCACCTATTTGGCCGATCAATCGAAGCATAATTTTTTAATAAGTTTGTGGTTGACAAAAAAAATATCGTAGAACTATTTTTTTTTGGTCGTCGTAGAACAATTTATACATCATTTTTAATTATTTTTGTGTTAAAAATGCAACACTTTTTTTTTTTTGTTAAAGGGTTTAATAAAAATGCAACACTATAACGATGAATGACATAACTCATCATTAGCCTTTAAATTACCTTTAGGGTTAGGCAAAGATAAGACCATTCTACCTTTACCATGTCGGTTTTGGAGTTGTTGTGATTGTTTCTGTTTTTTTTTTTTTAAGAGTGATTAAGAAGTTTAACGTAACTATCAAACTTATACAAAAGTCATTAATTTACACAAACGTTCTTCAACCAGAATAAAAATTTTAGAACTAAAATAATTTAATAATTGATGGAAATACTCTATGTAAAAGTTGTGTAATTAAGAAACTTACTTACATTTGATAACATCTTAGTGAGTAGTGACGGACGGTCCCTAATCCCTATAATTGACGTACGATTACGAAGTATGTGGTAAGGTTTGTATTGTCGTGTTCATGGGATAGCTATAGCAGCCAAAAACAAGAGTTCAAAGATCTGGTCTCCAACTCTCCATACGTTTCCCATTTAGATCAGAGTTCGTGGTTTTTGCTTAGACTCATTCATGTTCCCACTCCCCATAATTTCTGGTAAATTATTCTTCCATTTTTTTATTTTATTCTTCCATATTTTTATTTGAAAAAAGAATTCCTCCATTTTCAAGATATTAACAAATTGAAAATGAGACAATATATGTATCGATTTTTATTTTTCTTAAGTTTTGATTGAAATCAAATAGAGACAGATGCATGTGAGGATGAGTAACATCATTCATTGGCCTTCAAATAATCTTTGAAGTCGACCTTTGATGTTATGCATATAAAGACAAAACTACCTTTACCGGCCTCTCATGGATGATGTGAGATTCGATTGTGGTTCTAAAAATAGTTCTTTATAAGATATATATTTTCTAGTTATTATTTTTCTTATATTTAGATAATTACATTTTTTTCTATGCAGAAATCGCGTTAAAATGTATAGAGAAAACAAGGATGAATGTAAACCGTAAACAAAGATAGTCTAAAAAAAGTCTGTTCACTATTTCCCTATCTTTTAATCTTATCAAAATTACATGTTATTGTTTTCAGTAAATTTGTGAACTTCTTCAAAGTAGCCTTTTTATTTTAAATAATAAATATCATGACGGAAAAAAGAGTTTTAATAAATAACAAATATACATATACACACACATATATATATATATATAATATTAATAAAACTATTATATCACACTTTTTCTTGTAGATGTCCTATATGTTTATCATTAGGAGCCTACTTATTGTGGTAAGGAGTGTTGACATACGCGGCCGATTTTGGTTAATCTCTGATATCTTCCCTTGTAATATATCCAGCTATAATAATTATTTTAACGTAACCATACGCATTATAATATGATTATCTAACTCATTTAGTCAACTAGAATAATCGAGATATATAGATAGTCCGGCGCCATACGATATTTATTTTTTTCTATTTTAAGCAATTATTATGCTCAATCAAACTAACTCTGATGCAATTATATAAATCACAACATGTCAGCAGATCTATAGTACACTTCTGAATTCTTATTATAATTACGAAAAAATAGTTAATTAAATGATCTGTTATGACGAAGACTACTCACTTATTGACATTCATGACATGTATACGTGTTTTTTATTAGTTTAATCAGCAGAATCGAATATATGAATTACTTCGATTTATGGTAGATATAGTCATGCAGACGACTTGGCCATGCTTTTCCAAAACTAAAGTTCGTGGTCGAATTTTTACAGGCACTTGACAAAAGCATCAAATTTTTTTTATCATTTATTATATATACGATTCTTAAATATTTTTTATTGTAATGATAAATTTATCCATATTCCAACTAATTCATCTATAGTATATGCATATTATAATGGACTGGTTTTAAAGAACTAAACCATATTTTCAACATTTGTATATATTAATAGTTTACTTTTCTCCAAATTCGAGAATTCGTGTTTTTAGTTCTAATCAAAATTTTATCCGCCATTAGAATGTATTTTCCATGTAAACATGAAATTGCAATATGAGACCAAAGAATTCAAGTACTAGCTAGGTCGACGGAGTCACGGAGTACTTAACAATACCTAAGTTTTTCCAGCACTACTTATTATGATTTGCTGTTTTTATTTATTTTATTTATATTTTCCTAAATTAAAAAAAAAAAAAGGAAAACAATCCGTTGTCAATTCTCTAAATTTTTCTATATTTTTTTTGTCAACGGAGATGAGATTATTAATGAATAAATGATTTATTAACTATTTTCTTATTAAGACAGGTGGTTTACAAATATCATGTGAATGTGATGTGATCATGTCCCCCTTTATACCTAACTGTATCTATATTGATTTGCCAAGCTGTAGAACTAATTTATCGCATATATTTGTTTTTGTTAAAGGGTTTATTACATAATTTTATTTGTTTGGCACTTTGGGGGTTTTAATTTCCTATTTAAGGATATCACTTAAGGGACCAAGACACAACTATCATATTACTAATTAAGTGGTAATGGCGACGACATACGCGTGGTTATGGACGCTTCTCGCTTTTGTTCTGACATGGATAGTTTTTCACGTTCTCAAGACGAAGAAGGCGGCAACCGAAGAGGCAGAGACAGAGGCAGAGGAGAGAAGAGATGGTGCCACTGATGTCATCATTGTTGGGGCGGGTATCGCAGGCGCTTCTCTTGCCTATGCTCTTGCCAAGGTATATATACTTGTGCATGTGATGGTTTTGCGTAAGTTGGTCGGTTTGTTTTTGTAACGAGGAAGTTTAAATCAGCCATGCTAAGTGCTAACTGGAGCGATCAGTAATGCTTATTTTTAGTTTTAAATATATGTTGATGTTTTGAGCCCTAAATAGCTGACTAAACTAGGTTTTATTAGGGTAAATTATTTTCAAAAAAAAAAAAAGTATACGGATGCAGAAATGTTCATTTGTATTGACAAGATTAAGAAAACATGTTAATTTGCAATCTTCATCTTAATTGCTAATTTAATTTGGATGTTATATGTATTTAATTTGAATTTGTGGACGCAGGATGGACGAAGAGTACATGTGATAGAGAGGGACTTGAAAGAGCCACAAAGATTTATGGGAGAGCTAATGCAAGCGGGAGGCCGCTTCATGTTAGCCCAGCTTGGCCTCGAAGGTCTCTCTCTTCACTTCCTCTTTACGTTCATTGATTGATCTTGTTGCCAAAAGGCAAAAGCGCATATACACATATGTTATGTATCGTTTAATATGTGATCAATTTTGGTTTTTTATATGTATTAGATTGTTTAGAGGAGATAGATGCTCAAGAAGTCAAGGCCTTGGCCGTTTACAAGGATGGAAAACACGCGACTTCGCCTTTCCCAAATGACAAGAGGTTTCCTCTTGAACCAGTCGGTAGACTTTTACGTAATGGTCGTTTCGTACAACGTCTACGCCAAAAAGCAGCTTCTCTTACCAAGTACGTTACTTCTCTTTTTTGTATCTAGGAGATTTCTAACCAAAATTAATAATCAAGACTGTTTTTTTGGTCAAGATCATTCATCATACAAAACCTCGTATCAGTACGTACGTAATATTTTGTAGGCTAGTAGTACATGGCAATATATAGTTGATATACGTTTGTTGAACTTTGTTATATGATTGCAATGTTTTAGCTAGGACCTAGGAATCGTGCAGTAGCAAAATATGTATATCATGGTTCCTTTACCCGGATATAATTGTTTTAAAACTAATATATGTCAAAGTTTTTACCAACTCTCATTACGTACTTTCAGTTTTCAAAACACCTTTCTTTAACAATTTTTTTTCTTTCTAATGAGCTCTCATGTATTTCATGGTTTTTTCAGCTCAAAATTAATTTAAAGAAAAACGAGTAAAACAATATTACGACTTTTATATATATATACTAGATTTCAGTTTCATCTTCTTACTATAATGCAATGAGCCTTGGCAGCGTCCAATTAGAAGAAGGAACGGTGAAGTCTTTAATAGAAGAAAATGGAATTGTTAAAGGAGTTACATACAAGAACAGCGCAGGCCAGGAAATAACGGCCTTTGCACCTCTCACTGTGGTATGCGATGGTTGCTATTCAAACCTTCGTCGGTCACTCGTGGATAATAATACTGTGAGTTCTGTAGATACTTATCTTTCAACTACAATGAGATTGGTCTCGTCGTTAACTAGAGTTTGAGGATCATGATCATATATTTATATATAGGAGGAAGTTCTCTCGTACATGGTGGGTTATGTCACGAAGAATAGCCGACTTGAAGATCCACATAGTCTACATATGATATTTTCTAAACCTATGCTCTGTGTCATCTATCAAATAACGAGTGATGAAGTTCGTTGTGTTGCCGAAATTCCCGCTGATAGTATCCCTTCTATCGCGAATGGCGACATGTCTACCTACCTCAAGAAAACTATGGCTCCTCAGGTACGTACCAAAGTATTGATATGTTTAAATATTTGCAAGGTATTCATAAGAACTTGACTTTATTTCAAGTATTGTATAGTTTAGTTTGTATCATTGATCTCTATTGTGTTGTAGATACCCGAACATGGAAAACTACGCGAGACATTTCTTAAAGGGATAGAGGAAGGACTACTAGAGATGAAAACAACAGCGACAAAGAGAATGTCATCGAAAATGTGTGATAAGAGAGGAGTGATTGTGTTGGGAGATGCATTCAATATGCGTCATCCTATAATTGCGTCAGGGATGTTGGTTGCACTCTCGGACATTTGCATTCTACGCAATCTTCTTAGACCATTGGCTAACCTCGGCAATACTAAGAAGGTCTCAGATCTTGTCAAGTCCTTTTACATCATCCGCAAGGTGAGTTATGACATACTTAATTTTTACTAGAGAAGTACATAACTTTGGTTTTGAGTAACTCGAATATTTCCCATAACAATGTTGTGTTAGACTCACTAGTAGTATGACACTTACTTTTTGGTTGTGTTGATTATTTTGGATGGCCAAAAGCCAATGTCAGCGACCGTGAACACGCTGGCGAGTATATTTTCACAAGCGCTTGTTGCTACAACGGACGAAGCAAGAGAGGGAATGCGACAAGGCTGCTACACTTACCTATCTCGTGGAGATTTTGGAACAACCGGAATGATGACTATTCTAGGAGGCATGAACCCTCATCCCCTTACTCTAGTCTTTCATCTTGTAGGCATCACCCTCACCTCCATGGGCCACTTGCTCTATCCCTTTCCTTCGCCTCGTCGCCTTTGGCAAAGCCTCAGACTTTTGGCCGTATGACTTTCTGTTTTCTTGGCTATTTTTACACACATATACAAATTCTGTTTGAAACTTTTTCTTTATGATGGCTTTTTCATGTGAATCAACAGTGGGCGTTGCAAATGTTGGGTTTTCATTTAGTGGATGAAGGCTTCAAGGAGATGTTGATTCCAACAAACGCAGCTGCTTATCGAAGAACCTATATGGCCAAAGCCACTGCTTGACCACTGATTGATCGATTCATATTTACTCTTTTGAGAGAAAATAAATAAATACTTGAATTTTCAAGGAATTGGGTCTATGCCAAGTTGAATCTATGATATAATTTCTCTATTGATATTACCTTGTAACCAAACATGAAAATGTTCCATGCTGATTTGGTATACTCTATATATCTGTTGATTCTTGATTTTTCTTTATGAATTCACTGATCCAGTACCTCTATATTTGAAAGTATTATGTATTTGCTAACCCATTTCAGTATTCATAAAGGGCCAAAAAAGGACACTAATCATAGTATCCGTAGAACGGCAAAATCTGTGGTCTCTGCTCATAAAAACGAATATGGAGTACAAAAACAACATTTAAACATGACTTATCTTCCTCAGCTCTGTCCGACTAGAACATCCTTGTAAGGTGTCGGAGAAGATCTCACCACGGTATCTGCACCTCCCACTTCAGCCTTGGAAGTTATATGGTTCCGTGGTTTAGCTCTACAAGCTTCGTCAGCTTCCATTTTCCTTATTCTTTCCTCTTCAACAACAAGAGGGAGATATCCTTCTCTCTCTTCAAGAAGTCGGTCTTGTGCTCCGCCTCGTAGTTTCTCGAGGCGAATCCCAGTGATCTGAACGAAGTTAAAAACCTTAACAACGTTCATCAATCCTCCCACAAACAAACATATTGCACCGGAAATCCCAAGCCAGATCCATCTTTCCCCCTGAAAAAATTATTATTTATCATAAGAAGAAGCGGTTTTCGAAAACCCGTTGTTAGTTATGCAGTAAATTTGTTTTTTAACTACTTACAAGAAGCTTCAAGCCACTATGTGATGACTCGGATAGGTCGATGCTGTTGAGAACTGCGGAAACCAAGAATAAAAGGGATCCAACCAAGAAAGGGATGTGAACACACTGTTGTAGAATTTGAACATGACTGTCTGCTCTCTCGTAGATTTGGCATGAGTTGTGAATCGATCCTATCACCCAAAGCAACGGACCAGCAATAAGCATGTTTAATATGTGCTTCTCTTTTCCACTGTGTCCAAGTTTTTTCTCTGCCTAAATACTCCATAGAAAGAAAGAAATATATATATCACAGGGGAACGTGACTATACGTGCAATTAGCGAGAGACAGACCAAAAATGTATATATTCACAACTATTTTACTTATGTTTCATGAACCACAGTGAACATAATGGGCAATACAATGTCAGATTAATATACCACAAGCGCCTTTGGATTTATATGTTCATGAATATTCATGACCTGCCTCATGACACTTTTTCAAATACTAGCTAGTTATAATTGTCAAAAATGGTGACTGATATGATGAACCATTAAGTTTTGTTATGACAATGCAAGTGTTACCTGATGGAAAACGAAAAAGACTCCCAAGAAGAAGACGACCGAACCCGCTATCTGAACCAGAGGGACTGCAAATTCCACTAGACCCAGTTGCAAATCATACTCCATCAACCTTAACCTGTTACGAAGAAAAAAAATACATTTCTTCTTAATTCCCCATTATTTGTGAATAAGAAAATTGTATAAATCATATATACACATTGAGCTTACAAATTCTAGTAAAAATGAAACACTATACATATTTTCTAGAACAGTTATACCAATAATGACAGTATTTTTAGGAAGCTATAATAGTCAAAATAACTAAATAAAGCAAGCTTTGGCCTTCATGCATTAAAATGGTATATAACATACGTACCGGTAATCAATTCCAGCTAGATGAGCCACAAGATCATGAACATTAACGGCGGCTATAAGAACCAGAGCCAAGAGAATAAGGACAAGGCCGGATCTTGGTTCCCACGAGAACCCTGTCGCCGTGAAACCACCGATGAGAACCACGGTGGCGAACAAGTATAGACCAGCATTGATGTACTCGGCTCTGCTCCTCCCGAGCCGAGGGCCGTACGTTCTAATCTCACGCGCTGTCGCGAGTTTCACCATCTGGTTGAAGGATCTGCCTCTAGAGAGAGACTGATGAGAGAAAGAGAGATCTGTGAGGGGAAGAGGGAGAGAGAGAGAGAGCTCTACGTGGCTTTGTGCATGGAGTTCTATTTTAGTGGAACGTGGCGTATTGTGGGAAATGGCTGACTTTAATGAAACGACGACGTTGTCTTTTGAGATATATTCTTTGAACTTTGGGTTTATTATTGGGCCAATCTTAGGCTAACTTACAGCTAAAACAAAGGACTCAAATATGGGTTAGTCAATGTTTAGGATATTTATTTGGTTATGATCAAAGCTATGTATTAAAAATCTTGTCTTTATTAAAATTAATATATTCCTATATTAATTTAAAAATGATTAAGTTTAGCACAATTCAGTTTAATTTTATTTTATTTTTTCTAAAAAAATTAAAACCAAAGAAAACAAGATTTTAAAAATTGTTTTAAACTTTAATGTTATATTATCATCAAAAATATCAATACCATTACCATAATATCATTGTTTCAACAATGTACAAATCTTTGTAACTCCGACTCTTGCCTTATACCAAAAGCCGCAAGAACATGATAAGCACACCAAAAAAATGTAAGGGAATGGAATGAAAGTAGAACCTAAATTAAAATTAGTTTTTGGCGCAATGTTTAGGATTATTATATTTGACTTTTAAAACTTTTAAAAAAAAAATTGGTAATGGGTTTATATTAAGCTACGTAAATGCTTCACGAGCCACCACTTTTTAATATTATGGGTCGTAATGTTGCTGAGAAGACCAGCCACGTGTGTAATGAACCTGATCCACAACCACAAGACTTAACCCTTTACGAAATATCTTCTCCTCCACTATAAATTAGCCACGTCGTCTCTCTCTCTCGCCATCTCCGCTTGTGCTTTCTCGCAACCGTTGGTTTGTTTCTATAAGCCTTGGTGGCCGTTGGATCTTCCACAGATGCAAATTTTGTAGTTTATTGACATCTTTACTCTTTATCTTCGAGTTATTTGCACATATTACTTTATAGTTTTAGATTTACATATATATTCCCCACAAACTTTTTATAAAGAGGAAAATATTACAAAGATGAAACAGGGACCTTGATACAAACTAAAATTACCACACAAAAAAACAAACTAAAATTACCACACAAAAAAACAAACTAAAATTATTGTGACAAATATCAATGTTCGATCTGAACCCGAACTAAAGCTTACCCAAATTTTTAGTTTTATTCATAAATCTGATTCGAATATGATTTTGGACATAAAATCCGAATGAACATATTGTAATTTTAGTATAGTAAACTAAATGTTCAGACATATTTAAATTTACATTAACTATCATTTTCGATAAAATTTATTTTAAAAATATATAAAAAATAATTATTTTATTTGATTCACCGTAGAATTGATTAAACTATTAATTTAGTTTTATTTACATACAATGTTATTGTTGGTTTAGTGAGCATTGAGATTTAATTTTAGTCACAAATGCTAGACAGCTAGAGTATACCCAATAAGTTTACATCATCGTATTAATCCGGATTAGATCCCAAAATCACCATCGTTATAAAATCATTTTAGTAGGAAAATATCATAAAGGGGGTTTAAATTGAATTAAACATTATTTTGGGGTTTATGAAAAGATTCTATAAATATAAAGTCCCATATTTGTCATTAATCTGTGGCCACCACAATTTACGTAGTTCATTCAGACACATATTTTCGTGTTCCAAATATTTTTTTTTCCTCTTTATATTTAAAATTCGTGAACCAGAATCTAAAACGAAGAATCTAACTCTCGGAAACCAAAAAAGAAAAAAAACACACATTTTTCTCCGCGATTCGGCAAAGGTATGCTTAAAGCGATTTTGTTTATAAGATCTTACTGAGTTCGTAGTGATTTATGAGTTAAATTGATATAAACAGTCGAAGAGCTGTTCGATCTTTAGATTCTCTGTGATTTTGAAGAAATCTGAATTTTGGGTTATCGCGATCGCTCTTAAATTTTCCAGTTTTATGTCGAAAGGTTGAATTTTTTTTCAAATTGTAGTTCCTCATTTAAATTTCCCGGTCCTTATTCATGTCTGGAATTAGATTCTGATAACTGTGTCCTACTGTCCTGTAGTTATTGTCATCATTTGAGACAATTCTTTATAACTTATATGAGACATGTTTCTTCTGCTGCAGCACCAAGTGAGTTTTTCCTAAAGATCAAATTTTTTTCCAGCCTTGAGATTGTGATGGGAGTTGTGTTTATTTCAAGTTCAGCTGCAAGATCACCACTCGGTTTAAGCACTGATCTTTTCACGACACATCGGTCTTCTTCGCTTAAAAAACCATCCATTGTCGCGTTTAAAGCCGATGATTCGAGCAATTCAGCTTTGATAATTCCTCCTAGAGAACAAGTTTTGATCCCCGCGGAGAAGCTTAATGAGAAGAAGAAAGTAGTCACGAAGAGGAAGCCGTGTAAAACCCCGAAAAAGCCGAGTTCTTTGGATCACAATGTGGCTCCTTCTTGTTCCTTGGGTGTGGATTACAATGAAGCTGCTGCTAGACTTGAAAACATATACAAGCTGAGTCCTACAACAACCATATCAGACGATGAAGCTGTTGATGACGGCGGCTCCAAGGGGAAAGTTTCGCCGAGGAGAAAGCGGAAACAGAGAGGTGAAGAGAAGAAAGTAGTTGTGAGGAACAATGTGAAGAAAGATAAGCGTTTGAGTCTTGATAAACGGATCGCTTTGAAAAGAAACTGTCAAGAGAAACCATTTGTTGCTTCTGCTGAGAAGAAAGTAACAAAGAAGCAGCAAGAAGAGGAGAAGATCGATATGCTTGTGCGGGACTATTCAGTTTCTAATGATATTTTGAGCTTGGACTGGAAAAAAATGAAGATACCTCCTGTTCTTTCTTCCACTGAACATGCTTGGTTGTTTAAGTTGATGCAGCCTATGAAGGTATTCTTCATTTTCTTGAACATAGCTTGTAGTCTATAGAGATATGATTCATTTTTGGTAAAGAAAGCTTGAATTGGGTTATATATTGCAACCTATGCTCAATATGTTTGGGGGTTTAACATTGCAGGCTCTACTTGAAGTGAAAGATGAACTGCAAAAGAGCTTGGGAAGAGAGCCGAGGGAAGCTGAAATAGCTGGGGAGATCAAAATGACCACCGGTGAAGTGAAAAAGAAAATTGAAATAGGTAGAGCTGCAAGAAACAAACTTATTAAGGTTAGTGTTTTAAACAAACTTATACTTAGTCTAAAAGAGTTTTAAACATGGCTATTGATATTTATGGATGTTATTCTTCTTTTAGCTTATTTTGTTTTGTTTCTTCTACATTGCAGCACAATCTCCGGCTTGTCTTGTTTGTTATGAACAAATATTTTCAAGAATTTACCAATGGTCCTAAATTCCAAGACCTTTGTCAAGCTGGTATGAAAGGGCTTATCACAGCAATTGACCGCTTTGAGCCGAAAAGGAAGTTTCGTCTTTCGACTTATGGTTTGTTTTGGATCAGACACGCCATCATACGGTCTATGACAACCTCCAACTTTACTCGCGTTCCATTTGGACTGGAATCGGTATGTTAACCTCTTTGGCTCTTTCTCAGAAACAGATTGTTCTGCAGGGATCTTATATGTGTCCTCTTTGTTGAAACCATTTCAGGTTAGAGTTGAGATCTATAAAGCGAAAATGGAGCTATTGTTTGAGCTGGGGAGACTCCCAACAGAGGACGAGGTAATTAAGAGACTCAAGATAACACCTGAGAGATACCGTGAAGTCTTGAGGGCCGCAAAACCGGTTTTCTCACTAAATTCAAAACATGCGGTTACTCAAGAAGAATTCATCAATGGGATCACAGATGTGGATGGTGTTGGAGCTGACAACAGGAGACAACCTGCTCTTCTCAGGCTTGCTCTCGATGACGTGGTAAGTTTCAATCTTTCATCTACTTACACAATCATCCGGACATATGTTAGTTATTTGGCTTCTTGTCTATTTTTAGTACTTGAAACTGATTACATTTTATGTTCAGCTCGATTCATTGAAGCCGAAAGAGAGTTTGGTTATTCGACAGAGGTACGGTCTTGATGGGAAAGGAGACAGGACTCTAGGAGAGATAGCTGGAAACCTCAACATCTCTAGAGAAATGGTGAGGAAACATGAAGTCAAGGCCTTGATGAAGCTCAAGCACCAGGCTCGAGTTGATTACCTTCGTCAATACATTGTCTGAAACCAAACTAAGCTGAACCACCAGGCTCAGCCATTTGTGCATACTTGGTATGACTTCCCGAATTCACGAGCCATCTTATAACCGTTGTATAGTTGTGTATGTAATATCAGAGGTACTTATAGCTGCGTTGGATCGATCCATGAATCACAATCGTTGTATTATATCATTACTACACCTATACTGAAAAGAAGTTATACATGTAAAGTTTGAGACATGGTATGCATTACTTTCACAAAACCTAACCAGTTGTTTCCTACGAAAGCAGAATCAATAGAACCGATTTGTAAAGTTAAAAAATGTATCGAAGGAACAGTGAATCGGTGTGAAATAAAGTAATAAACATACAAACAAATTTAAGTGTTAGAGATTCTTAAATAATAGTGTTGCACCGTTGTCGTTGATTCTCGTCTTGTCGAACACTTTTTTTTTTTAATTTCTTTTGTCGAACACTATTACACGGCAATGAACGAACCTTTGGTCTTTTCTCTTGTCTAATCAGAATATTTCTGCCGTATATCGACAATTTATGATTACTTTTACATATCCATAGTTATAATTATATCTTCATATAAAGTTGAATTATCATATCAGAGTCATGGTGAATTTTTATTAAAGTAAAGCTTATAAGTTAAATGTGAAATGTGCCTAAAAATAAATTTTAATATACATAGGCTGTGTCCTTTTAACACGCAATTATCATCGCAAAATGTTAGTCACACTTCCAATGTCATTCTAATGACAAGGTGATGTCATTCAATGGCCGTCATAACATGTAAATGTGACATCATTTTTTTGAGGTTAGCGTTTGTAATTTTGTATTAACGTTTTTGTTTGTTGTTTAAGAAAGAAAAAAAGTTTCGTTTTTAGCGGTTGTGTCTAATGTTTTTGCTTAAAGTTTAGCGATTGCGTTTGTTGTCCGAGAAGAATAGGCATAAGTGATAGGGGACCAAGGCAAAGGCCAATTTATAACTTAAAAGTATCTTCATACAAAACTGCGTATACCTAAATTTTCATTTTGAATAAGACCAGAAAAAAATACTGAGGTTGAATTTTATATGTTCCCAAATAAGAAAAATAAAAAGAAAACAATATATATATATATATATATATATGTAATTTAACATAAAGTGACAAATATATTTTTCTCCCCTGAAATTTCTATGTACTGTATAGGTTGGTCCCCAATTTAGAGTTTTTTCAATAAGATTTTGAAATCTTTAATCAATTTTAAAATTTATAATTTTATTATTTATAACTAATGATATTACGTATATACTATATTTTATTGTCTATTATTTTATATATTGTAAACTCTTAAACCATCTAAAATAATCTAAGTTTTCATTATATGCTCTATATATCAAACGATGGAGTTATTCGTTTGTTTTTCTATTCTAGAAATGGATCCATTAAAGATAACTGCATCAGAAAATCTATAATTTGAATTGATGCATGTTCAAAATTAATATTCCAACATAGTTATCAAAAAACTAAATACTGTTCTCATTTAAGATTTTTAGAAGTTCTAAACTCATTATTATACTATTTTATAACAAAACCTAAATTTACAAATAAAAAAATATTATTTTCTTAATAATAATGAAAGTAAGAAAAAAAAATACTAATTTCAAAAATACTAAATGAATGATTATGACTCTAAAATAAATACAAAACCAGATCATGTAAATACGAAAATAAAATAAAACAATGGATCGAGAAGCAGAGAACTGGTCAGCATGTTGGACTTTCCAAATTCATTGACCAAAGACTGGTCTCACTTCTCTTCTCCAAATTACTTCCACCTCAGCTTTCTTCGTGTTCGAGTCAAAAAGTCAAACTCTCGCTCTCACTCATAATCTTCTATATATTCTCTTTATTTCTTCAGTTTCCAGAAGCCATGCAAAAATAAAAACTAAACATAGCTAGTAACAATACTTTTAAACTATACTTATATATTTTTGATCGTAATGGAGAAGAATAGTAGTAGTAGTAGTGGAGATTTGGAGAAGATGAAGAAGGAGATCAACGAGCTAATGACACAAGGAAGAGACTATGCACACCAGTTCGGATCAGCTTCATCTCAAGAAACACGTGAACATTTGGCCAACAAGATTCTTGAATCTTACCACAAGTCTCTCACCATTATGAACTACTCCGGCGACCAAGATTCGCCACATGCTCAGGGTGGTGGAGGAGGCAGCCCCAAGAGCGATGATTCGGATCAAGAACCACTTGTCATCAAGAAGTACGTACTGTTACGTATCTCTAATAAAAATATTTTGTCGTCAAGGAGTATTTGTTTTGCATAAAACTAATAAAAATATTTTGAAAATGTAAATAATATAGATCGAAGAAGTCAATGCCAAAGTGGACAAGAAAAGTCATAATTGCCCCTGGAGTTGGTATTGACAGATCGCTTGAAGATGGGTTTAGTTGGAGAAAGTACGGCCAGAAGGATATCCTCGGAGCCAGGTTTCCAAGGTTATTCTCGTAATTTAAACTAATTAATAGCCAATTAGGAAAATTAAAGCATTTTTAGCCATTCACTAAAATGTGACATGGACATAGTCCTCTGTTTCATTAATTAGTCTTTTTGTATTTTAAATGTTATTTTATTTTATTATGTTATACTTATATAGAAATGTTAAATAAAATTTTATAGTTTTTATTATATCACATGTATGAAAAATCTTTTTAAGAAAAGAACGTTTAACTAAAGTTTTGTGTGTGTGTGTGTGTGTTGGTACAGAGGATACTATAGATGCACGTATAGAAAATCCCAAGGATGTGAAGCTACAAAACATGTCCAAAGATATGATGAAAATCAAAATCAGATGCTTTTTGAGGTAAGTTACCGAGGAATACATTCTTGCTCTCAAGCTGCAAATGTCGGTTCAACCGTCCCGGTACAAAACCTCGAACCGAACCAGACCGAAAACCAAGAAAATCTTGATGACATCGTGAAAGGAAGTCTAGAGAGCTACAATCATGATCAAGAACATTTTCATCACACCCTTCACTATCCTTTGTCCTCCACTCCAACTCTTGAAGGTAACAATGCGTATATGCTTCAACCGAGAGATCATAACATGGAGTTTTTCGGATCGACGAGTTTCTCTAATGATCTTGGAACTAATATCAACTACAATTTCCCGGCGTCTGGCTCGGCCTCTCACTCTACATCAAACTCTCCATCCACCATCCCTTTGGAGTCCCCATTTGAAAGCTATGATCCTAATCATCCTTATGATCCTAATCATCCTTATGGAGGGTTTGGAGGATTCTATTCTTAGTTATCCAGTTAAAGGATGGACTGAAGTTTTACCTAATCAAGAGATCATCTTCAGGTGTTTTAACAAATGCCCTAATTACTTTTCTAATCACGTTTTTGTTTTTGCCTATTAAAGCCTTATTTTCAGGTCTACGTTTGAATAAATGGATTTGTACTCCGTATGATCCTAATTGTTATTTAGGTTTTTTTTTTCTTTTTTTGCGATATGTTGTTGTTTGTAACACGTTTTAATATTTTTATTGCAAATCTATTTTGGCTATATAAGATTTAACTATCTGCCTATTTTGTTAGAGATTGATTTTCACTAAGTGGTGTTTTAATAGTCGTTACAAATATTACATTGGCATTATAGTAGCTCGAGATTTTAGTGGAAGAATATAATTTGATCAGGAGCATATGGATTTGTACTATTGTTATTGTCACAGTGCATGTTATTGATAGAAATGCTTCATTTACGATATTGAATCTGTGAATAAAGAAAGATGTAAATCGATGAAATATATATCCAACAGTTGAACGCACATCGACATTATACAAAAGAACTTCTTAACTTTAGCCTCCAAAAAACTAGAAAACCTCTTTAATTTCTCTACCACAACACATACAAATTTTTATTGTCTCTCTATTTAGTTATAATCAAAAAGCAAAAAAGAAAATAAAATATAATTAAAACTAAATAGAGACCAAAATTAAAACTGAAAAAGGAATCATTAATGGATGAGATATGTGAGGACCAAAGCCACCAACATAAGGACATATGCTATGCCTTGGTCTATTGTTGTTCCTGCAATATTTTGTTCCAAAAATTAGTCATCCGAAAGAAAATATTATAGTCACACACATCTAACAAACTTCAAGAAACCTTATTTGAATGTTAGTTTCAGATTATTAGTCTTCATGATCATTTAAATCTCATTGGTTTAAATTAGCAATTGATTACTAAAGAATGCTATAATAAACTCACCGTCACTTGTTGGAGCCGGAGCAGGAGCCGAGGATTGAGCATGTGCCATTGGCAACAAAATGGTGAAAACTATCGATACGATTGTTGCAACCACGAAGAAAAGCCTCGAGAGCGACATTTTCAAATTTTTTTTTTTTTCCTCTTTTAATATATATAACAAATAAATCGTATCTTCGGTTTCTTAACTTCTTTTGTTAAGGTTCTTCCCTCTCTCAACTCCTTAAAGTTTTTGGGAGAAAGATTTTAGAGAGGGAAGAACAAAGAAGAGAGAAAATGAAAAAAAAAAAGAAGAAAATCAAAAGAAAAAAACTAGGCAAGGCGATAGAGGAGGTAATGAGAATTATGAGAGTTTCTTTTGGCATTATATTGAACAATTATTATTTGATTTGTCGACGACCCGCAGATCCCGGAACAACTCATCTTTTTGCCCCACAATAATTTGGTAATTTTGGAAACTGAATTCGAAACTTGTGAATGTGAAAAAAACTACTATATTTCAAATACGTTTGAAGTATAATTGAATCAATCTCCTACGTACAAATTGTGGTTGGTCCAAAAGAGAGATTAAGCTGTGTTCCAGCTTGGACACATGCAAGATTCTTGCTATTATTGCCGTTAATCCATAAAAATAATTGTCGTGACACTTCATTTGAGTTTTAGAGTTTAATGCTTAGTGTATACTAATTTTAGAGTTTATTACTGCATTTAAATCCGTAATGATATGATTTTGAAGTATGACTATGAAAAGTTTATGCTCCATTTTACAAACTGATGATATATATTAAATCATAAATACCAAAAAACCTTGTAAAATAATAATTCTACAATTTATAGTAATCAGTTCCTCTCAATCTCTTCCAAAGTCTCAACCACTTTCAGCATCTCTGGTCTCTTTGCCGGAACCCTAGCCGTACAACTTGTCCCTAACTGCAACATCTGAAGCAACTTAGCTTCAACGTTAGGAGTCTGCACAAGCTCTAAATCAAACACTTCACCTGTCCATTGTTTTGCAATAACTTCATTCACCCATACAACAAGATCTATCCCTTCCTTTAAATCATCAACACTTGATCTTCCTGTTAGAGTTTCCAGCATCAAGATTCCAAAACCGTAAACGTCTGATTCTGGCGTCGATCTCCTTGTGTCGGTTGCTTCTGGGGCACGGTATCGTCTGGCTGATCCATTAGCCCTCGTAGCCGGGTTGGTTAACACAGCTAAACCGGTTTCTGATATACATCCATAGTCTTCCGAATTCATGAAGACGTTTGAAGATTTGATGTTTCCATGTGCGAGCTTCTGTGTGTGTATGTGAGCTAATCCTTTTGCTACTCCAATCATGAATCTTAATCTTGTTTCCCAGTTCAATGGAACATGTCCCTCCTCGCCGATCTTGCCTGCCGGAAAAAGAAAAACAAATCTTTCTTCAGATGCAAGAAACTAAAACTAACAAAGAAAATTGCAATTGTTTGGTTGCGTTTTAAAAACCATTGGGTTTACTATTAGCGTTTGAATATTTCATAATAAGCTGAAAAGGTTAGAAATTACCATGAAGAAGAAGAGATAGACTGCCTCTAGAGTAGTAATCATAGACCATAAGCTTCTCTTCCTTGGAACACACGTAAGCCCTTAAGGGAGCAACGTTCTTGTGCTTAATGTTTCCAACAATCTCCATTTGATGTTTGTAATCCTTCCGCGACACCACTACGTCTTTCAATCTCTTAACCGCGATGACCTTAGAATCTTCAAGAACCGCTTTATACGTCATACCAAAAGTTCCCTTCCCTAGAAACTCTGCAGAAGCTATCAACAAGTCTTCCAAGTTAAAAGCCAGATTGCTTCCTTCAAAGAACACAACTCTGTTAATTTCGCTCTTATCCTCCATGTCTTCTATATTCTTCTCCTTTCCTAATTTAGAAACTTCCTTCTCACTTGGCATCTTCTGTGCTGGTCTCAACTTCTCTGGTTTTGGTTCTGTTTCTGTTTCTGGTCTCCTCTGCCTTTTAACATAGCAAACTACCATCAGAACCGCGATTAGGAAGAATATAACGAAGCAAACGCCAATCGCTATTGCGAGAATCGCGGGTTTCGAGATGTAAATCCCCTTTTTCTCTTTCTTTTTCTGTTTAGGAGGAATCACCGGAGGAGAGGCATTTTCGTAGACTAAGTTGTTGCCGGAAAAAGCAGAGTTCCCGAATCTTTTAAGAGACTTTGGTATTGATCCGGTGAGATTGTTGTTGGAAAAGTTAAGTCTGCGTAGACCGGGGAGATTAAGATCAGGAATCTCACCGGAAAACGAGTTTTGAGCTAGGTTAAGCGAGACGAGTCCGGTCAAATTAGCAAATCCCGCGGGAATGCTACCATTAAACCGGTTTCTAGACAGATCAAGAACGGTGAGATTCGTCCACGTGGCGTAATCCGACGGTAATGGACCGGAGAATCTGTTGTTGCTGAGACTAATAGCCTTGAGTTTCTTAAGCTGCAAGAAATCAATAGGGAACGGGCCTCGTAGGCCGTTGGATCGTAGACTAAGGATCTGAAGTTCCGATAGACGGCTGATAGTTCCCGGTGGGATCTGTCCTATAAGACTCGCTCCGGGTAAGTGAAGGGCAGTGACACGTGTGCCGTCTCTGTCGCACGTGACGCCTGACCAAGTGGCGCATACGGAGCTGCTTGCGTTCCACGCTAGAGACCGCGGGTGAGTGATGTTGTTGAGGAAGTCGAGAAGGGCTTGTCTGTCGCCGGAGAGGTCACCGGTGACCGGAGAAAACAGAGCAGATGATCCAAAGAAGAGAAGTAGAATAATATAAAAGATGGATAATTTTCTACTCATCTTCTTGATTAGTAACTTCTCTTGTTTATGTGATGGAGGCTTTGATTATATCTGCATTTGAAATTACTTTTAGAAGTTAGAAAAACAAAAATGTTAAGCAAACTATGTTACGTTGTTTTGGTCCCATCGTTTTGTTTATAACTTAGTTTTCTCTATCAAACACAGTTATATATATGCACTTGGCCTGATATGGTTCCAAACTTGAAAATACACGTATTCATAGCTAAAATGACATTGGAGTAGATATATATATTCCAAAACTTTAACTTATCAAATGTAATTGCAAAGAGAGTGAAGATTATAAATTAAGTACAGTACAAAACTTACATCTCAAATGCGGAATCTCATTAAGGACTGCCTGAAATTGTTATGAGAATGTAAAAGATAGTTATGAGAATTTTTAGAAAGTAGAGAAGAGAGAAAGAACAAAGAAGTTTTGTCTGCAAACAAAACTAAAGGCGATGGAAGCTATTGAAGCAAGGAAAGCCATAAAAGATAACTATGGTTTAAGGAAAGTCAAACCCGGTTATCGATACACAATGATTGGTTGGTTAATCACATACCGGGAATATACTATACGCTAAATAGACGTTTGATTTGAGCAGATTTCTGGTTAAGGGAGCTTCATATTGTTTCAGATTAAAGATTTCGGAAGTTGGTTTATTATAAAACACAATTAGTTGGGGCGTGATGGTGACAAATTTTTGGTAATGAACTAATGATAGCAGAGATTGTTTTAACTTAAAAATCATTGCAGAGAATATGATGAGCTGTTAATTCATTTTTCTTAATTAACATAAAACCCCCATAGTTTTCAGTTTCTCAACCTTTCCCCCCCAAATCTATAAACAATATATAACGTACAGTTTGTGTTCTGCATGCATTGCATCATATAATTTGCAATGCTTCACAACTATTAGTTTTGGTAATTGTGTGTTCAGTAATGTATGAATAACTCAATAATTTTTTTTAGCATAAACTAAGTTATATGTACTTAAACCCTAGAATTGCAATGGTTTTGCCAACTTAAATAAAAATTAGGGGGAAACTAAAGTAGAAAACTTTTTTAAGGTAAGGACCTTTTTAGCTATATTAATTGTGTACCGTACGCACATGCACTTGCATGAATCATTTGTATATCTAGTAATAATTAATATATAACATACAAATAAATAAAATAATATCTTTAATGTGTGTTTCGCAATGTAACTTCACATGATCTGCGAGCATCTTATAAATCATTGACGTAAAGTTTTTGCCTTGATTAATATAGTTGTTGATGTGTATATCTTATTAAGATATATATGTTGTTTGTTTGTGCTTGTTTGTTGTACATGTGCGGCCAATGAACTATGACGAAGCATATTAAACAAGAGAATTATATTTTTTATTGCAAATTATTATTATTATTGTCTACATTACGAACTTTAATAGTTTTTTTCTTGTTTCGGTCCCCGATTGCTTAATACAGTCGTCGCATGCACTATTTAATAAAGGAAAAACTTATTTCAAAACAACATTTAAAACTCAAAAGTGGAGGAGAAAGTGACAAGAGTTGCTACTACTATACGCGATTGTAGGGTGCAATGTAATAATCTTTGACAAACTTCACCAACATTATTCCACACAGTTAAACTAATACTCCTTCTGTTTGTTAAAGATTAATGTTTTAGGATTTCTTTTTGTTTCACAAAAATTGATGTTTTACAAATTTTAATTAACCAATATTAGTATTTTTTAAACTTCAAAAAATAATTATTGATAAAACTTTTGAAATTTTGAATTGTTATTGGCCTATAACTAAACAATATTTTTTTAGTGAGAAAAAATAAAAAAAATTAATAGTAATTATTGTTTCTTAATTTGAATAAAACTTTCAAGCATCCATCTTTTAGAAACAGAGAGAAGATTTATTTATTTAGTTAATTACTCAATAATTAATAATCAATATAGATAATTAGCAACCTTGAGTTTTTATGTTTGTGTGAATGCAATACATAATCACGATTCCTTGTTGCACTACAGATGCTCTAGTGATCAAATTATCAATCAACACAGCTATATCGTCTTTAGTCCAATAACGTCATATGGATCATATGGTTGCCTCCAATTTTATATTTATATGGACAAACTTGGCCCAAATATGTATCAAATATGAGGAATTGCAATTGTAGAATTTGTAGTATTAATCCAACTTCCATCAGCTATTTTGATCATCCTATTTCGATTTATCTGGTTTATTTTATTACCTTGTATTGTATAATGTATACATCAAAATTCAAATATATTTCTGATTTTACATATATATCTGAATTAGCTGATATATTTTGATATTAACAAATTTTGAATAATAATAATAATAATAATAATATAAATATAATCATAATTTATCACTCGACTTTTGAAACTCACTGAATCAAATCAGCAATTGTAATGAATACTTTTCCAATACATAAAAGAATATAATTCAAATATTAGTAAATTCACAATCCATCATCCAAATATATTTCGTTAGCAGCTTCAAGTCTTGGTGCACTGAAGTTGTTCCAAAGATCCATATTAGAGGGAGATGGATAAGTGATTGTTCAAGTATTTAATCCGATAAACTTAATCGAAAGACAATATATTCGGGATCAATCATAAGAAACAAAGATACTTTAAAGTTTAGCGAGACTCATTCTTAACTAACGCAAAAATATTATTTGTTTAGTTTTCAAAATTTTAAATGAAAATACAAATAAAATTAAGTTTATGAATTAAAGCATTGGACAACAGATATTTTAAAAAATCAATAATTAAATACTAAAAGCAATATGGATTCATACATAAATACTGTTCTTGAACATGAACATAAATCCAAATTAATTTCTCTCATGGACATGAACATATCCAGTACTTCTATGCGACTTTATCTGTTTATACTGCTTGGTCAACAAGGATAAAGCATCTCCGAGCTTTCATATACTATTGGAATATGTTAAATATTTCTTGATCTTATGTCAATTCTTATATTTAATAGAAGATTGCATATACTAATGGAAAAAATGCGACACTGTGATTCAGTAAATAATTATGGTCCAACTACAACTTCGATTGAGAATTTACTTTTACTTTCCGAGTCTATAGATAAACTAAATTGTGCCAAATGGCACGTTAAACCAGCAAGAAGACAAAGTCAACACCACAAGAGACGACAACGAGTACAACGTGTGGTTCATGATCCACCATTTCTTATTACTAATACAACCATTACCAATTTGATCGTCCTTCGTCATTTTTTTTTTTTTTTGGAAAATAATCTTATTCTTTGTTTCCTTTGAAGCATTTACAGTTAGTGGTCAGAGATTCTAAAGATGGCTGCTTAATGTTTGAGATCTGTATCTAAAGTCCTAAAGCGATATACAATTATACAGTAGTATGAGGATAAGCACACAACCAATAAAAGCCATGCAATGTGTATGAGAGACATTTATAATATAAACAGATAAGATTTTTAAAAACAATAACAAAGAAAAAGCAAACAAAAGTCAGCTTTTTTTTAGGGACTTACGTCTTATATATATATAAAAAAAGAAGTTAAGCAATAACAAACAAACACATAACCACAAAGAAGACAAAAACATCAATAGCAAGAAAAACATGACTAACATAAATCTTGTCAAACATGTTATTTACTTTCTCTTCTTAATAAGCTGTTTTGTCACAAAACCCTCCGATGCATCCAGAGGTGGCATAGCCATCTATTGGGGCCAAAACGGCAACGAAGGTAATCTCTCGGCCACGTGTGCCACCGGCCGGTTTGCTTACGTCAACGTTGCGTTTCTTGTGAAATTCGGAAATGGCCAAACACCGGAGCTCAACCTCGCCGGCCACTGCAACCCTGCTGCCAACACTTGTACTCGTTTTAGCTCTCAGGTCAAAGATTGTCAGACTCGTGGCATCAAGGTCGGTTTTGATGTTTTTTCCCCCAAATTGATCCTATTGTATTAAGGTAATGAAATCACATTTATTTTGATAATCTTGTTTTGAAGGTTATGTTGTCTCTTGGTGGCGGAATTGGAAACTACTCTATTGGCTCCAAGAAGGATGCAAAAGTGGTTGCGGACTACCTTTGGAACAACTTCTTGGGAGGGAAATCATCTTCACGTCCCTTAGGTGATGCTGTTCTTGATGGTATCGATTTCAATATTGAGCTTGGCTCTCCTCAACACTGGAATGATCTCGCCAGGTAATTAATAATCAAGATAACATTTTGATTAATTGCTTCATGATCAAGATTACGGTCAACGTTCAAACTTCTTGGTTACCACAAAAAATTATATATATATGTATATTTAGTTTGGTGGATATACGATATATAGGTGTTAATATTTCTTATTTAATTTTGTTGACCTATTTCATTTTGAGAATGACAAACTAAAAATGTCTTGGACAGTTCTCTCTCAAAGTTTAGCAAGAGAGGAAGAAAAGTGTATCTAACAGGAGCTCCTCAATGTCCATTTCCAGATAGATTAATGGGAAGTGCTCTCGACACTAAACTTTTTGACTATGTTTGGATCCAATTCTACAACAACCCACCGTGTTCATACGCTCCAAATAATACTCAAAAGCTATTCGATTCGTGGAACAAGTGGACCACTTCAATCACAGCCAAGAAAATCTTCTTGGGTCTTCCCGCAGCTCCTGAAGCTGCGGGAAGCGGTTTCATCCCGCCAGATGTACTGACTTCGCAGATTCTTCCGACCCTAAAAAAGTCTAGAAAGTATGGAGGTGTGATGCTTTGGTCTAAATTCTGGGATGATAAAAATGGATATAGTTCATCTATATTGGCTAGTGTGTGAAAAGAATCATAATGACTATTAAAAATCAATTCTCTCATATATGGTTTAAATTTGAAGAATTGTTGTGTTTTTGTGGTGTTAGTATTCTGGTTTGAAATGTTTGTATCAATATAACACCTTAATTTCACTAATTCTGGATTTGCTTTCAGTAGGCATGGGTACACATGTTGCTCCATGAAAGGGTTTTAGAGGTACCATGTCTACTTCATACCTATAAATACCATGAAAGGGTTTTAGAGGTACCATGTCTACTTCATACCTATAAATAGAATTAAAAATTGGTTTTTAGTTGGAAACTTTCCATTCATATATATTAAATTATACGCTCCTAACTCATAACCAAATTATAATAAATAGTTCAACACATATTCCCTATTTATATATTAGCAAAAATATATTTCTTCTATCCAAGCATAGCGATAATTTATATCTATACATATATTGCGACTATTTAAAAAGAATTACTATAAATAAACTAAAAGGTACAAAACAGGTGCCGCCATATCCAAATATCCCCAACATTGTCAAATTATTCAGAACCGACCATTTACGAAAACGAAGACCTTTTGTCAAAAATTTAGCTCAACCACAAAGACACGTGACACATTCTCATTCTTCGAGTTCTCCCACCGAACCATCTTTCTAAATGCGTTCAAACTGTAAAGCGAGGTGAGATTAATAGATTATATAAAGAATACTAAAGCATATGTTATAACGATTTTTTTTAGACTCTTCTCTCTTGTTAGAAGATTATACAATGTCTTCATTTCATTTTTATTTTCCTTCTTTTAGTCTCTCCTATTCATTCTTTTGCTTCTTCTTAGTTAGCTCGGTGGTTCAAGTAGGCTTGGCCACTGAACCGCACATTGGTTTGGGATCAAAGTTAAAAGCTAGTGAACCCAACCGGGCATGGGTTTCTGCTAACGGTACTTTTGCAATTGGGTTTACTCGGTTAAACCCAGCCGACCGGTTCTTACTCAGCATTTGGTTCGCACAACTTCCTGGTGATACAACCATCGTTTGGTCTCCCAATAGGTACACACATATCATAATCCTTTAATATTTAGTTCTTGCACTAATCCATATAATTAGTACTATATACTATAAATTTTGATTTTAAACCAACGATAGAATTTAATTTGCCTATGATCAGAAATTTTTCACTCAAAAATCCAAATATCTAAAATATAGAAACTCCCCAGTCACAAAAGAAGCCGTGTTGGAGCTAGAAGCAACGGGAAACCTCGTACTCACCGACCAAAACACCGTCGTATGGGCCTCAAACACCTCAAACCACGGCGTTGAAGCAGCCGTTATGTCAGAATCCGGAAACTTCCTTCTCCTTGGAACCGAAGTTACCACCGGTCCAGCCATTTGGCAGAGCTTTTCCCAACCTTCCGACACTCTCCTCCCAAACCAACCCTTAACCGTTTCTTTAGAACTAACCTCTAACCCTTCACCGTCGCGCCACGGCCATTACTCCCTGAAAATGCTGCAGCAACACACTTCGCTTAGCCTTGGCCTAACCTACAACATTAATCTTGACCCTCACGTAAACTACTCATACTGGTCCGGGCCAGAGATTTCAAATGTCACCGGAGATGTTACTGCGGTTCTTGATGATACTGGAAGCTTCAAGATCGTTTATGGAGAATCCTCAACGGGAGCAGTGTACGTCTACAAGAACCCGGTAGACGAAACCGGGAATCACAACAATAGTAGTAATTTCCGGTTCTCAAAAGACCCGGTTCTGCGCAGGTTGGTATTAGAGAACAACGGTAACCTCCGGTTGTACCGGTGGGACAACGACATGAACGGCTCAAGCCAATGGGTCCCTGATTGGGCAGCTGTATCAAACCCATGCGACATAGCTGGGATTTGCGGTAACGGAGTCTGCAGTTTGGACCGAACCAAGATAAACGCCGACTGTTTATGTTTACCCGGTTCGGTTAAGCTTCCTGATCAAGAAAACGCTAAACTCTGTTCAGACAACTCATCTTTGGTCCAAGAATGTGAGAGTAACACCAATACTAATAATAAATTCAAGATATCAACGGTCCAAGAGACAAACTACTATTTCTCAGACCGTTCTGTTATCGAGAATATCAGCGATATCAGCAGCGTAAGGAGATGCGGTGAGATGTGTTTGTCAGACTGCAAGTGTTTGGCTTCAGTATACGGTTTAGATGATGAGAAGCCTTATTGTTGGATTCTAAAGAGTCTGAATTTTGGAGGCTTTCGAGATCCTGGCTCGACCCTTTTCGTGAAGACTAGAGCTAATGAATCTTACCCCGCAAATTCGAATCATAATGAATCTAAATCGGGTAAGAGCCACGGACTAAGACAAAAGGTTTTGGTAATTCCTATAGTTGTGGGGATGCTTGTGCTTGTGGCACTACTTGGGATGTTACTATACTACAACATAGACAGGAAGAGAACACTAAAGAGAGCCACGAAGAACCCGCTTATCCTCTGTGACTCTCCTGTGAGTTTCACTTACCGCGATCTCCAGAATTGTACTAACAATTTCTCCCAACTTCTTGGATCAGGTCAGAATCAAGAATCTAGATCATGTGTATTTTATAACAAGTTTTAACATAGAAGTTTTTGAAATTTTATACATAGAAGTTTTTGAAATTTTATATTCTTTTTTATATGATGTGGTAGGTGGATTTGGGACAGTATACAAAGGAACAGTAGCGGGTGAAACACTAGTTGCGGTGAAGAGATTAGACAGAGCATTATCTCATGGCGAGAGAGAGTTCATTACTGAAGTCAATACCATTGGTTCAATGCATCACATGAACCTTGTTCGCTTATGTGGTTACTGCTCGGAAGACTCACACCGGTAAGTTCAAAAACAATAACCCTAGAAGATTTTAACAATAAATTTACTCTGTTTTTAAGCAAACATATTTGAATAAGTTTTGTTGTTGTGTGACATTATAGGCTTCTAGTTTATGAGTACATGATAAACGGGTCGTTAGACAAATGGATATTCTCTTCAGAACAGACAGCCAGGCTGCTTGATTGGCGTACACGTTTTGAGATAGCGGTTGCGACTGCGCAAGGGATCGCTTATTTTCATGAGCAATGTCGGAATAGGATTATTCATTGCGACATCAAACCTGAAAACATCTTGTTGGATGAGAGTTTTTGTCCTAAGGTATCAGATTTTGGGCTGGCCAAGATGATGGGGAGAGAGCATTCGCATGTGGTTACAATGATTAGAGGGACAAGAGGGTATCTAGCACCCGAATGGGTCAGTAACCGCCCGATCACGGTAAAGGCTGATGTGTATAGCTATGGAATGCTTCTTCTTGAGATTGTAGGTGGTAGAAGAAATCTAGATATGTCCTTCGAGGCTGAGGATTTCTTTTACCCTGGATGGGCCTATAAGGTAATGACACAATTTATAAAATACTTAGATAGGGTTCAAATAGTCTAACGTTTTTTTTTTTTTTTTTTTTCTGAAAATAGGAACTAACGAACGGGACAGCTTTGAAAGCTGTGGATAGGAGGCTACAAGGAGTAACAGAGGAAGAGGAAGTAGTCAAAGCTCTTAAAGTGGCTTTCTGGTGCATACAAGACGAAGTATCGATGAGGCCATCGATGGGGGAGGTGGTGAAGCTTCTTGAAGGTACTTCGGACGAGATAAATCTACCACCAATGCCGCAGACGATTCTAGAGCTCATAGAGGAAGGATTGGAGGATGTGTATAGAGCCATGAGGAGAGAGTTTAATAATCAGCTTAGCTCTTTGACAGTTAATACCATCACAACCTCTCAAAGTTATCGTTCATCATCTCTGTCTCATGCTACTTGTAGTTATTCTTCAATGTCTCCTAGGTAGTTTTTTTTTCTTTCTTTTTTCTAACATTTTATTTATGAGTTCATTTATATCTTAGGGATTATGAAAATTTTGATATTTATTGGAAATAATTTAGATACACATTTTTTGAATGTTGCCATAATTTTTTTTTATTTATTTTAGCTCTATTTGTTAAGAGTAGAATTATAATTTCTTACAATATGTTCGTGTGTTAACACTAAACATTATGTTAGTGCTATTAGGATATGTACTCTGAGATCTCATATTAAACAAAACACAATAATAATATATATTCTACGACATTTTATCAATATCTTCATCCTCTTAAAGTCTTCATCGATGGTTTTGAATATAGTACTAGTCTTTATGTGGTACATTAAAAAAATGTAATTAACGGGCTAATGTATTCTACTTAAATACTTGTAAAGTCCCATGCTTACCGAAGGCAAAAGATCCTCTTATCTCATTACCAGATCTTGCTCTAGCAGTATCTATCCCGGTCAAAACGGACTTGGGATGGTCAAATCCTATTATATTTTTAAATCATCAACTTCAATGAGAACGTACGTTTCTAACGTTGGACGCTCGAAAGATAGTACCTGACTATAGCCTACACAAAATCAAACTAGTTTTATCCTATCTACTTTATATTTAGTTTTAAAACATTATATAATATTTTCAGTAATGAGTTACTAGCGAATGACTTTTAAAACCTTTTTATCTCTCTTTTTTTTTTTTTTTTTTTTTTTTGTTATATAGACGTCTTTTTTAAATCAAATGGACTTTGATTAACTAGCTAATACTGTGGGCGAGATAAAAAGGAAGCCGACTAGAACATAACTTGTAGTAAACAAATTTGAGGCAAGTTTTGAAAAGGAAGAAAGAATAGTTGTATTAAAAAGAAAGGTTCAAGAGGTGGATTTATTTTAGAAGACAAGTTAGTAAATAAGGTCTCAGAATACTTTAAACCATGTTGATAAAGAAATAACTAACGTACGTGAATTACAAAGTAAAACTATTACAGTATTTACACATATATAATTATATATATATTCATTAGAAATTAAAAATCAAAGTTTTCTCGGTTATTTGACGCATAAGAAAGGACAAGTTTTCAAGCAATGCGTTGGCGTATGATGTTACTCAGTCCTTACTCTTACAGCTAGATTTTGGTATCAGGTTTGTGTTTTCTCGTCTATATGTAAACATTTTATATAATCATGTATATATCTTACTTATACATCCATCCATAACAAAAGCAAGCGAAATATTTTTATTATGAATATTCATCGCCGACCAATTTGGCTCACGTACGAGACGCTATTTGCAAGTTAGACATAGGATAACCGATAACCTAATCATTACAGTAATATATGCATGGTCAAGACTTATGAATACTTTCGAAATTTCCTTTCGTTTTATAAAGTTGGCAATGGGTATGACCTAAGGACGACTAGCTATGATATCTATTGTCAACTTATAGTTATATACTTATATAGTATTAGTAGCTAGGTCTTAGAGCAGAAAGTGTTTCCATTAGGACTTACGACCGATGTGAATGTTATGTTCAAAAACTTGTTTAAATTTTTTTTTTTTTTTTTGTAATTGGATCTCATCTATCCTAATATTTAAGCATTACATAGATGAGTTCGAGTTAAATCAAACGGGTAAAGAAATAACCAACTAGAGCTATTACAAAATTTAGGATGGGTATAGCAAAATATTATTGGTTTTACAACTTAATTACACTCACCATTTTTTAGGGGTGGCAGCTACTCTCCATATTAATAATTTAATACTACTGAAATGATATGAGGTATATGTCATTACAATATTTTTAGGTGTGAACTCAAAAGTTTTTAATACACTAATTAGAAAACAACCCACATAATTAGCCGGGAAATAAAAGGATTAATGATAATATCGAACGTGGAAAGACATCGTTTCATGTGAATCCGCGTTTGTCACACACGCGTTTCCTTGTAATGCACATCAAACCGATCAAAGTCAGAACCGTAATTAACAATTTTGTATATCGTCATTACCGCTTCACTCACGTGGACTTGCCACCCTAGTCAAACCTTATATATAACCTCTCTTTATCGAGTACTAATCCATATCTCTTAATTCATTACATTCATTTTTTCCTCTTTTCTATTTCATTTCCCTTATATACAGAATCTATAAGAATCTAGCTACTTTGATCTTTTAATCAAGAACGAGAAAGAAAACTAGGGTTCTTTTTTTTGTGGTGGAAGTTTTTTTCGTTTTTTTATATTTAAAAATGATGCAGTTTGTGAAATTTTTCCCACTATTGGCCATCGTAGTCATAAGCTTAGCCGGAACGGCGACAGTAGAGGCTGCGACGGGAATGAACCCTCCGGTGAAGCTGATTTGGCATTACTACAAAATTACTAACACTTGTGATGATGCGGAGACTTATATTAGATACCAAGTCGAAAAGCTTTATAAGAGTGATAATACCATTGCCCCCAAGCTACTTCGTCTCCTCTACTCCGATTGTATGGTTAATGTAAGTAAAAGACGTCTTTGTATATAACTGTGACATTAACATTATCTTCATTTGGCTTATAAGTTATAACCTATGGTGACAATGGTGTTGTTCTATGTTATAGGGATGTGATGCTTCGGTTCTTTTGCAAGGACCAAACTCAGAGAGGACAGCTCCGCAGAATCGAGGGCTTGGAGGTTTTGTGATCATCGATAAGATAAAACAAGTTCTTGAATCACGTTGTCCTGGTGTTGTTTCTTGCGCTGATATCCTCAACCTTGCCACTAGGGATGCTGTTCACATGGTACATATTTACATATATACTTGCATGTTCTTATTAGTAGAGATATTGATTTGATTATTGTAAGAATTTTACTGATTGGTGTTTCTTATACGAATTCTATAAAATGATGATTAGGCCGGAGCACCATCTTACCCTGTGTTTACCGGGAGAAGGGACGGTGGGAGATTGTATGCAGACGCCGTGGATCTTCCGTCACCGTCCATCTCAGTCGACGAGTCATTAGCATACTTCAAGTCCAAAGGTCTTGACGTTTTGGATATGACTACTCTTCTAGGTATCTCATCGTCTTCTTTTTTCCTTTCCTTTAGACACAAACATGCATATATCTTTGATCAGTTCTTCAAGAATAACGTAATCTCAATGCTAATACTATAAGTAAATCCCATTGTTTTGTTTACGTTTGCGTTTATGTATTTACATTTAGTGTTCACTTTTTTCTAAATGCATCCAAAACTAGCTATATAATCATTTAATCGTCACTTGTTATAATAACAAACGTAGACATCAAATGTATTGTTTGGATTTGACATTTTAGGTTTGTTAGTTTGCTAAACATGTTATGACATTATGAAAATGTATAATAGTAATTTATAAATAAAAGTATAATTTACAAGCAAGATTATGCATGCGAAGGAATATACAAGAAAGATATAAGTTTCTCTTGTGTGAATTCTAATAACCTCTACTTAATTGTGTAATGGAGCAGGAGCACACTCGATGGGGAAGACTCATTGCAGTCACATAGTGAACAGACTATATAACTACAAGAACACAGGGAAACCAGACCCGAGCATGAACACGACATTGGTGTCACAACTTCGATATCTTTGTCCTCCAAGAACACAAAAGGGCCAAACCGATCCACTGGTTTACCTAAACCCAGACTCAGGCTCGAGCAACAGGTTCAGCAGCTCTTACTATTCTCGTGTCCTGTCTCATAACGCTGTCTTGGGAATAGACCAAGAATTGCTCAACAACGAGGACACGAAGGAGATCACGCAAGAGTTCGCTGTAGGTTTCGAAGACTTCAGAAAGTCTTTTGCTTTGGCAATGTCGAGGATGGGATCTATCAATGTCTTGACCGGAACAGCGGGAGAGATTCGCCGAGACTGCAAAGTTACCAACGCTAACTACGGAGCTTAAAATATTTTTACGTAATTATATCTTATTTAATTCATGTGTGTGTGTGTGAGATGTGGTGTTTGTTATAAATTATATAAATATTAATTATTTTGATAAAGTTATATTATCAATAAGGATGGAAGATAAATAAGAATATAAGATAAATTATAAGATAAATTGTTGAAGTTCTTAGAAATCAGAACTTGCACAAGGCTTATGTAACAATTTTTTTTAAAAAAATCAAAGATGATTTGGAAGAGACATTAACAACATGAAATTAAAGCACATGTTTTTTCATATATATGATATAAGCAACATTCACAAATAAGAATTTTATGTTTTAAATGTATTTGTTTGGAAGTAATTTTGATATGTAAACCTCGGTTAAAATAATCATAGGAGTATATATATATAGTTTTGAAATCCATATAGACTGAAAAAAATTACATTAAAAATACACCAATCAGGTTAATTTTCACATTTTGAAAAAAAAGAAAAAAAAAAGTGTTTTTAGGCTACAAAACAAAAACGCAGCGTTTTGAAGGATAACCTTTTTGGATACGTCATCAGCAAATAAGAGATATTTTGATAGCAGTCACTAGTCATACTCTGTTGGCTTCGCCTTGAGGGCCTCTCCTCAGCTTTTGAGTCTCTCGCTTATGGCCGTTCCCGGATTCTTCTCTTCCACGGCGCTTCTACGTAATTTCTCTTACTGAATTCACAATTTTATTTTATTTTATCTATTTACTTACAATATCTATTGTCTTCTTCGTGTTGTTATTGCTATTTGCTATTCTCATGGACCTTTTTGATTGAAAGCTTTCTTCTTTGCATTCCATTTGAATTCACTGAAATTTTTCAATCCTCTCCTGAAATTTGTCTCAGAAATTATATAAATTGACTTGTGGTACTTGCAGGACATTGTCCTGTATCGAACACAGATGAGGGAGGAAGCTGCTTCAATGTCGCACCTCGTCGATTTTTTCATCCTCATCGGCTCAACACTAGTGCTGGGTACTATGAAATTTCCTTTCTTTCATTACCCAGTAATTGCATGAAGTAAAGTTGAGTTTTTTTTTTTTTTTTTTTTCATAGTAATTTCGTTGGATTAAGTTTTGTTTGCTTATAGTATCCTATTGTGTGAGTTTTGTATTACCAAGGTGATAGTTCAGTTTGGTTATACGTTCTTAGTCAATGGTTTTTGTGAATCTTGAGATACTGTACAAGCTGAAAGATCTTGTATTCACCATTTATTGTTCTCATAGTGGAGCTCCTGAACTATATAAGAGCCGTGTATATGGTTGGTCCAAAGTTGTTCTCTCTTTTTTTTTTTTTTTTTTTTTCATTTTTAGTTTGTTAGTGTACAGAAACTATAAGTTGAGATCATAGTTTTCATCTGTGGATTGAGCTAGGGAATGTGTATAAATGTATTTCCGTAGTACTTGATGCATTAGGCTACCTTAATCTGTAGTAAAAGGTTAAAAAGGGCCAAATTTTGAATGGACTTGTTTCACATTACCAGGAGTGGATTTCTCAATTGTAACAGTGACTATTTTACAAGAAAATATTTGCGGAAGAATAGGACTCAAGCCATAGCAGAGTATTTGGGTTCAGCTTCAGATCCAAAGAAGCCAACTGGGAAGTCAAGTTATCATCCCTCAGAAGAAATCAAAGCATATGTGCCAGAGAATCCTGCAGATTCTAGGCTTTCACCTCCAGAAACTGCTAGAACCATCATTGAGGTATTATTTTATGGCATCTTTCAGTGAATATAAGATAAAGTTCTGATAAAATTGTTGTAGGACCAATATCTTAATGTCTAATTAATTACAATCATACTTTAGTGTGAATAGTTCAGCGTGCTACCTAATTATAATTTATACGTTCATCTATAAAAAAAATCGAGATTGGTGCCTGTAACCTTATATGTTCCACCATTTTCAGTTTAGCTCTACATTTTTACTTTTCCAAACCTGTTTTTGTGGATCTGACATTTCCCGTAGTGTGTCTTGTTCAGGTGAATAAAAAAGGAACCCTGATGCTTTCAGGTTTACTTGGTATTGGAGTTCACGAGAATATTCTATGGCCGGATATACCTTATGTAACAGATCAACATGGAAGTAAGTTAAAAGAAATGCTTTTCTTTACTTCGTATATATTCTGTTGAGTTATAATTGTCAAGCATTGAATTGAATTACCCTTCTGCTCTGCAGATATATACTTTCAAGTAAAGGAAAATGAGGACATAATGCAGACTGTTGTTGCTTCTGATAATAATTATGTGGTATGTTGTCTTTCCAGGCATGTTATGAATATCCCATTACACCGCATGCACCTTACAGTCGATTCATTAGAGAATGAATACTTTAAGTAATTTCAAGCCTAGCTTTTTACAGAGAGCTTTTTTTTTCTCTGTGATGTAATCTAAAGAATGGTTACCCTGTCATCTTATTTTGCTAACGTACCATTCTTCTGTATCTAAGCATGCAAAAGCATTCTTCAATAGCAGTCCTTTAGGTTTGGCCACTGCTTTCTATTCTTTTATGCTTTTCTTATACTGCTCAACGGTGTTAGTCTTTGCAGTTTGTGCTATTCTTTTCTCTCTATATACTAGTGAGGAGATAGAGATGTAATAAGTTACATGTCCAATGCAGCAAGTAATAGTAGGTTTTGATACAATGGAAATGATCAAGGACATGGAGCTGAGCAGTCCATCTGGTATTGGTTTTGAGATTGAAGAAATCGAAGATGGTGAAAGTGAAGTAGAGGATGAAAACAAGGGGGATGAGGATGAAGGAGAAGACAAGGATGACGAGGTTGGAAAATTTTCTTTCATCATTTGTGGTCAATTATCAAAGAACTTCACATGGAAAAAAACCTGTGTGATCCGTAATATGCTTCACAATATACTGTAATCTTGACTTCAGGAATGGGTTGCTGTTCTAGAAGATGGAGATGAAGACGATGATTATGTTTCAGATTCTGATGAATCACTTGGAGACTGGGCAAACTTGGAAACCATGCGGTATTGCCATCCCATGTATTTTGCCAGGAGGATGGCCGAGGTTATTTGCACTCCCAGATTTTGATTATGGTTTATTGAATATTCACCTTGTGAACGATCATAAAAACTTTGTTTGTCTGTCTAATTACAGGTTGTTTCAAATGGTCCTATAAATTGGATGGAGCAGCCGTCTGCTGGCCTTGCTATCCAGGGGCTCTTAAGTCGTGTCGTTGTGGAAGATCACTCAGATATCCAAAAACATATCTCTGGATCCAAGCCTACAGATATTGACAAAAACAAGGAGGGAGAAAACTCAGAAGAGAAATTTGAAGGCATTGGTACGCCAAGTGTAGATGAATCTGAGATCTTGCAGGTTGAAAACTTGAAAAATGCCATATCGTACTACAAGCTGGAGATAATTAGAATCCAGCTCATCACAGCGCAGGGACATCAGGTTTACGATAAAGCCTCTCCCTCTTTATTTTTTTTTCTGTTTAACAGGATTTATGTCTAATTTTACCGAAGTTAGTCCATGTTCTGAAGCTTGTAGTGTTTGGTTCGTTAGTTGTAAACCTGCTGGTTGCCATTTTTGGAGTGGCAATTATTATCTGTGCTCAAGCTTTTGCTTGGTTGTGTATTTTTGTTTTTTAAAACAGACTGAAGTGAAAGTGGAAGATGTCAGAAAAGCACAGCCTGATGCTATTGCTCGTGTATCAGATGGTATTGTGACTTGTCTAGAAGATGATGGTGATAAACTAACTGAAGCCCTCAAATCTCTTTGTTGGAGACATAATGGGATTCAAGCAGAGGTAAAAATACTGGAACTTATACGTTACATACTGGAATTTCGAAAGGAAGTTATGCTTTAACGGCTATATTGGCGATGATCATGAATAAATCCATATGTTATTACAATGTAGGAAGTGAAGCTCATCGGGATAGATTCACTTGGTTTCGATCTACGGATTTGTTCCGGAATGCAAATTGAGACATTACGGTTTGCATTTTCGATAAGGGTATGTCGTTTTTCTTTTCTTTCTTTTTAAGACTCTGTTTACTGATTGATGTTAGATACATTATCACAAGGCGTAACAATTAGATTAATTAATGTGGCCTGAGAACTCTCTATTGCAGGCAACATCAGTACATAACGCTGAGGGACAGTTGAGAGAATTACTATTCACTTCAGCACCGCCCAAACCGCAGAAACCAAAACAAACCAGTCAAAAGGAATCTTGATGATGTAGCTAGGAGAAACATATCCAACCACAGTTTCCGTGTATTAATGGAAGTGCCCTCACCAGTCAGACATGACCTAACTCCTGTTAACAGTAAAGATTGTTTGTGGTCAGACTGGCTTAGGTGGAGTCTCTTATGTAGTTTGATTGTTTTACAATTGATTCTTGACGCTGTATCTTTGTGTTATATGCTTCAAGTCTCTGTCTTAATAGAGCATTGAAATTTTAACCCATTTATACAATACACATGATATGTGAGCTTCAGTTGTGGAATACGTGCCAATTTTTAACAGCTTCTATACTACACACACGTCAATGAAGAAAGTCAACGCATTTCCTCAACCAAGAGAACAACAGAGAAAGTCAACGCGTTTTAGTTTTATGCTTTTAGCTCCAACATTATTCTCAGACCAAGTCTATGACCACTCAGAGAAGAAAGAAGAAAAATGGGAAAATGGTCGGAGTTGCCACCGGAGATTCTCCACTTGATCTCCCTAAAAATCGATAATCCCTTTGATCTTATCCACTTCCGGTCAGTTTGTTCCTTTTGGCGATCATCTAGTCTTCTCAAATTCAGACACACAACATCACTTAGATGTCCTCTTCCCCTTGACTCCGGCGGTTGTGGTGATGATTGTCATATCTTGAGCAGCCGTGTTTACCTTCTTAAGTCTCATAATCACGACCGTCCTCGGTATTGGTAAGAAACTATAAATAGTCTTCTTGATTTTTTCTTGAATCTTGATGATACATAGATAAAAAGAATTTGATCCTGCCAGGTTGTTTAAGCTGCAAGTAAAAGAGGATGGAGAAGTTGTTCTACATAGTTTGTTCTTAAGAAGAAACTCCTCTGTGTACGGATGCTTGTATCCAACTCTGTCACTTGATTTGCTTAATTGTCAAATCGTTGAGCTAGCGCAAGAACATGTGGCTTGTTACAGCGATTGGTATGAACTATTCGAATGCGTTTCAAAATGTGAAGAACGTATCGGCTTTATGGGGTTAACCACAGAGAACAACGAATTTATGATTCTAGGGAAACTCTCATTCAATGGTCTCGCAATGTATAAGTCAGTCGATAAGTGTTGGACTGAGCTTGAGATAACACCCGATTCGTGTTTTGAAGGGATCGTTCCGTTTAAAGGTAAGTTTTACGCCATAGATCGCAACGGAGGAACAACAGTTGTAGAACCAACTCTACAAGTGAATACATTTCAGCGGTCCAGACCTTGTGATAAGACAAGAAAACGTTGGGTAAGGACATGAACTATTTAGTACTGTCACCGTTTAGTACTTACATATATGGTTTTATGTTCATTCGTTACATGTCTTCAACAGCTTGTAATGTCAGGGGACAAACTCATACTCGTAGAGATGTGCACAAAGAGCAGATACAATTTTCACATACCAAACATCCGTGAGAAAAAAATATGGTTCGAAATATCAGAGTTAAACGAGGAGAGAAACGATTGGGATCAAGTGGAAGATATAGATGGTCGCGTCTTGTTCTTAGAACACTATTGCACTTTCTCATGCTTGGCTACTGAGATTCCAGGCTTTAGGGCAAACTCTATAATCTTCATGGACTTGTGGGGAGGATCTGACTCGTATGAACATGAAAGCATTCTCGTGTTTGAATTCAATGAGCATGGCGTAAGATCTTTAAGAGATATACCAGAGTATATAGAGCTGTTTCCATATCCCCCTGGTTGGGTAATCTCCAACTAATGATCATATCTTGATCAGTTTATTCTATGTAACGAAGTTTTTTTTCTTTCTTCTGTTGTTAATTGTGAACAAAGGCTGGCTATATCTATATTGTAATTGCCCTTCGATATGTTACTTGTAAAAGTAGAATAAAACAATCATCTTGACATATAATAAGATGATGGTTGACAAACACACCTATATATACTTGGAAGTCCAGACAAATAGTATTTGTAATATCTGGTCTTAGCTAGGTTCGAGATTAGCTGCTGGGAGGAGACTATAATTAACAGTACTTACTGGTCAAAACGGATTTTGGTTTTTTTTCACCCTAAAATTCAATGTAACTATGTTTAGTTTAAGGACACACTAGAGACCTAGATGGAGAGATGATGATTCTCTAATTTTATATAATATGATTCCAAACAAGAAGAATGATTGTCCAACTTGTTAATAAGTTTACCCTATATACAGCTTGCATTGCACGGCAAGCAAGAAAGTCAACACAAGATCAAGAACATAGAAATTTTTTATATAAGCTCCATCTTCACATTCTCATCAGATCTAATCAAACTGCTAAATCCAAGTCATAAGAGAAAACAAAAAAAATGAGGAACTGGTCGGAGTTGCCACTAGAAATTATTCACATGATCTCTGCGCGAATCGACAACCCCTTCGATCTGATCCATTTTCGATCGGTATGTTCATGGTGGCGATCCTCTAGTCTTCCCACATTCCGACCAATTCCATCACTTAGATGTCCTCTTCCTCCAGATGTCGGGGGCTGCGGAGATGACTGTCATATCTTAAGGAGTCGTGTTTATCTAATCACGTCTCTTTCTAGCGTTCCTCACCGGTTTTGGTAATTAAATCTTCTTTTTACAGTTTTTGATCCAAAACTTACCATAAATTGGTCGTTATTTTTCATTTTTGAAATCTTAATGAGTGTGTTAAAAATACCATATCAATCATAATTGCAACTTTTAATGTAGTGTACTTAATTAGTAAAATGAAAGCTCGAGTTGAAAAGTTTTAATGAAATTTTTGTTGCAATGTTCCTCGCAGGTTGTTTAAGCTACAAGAAGAAGAGAATGGAGAACTTGCTTTGCAATGGTTGTTCAGTAGAATCACCTCCTCTACGTGTGGAGGTTCATATCCAAGTCTATCACTTGACTTGCTCAACTCTCAAGTCATTGAGCTAGCTCAAGAACATGTCGCTCGTTACACCTATTGGTCCGACCTATTTGATGATGAGGGTTATCCGAGTAACGGTGAAGACCGTATTGGCTTTGTGCAGTTAGATCCAGAGAACAAGGAATTTATGATTTTGGGAACGCTCTTCTCCCGGGGCCTTGGCATGTATAGGTCATATGAGGAGCGTTGGACCGAGATCAAGACAACACCAAATATATTTCTAGAAGCGTTAGCATCGTTTAATGGACATTTTTATTCCATAGAAAGAACCGGACTGATGAAAGTGGTAAAGCCATCTTTAGAAGTGAATTCGTTTCACCGGTCGAGGCCTTGCGATAAGACAAGGAAACGTTGGGTAAGATCACAACTTTTTAAAAACACTTTGATTTGGTTACAAATTAACTTACAATACAACTTTCTTTCTATGCGATTAATCAAAACACTATCACTTTTTTATTGTTGCCATCGAATAATCAATATTATCTATATCCTGATTTCACATAATAATAATATTGGTTACTATCAGCTTGTCAAGTCCGGAGACAAACTTCTACTAGTAGAAATGTGCACCGAGACCCGAAACGAGTATTTCACACCAAGTCTCCTAGAGGAAAAGGGATGGTTCGAGGTTTCGGAGTTAGACGAAGAGCGAAACGATTGGATTCAAGTGGAAGATGTAGGTGGTCGCGTCTTGTTCTTGGACTTCTATTGCTCTTTCTCTTGCCTGCCTACTCAGATTCCGGGTTTCAGACCCAACTCTATAATCTTCGTCAATATTTTTGGAGGTTATGAACATGATCGTTATCAGGTGTATGAATTTGGTAAGCAAGGGTTTCGATCATTGGGAGATATCTCCGAGTATGTTCAGCTTTTCCCATCTCCCTTATGGATAATCTCCAACGCATGATTTGATTATCACAACAAAAGCGAACATGTTTGCGTCATAAGATAGGTTGGTTGGTATATCTTATAGAGCATAGTCAAGATTGAACTAAAGTTTTATACGAAATCACTTAAACAACTTTAAGAATTGTGTCAAGTAAATAGATGTAATGTTTTAATTAATAAAGCGGACACAACAGTGTAATAAGACAAATTTATGTGAGTGAGGGATTTGATATGGACCAGCTACTAGAAGATGCATGCCAGCTTTTATTTACGATGAGATAAGCAACTCCAAACTTGAAAATTGACAATCAAAGAAACAGCACTTATCAAGTCGCATGGGTCCATGGCCGATCATGTTGCAGCTCCAATAAAATCTTTATTAACTTTTTTTTTTTACCAATTTTTGTCGTTCACTCCTTCACATATTGGTAGGATTAGGAAAAAAGAAGAATTGTTTTCTTTTTCCCTTTAAATTAAATCTTTTTGTTTTTCTCTGCTTGCCACCAAACATCCATCCATCCTTAAAAAAAAAAAAAAATTGTAGATACTAAAAAAAAGGAAAAAAAGAAAAATGATATAGCTAAATAATTGAGAAAAAAAAATCAGCGTAAAATAAAGAAAAATCACCTAAAAATAACGAATCACTTGATGGTAGCTCAATCAATTATTTGGAAGTACAAAGCGTACTAATAATAGTTTAATTTAAATATCTCCTAAAAAACTGTAGCTAATAATAATACGACAAATATTAATTCTATTATTTATTGTATATAAATACTATAAAATGGTATATGTGGCAAATCGATTGATACAAATACTTATTGAGAAAATACTTAGGTTTCTATAGATTAGTTTGGACTAAACATAATTAGAAGCGATGGTTAGCCATCATGCGACTAAAGACTATCGATAATAAATAAATAAAATTTAAACTAAAATTTTAGTTTAGCTTAGTGAAAAAACACAATTTAAAATTATCTTGGATTAAACAACATAACCTCAAACTAACCATCTGATTAGTATTCTAATCAATCAGTCTAAGATAAACTTGGAATTAATATATGGTTCAAGTCCTTTTCATCTAACGCTTTCACAAATTTCCTGAGTTTGAGATCAATACTCAATGATGTAGTGGTTATATGATTATTTTAATTTCTTCATTGATGCTACTGAATTAATCATTTAAGCTATTTGTCCCATCACCGAGGATATTTCTAAGCTATCTCTTTAGGATTATCATTATTCTATCAATTTCGATAAGTTTTGATCAGTTTCATAACGTTTTATACAAAACGTTTGCTCAGTAGTAATTTATTTTTATCATTATTGATTTTTCGATTAATTAAGTTTATATCTTCGGCAACGGCATTATCAATCAGCTGCATTAGTCAAACCTTAGTTTTGTCCGCTCTAAAGACAAAACTCATGTACAGCACATGTAGATAGGTACCAAAGAATATTGTATTCTACGATTAACTAAGATATAACTGGACAAAAAAAAATATAGAAACAATTCGGTGACAGCTAAAATCCTAATTCAAACAATCAACCCAAAAAAAATACGTACCTAACGACACAATCTACGCGAAGGCTTTTTTGTAAGCCAACTTGGTTTCTTCTTCTTTCCTACTTCTTTGTGCAATTTTTGAATAAAACAAACGAAAACATATGTCGGGTTAGTCGTAATGTCGTATTATGTACATAATTTTTGAGAAAACATATTTGTATTCTTCCACCCAAAATTTGGCTATACACCTAAATGGACCATAATTCTATTGTAGATTGCTTGTTGCCAAATAATTTTTATGGAAGAAAAAGAAAATTGAAAATGTATTCATGCGAGCAAGAAAAAACACGGTAAAGATTATAGACAAAATATACTAACTAGTTACCAGATTTAGTCATTTTAATTTTGAGATGGATAACAATATACTATTGCTAACCAATTTTTTTTTTTTCATTTTATGCAGAATTGATTTGTAGTTAGATTGGGTAGCTGAAAAATAATGGAGGTGCATTTATATTGGCTATGCCATTGTTTTTCTTGGGTTAGGAAATACATGTAAAATAGGTTCAATTCAATCAGCCTTTTAGCCTTGTACCCCATCAACGAACCTACTAGTTAAATTTGCAAGATGATGCTCGATAGATATGTACATAGTGCACTGATCGTCGTCTTTCTTTGGAGTGGCAACATGTGCTTTTTTGCACTTTAGATCAAATTGATAACGAATTGAAATCTATTTATCCAAAAGTTTTTTATTGTTTAAAATCTAATTGTTGCATCGTAATTAGCAAATACTTAAATAACTAAAATTAATTTATCCCTGATAACATTGTATTCTTCTAATTATAGTCGATATGCTAATAAGAACATATATAAATGTTCTTCTATAAAGAAAAACGGATGTAAAAACTCATTCATATAAGAACATAACATAACATAACATAACACATCAACTTCAATTTTCGTTAATTAATTTTTAAAATTTTCCAAAATAAGATTTGTTTCATCTTTTTTGTCCGTTTTCGTATAATGTGATCCACCACCTAATGACCCAATGCTTTAAAAAAAAAAAAAACTTATCAAAACGACTAAATAAATAAATAAAATAAAATAAATTAGAGATTGTCAATGACGTGAAACATGATGACTAGTTGATCAACAAGAAGACGGCCACGTTGAAAGCTTTGAATTACAGCTATTAGCTCTATTACATTTTTAACATTTCACTATATATGTTTTTACGTAACTGTACTTACGTGAACACTTATTTATAGTACGAAGACGTGTTTTGTTTCTCCCCCAAAAAAAAACCAACTCATTACGCTTTTTTCTATTTTTTCTCCTTTCGTCTTCTCTTCTTCTTTCAACAACCAAAAATCACCATTCTTATTATCTCTACAAGATACACATCAAGATTTATAGATTTCTTTCTTGAAAACACCATTTCCACGGCTTCAAATCTTCATATTCTCCAGGTTAGTGTTTATTTCATTTCTCCTTTTTGTTTTCTGGGTTCGTTATTGTTGACAGAGAGTCCATTACATCAGTTTCTTACGAAAATGCGATCTTAGGGTTGTGATTTTTTAGCCTTTTTCATTCTTTTATCTGATTGTTCTTGCTTTTTTTCCTAAACCCAATTTGAAAACACACAAGAATTAAACACCCAAATTGCCAAATATATGGCAAGTTTTAACGTGTTAGCTGTGTAGAACCAACGTACGTTACGTAATGTAAATTTATTGCAGATTATCATGGTTTACTAGTATGGATGTATAGTGAGTTTTATAGGATCAAACAGGGTTTTCACAAGAGATATGGAACTGTTAATTAGAGAGTTAAAAGGGTAATTAATAAGCATAGCATTGTATGGACGGTCGAGCCATAACTTTGAAGTGGACCCGATATGAGTTGATTGGTACCATACATTTTAGATCTTTTTTTTTTTTTGTCAAATTTAAATTTTTTTTTTTTTAAATGACAGCAAGAAAACAGTATATTTTTCTGTTGTTTACAGGAGTTTTAGTTTCGTTTAAACAAATCTAGTTAGCTTTTTGTATATTTCCTAATTATGGGAAAATTAATCTTGATAACCTAAGAATTGTTGAAACTGTATACGATGTTTTGATAATGGTTTAGCTTAGATCATTGACGTGGAACATCTCAAATAAATAGGACGAAATAGGTTACTGTATAAATTAATGGATTTATTAACGCAGTTCTAAAATTACAGAATTAATATTTTCTTCGTTTTCTAAAATTTATAGTTTCTCTTAGCCAACTCAAATTCAGAAACCAAAAGGAAAACGACAATTTGGAAAAAATAAAAACAAAATAATGAAAACCGAAATTTATATTCTCTTCTTTGTGCTTTCTTGTTGGTGTTTTCTTTCTATTTATGGTTGTTGTTTGATTTGAGAAGGGTTCCCAAGGGCTACTAGATGCACATTGATATTTATAGGTTTTAGTGAAATCATTTTCGATAAAACAAATAATTAGTAGTGCTCTTCTTTTATCATTCTAGCCGACGATAACATCATCGTTTTCCAATAAATATAGGGTGATCGACTTAAGTATAGTCGTATTCCATTGAGCTGAGAAACAAAGCTTAGTGGCTAAACCACTAGACTTTTATTTTGCGTATTAATGAAATGTTAGGTTGATGTTTAGTTTATATGTATGGATGTGGAGAATTTAGGTCAGATTGATTTTAGTGGAGACTTTTCGTATCATTTTTTTGTTGATTTTAGAAAATGTAAATTCCAAATGAACCAAGAACTCAGAACTCCCTAGAAAAGTCCTTTTCCTTGGCCAATATTTTACCGTGAATATTCTCTAATATATATTTTGTTTGCCATCGCATATGCTTTTTTCAACAATCTAAATAATAAAATTATATATGCAATTGAATTGACTTTAAGGGTTTATACTTGTCACTCATTTGTGGTTTAATAAATGAATCAATAATACAAGACAAGTCAGAAGATTTTAAAAAATATTTTCAATCTTATAGGTGTCAACTAATTGTTGTTTGTTACAGGGTAAAAAATAGAAGAAAATGGAGGAGAAAACAAACTATGTTGGGATACAAGTAGAAGAAGAGCTTCCAAGTCTACTAAGAAAAGCCACAACAGAAGAAATGGTTGGCTTTGACAATTACAGTGATCAGAGTGGTCATCCTAGTCCTCACATTATCAGTCGTTTTCATCCTTCTCATGCCTCCACGACTACTTTGGTATGTCACTTTCCACATTCGCAAAAGTTAGGTTGTAAAAACTTATTAAATTATATGACTAGTCCCGAGCTAATTATGTTAAACATATATATTTATATGGACAGAATGGTCAAGAAGCACCAACAAGATCAATAGAGGCAATGGAAGGTCATCATAACTACAATGAGACTTCTTTGTGGACTCATCAAAGAAAACCATCAATCTCAATGCCAACTTCACCAAATATTCTCATAACCTCCGATCCTACAACATCTTTGTCTTCTGAGAGCAACAACAACGTTGGATCAACTGGCAAATCTGTCAAGTTTCTGTCTCAGCCTATGACCAAAGTCTCATCTCTCTACATAGAGACCGGTAATAATGATGGTGATCGTCGTCGTAGCCATGATAACCATCAGCATCATCATCAACAGCAACAGAGTGGTCGTCATCATCAAGATCATAACCCGGCGACGCACAAGCTTAAAGACAACAGGTACAACTCGTTCAAGACTTGGTCGGGGAAACTCGAGAGACAATTCACAAGAAAACCAGCTGCTATTGAACCGGAAACACCAAACCGGAATAACCAGAGTTTGAATACCAATGAAGCCATGCCTGTGGACCGTTACTATGATGCCTTAGAAGGTCCTGAATTGGAGACTCTCCGGGTACGTACCAACGCTTATATTTCTATATATATTAGAATTGAATTAATATGATTTGATTTCAGTCATATATATTAAGCTTGTGCTTTAATACTTCATAACTCTCTTTTATATTCTTCCTACGTTGCAGCCACAAGAAGAGATCGTTCTACCAAATGATAAGAAGTGGCCATTTCTTCTCCGTTACCCGATCTCCACCTTTGGTATGTGCCTAGGAGTGAGCAGCCAAGCCATAATGTGGAAAACCCTAGCGACCGCAGCGCCAACCAAGTTCCTCCACGTACCTCTTTGGATTAACCAAGGTCTTTGGTTCATCTCAGTGGCTTTGATCCTCACCATCGCCACTATCTACCTCCTCAAGATCATCCTCTACTTCGAAGCTGTACGCCGAGAATACTACCATCCAATCAGAATCAACTTCTTCTTTGCTCCTTTCATTTCTTTACTCTTCTTGGCCCTTGGTGTCCCACCTTCCATAATCACAGATTTGCCGCATTATCTTTGGTACATCCTTATGTTTCCTTTCATCTGTCTTGAGCTCAAAATCTATGGTCAATGGATGTCCGGTGGTCAACGACGGCTCTCCCGAGTTGCCAACCCGACGAACCATCTCTCGGTTGTCGGGAACTTTGTCGGGGCCTTGCTTGGTGCGTCCATGGGACTTAGAGAAGGCCCTATATTCTTCTACGCCGTTGGGATGGCTCATTACTTGGTACTGTTCGTGACTCTATACCAAAGGCTACCGACCAACGAGACTTTGCCTAAAGATCTTCACCCTGTCTTCTTCCTATTCGTTGCGGCTCCAAGTGTTGCCTCCATGGCTTGGGCTAAGATCACTGGCTCCTTCGATTATGGCTCCAAAGTTTGTTACTTTATAGCCATTTTCCTCTATTTCTCATTGGTAAGTTTTATCTATAATTATAACTCATACGTATTCCCTTCTTCAGAAAAGTATTCACTAATACAAATCTTCCCTTTCTTTGATTTATAGGCTGTTCGGATTAATTTCTTCCGTGGAATCAAGTAAGTTTAAGCAAAGTACTTCTGTTTTAATTCGTTTTTAGTTATCCGGTAGCTCAACTTCTTATACACGCTACTTTTGTTTTTTTCTTATAGATTTTCGTTGTCATGGTGGGCGTACACATTTCCGATGACCGGTGCTGCAATTGCAACCATCAGGTACGCAACAATGGTTAGGAGCACCATGACTCAAATCATGTGTGTAGTCCTCTGTGCCATTGCAACGTTAGTCGTGTTTGCACTGCTCGTGACCACCATCATCCACGCCTTTGTTCTTCAAGAACTTTTTCCCAACGACCTTGCCATAGCCATCAGCAACCGCCCAAGACCCAAACAGAATAGCCATCACCGCTGGCTCGACCAACTGAGAAATGTAAGCTCAGAGAACATCGAGAATTACTTGAAATTCACAGACTCGGACAGCAGTCAGAGTAATGATCTAGAAGCTTGCAATGTCAAAATCCCAGAGAGTGATTCAGCCTAAATCGGAAGATCATAAACAGTTTTCAACCCCTGGTATAGTCATATCCCAAGTTTTGGTTTTGATTTGTTGTCAGTGTCTCTGACACAAGTGAGGAACCTAGTAGCGTATATGTTGCTGTGGTTCTAATGAGCATGTGTGTAAAGTAGTAGTAAACAAACGGTAGGGGTTGTCTACAATGCTGAACCGATCCAAACAAACCAGCATCTCTTAAAGCGGAACTATTAGCAGTTATCAGTTTACAATGTGCTGCCCACTAGAATCTTTAACGACCATGTAAACTTGTTTTGTTCCAATAAATAAAAAGTTTTGAGGGGTTATCATTGTATCAACAGCATGAGACATATGATGGATCAAAATATTATGGTTCTAGTCAGATCAGCAAGGCTAAGAGTAATAGTTAATGGCTACCGGAATATCTCAATATCAGACTGAGATCAATGATATAAGATCAAAGCCAAATTACCAAACAACAACAAAAATCAAGAACTTGAGATATATTGGAAAATATCAATTTTACTTAAACAGATTACAGAAACAGAAATCAAGAACCTTCAAGAAACAAAAGGCATAAGAATCAACGCTTGAACTCAGCAACAAACTAGCAGTAGAATTCCACAATTGTCCTACGAACAAATCTAAATTCTCAAAGCAAAAGAGACAAAATCTTCGAAAATCTAGTTCCTGTACAAAAGATTTCGATGCATACATACCCGAGGAAGTTCAATTCAGTTCGATTCGACTCATATTCCATTTAGCCGCCAAAGAAAGAAAAGAAACCGCGTTTCTTAGGCTCTTCCTCGACCATAACAGCCTTCATACTATCTTGCTCCACGAGTCTCCAAGCTGCCTGCTCAAATGCCAATCCCGCAAGCGTTGGAGGCTTGTTCAGAACAAGCGGAAACCCCCGATTCGTGCTTCGAATAACCTCAGAATCTTCAGGAATCGCACCGAGCAATGACAACCCCAACATCTCCTGCACATCTAACACTGACATCATATCCTCTCCTCTGATCATATCAGTTCTTACTCGGTTCACAATCATCTTAATATCCCGGATTCCATCGCATTCTAGCAAACCCGTGACCCTATCGGCGTCCCGCAACGCTGTTATATCAGGAGTTGTTACAAGAATTGCCTCATTCGCCGGAGTAATGGCTGTTATGAATCCGGCATCGATTCCTGCAGGGCAATCAATGATGATAAAATCCGGTGAACCTTCCGGTCTCGTTTTCAACGCATCTACAAGCCATTCCAATGCTTTGCCACCAAATCCCATCGGAAGTTTCGATCTAGGTTTCGAAATACATAGCAATTCGAAATTCGACCAACGCTTATCACGTACCAGAGCTTGATCGAGACGGCAATCTCCGTTTATAACCTCGACGCAGGTGTAATTGACACGATTCTCTAACCCTAGGAGGAGATCGAGGTTTCGGAGTCCAAGGTCGGCGTCAATGGCAACGACTGAGAAACCATAACGAGCGAGAGAGAGACCAACATTTGCGGTGGTTGTCGTCTTTCCAACTCCGCCTTTTCCGGAGGTGATAACAACGATACGCGGCGTTTCTCCAGCGAGCTCCGGTTTGCGATTGAACTGAAGAACTGATCGTATTGGACTCCGTCTGCTAGGGTTTTTCACGAATCGTGGTGACGATGACGTTAGAGGATTGTGTGAAAGCGAAGACGGAAGCAGAAGAGATTGATGATTCGTGGAGAACAATCTCAGAGACGCCATTGATGATAGTGCTGCTTCTTCAGCTGTGTCTCCAGAGAGACAGAAATGTTTCACCGAGCGTTGTGGCTTGAGAGGGTTTACGGTTTATCAAGAACTTTTTTGAGATTCCGGTTTATAAATTTCTCCACTGTGAACCGGTTAAAGATTTAACCAAACACACAAATACAGTAATCTGTTGGTTCTACCGGTTTATGATTCATCCGTAATATACAAATGTTACAAACAAATGGCGAAATGAACAAACAATCAAAGACTCTACAAGTTACAATTCAAACAAAATTATAATTTGAGATACCGGTACACAGCTTCGGTTTCCCGGTTAATGTATTGTCCCTCTATATATATAGCAATGTCTATTTTTATCTGCCAGCGTTGGTCATTAGCTGAGAGAACACTTGGCTGCTACTGATTATGCCTGAAGTTCCATCGTCTGCACTGTCTCTCTCTGTGTTTGAGCCACTAGATGGACCTCGTCGAGCCGTTCCTGAACCGGTATTGTCTCCATTAACTTCCTCAGGCTTGTCTAGTGGTCCGGATTCTTGAAGTTGAAGCACATGTTCCAAATTCCAAAGAACATCGCCAATTGTTGGTCTATCCACACCGTAATCCGCACAGCATTTCTCTGCAGTTTCGGCGAATTTTTTCAATGAGCATGGTTTGATCTGATCAGCGATATTCGGATCAACGATTTGGTCGAGCATCCCTTTCTTTTGCCATTCAATTGCCCATTCCGCTAAATTCACTTGTTCCCTGACAAGAAACGGATCAACAGCGGGTCTAGCGCAAAGAACTTCGAATAGAACAACACCAAACGAATAAACATCGGATTTATCTGTGAGCTGCTGTCTTCTGAAGTATTCAGGATCAAGATACCCGAAGCTTCCTTTAACGCCAGTGCTCACATGTGTCTCATCAATACAAGGACCGGATCTTGAGAGTCCAAAGTCTGCAACTTTGGCTACATAGTTGTTATCTAGTAAGATATTGGTGGATTTTATATCTCGGTGGATGATTCCTTGCGAAGAACCCGTGTGAAGGTAATGAAGACCTCTGGCTGCACCAATGCAAACCTCAAGCCGTTGTTTCCAAGATAAAGGCGGATTGGTGGATCCGTACAAGTGACTTTTGAGCGGTCCTTTATCCATGTACTCATAAACCAGAATCATCTCAGACTGTTCTTCGCAATACCCAACAAGCGAAACCAGATGGCGATGACGGATCTTAGAGAGAATGGTTATCTCAGAGAGAAACTCCGGTAAGCCCTGTCTTGAACCAGGGGAGCCTCTCTTCACAGCTACTTTGGTGTTGTCTTTAAGAGACCCTTTAAAGACCATTCCAAATCCGCCAACTCCTATTACTAAGCTTCTGTCAAAGTTATTGGTCCCGGATTGTAATTCCGCGAAAGAGATTCTCAGAGTGTGATAGCCACTAGAACTAACAGTTCTTTCAGTTGTTCTACTGTTAGAACTGCCTCTAAACCTCCTCAAAGGTGTCCATCCCGTGCTCTCTGAACTCCTCGTCTTGGTGTTCTTGCGCCTGCACAAGCACAAAAGGCACAAGAAGAGTAGAGACAAGAACACAAAACCTCCCAATACTGAACCAACCACGATCCAAACAACATTCTTCTTTCTTCCAGATTCCACTTTGGAATTCACAGGACTCACAAGCCTCATGATCTCAACTCCATTCAATAAAGCATTAACCCTCGCAGGATTACTAAGATCAGACGGTCCAACGCTAATCCTCAACATTCCAGATAGATCAGATTCCGCAACAAAATCAATGTACAACGGAGACGCAAGCACATGGAAGGTAAGCGTGGAGAGATCAACATCTTTATACGCAAGATGATCATTGATAAAGACATTGAAATAGAGCTGATTAAGCGATGTACTTACGATATCGCAGAAATGCAAACGAACCAAATGTAGATCTCGTTTCGAATCAACCGGGAACCCCCAGCTAATGTTAAACCTTGCCTGCAACTCCTGATTGTCTCGATTCATCTCCTGAGCAGTCATGTAAACATTATCCGGAGCAATCTCTCTCGTGGCACCACCTTTCTGATAATTGGGAGGATGAGTAGTCCAAGCACGTTTTGCAGCAGCTCTCAACAGAATAAAGTCGTCATCAACAACCCAAGTCCTCCACAATGAATCATTAAACGGCGTCAATTTCAAACCACCAACGTTGATTCTATGAACAGTCTCAAGCACTTGAGATGACAAGTTACTGAAGATTTGAGCAGAGTTAGGGATTACAAACTTAGTTCCTTTATCCATTACATAATCCTCAGGTGCTGAAAACACTTCTACCGCATTAACAAACCCAAATCCAGAAGCTTTAGAAGGGACAAACAAAACCTCAAAAACAGGATCATCGATTTTGAGTACAAATTCTTTAACGACAACGGAACTAGTACCGAAACTGTTCATCACAGCGAACCCATTAATCAAAACTCCAAATTTCGCAGACCTTAAGTCAAATCCCGAAGCTTTAAAAGGCGCGAAATGGAGACGGATAAAGTGAGCACCTTTGCTGGTGACTTTGAATTTGTATGATCCTCCGATGGGGAAAACACGAGCCGTGTGGTATAAAACGGGCGAATCTGGAGATGGGTTCGGGTCAGAAATCGAAATGGATCCATCGGTTGAGAGAAAACTCGAACCAGGCTGTGAAGTGTCGCTGAGAAAAGAACGGATTGAGAAGAAAGAAGTGGTTGTGTTAGCGCCACAATTAAGAAGGTAATTATCAGGTGGAGTGAATGATGAAGCGAAACAGGGATGAAGAAGAGAGAAGAAGAAGAAGAAGAAGAAGAAGAGAAAGGTCTGGATTTGATTTCTGAGAAACGCCATTGGAGTGAAGCTTTTGGGGAAAGTTATGGGTTTATGAATTATGATATTATTAGAAGAGAAGAGAAGAGAAGAGAAGAGAGTGCGTTTTTGCTGTCGCTTCACTGTATTCATATTCACTGCTTTGTATTTTCTTCCCACTAAAGTGTGAGTGAAAGGGGAAAGTGTTTGGCCAAATCATTAAGAAGAACGAATTTTGTCAACAGCAAATGGGAAACCAAAGGGAAAGCTTTTTGTGTTTTTGTTTGTGATTCGGTGGCAATCATTTTCAAAAAGTTTTGCTTTTTATATAGTTTTGATTCATTTTTACTGATTCGGTTTAGTGAAGAAATGGAAACTTTAGGTTAATCATTTTCTTAAAGCTATATTAGTAAGGATGTTAGTTCTTTTTTAGAAAGATTAAAAAACTGTTTTTGTCATGAGATGTGTTTTAGACTAAGAGAACAGAGGACCTCGTGGTGTATTAACCTCATTGTAGGTGGTGATTATTGTGGTTTAAATTGCCCCAACCAAAAAAGTTTTGGAGTTTGGACTGACACATTAAAAATTTAATGAATAAATAATGATATTGTAATGTAGACACTAGACAGGTAAAAAATAAGGTAATTTAATGGGTAAATTAGATTATAGTATTAAATAGTTCACTCGTTACTATTCAACTAACTATAATAATTGAGAAAATGGAACCAACAATAATAAATTAGATTTTTTTACAAGTTTTTTTTTATTAGCATCCATCTTCCTTTACAAAAGTATAGAAAACAATATGATAAAAAATTACAATAGAACGCTAAACAGAAATTTATGAATCGATGTTAATTATATTTAGAAAAATATACAGTCCTGAAAAAAAAAAATATATATATATATATATATATACAGTCCTGTTTTTTTCAAATTATTCTTATGTTTTTTTCTGATTAATGTTTTATTTTTACGATTATCTGATTTTGTTTTTGTTTTCTTGTTAACATATCTTAAATAGAAAAAACTCCAAAAAACTATATTATCGGACTTGAAACATTAATTTGTAATCCATCTATGGCTCTTGTGTTCACAGTGGTCTCACCAAATCCACTATCACCCACACTATCATCGCTCCACGTGTCTTCTTCCCGCCATTGCTTTCGTCACGGCTTATCATCATCAGTAACCATCCGCCGGAACAAATCTCCGGTTAGATTCCCTTCACTACCACCGTTGCGTCATGTTTCATCTCGGAGCGTGAAAGCCTTCTCACAACTCCGATCCCCTCTAATCTCCCCCGATGATCACTGGTCTCAATGGGCCACTCTCTTCGCCGCCGGAGCTTTCGGTGTCTGGTAAATCACCTCGACCCCTAAAACTTCGAGTTTTTAAGAGTTTGTATACTGAAATCTCTGCAATTACTGACTTCTTGAGGTCGGAGAAAACGAGAATCGGAAGCATGGTGAGTGGTGCGTTGACCAGCACGTTACTTGGTCTCGCCGCGAGCAATTTAGGGCTGATTCCGTTCGAAACGCCGTCGTATGACTTCTTCATGGAGTTCCTTTTGCCGCATACGATTCCTTTGCTGTTGTTTAGAGCTGATCTCCGTCGTATTATCCGATCTACTGGGTCGTTGCTCATTGCATTCTTAATTGGATCTGGTAAAGGTTTCGTCTTTGCTTAGCTTGGATTCATTCTTAGGACCAAAACAAGTTAGGTCTTTGAGAATTCATGGATTTTTTAAGTGACATTGTCATAGATGATGTGGTTAGGGGGGATTATTGATTTGTATGTTGGTTTGGTGGCAGTTGCGACGATTGTTGGGACTGTGGTGGCTTTCTTGTTGGTACCAATGAGATCACTTGGTCCGGATAACTGGAAAATAGCAGCTGCTCTCATGGGGAGTTACATTGGTGGATGTAAGTTTGTCTGGAGCTTCTTCATTGCTTATTTGGCTTGTTAACAGTCAAAGGTACTTCATCGGTTTGAAAGGTTCTAGCTTTACTTTATAGATTCCAACAATCTGACATTCTTGCTTATTGAAAAAAGAGGAAAATCTTGCTTAAAATGTGCTTGTGTAATGTTTCTCAGAGCTTAGGAATGGCTTATTTGTGAGGAAAGATGATAAAATCTTTGTTGGTTCTTTAATATGCTCTGCAGCTCTTAACTTTGTTGCGATATCGGAGGCTCTACAGATTTCTGCATCTGTTATAGCAGCGGGTGTGGCTGTGGACAATGTCATATGCGCTCTGCACTTCATGGTTCTGTTTGCGTTGGCCTCAAAGATACCCCCTGAGACTTCCTCAACATCTTCCCCTGGTAAAGTTCATCTTAATCACATGTTATAATTTCTTGTGGTTATAAGGTATATGTTACAATGCGAAAGAATTATTAAAGAGCATGGAAAAGGTATTATCTTACTAGTGGCTATGGGTAACAGTTGGACCAATTATAGAGTCAGTGACCTCCTAGGTATTATGACTACATAATAATGTGCCTGGCAAATTATATTCTTGATAATAAATACTCAATACTGTTATATTATTACATAACCATTCTCATCTTCTAACTGCATTTGCATCCACATAAATGCGCCTGCCAAATAATGTATGGAAGAGAAAATTTTCATTACTTTTGAGTTTTGACAGAATGATTTTCAAATTCTAGTCGCAGTTGCATCCAGATATAAGCACAAAAACTTCTATTTAAAGTTCTATGTGACCTATGGCAGAGGCAGACATGACTAAGGATGACAAGCTTGAGGACAAGAACAGAGTGGTTTCGACTTCAGTTGCACTATCAATTTCCTTCCTAATATGCAAAGCTGCTATTTCATTGACAAAGCTATTTAACATCCAAGGAGGCATGCTTCCTGCAGTAACAGCCATCACTATCGTCTTGGCAACTTCCTTCCCTGACTTCTTTGATTCTCTGGCACCTTCTGCTGAAACCATCTCTCTTATTCTCATGCAGGTATCTCTTTCTTTACACTTATCCATTAGAGATGTATCATTAAGAGGCTATGCCTGACCCAGTTTAGGCCCTTTTATCTCATTTTAAGGCTAAACCCATCCCTGATTAAGCCCGAAGAATGTGGAACATGGTTTGGCCTTTCCAAACGAATAGGAAATAGTGATGGTTCTGTGTGGCTTCTCCTATTCTGTGATGGGTTTAGCCTCACTGTGGAACAGGCCTGTAATGGTGGCAGATTAGTAGTGGGTTTATCTAATTATTTGTTTTCAAATCTTTTTTGGTTTAGGTATTTTTTACAATTTTAGGAGCCACAGGAAGTGTATGGAATGTAATCAACACTGCTCCAAGTATCTTCCTGTTTGCTGTTATTCAAGTAATGGTTCATCTTGTTGTGACTTTGGTTCTGGGAAAGCTATTCTGTATCGACATGAAGCTACTCCTTCTAGCATCAAACGCTAACATTGGAGGTCCAACCACTGCTTGTGCCATGGCAACCGCAAAAGGATGGACTTCTCTTGTCGTCCCCGGGATTCTCTCGGGCGTTTTCGGGGTCTCCATTGCAACTTTTCTCGGCATTGGATGTGGAGTTTTTGTCCTCAAACGTTTATAGATTTTCTAAAGGACAGGTCTAATGATTGGAAAGGATTCTGAAAACCACACTCCTTTGTAAAATGTAATTGATGTTGTTTCATTAGTTTAGTTAAATGATACAGTTTTTTTTTTTTTAATTTGAATGTATGCATATATCTCTCAAATAAACAATAACCAAATCCATTGGTTGAGGTTTACGTGTTAAATGAAACATATGTCGATGGAGAGAAAAAATAAAACTAATAAATCTTGTGGTACTGTAGATTGTATTTGTACTACTGTACCGCTCTTTCAATATAAGTCAACTGTACTTCAGTTCGATATTCAAAAAGTCAACTGGTACTTGTCATTTTCGATCTGAAATGTCAACTCTAGTACTCTTATCATATTATAAGATTCTCCTGATCCGATATTTGTATTTTGTAACCCAAAGCAAAGCAGTGGTGAAAATTCAAAACTTGATGGATGCTTGACCTGGTGAATATGCAATATATCATCACTTAGGCTTGAATTTAAGTTCCGAACTAAGCCTTTTAATTTGTGTTTGACGCACCTGCTCGATCGTTACATAAAACTGATAAAAACTATATGCAAATACGGGGGAGCACATGCTTTTGTTAGTGCAAACATAATAATATTTTCTACTAGGCATTAGCTAAGAAGAAGAAGAAGAAGAAGAAGAAGTAAAAGATGTAGTACATCAAGTACCAATATGTCCACGCATGAATCATGCCTTTTTTTGGCCTTTTAGCCTTATAGAATGTTCTCATATCTCTCAACTCTCTACGTACTACGCACGAAACCCTAATAACTAGTATTGTTTATTAGTTATATTAATAATATACTTTGACAATTGATTGGAACCACAACCATCTTGTACTTCTCATTTCTCTCCGTCAGCCTACATAAAACTACATTTGGTGATAATATATTCTTGCTTCTTTTTTTTAATTTGCCAAGATCTATTGTAGTAAACTAGAAAACAACTTTTAATTTGAAAATAATAATCGAACCATTGTTCTCAACTCACAAGTTTTCTATTCGCAAATCTATATTACATGTTTTGACCTAGCTAAGGGCAAATCTAAGAAACTATCCTATGGTTACCTAAAAGTACTAAAATGCCTTTTATAGTAAAAAATGTTCACACAATTAATTCACTTATGTTATAAATATGTAATATGTTCATGTTTGTTTCTCTATATCTCAATGTTCCACGTTAGTAAATATTGTTTGTTTCTAAAATTATTTTTTTCATGCTGATTTTGCTATATATATTGGCGTCAAAACAGGATTTTGTATTTTTGACCTCAAAACACGATAAATGCTTTTATATTCCTTATATTTTACGTTTTACACCATATATTCCGTGATAATATATGTGACTAAACATACAAATTCATAAACTAATCCATGTGTTGGCTAAAGTAACGTGTGTCTATGTGAATTTGATACAATAATTAATTTGCGGGCAACAAGTTTAAAATATATACTATGAGTTATGTATATTCTCTGCCGGCAAATAAATGTTAGGAGGTATAAGATAAAGAAAATAAAAGAAAGGTATTTTAAAATTACGCTATTAACCTTATAATCTGCTATAAATACCAAACCCAAAAAAAAGGTTTCCACACAAACAACACACACCTACTACATCTATTATAAATTTGTGTATAACATTACAAAAGAAGAAAATGGGGAATATGAGAAGTTTAGTGAAGATGTTGATGGTGGTTCTGTTTCTTGGATGGATGTTTGTTTGGATTATGATTTCAACTAATCTTTTCAAAAGCAATTGGACTCCCAAACTCGCAAAGTATCTCAATACTACTTATTTTGGTCCTCAAGGTATTAGTTTTTTCGCATTTACTTTATAACATTTTAACTGCTTTAAAAGACTTGAGTATTCAAGAACTATCATGTATGTATGTGTGTAGGCACGAATCTTGTGCTTCTCACGGTTCCAATGATGTTCATTGCGGTTCTGAGTTGTGTGTATTTGCATACGCAGAAGAAACCCACACAAACTCAAAGGTTTGACTTGTTATATTCTCATAATTGTTATTATGTATATTTGTAACAAATCATCACAATCTTGTTTATATAAGTGCAGAGATTGGAAAATAAAAGGGAGAATGGGGAGGGTGGTAATGGTGATGAACCCATTGGGGATAGTGACAGCCACGGAGTTGACTTTTTCTCTATTGTTTGTGGCTCTTTTGGTTTGGGCTCTCTCCAACTATCTCTACCTTAGCTATCACGTCAGCCTCCATAACCACGACAACGCCAAAATGTAAGCTTCTTTAGTTTCAGTTCATAGATTAGTCTGAGTCAGAACTCAGAACCATGTGAAACAATATGGATATGTTTGATCGGATCCGATCCATAGTGTAATAACAAACATTTGAGTGAAATGGTGCAGATGGCAGGCAAAGTTTAGGGCTTTTGGGCTGAGAATAGGATATGTTGGCCACTACTGCTGGGCCTTTCTGTTCTTCCCGGTGACAAGGACCTCTACGATTCTGCCACTCGTTGGGTTGACTTCAGAGTCAAGCATCAAATATCACATTTGGCTCGGACATGTCTCAAACTTTCTCTTCCTCGTCCACACCGTCGTTTTCCTTATCTACTGGGCTATGACCAATCAGTTAATGGAGGTATGTTACATCTAACTTAAATTTCAATTTTTTTTGTTTAGACCATAAGTAAAGTAAAATATTGACCATGTAGCCTTGGTAATAACCCTAGGATCGATGTTATAGTGTGCAAGCATTGTGTTTATGTCACTTTTGATCACAATGATTTCTTGCAATAAAAGATATTTACCAAGGAATCTATAAAATACTAGATCATTCAGATTGTTTCAGCCAAACTCGAATGTTCGGTGCTAAATTAAATTAAAAGAAATAGTATTAAAACTGATGAATTTACGTTTTTTTGTATATGTAAAGACGTTTGCATGGAATCCGACATATGTGTCTAATCTAGCCGGAACTATAGCCATGGTGATTGGAATAGCGATGTGGGTGACTAGTTTACCATCTTATAGACGAAAGAAGTTCGAGCTTTTCTTCTACACTCATCAACTCTATGGTCTCTACATAATCTTCTACGTGATCCATGTGGGAGACTCGTGGTTCTGCATGATCCTACCCAACATCTTCCTGTTTTTCATCGACCGCTACTTGAGATTCTTACAATCCACTAAGAGAACCAGACTTGTTTCCGCTAGGATCTTACCTTCAGACAACCTTGAACTCACTTTCTCCAAAACCCCAGGTTTATAACCAATTCCTTTTAACTAATAACATTTTTATTATAAATGCAAACGAGATGAAAAATATTTTAGTTTCTAGGTTAATATTTTTTTAAAAAAGATAAATTTTTAATGTTCCGTAATGATTGTAACCATTTGTTTCATGATCTAACTATAGGGCTACATTATACCCCAACAAGTATATTGTTTCTACATGTGCCGAGCATATCCAAGCTTCAATGGCATCCATTCACAATAACTTCGAGCAGCAACTTGGAGAAAGATACACTAAGTGTTGTAATCAGAAAACAGGGAAGTTGGACTCAAAAGCTTTACACCCATATCTCTTCTTCCATCGATTCTCTCGAAGTTTCTACCGAAGGTCCTTATGGTCCTAACTCTTTTGATGTCTCAAGGTACAAACTTATTTCAGTTTCTTACTTACTACTTTATCTTATTAAGTTTGTCTAATTGTTACATTTCTCATCATATATAGGCATGACTCTCTAATACTAGTGGGTGGTGGCAGTGGTGTTACACCCTTCATTTCGGTTATCAGAGAACTCATATTTCAGAGCCAAAACCAAAGCACAAAGCTACCAGATGTTCTTCTTGTTTGTGCCTTCAAACATTACGATGATCTAGCGCTTTTAGACCTAATCTTCCCACCGGATATATCAATCTCAGACATTTCTAGACTGAATCTCAGAATTGAGGCCTACATTACAAGAGAAGACAAGAAGCCCGAGACAACTGATGATCACAGACTTCTACAGACAAAATGGTTCAAACCGCAGCCTCTAGACTCTCCTATCTCACCTGTTCTTGGACCCAACAACTTCCTCTGGCTCGGAGTCGTGATCTTATCATCATTCGTCATGTTTCTCTTGCTCATAGCGATTGTTACACGTTACTATGTATACCCTGTTGATCGTAACACCGGAAAGATCTACAATTTCTCGTATAGAGCGCTTTGGGACATGTTCCTAGGATGTGTGTGCATTTTCATATCTTCAAGCATAGTTTTCTTATGGCGCAAGAAACAGAACAAAGAAGGAGATAAGGAGTCCAAGAAGCAAGTACAGAGCGTAGAGTTTCAGACGCCGACGTCTTCTCCAGGTTCATGGTTCCATGGCCACGAGAGAGAGCTCGAGAGCGTTCCCTATCAATCTATAGTACAAGCCACTTCAGTCCACTTCGGCTCCAAACCTAATTTGAAAAGTAAGTCATCTATTACCACTAGATTCGACGTGCACATCACAATCATGGCATAAGTGGTGTAAATGATTCTGATACTTTTAATCTTATCGTTTTGCAGAGATTCTGTTTGAGGCAGAAGGTTCAGAAGACGTTGGGGTGATGGTTTGCGGACCAAGAAAGATGAGGCATGAAGTGGCAAAGATTTGTTCATCAGGTTTGGCTAAGAACCTTCACTTCGAGGCAATTAGTTTCAACTGGTGATCGATACCATGTTTGAACTATGTTTGTTTATTGTATTTGTAATGACCTTTGATGTTCAGATATCGTTTGCTAATTGCTGCTAAATTATTCTTGTAACATAATGCAAAAACGTAATGTTAATACATTAAACTGTATACCCTGCAGGCTGCAGCCATATTATTATCATAGCTTTATCACCATCATAGATTAATATATGGCTTGCTCATCGTATCGATACTATTGTTGACGCTTTCTCTTCTTCTTTCAAATTCATATAAAAATATATAGATGATAAAATAAACTTAAATGCTGCATATAAAATCAAATGAAACATAGGGATCGAGTACATAGTATAATATTAAACGCATGGCCGATTGATTTTATAAATGATAAATAGAGTTATTACTAGATGAGGACACTAGGACTTGGAGTAGCGAAGACTAGCAGCTCATCATCATTCTCAAACACAGCCATGTGAGCTTCAGGTAGTGTAACTCATGCCTCAACCCCTTCAATGTCCTTTGTGTCCATTAACACGACCTGCGTCTTATCAACCGAATCCGGGGCAACCCAAACCGGGTTTCCCCATCCAAAATCCGCCTCGTAAAACGACATCCTGCACCAGCTAGACACAGCATATGTCTCCGTCTCAGGACTTACCTCACACAACGAACTCAGCATTGCGCTTGCCACTCTCTCTTTGGCTTCAGTTATACTTCTTGCGTCATTGAGATCGTTTCGGATAAGGTCATTGAGCTCCTCTTTAGTTTTCTGCAGCTTATACACAGTTTCTTGGATTTCCATCTTACTCTCTGAGCTCTCCTTAAGTAATGGTAAAAAGAAAAAATTTCCAAATGCCTTGCGTGGCAAGAGAGAAGTAGAAACTCTAGGTCGCAGGTCCATGGTTTGTGTTATAGCAAATTCTGTTACCTCACCCACCTTTGACTGTCGCACCTTTGTCATGCATCTTAACAGCAGCGCCGTGATAGACTCAACACGGGTAGCTTGTGACACACGCTTGCCACAAGAAGCTCTGTTTTTGAGCTTTTCAATCATCAAAGCAGCAAAAACAAACCTCTTTGTCTTGGATTTTGTTTTTTGTACGAGTAACGGAGGAAACTCGATAGTAATATCAGCAGGAGGGTAGAAATCAGACGCCATAAATTCAGGATTCACTGTGTCAGCATACCCTTTCGCAGCTTTTGTCCAGCTGGAAACAAACGTTGACAACGAGGCTGCATCGCATACCTTGTGAGAGACGCTAACTGCAACTGCGAATCCTCGGTCTCTGAAGAAAATGACCTTGACATGCAACAGCGGCCATGTTTCTGGATCTGCATTGTCCGGAGAGACAATGAACTTCTGAACCAAGTCAGCATTTGATGGGTTTCTCAAAAAATCAGAGAGAAATATATCAACCCGTGCCTCTGTAAACAAAGCTCCCTCGTCATTACAATGGACAGTGACGCCATCTTTGATTTTTCCAGCGAGTGGATAAAAAAGAGACAGAGTTTGAGAGAGTGAGATCTTGAGCCTCTGGACAATAGGTTCTTCTTGGTTTGCATGATCATCGTAGAAGAAAATGGCGGAAACGTAAGTTGAAGGAAGAAACTGATCGAAGAGAGAAAGAGAAAGGGTTTGGAGATGATTAGGTGAAGCGGGTTTGATTACTTCTTTGCTTAAAAGTTCTAGCTCCATTGTCACTTTTGAAAGTTGCTCATATTTAGTACTCTGTGTATGTGCATATATAGATACATAGATACATGAATTCACATCACACGACATATAGGTCGATCGACGAAATTAATATTGAGTTTTGTTTCAGTTAGTGGTTGAATTTTATTAAATGTATTACTTAGTCAATGTTTTTACAAAGGCAGTAATATTAAAGTGTACTTATGTAGTTATGTTGGTAGCTTAAAGGACGAGTTCGGCACCGCTATTTTCCTTTGAACGTCCGCCAGGGTGTATATTACATATGATTCGTTGAATGTGGAAATTAAAAGGTAATTATAAAAGTCAGATGTTAAAAAAAAATAAAAAAAAATAATAATAATAATAAAATGTTTGGTTCGCAATATGCATGTACATACATTACATATCTAAAAAATTGTCTAAAGATATTTATGTTTATACTATATATTTGAGAATTTTTAAAGTACCACGTATTTTTACGTATATATAGTTTTAATTTAAGACTACCATCACTTTTTTTTTCTTTTAAAAATACCTTTATTTTTTATTGAAACGTATAACATAAATTGATTCACCCAACAAGAGTACAAATACAGCAAAGAGAAATAGTTTTACAACCATAAACACAAATAAAAACATACAACAGAAATAAATATGACAATTCTGACGACCATCATTGTGTAGAGAATCCATTCCATGGGTTGAGATAATCACACATTCACGCATTCACACCTCCACAACATTCTCAAATAGGTATTTTTTCAATGAGCAAAGACACGATGTGCTCTTTCAAACACTCAGGGTGGGTGTAAGCATCTTGGTACCGATAAAATACATCGATGACTCGCGAAAGGTTAAAGATTCGCATCAACAGAGGGAAAGGAAATGCGTGAGGCCTCATTAGCTCTTGGGTTAAGTCCTTCCATGCGTCTGAAACAATGTTTCCCATTACTTCTATACCTATTTCCTTGGAAACACCATATTGCTTCATATAACAATCAATGCCAGTAGCTACATGCTCCCTTTTGTGTTCAAACTGCAATTACAAAATACCAATTATGTATAAATTTGGCATAATATGTATATATAGTACTAATTATTAGGACCAAGTGTTCTCACTTCGTAGCTGGAAATGTCATCTGTGAATCTACTGATTATCTCAGAAGCTACCCTGATTTTAGGATGTGAGCTTAACCATTCAAAAGCATCAAGTTTCACGACATCTGTCATTCCAACGAATGTCATGGCTATCAAGGCATAGTAACCTGAAGACAAGATTGCATTCTCTTTATACTCCTCAAATGTAGCAATGTAATCCTTTTTCAACCACTTTGCCTCTTGCATATATCCATTCGCTGTTCTTTGCAACTAATTGTGAAGAGTTTGAGTTAGTTATATACATAAATATATACATATATAATCAGAATGATGCTTAAAATTTAATTCTCTTGGTCTTAACTGATTTCTTAAGATGGAAGCCACAGCCTGACCTTCCTTCTTTCTCAAGTTCCTCTTCTAGTTTATCGTAGAAATCCATGGTGGCGCGGTAAATGTACTTCATGCTGTCAGGTATCCCATTAGGGGCAGCGGGAAGCCACCTGCGTTAGAGCCATCTTATAAGTCTAAACCATGGAAAAAACAAATATTGCACATGGTTTTATATATTAACAAATGGTAGTACTTCTCCATTGCATTTGTGAAAAGCTCAAGTTCCTCCACTGTGCCATATGCATCATACATATCATCAAGTGCTGTGAATAAGATTAGTGCAATAGTTGTTATAACTCGTGCTTGAGAATATTGAGGCTCGAAATATGCTCCAAGTGACCACAAGTACGCCTCTATTATCCTATGCCTTGTATATGTTACTTTAGATTTAAAGTCCATTTCATGGTGCCACCTGAAATATTATGAAAGAAGTTCAACAATCCATGCAAGACAATTATGTTAATATGTGTTGAGTGGCGATAATAGTTACCTTGCTACACAAGAAAGCTCTTCACGATGTAATATTTGCAGCAAATTGAAATCTATCTTTGCAAACTCAAGTACTGTTGGGTCACATGACTCTTCTTCCTCGTAGTATGAGATATATTGTTTTGTTTCTATCCTTGAGATACCTTTGTGGTATGAATGTTTTAGGGCATTCTTGATGCGAGTTGCGAGATGGGGGCTAGACCGAGATGAAAGTTCTTTTAAATGGGAGCTTGAGAAAGCGAGAGCTTCGTCAATGATGTCTTCTCCGTGAGTGCTCCATTGTGCAGCTTCATACAAACTTAACATCCCGTTTGCATCGGCCACCAGTTCTCCTTTGAACTTCCCATTCTCGTCCTTGAACTTCTCAAATACATCTTGAGGTGTATAAATGAGAAAATTTTGGGATAAATGATAATCATGAAAATTTTGTACGTAGTGTTGTTTATTCATATGTTATATTTAAAAGTATTTTTACCAGCAGAAAGTTTAAAGCCGAATTGCCTAAAAACTTGGAAAAGTATTCCAACCGTGTACAAATCGCATCCGTCTTGTCTTATCATGTGGTTAAAGTCAAGACAATCAAATAACTTATCCAATTTCTCTACGATATCTCTCTCAAAGTGGTAAGAGACACCAAGGCGACATAGAGCATCGATGAATTTGATGTTCTCTATCGGATTCGCTTTAGAAGACATAAACGATTCCTTCACAACCTCCCTTAGCGTAGCATGCTTCTCTTGGAACTTGTCATTACCCTATAAGGCAATGGTATACATGAGTTAATCAATCAAATCATAGTATATTGACAGACTAGTAATATCAAATACTACGTACTGCATGACATGATTAATATGAAAAGAATACGTACGAGGTCAGACTTTGAGAAAGAGGTTAAGGGATCTTCCCAGATGTTTGCTGGAAAATCAGCTAGTGGACGGTGGACTTCACTCCCCATGCTAGAAATTTTCAGGTAGATCGAAATGGTTTTCTCACTAAGTGAATCACTTAATTTGCTATATACAACTAAGTTTCATACATATATATACTACAGAAATATTCGGAAATGAAAAAAACATTGCGATAAAGATTATCAGGATTAAGGCATGGGACGATTTTCCACCGTAGAAACTGATCAGTGGTCTTTTATGTTTTGGCTTGTAGGACATCGTACGTAAAACAACCTCGTGAACTCTATTCATTTTACGTAGGAGAATTGTTTTTTTTTTTTTTTTTGAAACAACGTAGGAACTAGGAAGATTGTTATTATGTCTTAAGTGTCTTACTAAGGAACAAAAAAGTCATTTTTTCAAGTATAACATGTGATTTTGTTATAAATTTGTCCCACAATCACTATACGTCCACAAAAAAAAAATTAGTTGGGAATAAGACTTGTTTATATTCAATGAGAAAAAAATTAAATATCTTTTGTTCAAGAGTAGCGGGTGATCTATATTTCTTTCCATCCCCTCGATGCCGCCTTAATTAACCTATTTGTCGTCAGAGCACCACCAATTATTTTCCATGGAAACCTCGTGTCGTAAAGGAAACTCTAGCAAAGAAGAGTACTAAAAACTTAAAATATCAAGAAAGCTCAAAAACAATCATAATATTAAACTTTGAAATTTCAGGTCCTTTCAATTATTCTACAGAACCAAATTATTAAAACTTTCCAAATAGTTTCATGAAATATTAGCTGATTTAAACTCTTTAGTCTTTACTCTAAAGTCTAACCTCACTCATCAACCGCAACCACATTGATAAAATGGGCCGCATTATAATATTAAAGCCATTAAATAAATCATAGATTAATAATTTATTGTGGTACTTTACATACAAATATTACTGTTAATATGTCTTGATCCGGATCAACGAGTCCGGTCATGATCTGTTGATGGCACCACACCACACTAGCAAGAGGTGTCCCGCTGACAGACTAGCGAGTTCGGGGGTCGGAGCTAGGGAAAAGTCCTTCCTCTCAACTTGGTTCCGATATATTCAAATTCTCTGACAAGATTCTTTGACTGATAGTCTCAACCTAGCTTGAATAACCCAAGTTTCATTATTCCTGCATACATATTTACTTCATGTATCTTACCTTTTTCCCCTTACATTCCACTAGCTATAGTATTCTCAATTCTCATCTTGTAAGGTTTAAATGATGTCTCTGTAAAAAGGGCTCGAAGATAGAAATACAAGGGGAAACAAACAAAACAAATCCATTAGGCAGGGAATGTTCAACTAAACTTTCTTCAAGATTATTATGGTTTTGTATTCCTAAGAGCATGATTAATAGGAAGCTCTTAAACTTGTCTCTTAAGTATTTTTTAGAAATAAAATTAAAAAATTTAGAGTTAAGAATTGTATTTTTGTTTTTAGTTTGTATGTATTATTAATGGTAGGCTCTTAACTTGTGGTTCTTAGGAAATAAATATTTTATTTAAAAAGAAAATTAAATTAAAATTTGTAAATTTAGAAAACTTCATGATTATTGAAAATTAAAAAAAAAACATACATGAGACATAATTATAGCATAAATAACTTAATAATTACTGCAAATTACTCTTTGACTATACATTTTTCTTTTTTACATTGAAATTATGATTTTTTCTTATTTTCAATTTTAAAATTTTATTACTATAAAACATTTAATTCAAGTTGGTTGCCATTTAATTTCTTTGGTTACGAATATTAACTCATATAAAAAATAAAAATAAAATAATGAGTTCTTCTGTTGAGTTTTTAATTTAATTTCTGTGTATTATTAGCCAATTAAACCTTTTTCTTCTTCATGTTCTCCTCCTCTCTATTTAATATAAACCAAGGTAAAAAAAAAAATATTTATTGAACACAGTTAAAAGCACGTCACAGCCAAAAGAGAGAGAGCACTGTTTTGTTTTTCCTTCTTCCACCAATCAGTAAATGACAAGTCACTGTCTCTTAACCCATGATTTTTCTCTTAGTTAAAAGACGTTTCTTACCTATTATCATTATTAACCATTTAATTTTAATCACAAAACTACTTAAAAAACCACTAAGAACCTACCGTTAATCATGGTCTAATTCTATTTTGTAAGCATTTCAATTCAAGGGGTTTCTTTTGCATATTTTCATCACGTTGGGTTCCTTTGAAGGTTTTTTAACAAAATGGTGTACAGCGATTGAATGTATTGTAAACCTAAAAATTTAAGAGGAAGAAAAAACATAAATCACATGTAATTCCAAAAAGCTTGCAAAGACTATTTTCTAAAGGAAACTTCTTTTTATGTACACACTATTTTCTAAAGGAATCTTCTTTTTATGTGGAAACGAAAGGAATGTTCTTTTCTTTTTAAATTTTAAAAGTAAAGGAGTACTCTGTGGATAATCATCCGCCATAAACCTAATAAGTGGTCGTTACGTTCTCTTTCTCAGACATATCTAGTAGGACGAGGTTCTTGGTTCGTTATTCTAAACAAAATCTGTAAATCGACAATTAGCTTAGGTGATTGGCCCAATTTGGATTACTCTTCGGCCCATATTCATTAGCTGAAGTTTCAACTCTTAATGGGCTCGATTTTTCTCCCTTCCAATAGTTGAGCTCCGGTCTTGTGTAGTAGCTTAACTCAGATGGATCATGGATGTTGTTGTTGTCTGGATGATGTGTGATCCCGTGAGATTTTTGTTTTGATCTTCTCTTAATAAGTTCAATCCTAATCCGTGAGGTCATGTGTTCTTGAGTTCAGTTCCGCGATTAGTACACTATAACATTCTCACTGCATGTGGCTGCGAGAACTCTATCTATCTTTTATCTTTCAACAATCCCAAAAAGAACGAATCATCAGCAACCGTGCCATGTCTACCGAGAGCATTTCTAAAAGCTAATTAAAAATGTTTACTAATTCACAGGATAAAAATTTGGCTAGCTATAACTATTGAGTATTGTTCCATGGTTCGTTGTGATAATAATGCTTCAGTTGAAGAGTTATTAGACTTTTTATTTTTTTGGTACATTGTAGACTTTATATTATCATATCATACAAGATGATATTATTTATGATCGAGCAGGAATATTAAAAGTCTCCGTCATCATCGCCGCCGTCATAATCGTCTTCTACGTCATCCAGATCATCCTCCACTTTCTCCGCTGCTTCTTCAGCTATATGGTCTTCCACAGCCTCCAATCCCTCCGTTAAGGCCACCCCACCCAAAACTCCGGCCACCGCACCAACCGCCAGGCCTGTCCCCATCCCACCGAACTTGCTTTCCTTCTCCGACGCGTTTCCATATCCCGATTGTCCGTACGCCGCGTTACCATACGCTGCAGGAGCATATGACTCACCGTAAACAGGTGGCGGCGGCGCGTATGGTTCACCGTAAACAGGTGGCGACGGCGCGTATGGTTCACCATAAACAGTTTGTGGCGGCGCGTGAGTATAACCGTAAGGTGGCGTCTGGTACGATCCTGGACTCGGATGATACCAAGGCTCTCTAACGGTGACGGTGACGTCGAGTTTGCCGTGTGGTCGACCAGACGGACGTTTGAGTTCGAGGGTCTTCACAAACGGGACGTCCAAACCAATGACATCACGGAGGCTGAGATGGGCGGAGCCGATGAGAGGCTTTGTGTCCTCTTCACGTCCTGCGTGCACGATGTCGATGTATACCTTGTCGTAATCTTCTCCGTTGTTGTTGTCCGGAGGCAAAGGGATGACAAATGTCTCATTCCATGTGGGACACGTGTCGCCATCTTCGTCGACTCTCGTAGAGGATTTGTATTTCGGAACGACCCATACGACGGCGTATGGCTTGTTTGGTCCGTTACGCCAGTTCACGTTCTTGGTATCTTTCGCCGACGAGATCGTCACCTCTACTTCTCGGCCACGGTACGACATATTTTTCTACAGGGTAGTATTGGAACTTTGCTTGAACCAAAAAGACAAAACTCGGAGATTAACTTTTAGGACCATTTATACTGCAATGGATAGATCAAGAACATTCGGATCCAGTTTGGTCTAGAGACTTTAGAGAGATATTTATCTTTGTCTTTTACGATTTTGTCCCCCACGATTTTGCACGAAGAAAATAACATAATCATGCCAAAAAATTTTAAACTAAACAGAATAATATATATTTTTTTTTTTAATAATCAAAGAGGTTCTGGATCGAAGCCCATACATCCCCTCAAGTCCGAAACCAAAACATGTTATATGGTTTCGTCTCAATCGCTATTAGAATAATTTGGTCAAAATTAAGAAAATAGTTGTCTTGAGAAAAACATATTCTACCCGGGAAGATAGAACAATCTAACACGTCCAAAATCTATTGTCTAAACGCGTATTCCATTTTATCGCCGACCAATTTTTTAAAAGTCGGGGCCATACTATTCGAAATGGGCTAATTCAGAGACATGAACCACGAGTTCTACTGATACAAGTGGTGCTAATGGCATGCCAACATCGTTTCAGAACCATGTGGAGACTACAAATACAAACTCTTCATTGTGCACAACTGTTATTTTTCTTTTTCTTTTTCTAATACTGAGACATTCAAAATCAATAAACAAGGTAAAATTCCAGGAGAAATTATTCATTTATATATACGTAAGAGGTGGGACTTTTGATCATTGGTTCATCCCTGTGGCTCTTTTTCTTCACAGCAAGTGTCTCCCATTTACTATTATTTGTCCATCGACTTTAAGGAGACCACAGCTAAATAATGAATGACGACCCCATACGCTCGTGCATGGATAGATAAGTTGTAATATTTTGTGTTGTAGATCGTTGGTTGGTGTATTGATGTGATTTGTGGATTTGCTTTAATCAAGAACATTTAAACGTACGACGTTTTTTTATTTTTTAAGATAATAATAAATTTTAGTTACCTAACTTCGGTGCATCATGCATGCAATTTTTAGCTTTGGCGAAACGCAACCGCTTAGATTTGTGTGGATGCATGTGAAAGATCCTCCATAAACCTGTTTTTGTAGTATTTTTAGATCTTTCTTTGTAGCAATTCAGAATCTTTAAGCAAAATGTCTTAATGGTTACTTTCTTCAGTGTTTGGCGAAGTTGGTTCTGCTATGCAACTTCTTTGAAGATGATGATGATGATGATGAGTTAGACACGACATTGTATATAACTAACTACAAATTATAACGACGAAACATTGATATATAATTATGATTAGACAAATTTTGAAATAATTCTATCCAAATTTTTTCGCCTTTGCAACATAACGATGAATTGCTATAGTGGTCCACCCATGCCACGTGAATACAAAATTTGTATATTGCCACAACCAAAACTAACAATACTTTTAACAATGTTACGGTCGAGTGTCGGCTACAAAGGCTATAATATACAATAAGCAGAAACCATAAGATGTTATTAGCCGGAGAAGTCGCTGTCCAACTTCCATAGTTCCACTTACCTACTAACTAAATATGGGGAAGTAGTGTTAGGATCCAATAAAGTGTATTTTCTTTTCCCATAGTTAAATATATATATACTACATATAAGAGGAAGTCATTTAAAGAAAACCCTGCAACTTCATCTACTCCATTTAAAAATAATTTTATTTATTTGTTTCATTAACAAATTTAAACCATGTAAAAAAAAAAAATTTAACCATGTACGATCCATTTATAATTCTTATACAATTTGATGTGGTTTGAATTTTGGTTACCATCTTTATCGGCATTTATAGTGTTCTACACGTACATGTAGCATCATTACAATATTTACTTTTGTATCTCAATTCTCAACCTCTCTACCCTAAAAACCAAAACATATATAACTCATCAACTTAACAATTCATGCAAATAAATTTACAGAAGAAAGAGTTTAATTGAGTCATTGATTGAATCACAACTACTTCCATAGAAAACATAAATGCCCTAACCCAACTACACACTGCAAATCTCTATAAAACACAGCCTTTAGTTCTTTCTTCATCACTATAGTCTCACACACCAAAAGCAACATAACAACAAATTGTTAATTTAATACTATTCTCGTGATCAACACATTGATCCAAGGCTAAATTTTAAAAGCTTTTCTTTTCACCATGAAGATAAAGATAATGAGCAAAACACATGTTAAACCAACAAAGCCTGTACTAGGGAAGAAACAATTCCACCTCACCACATTTGATCTTCCTTACCTTGCTTTCTACTACAACCAGAAGTTTCTCCTCTACAAGTTCGAGAACCTTCTAGATCTCGAGGAAACCACTTTCCAAGACAACGTCGTGGAGAAGCTCAAAGATGGTTTGGGTTTGGTTCTTGAAGACTTCTATCAGCTCGCCGGTAAGCTTGCCAAGGACGACGAAGGAGTCTTCAGCGTTGAGTACGACGCCGACGACGCAGAGACCAACGGCGTGGATTTCTCTGTCGCCCATGCAGCCGACGTCACCGTCGATGACCTCACGGCTGAGGACGGGACGGCTAAGTTCAAGGAGCTGGTTCCTTACAATGGGATCTTGAACTTGGAAGGACTGAGCAGACCTCTCCTTGCGGTGCAGGTATAAAATCTTTTAATATATCACTGCATCTTCTCATATATATGTGTCGTCCATGATCGTATATGTGTGTCTTACATCTTTTTCACGTAAAATATAAAATAGAGTTAGATATTCAATAGAAGTGAGTCAAGTGACGAAAGAAAACACTACTTGATCGTTAATTCCGCATCTGAATTATTACACATGTGTATGATTACGTAATGATGTCTATGTCACATAAACATAGTTTTCTTTTTGTAATAAATATTTATTGAACTACATATACTGTATACTAACAATTTAAGGACTAACATCACGTGACAGTAGCTCCAAAGAAAATCAAAACTAATGTACAGTAATATAATTAATTGCCCATACTGGATCCATATATGATATATCCACCAAGATAAAAACAAAAAAGTACACGAAAACGTTGGCTTTAATTATAGAGATTTTGATTCAAAACAAGTTAGATAGGGGAAAATATTGACATTTATTAGCTCGTCTTTATTGGTTGTACGTACATACATATTAATTGGTAAAAAGAAGACAAATATTTGTAGAAAACTAAGCATTATTATTTGCATGTGAAGAAATAAATAATTTGTTGTAGAAAGCCTTACATTACATGCATATCTTATATTTTGAATATACGCATACTAAATATAAGTAGGTATAATATGTGTTTATGTGCAAATTAAACTATGAATGTGTTCATTTTTATGGGTTGAGATTTGAGAGGCTTTGTTTTCCAATGTTTTTGACTATTCGTGTACTTGGATGTGTATAGTTTTTCTGTTAAAAAAAAAAAGATTGGAAAAAAAACAACTGACACAACCACTAAATACAACATTCAATGATACAACAAATCTTCTGGATGTTGTTAACTAGTGGGTAAGTTGTGCGACAAAACATTACAACGCCATGTACTTAGTATTTAGTACAAAGTACAAACTAATGAAGAGATCCACTACTACTATATAGTATGATCGTTACACACATTGGAGAATTTAATTGTCATTATCAATCAAAATCCTCTAAAATAAATATGGATGTCGACTTATCTTTAACTATTAAGATAGGTATCTCATTTCCTTTTCCTTTCAAGTTTTCAACTCTATTAACGTTGATATATACGTATAACTGTATTATATATAGAACTAATACTAGTCATCACCACCACTACTCGTAATTAACATGTTTTACAATACTAAACCAAAAGAAAGATTAAGTAGTTAATGTGCATTTAATGTATATGTTTTTTCAACAGGTGTGGTCGTTGAGGTAGTCAATGTTGTCTTTTCCTTTCTAAAGTGGTCTCGAAACTATCGTCCAGTAATATACCACTTTGATTCAAATCATTAAATTCGAATTTGGTTTTTGTCATATACAGGTGACTAAGCTCAAAGATGGACTTGCGATGGGCCTCGCTTTTAACCACGCAGTCTTAGACGGAACTGCAACTTGGCACTTCATGAGCTCATGGGCCGAGATCTGTAATGGAGCCCAATCCATCTCAACCTTACCTTTCCTCGACCGAGCGAAGGCGCGTGACAGGCGCGTGACGCTCGACCTCACTGCTCCTAAAGACCCTAACGCCACCTCCAACGGCGACGATGCAGCAACTCCGACCGTGGAACCGCCGAAGCTTGTGGAGAAGATCTTCAAGTTCTCGGACTCTGCTGTCCGCACGATCAAGTCAAGAGCCAATTCGGTAATCCCATCCGACGGTTCTAAGCCTTTCTCAACATTCCAGTCACTCAGTTCCCACATCTGGCGCCACGTCACCTTAGCGCGTGGGCTTAAACCGGAGGAGATAACTGTCTTCACCGTCTTCGCCGACTGCCGCCGCCGCGTTGATCCTCCGATGCCGGAGGAGTATTTCGGGAATTTGATCCAGGCGATCTTCACCGGAACCGCGGCGGGGATGCTGGCGGCGCACGGACCGGAGTTCGGAGCTTCGGTGATACAGAAAGCTGTGGTGGCACACGACGCAAGTGTGATAGACGCGCGGAACGACGAGTGGGAGAAGTCGCCGAAGATATTTCAGTTCAAAGACGCCGGAGTGAACTGTGTGGCGGTGGGAAGCTCGCCGAGGTTTAGGGTTTACGAGGTGGATTTCGGTTGGGGAAAACCGGAAACGGTTAGGAGCGGGATGAATAACCGGTTTAATGGGATGATGTATTTGTACCAAGGTAAAGCTGGTGGAATAAGTATTGACGTGGAGATTACTCTTGAAGCTTCTGTTATGGAGAAGCTTGAGAAGAGCAAAGAGTTTTTATTGAGTGAAGAGGAGGAAGAAGAAGATGGGAAGAAACTGAGCAATGGACATAGCAATGGCAATGGTAATGGTAACGGGTTTGTTGCTGTTTGAGGGAGTTTTTAAGTTTAAAGGTTAATTAGTTTAATTAATCAAAACTCATAATTTTGGTTAATTAGCTGATTAGTTTTTTTTTTAATTAAGGAGACAAAAAAAAACCTTATGGATTTATAAGTTAAGGTAATAATGTGCGCTTGTGGTGGTTTGTAATAATCAGCAGAATACTGGCGTGTTTGAGTGTGTAATGTATTCTGGTTAATGTAGTGTTGTTGTGTTTGGTTTGGAATTGTGTAGTCTTTTGAACCATGTTTTAAACAAAAAATATATGTTTAATGCACTTGTTAACAAATCTAGAAAAGTTAAGTGAAAGGATGAACATAACGCTTAATTCTTCTTTTGGTTTTTGTTATTTTAGCTGGAAAGTTAAGGAAATCAATTGCAGTAAAATTGTCAAAATACAAAGTTTGGCGACAAAGGAGAAAAAAGAGCATTGGCGAGGAACTAAAATTAACAGGATTTTCGCAAAGGATAGTGAGTTTTAAAGTTATATTGATTTTTTTTAACAACATAAATGTTTAATGCTAAAATAGATAAGAATAAAAGAAATTGAGAAAATAATATTCTTCTTATCAGAGAAGGACGTAAATATTTGAGAAAATTGTGTGGAATGCCATGTACAATACCAAATCTTCTATAAAATGCCATTTTTCATAACTTCTTTCAAAACATGCCATAAATCCAATGTAAAAATACCATGTTACCCTTTTCCTTTTCTTTCATTATCTCTCTTTTCTTCATCTTCTTTTTCTTTTTCCAACAACAAATAGTTCTAGTAGAACAGATCCGACGGACAAACTCCGGCGGAGCATAGCCACTTCCGGTCCCCTCTCATCAATTAAATTTCTAAAACCTAATTTTTCTCTTTTTCAATAATTATCTCTTTCTTCTTCTTCATCTTCTTTTTCTTCTTCCAATAACAGGCTATTTCGGCGGACCAGATCCAGCAGATGAAATTCGGCGGACCAGATCCAGTGGATTAATTCTGACGGACCAGATCCAGCGAACTAATTCTGGCAGACCAGATCCAATTCCGGCGGACCAGTTCCAATTGACCAGAACTCTGGCGGACGAGTTTCGACTAGAACTCCGGCGGACGAGTTTCGACCAGAACTCCGGCGGACGAGTTCCGGCAGACCATAGTCAGTTCTGGTGAACTATAACGAGTTCTCGCAGACCAGATTCGACGGACCAGTTATGACAGACCAAATAGACGAGTTCCGATTGACCATATTTTGCAGACCATTTCAAGTGGACCATAGACCCAGTTCTGACGAACTATAACCAGTTCCGGCGGAACAAATAGACCAGTTACGATGGACAAGTTGTGGCAAACCATTCCCGGCAGACAAAAACTAGTTATGATAGACTTGTTTCGGCTGACAGTTCAACTGGATCTGATTCGACGGACCACATGATAAAACAAGTGATGCGTTTATGGTGGACAAGATTCATTTCTCTATAGATGGAAAACATTCGACGAACCAATTTTGGTGGACTATACTCGAAATAGTTGTGTCGGATCAGATCTAGTGTACCAGATCTAGTGGACCAGATCTTGTGGACAAGATTTCTTTTTTATTTTGATTTTGCTTTTTTCAAAACATTTGCCTAAGGGCAAAATCGTCCATACTAAATTTTTTGTGGCATGATTTGAAAGGAGCTTTCAAAAATGGCAGTTAGAGAAAATTGAGTTTCAAAACTGGCATAGAAAACAAAATTCTCTAAATATTTAGATTTATGTCATCACTTTATAGGTACTATTTTTCAATCCGTAATGCTAGTTGTATACGTTTCTTTAACCATTATAAATTTTTTTTTTTGGTGCTTTTATCATAATTTTTCCACGTTTTATTTCATTAACATACCGACTTTAGAGTTCCAGTATGGCAATGCAGCATAATCTTACTAACATCAAAAGATTCAAAACCATGTGTGCCCAAATCGGAAAGAAACCAATTGATATCTTCGTATATTGTTTTTCCAATAATGTTTTTCTAGAAACTTATCTTTATCAAATCGCACTCACCATCTTTGAATCCATTTAAATTCATTTCCAACAATCTATATTTAGTGCACTTTTAGCACTATTTTTTTCCAACCATGACATCAAATATAACATTAAAATAGATATTATTAAATTAAAAATATCATTAGTTACAGAACAAAATAACCAAACACATCAAGAGTATATATGGAACAGAGAAAATACTCATATTCATGTATCTAAACAATCCTTACAATTAATTATCAACGATCATGTCTTTGTTATAACTTATTAAGATTAATGAAAGTCTGATTTTGCTGGAAAAAAAATCAAACCAAACACAGTTAATTTTTTTTTATTAATTATAAAATAAAAATGTTTGTATAATATTCCAAAATGAATAATATAGTTTTTTGAAGCTTTATTAAGGTTTAAAATTATGATTTGCATGTTATATTTGTTATAATTTTTAATTACTTTGAATCATCATATTATACATAAATTTAAGATAAAAAATTATTATTTTGTTATGATTCGAATTAAAAAACAAACATACATTACTTAGTTAATAAAAATATGTGTTTAACATCTCACCTCATCTAAAATAATTAAAAATTGGCCGAGAATTATATTATGTAAAGAACATCAAAATAAATCTAAATCTAAATTTTATTAACACTATAAATATTATTCAAATCAAGTAATTTTAAATTTATGTGTAACAAATTCTTCTAGTCAAAGGTATATTTTTAAAATAATAAATGAAAAAATAACGAAACTAGCACATAAATGTGTGTTAATAACTAGACTAACCCTTCAAAAATTGTTAGAACTAGAATAGCTCAAAAATTTAAGTAAATGACAAAAGGCCATATGGTTTTTTTTTGTATTACATAACTGCCATTATAAATTTTTTTTTACAAAAATTTAAATATAATATTAAAACCCAAGAAAAGAAAAGAAAAGAAAACTAAACCTAATTACAATACAAAAAAAAAGATGATTCTTTGCTCTCAAAGTTCAGCCGCCGGGAAAAAAGAGAGAGGTTTGTGTGGTGCCTCCTTCTATGGTGGAGATGACTGAAGAAGAAGAGCAGTTTCGTTTTCACTTTCAGAATCTTCCCAGATATGTTCTTGCTTTTTTTTCTTCTTTTGAAATTATCCAGATTTGGGTTCTTAATTCGATTCGATTATATGAAGATACTGGTACCCAACCCTTCACCACTTTTCTCTTCTCTTTTGGCATTAGAAAAAGCCATTTATTAACGGTAAGAGAAATTTCTGACTAGATTCGTTTTAATCTTCAAAATCTGAGTTTTTGTTGGTTGTTTTATTGCTTTGTTTCCAAATGATTTGAGTGTAGGCAGTATTAAATTCAAGGTTCAACTTGAACATGAGTAGTGTTTCAAAGAGAAAAGACAAATCTGGTGAATATAGCCAAGCTATGGGGAAATGGGTACGTTTGGTTCATTAGATATCACAGTCTAGTTTTATATTCCTCTTTCTTTTTGATTAGTTATTTCCATCTGCCCAAGGAGTCCTAAACTTTTTTGGCTGTTTATTGGCTTACTCCTTTATTGGCTTACTCGACTTGCTTGTTGTTGTCCTTAAACTATGCACTTCAGTCACTGATTAATTGTTGTGTACATGTTTTCATTTCAGCTCTAACTTACTGTGACAGAGTTAGGAAAAAAAAAGGGTTAGGAATGAACTACAACTTCATTTGTCCTTGTTGGATCATTCTTACATGTTTTCTTTTTATCCTCCTGTTAAAGATAATAATTTTTTTTATTTATGTCCTTAGAACAATCCTACACTATGAGATGCTCACTAATGTTGTAAATTGGCTTGTGTTCAGAATGTACAATTTCAGTTTAGGACTGAGCTATAGTATGAACTTTTCTATATTTTTGTGTTTGCTCATGGCTAAACAGTTGTTTTGTGTTGTTGTTGTTGTTGTTGTTGTTGTAGTCAATTTACTTTTGAATTCTTCAGTTTTGTTGCCATCGATTAACCTTTGTATCTTGTAGGGTGGTTAATGTGATTGCAGGACACTATGCATATCCTTTTCAATAAGAAAGTCTAAACTTTACTTTGGTTTTGGTTTTAATATGTGAGATTAGGAAAAAGGCATGTTATGACTGAGGCGATTGAGAATCATATCCCAGGAGGTGAAGAAGGACGCAGCAGTACGGCTCTTGTCACTGTACGATGAGATAAGGCCAGCCATTAAAGAGCATGAAAGAGATAGCCAAGACTGGCAACAAGTGTGGCAGAGAAATGGATACAAGCAAGCTGTAATAAACATAGAGTTTGATTTATAATCTAGTGTAATTAAGAATACATTCTTTATTTAATTAAAAAAGTGGGGAAAGTAATATATTTTGAATTTTTTTACTATATAATTCTTATTCAATTTACACAGCATGTTCATATATTCAACTTTCAAAATTTGATATATTTTTCTAATCAATTCTTAATCATAGTATTATATTTTAACTATAACAATAATTATTACTGATTTATTACAATGCTAGTGGCATTTATCTACTCATTCAAATAAAACTAGCCATCTTATTTATGGGGTTTGTTATGAGATTATTGGCAATATATAATGAAAGAGTTAATTTTATTCTGAAGATAGTCAAATGCATACCAAATATATATAAATATCTCAGGGTTGCAATTATAATAAGAAATCTCCGTTAACATGTACACAACCATATCATCTTTAATAAAAAAATGTTACAATTTACACACCTGCTTGAGAAACACATCAATACTCAACACATAATTTTTTTGGAGTTTCAATAAATTTGGTTGATTTTAGCCAAATTCTAAAGAGTTTTGCACATGGAGATTAACTTCAAATGTCAAGCCATCAATTGCAATGAATTCTTTGCAATTAGATCTTTACAGAGACTCATAGCTAAAACTCTATCTCCTTCTAGTTCGTCAGAAAATTGCCTCAAACACCCCCATGGCCATTTATTTTTCAATTTATACTTAGTTCATATTCATGATGGGTTGTGTAGTTACTTGGCCTTAAATCAACACCATAACTCTATCACAACAATACTAGAGTTATAATAATATTGTAAGTCTGTCGTCATTGCTAGGTTTTAGATGTAATATAAAATATTTGTAAGGGCAAAATCGAGATTTTGCCTCATGGTTCGCCCTAACTAAACCCTAGTTCAAATTTTCTTTCCTTAACTCCACCGTACAAGTTTGTACTGTGATGATAGAGATTCGATATACAAATCTATCAGCAGGCACTAACTCTATCAAATTTATGCTATTCTAGTCAGCGTAACTCTATCATCACTACAAGTAAATCTACCATAACGTGGACAAGTCTACCATCAAGTGTGAGAGCTCACAAATACTGTTTTGGCCACTATAATTCTACCACCACTGCAGTTAAGTCTGCTGTCTAACTCTATCATCCTGTTAACTCTCCCGCCACTATCATCAACTCTGTCAGGAAACTATATCGCTCCCATAACTCTAACTATCTTTTGGTCCTAAATCTACCGCCAGTACCATTAGTCTATTACCCTATTTGATAACTCTATAGTTGAGCCAACTCTACCGCCATTACAAGTAACTATACTAGGTAACTCTGTCATTTCAATGAATCTACCACCACTACAAGTATCTCTAACTTACAACTCTGTGTAATATCATACTCTCTACTACAAAACTCTATAATCCTCCTTAAGTCTACCATAACTAAATTGGTAGACTTATCGGTTGGCGGGAGTTTTTTACACCAAAATATGCTCTCTCTCTCCGACGTGGAATTTCTTTTTAATGGCATCGACCGTAATTACATTTATTCCTGCAACTGGTTCAGAAGGACAAAACAACCATTTTTCATATTGTTTCTCTCCCATCCAAATCAGTAATAAACAACAATTTAAGAGTTAGTTTCGCAATCCGCCCATAATAAATTGATGAATTTGGTTTGTGATTGTTGTATTTTTTTGTTTTTTTTGTGTGCGCAGAGAAACGGATATCAAATCGAAAACCCTAAATCCAATCTACCATCGTTCCTATCTGAACAGAGCAAAACGAGAGAGTGAAGCCTTTTCACATTTCGGTGTCCTCATGTTTTCATTAATACTCCACAGAGGAAGAAGGTCTCGCGAGTTACATCAATGGCGGAATCTCATGAAAGCTGCTCCTGTAATAAATCTTCTTCTTCCTCTACAAAACGCATCTCCTCCTTTTACTGAATCCTTCTCTTCTACCACCACCACAGATCTTCTGAGTCTTGAAGATGAACGAAAGAGAAAGACTTTCACAGTCTCTTACCTTATTGATTCGTTAGGGTTGACCACAAAGCTCGCAGAATCAATCTCAATGAAAGCCAATTTCAGTAGTAAAGGTAATCCTGATTCAGTTCTGAAACTTCTAAGAAGCTACGGATTCACAAACTCTCAGATTTCGAGTATCATTGCTACTTACCCTCGTTTCCTTGTTGAGAATCCTGAGAAGTCTCTTCGTGCTAAGCTCCATTTCTTGAAACTTAACGGAGCTTCGAGCTCTGAGCTTACTGAGATTGTTTCGAAAGTTCCTAAAATCTTGGGGAAGAAAGGAGGTAAATGGATTAGTCATTACTATGATTATGTTAAAGAGATCTTGCAAGATCAAGATAAGTGTTTCTTTTCTTCTTCTCCCAAGCAGTCGAATCGAACTCGGAATGTATCGGTTTTGAGAGAGTTAGGAGTGCCTCAGAGACTGTTACTTAACTTGTTGATCTCTAGAGCTAAACCAGTTTGTGGGAAAGAAAGATTTGAAGAATCGGTTAAGAAGATTGTTGAGATGGGTTTTGATCCGGCTAGTCCTAAGTTTGTCAATGCTTTGTATGTTTTTTATGAGCTTAGTGATAAGACGATAGAGGAGAAAGTGAATGCTTATAAAAGTTTAGGACTTGGTGTGGATGAAGTTTGGGCGATTTTCAAGAAATGGCCTTTCTTGTTGAAATACTCTGAGAAGAAGATTGTTCAGACGTTTGAGACTTTGAAGCGGTGTGGTCTAACGGAAGAAGAGGTACGCTTAATGGTTAAGAGGTACCCTGAGTGCATAGGGACTTCAGAGGAGAAGATAGTAAAGTCAGTTGAGACTTTTCTGGAGCTAGGATTCACGAATGACGAGTTTGTCATGATCATCAAGCGACATCCTCAGTGCATTGGATTAGCTGCGGATTCGGTGAAGAAGAAGACTGAGTTTCTTGTGAAGACAATGGGTTGGCCTCTAAAGGTAGTGGCTTCTACACCTATTGTACTCGGATTCAGCTTGGAGAAGTTCATTTTCCCTAGGTGTAATGTAATCAGAGCTCTTGTATCGAAAGGGCTGATCGATGAAATCCCTGCGATCTCAACTGTTTTGACGAGTCCCAAGTTGAAGTTTTTGAAGCTTTTTGTAGAGAAGCACAAGGATGTGTCAGCTGATTTGGTCTCTATCTTCACCGGAGATAGCAGTCTAATAGATTAGATACCAACCTCAAAGATTGCTTATTGTGATTTCTTCTATCATTAGAAAATGTATTCATCAGTTTCCCAAAATGTGACCTTTTTGTTGTAAAGAAACACTTTTTAGGGAGTAAAGCTATAAATAAGGACAGTTCAAGCTGATTCAGACAAGAAACCTTGGGATCAGTAAGATATTGTGAAGCCTTGTCACTGTCTACTAAAAACTTGGTCGTTTTCGCAATTAAGGGTGCGTTTAATATTTGTCTCCAATTAGTCTTGTAATTAGTTTTATTAACCTTTTTGTGTGGTCACAAGATCTCTCCAAATTCATTTTCTCTCATTTTGTATATAAAAAAGGTAATAATAATTGTAAGGCCCAGAAATAGATAAGAAGACAGAGAAGGTTAACCACTCCATCTCTACGCTCTTTTCTTACCTCACCAGTCACCAAACCAAAACTCTCTTCTCGATCATATCTTTGAAACCTAAAAAGCTTCTACGATGTCGGAAGAGATACGAGAGCAGCATGATCTCCCCGACTCTAAACCTTCTCCACAGCAACCGCAACCACCACCAAAACGTGGTCTCATCAGCCGCAAAAGACAGCTTGTGTTCCTCTCTCTCATGATTTTGCTAGCTGCAAAAGGACTCGTCGGAATCGGAGAGATAGGGTTTGTAATATTGTGTTATATCTACTTGTATGAGTTCATCGCTAGATTTGCCTTCCCTCGCAAGCAAACAGAGCAGAAGAAGAGACTCTCAAACCCTAAAAACAAACTCTTTCAACTTTACTTCCTCGCCACTGCTATTATAGGTTTACAAATCTCTTCTCATCTAATGTTCTTTGTTTTTTTTGTTTTCTTGTAAATAACCAAACTCTCTTATAGGTCTACTCTTCCCTATATGCTACATCGGAGACGGAATATACCGTGGAGACATTCACGGCGCCGGAGCAGCCGCACCGCATCTATTCCTGCTCTCAGGCCAAGCTTTCACAGAACCTATTGGTTTCTCCGACAAGTTCTCAACTCCAATCGGTATTCTTGGCCCTGTCTTTTACAACGCTCGTCGCATTTTCTCCCTTTTGGATTGGGTTAAAGCAGAGTTCTCAGACACTCAGCGTCCCGGTGGTCCGGTGAGATTATACGGAGGAAGAGCCATTGCGTTGGTTAACACGGTGATGTGGTTTTACAATCTGTTTGGTCTCTTGTTGCCTGTGTTTCTTCCTCGGTCTTGTGAGATTTACTTCTCTGGTGATAATAACAAAGATGATTGAAATGAATTGTATTGTCTCGTTTTAGTAACTCCATGGATACATGTATACAATAAATGTATCTACTGTTGAGTTGTTCCTTTTAGTGCTTTGTGTTTCTATGTCTCGATCGGGTAAAAGTTTTGTGTCTAATACGTATAACTTTCTTTTTGGCATAACGTTATATCACCCAAATCACACATTGCCTTTAAAACACCCAAATCTTTCAACAGTAGTACGTCACACGACACACAAATTTAATTTAAGTATTGACAACACAAATTAAGTCCTCATCATAACTCATTACACATTTCAACAACTTAACTTTGAACTCTTAGGAGCAACGCCGTGTTGCCTTGCAAAGAAACCTTCATAAATATTTTTCACATCATCCTTCGATTACTCGAAAATCTCCCCGATCTCTTTTTTCAGCAGTCCCTTGACCTGTCAATGCAAAAGTCCAATCATTTTTGGTTTTGAAAGGTACAATTAAACCGAGTTCGTGTAGTTGTGAAATGGTATTGTAGCTTAAAAACTGTGATATACTGTCACTTGTTTGATTTTTGTTTTGAAAGTTGACTTTAATTAACTGTGAAAGATTTGGTCACCAACTTCTGATTCAGAAAGGGGGAAAAAAGAAGGAGAAATTGAAGGATTCGATGATAATAAGCTAACCTGTTTTGCTGAAAGTCCGATGCATTTCAAATCATCAATCTGCAATAGAAAATACAAGGAGCTTACAAACAAACCAAAACAACTATGAACTCTCCACATTGAAAAAAACTGAATTTGGAGACATGTTCAGTGTTACATATAACTAAAGGCATGCTATTTTAAGCCATATCATTTATAGTGAATGTGGCACTTACCGTGCTAAATGGAGATTCTTCGCGGAGCTCAACTATGGAAGCTGCTCTTTTGTCGCCAATACCCTGTCATTCATCAATATAGGACATAAACAAGCTAGTTACTAAACTATTTAATTTAAAAGTAGTTAGATTTTTAAAAATTCTGATTAAGCTAGTCATCTCACCTTTAACTTCTTTAGATCTTCCCTGTAAATACACAAGAGAAGAGAAAAGCTTCATTTAGTTTCACTTCTTTATCACAGCAATACAGTCAGGACTTCTAAATAATACAGACCCAAGCATTCATGTAACTTTAACTGAGTTATACCCGAAGACATTATATCAAGATTTGGAAAGCTACTAACACTCCAAAGATTTGGAAGATATATACCTTAAAATTAAACAAAGAAATTAGAAAACTTACTTTCCAGCTGTGTTTATGAACTTGAGGTACTCTCCAACAACAGACTTCTGCAACATTCCAGAAACAAAAAAAATGCATTATGTCAGTTAAGGTACTCTCTATGTTTATTTAAATTCAATGAAATGTCAATCTTAATCAAACTTGTTAACTCTATTTACCTTCAATTTAGAGCTGTGTGCGCTATATGTCTTCCAAGGACTGCAGTCAATGCTCGAAGGCATAGTTTTCTCAGGCGTTCTTAGCTCTGCACTGACAATAGCTTCAGCAGTAATACCACTGTGCTCTGATGCTTCTTCTGCCGGTGATTCAGTTAATGCAGTTTGATATTTCTCAGGTACTGATAGTTGGTCTGAGAATTTGCACATTGACTTCAAATTGTTTGACAGTTCTCGAAGTCGCATGGTAAGTGGTGGTGATGCAGTTTCATTGGCTTGCAAACTGTTGTTTTCTTTGTCCAGGTTTTCACCTACCATAAAGAAAAAGACCATGAATTGAGCAAATATTTAATTATATTACTTTGTTAGATTAATGTCACAAGACTCACAACCTACCTTCAATAACCAGAGTCAGATCTTCTTCAATGACTGAGTTATTGTCATCTCTCTCTACTACTATTGGCGCTGCTATACAAAGAAAACATATAAGATCAAAGTTAAACTTTCCTTTAAACCTGATAGTTCTTCATCAACTTTCCAGTCTCAGTCGCACCTTTTTCAGCAAAAGCATCATCACAATAAGTGGCTCCTGACTCATGTTCTTTAGGTGAATCCTGGAAATTAATGGAAGAATTGTCAGTACTCATGATATCCAGATGTTGAAACAAAAGATAAACCTATACAAATTACCTTATCTGTAGTTTCAACAGCTTCTGAGCTTAAAAACTCACTGGTTGAAGAGCTCTAGAAATGAAAAGAAGGTAAAAATTAGATATTCTGGGCAAACTGAAACGAAACAAATGAAACAGCTCCAATTCTTTGAATATGTTTGGGCATGTTTCTTGAGATGCAGAGAAGTTGCAGACGGAGAATTTACCGGTTCCATGGGTACCGTTGAACTTGAGAAAGCCAGACCAGAATCCTAAAAAAAATCAAAGCCAGTCATGATCCACTGAGTATAAGTATGTTTTTCAAATTTTCATTAAGCATTGTTGATATAAATTATTACCTCTTCTACCAAAGAAGACTGAGAATTTGTAACAATAGAAGATGAGCAGACTTCCTACAATACAAAAATAGAATTGTTTGTAAGTAATGCCTTGGTACTATATAACAATGCAGCTCCTATTAGTTCAATTTTGCAGAGACTTACTTCTTTATATGAGGAAATCTGACTGTTCAAGACAACCTTCGAAGTGGAGATTTCCTGCATCACAAGAAACAGAAGTGTCAGTAGTGGCGAGAATAAACCAAAGAGCATTACTCTATATAATATATAGAATGAAGATGCTTTACCTTTTTAAGTGCCATCCTTGCTTTACCTTCCATCTACAAAATCGAAAACAAGTTTAACTAAACTATTTCTGAATTCACAAGCATTAAAAAGGAAAGTTGAATTACCTTTTTAGAGTTATTTTTACATTTCCCCAAGTCATTCGATTCGCCGAACAGTTTCCTTCAATTGTCAAGAAAAAAAATCATCATTTTTTATGTTCTAAAACTGAACAGCAGAGCAGATGCAGGTATATCAAGGATATTAAGGCTTAGAGTTGATACTAAGCTGGTTCTGAAAGATTTACCTTGCTTTAAGTGCAGAAACAGCAGTGTTGATTTTAGTCTTTCTCTCTGTTACATTTCCCCTTAGCACTGTCTGTTTTTTAGAAGTAGCAGACACAGTCAAAGGTGTCTGTCTCCTTTGAGCAGCAGAAGTTAATGAAAAAGATCTTTCAAGACTGTTGATCTTCTTCTTAGTAGGATTATTCATGGCTCGGTTACCGCCTAGACAGATCCGTGATGCTAAGTTTAGCATGTAAAAGGAGTCTTGGCTAAATTCCCTGGGCTGAAACAAGAAAAAAATAGGTTAGCATCGCCTGCAATTACATTCGTTTAATCATAAACTTAAAAAAACTCAAAAAGCAAGCAAAGTATCTACCAAACAAGTGATAAGCAATGTTCTTTTGCATCCTTGTAAACAATCCTTCAACATGCGAGTGAGTTTGCTCTCCCGATATGGTACATGAGATTCATTTGCGTTGAGAGCATACATGACATTCTGCAAAGCATAAATCGACTTATTTATCCTGGCAATCTCTAGAGGAGCTAGAGCACTGTTTTGCTTCCTGGAGTCCTCATATCCTGTTAAAGGAAGACAACACCAATCACAATGCTGACACAAGATTATCATGAAGAAAATATCATTAAAATGTGACATTAAAATACTCAACCTGCCATATCAAGAAAGGTCATCCTCCCTAAATTGGCGTTGCCACTGGTAACATGTATCATCACACCTTTATGACTCTTAACTGGAGGGTCACTACTCAGCTTCTGAGTTTTCTTGAGACCAAAATATAAGTTCTGGAACTCTGAGAGAGACTTGACAGGTACCTGGAAAGTAGAAACTTTGAAATATTTATGATGCTGCCAAAAATACGCATGTCTCAAGACGACTTATGCTCAAGAACACTAAATATGACTTGCCTGTGAAAGTCCCTTTAGTTGAATCTTCCCTTGTGCACCTTCTAGTACAGTAACCACTCGCTTATCTTGGTCTAAGAGATCATACACAGTTTCCTGAGAAACCTCGTACACTGATACAGAAACTGAGTCTCCTCTTTCCTCAGCCATGGATAACATCTCAGACATTGTAAGAACAGCTAGACCAAATTCCCTCTCGTTTCCCTACAAACACCATGTCGTACATCAGTCACTTAACATTTTCACCTATAGACTATAATGATAACATCAACTTGCAGGTATCATTGCTTTCAGTACCTGGATTAGATGTGTTTTTCCGCTACTTCTTGCTCCGTGGGCAATAACATTAGCATCTTTACCCTCAAAGACACTAGAGATTAGAGGTTTAATCTCCTTAGTGAGAATCAAATCAGTGGATTCACTTTCTTCGTAGCAGTAGTCCAATTTGTACAAATCTTTCGAACTGTCACAAACACAGAAAAAAAAATTAAAGACTTACTCGTTAATTAGGCTTGAACAGTCGCTAATCCACTGGAGACTCAGAATGATTTAACTAAAAGTATATTCTCAGTGAAACATTTTGGTGTCCAATTATATCATTTCTCCATAAGCTTTATAAGAAAACAGAAGACTAGCGAAAGAGTTCATATTTAAACACAAATGTTAGATTAAATCAACCAGTTCCATGACAAGTCCGATAAATCCAACTCTAAATCGCACATCAAATTCCCAAAAAAAATCGTCTTGACACAATTCTCAACAACGAACAACACATCAAGACAGAGTAATTGAAGAAAACCCACAAAAATTAGATAAAATTGAGAGTTTAATCAAGCAATAAGAATGAGAGAGGGGATGAAGAGAGAAAATTACCCAGCGAATTGAGCTCCAAAGGAGATCGAAACACTCTCGGAATCTTCACCCAACGGCTTCTGAATCAATATCGATCTTGTTGACGATGGATCCGTCGATGGCTTAACCCTAGCCACCACTCGGACCATTTTCGTCATCCTCGTCTCCATAATCTCAAAAACTAAGTTGCCCTTGATTTTCTCACCGATAGAATCAGAATCGAACAACAGCAAAGGAATCACTCTGGATAAAGGGAGAAACGTTTGAATTTGAAGATTTTGTTTCCTTTGAGAGAGAGAGAGAGAAATGAAATGAGCCGTTAAGTAAAATTTTGAAATGCTCCAAGTCTGGCTCCTTTCGATTCTGACTCAGAAATAATTGGTCCTACCTAGGCGTCTACGAGAAGCTTACACACTGAAACGCTACCGTTTAATGAAAATAAACCGCAGCGTTTAGCGAGGGTCTATAACTCTATATGTAATTCGCTTTCGTATGCATTTAATTGAGGCCAGGCCCAATTAAACTTACGAAGCTCAATAGCAAGCCCAATAGTAAGCATTTTGTTTGTGAAATTAGGGTTTTATTATATATGATGTATCAGAAATTTTTTTTGAGAGCCCTAGTCGTTTCTGTACACTGTCGTCCAGCCGTCGCTGTGAGTCTCCCTCTCTCTCTCTCTCTATCGACTTTTCTCGTTTCTTTCGTTAGGTGTTGTTGCGTCATTGTTTGATAAACTCAGGATTTAACGTTTTTGCCATTGGATCAGGGTTCAGTAAAGGCTTTCGTGTGTGTTGATTTAGTTGAATCCACTGATTTTTTTTTTCATTTCGAGCTTTGCTTTGAATTGGTATTAGGATTTTGTATAGCATTTGTATAGCATCACTTGGAATGTGTTTAATTGTACTCATTTGCTCGTTGGATGTAGTTTTTGTTAATTGCTTTACATGATTAGGATTGAAATCTGTGATTATTTTACTTTTCTGTGTATTTACATGAAGACTTGGTCTCATTATGTAAATTTTGTCTTTTGTTCCTTTAGAAAAATGAAGCACAACAACGTTATCCCGAGCTCACACTTTCGCAAGCATTGGCAGAACTATGTCAAGACTTGGTTTAACCAGCCTGCCAGGAAAACCAGGAGACGTGTTGGTTAGTTAAATTCTCTTTTTTTTATCTTTTTTCTACTTAATCATTTCTTTAAAGTTGTGTGATTGTGTAGTAAAAGTCTCTCATTCACTTATATCTCAGTTTTGTGTGATGTGTTATCTCAGCTAGACAGAAGAAGGCTGTGAAGATCTTCCCTCGTCCTACCTCTGGTCCTCTCCGCCCTGTTGTGCATGCTCAGACTCTTAAGTACAACATGAAAGTTAGAGCTGGAAAAGGATTTACTCTTGAAGAGCTTAAGGTTTATATTCTGGATTTTTTCTCTCTTTTTTGCTGTTACTATTTTATATTTTATAGTAATGCAGATGAAAGATTTGGGTTTAATTAGGCTGCTGGTATCCCAAAGAAGTTGGCCCCAACTATTGGAATTTCTGTTGATCACCGTCGCAAGAACAGATCTTTGGAGGGTCTTCAATCCAATGTCCAAAGGTTAAAGACATACAAAGCTAAGTTGGTTGTGTTCCCGCGCAGATCCCGCCAAGTCAAGGTATCATCAATTTGAGATCTTAGATAGAGAAGTACAATGAGATACACACCTCTTGATTGAGTTCTTGTTATATGTATATAACAATTTGGTATTGTTTATTTTCAGGCTGGTGATTCTACTCCAGAGGAGCTTGCTAATGCTACTCAAGTCCAGGGAGATTACATGCCTATTGTTAGCCAGAAGGCAGCCATGGAGCTTGTTAAGGTCACTGCCGATATGAAGGCCTTCAAAGCTTATGATAAAATCAGACTTGAGCGCACAAACGCACGCCATGCTGGTGCCAGAGCCAAGAGGGCAGCTGAGGCTGAGAAGGAAGAGAAGAAGTAAAGATCGTTGCTTTAGAGTTTTAATCATTCTTGAATTTCTTTGGTTATTGGTTTTGTGTAAGACTTTTCTTTTTGGTGCGGTTTATCAATACTTAGTAGATCTCGAATTTCTGGTACTTGAGTTTTCTGAGTTTATAGAAGAATCAAGAAATTACAACTACGGTTCCAAGTCATTCAGCCATTCCTTCCAAATCAAGTAATGCTCGTAACATAATTGAACAGTGGAGGATTATTGAAATTGGATGTTATCAGTTGGATGGTATCAGTCGGATGTTATTATTTGCAGTTAATAGCATCTATAGCTACCAAGGCAACTGTAACATATCGCACTGATGGTAAATATTAGTAACATAACAAAAGATTACAAAATGATACAATTTTGAGTTCTGATCACCACTGACCAGTACTGTAAATGTAATGGTCATCCCATTATTCTCTTTATTTTATTCATTTAGAAACAAAATACAAAAAGTTGAAAGGACTTTTCTTACTTAGGTCTTGAACTTCTGAGAGAGCTTTCCAACTCCATCTCTACACTCCTCAGCCATTCTCTTGACCTTATCGCTCACCTGAACTGTCCCTTTCCCAACTTCCTCAGCAGCTCCTTTTGCCTTAACAATGGCCGCATCTCTCATTTCTCCGGCTCGCTTTCCTAAATTCTCTGTGTATTCCTGCAAAATTGTAATCCACGATCGTATTTTCTCCATCACAATGAAAATCACTTCCCGGGATTTTCCTCCCACGGTTCCAGCCATCTCTTTCAGCTTATCCATGAGGGTTTTGGCTCTCTCCTCAGTTTCTTCAACCGAAGATCCCTCCACTTCGTTTAGTAATACGCTTTGTTCCGTCTCTCCAACGCTCGTCTCTTGAAGGTCTTTGTCAACAACAACTCTCAGTCCATTTGTTTCCCATCGCTTTCTTGCCTCTTCTAAGGATCTTCCTTGTTCTTTAGCTCTCTTTGCTTCTTCCTCGGCCCACGATCTGAACATTAACATATGATGGGAATACGGTTATGGACAGATTGAAAGGTTTATACTTTATACTATTACAGTCTTGGGTTAGATATCAATAGAAACTTTGACAATATAAAAGTTATGTAGCTCTGAGTTTTGAAGTACCTGGCCATAGACAGGGCTTTTCGTTCAACTTCCAATTCATACTGTAACTTTGAAATCCGTTGGCTCTCTTCTTCAGCCTCTTTTCGAAGATTGGAAACCCTCTCCTTCTCAAAAGATATTTCCGCCTTGTTACTCATCAAATCCTCCAGCTTCTCTTCTGCTTCACGTCTTAACCTTAAGAGCACCTCCATTTCTGACTCGACAGCAGCTCGTTCTTTCACCAATGCCAGATTCTCTTCCTCTCTCTTCTCCTTCAGCTGCTCCAACTCCGCTTTCGCTAGTTCCGCCATTTTCTCGACTGCTTCAATCTTTTCCCGTTCCATGGAAAGCTCTTTCTCAAAGCTGGCATTGACGTCTTTTTCTACTTCAGCAACAAGGGCGTTATGAGCAGACACAGCTTTTTCAGCCATAGATTCTGCTTCAATACGTGCCAATTCTTCACTAACAATATCAGATGCCTCACCACTTGAAAGAGCAATGGCAGCTTGCCCTTTAGTGACCGGTTTCTGAGGCTGAAACAATCTTGTACAACCTAAAAAATGTGTGTGCATTATACAAAAAGGTAATGAATGTGCAAGAAGACATTTAGATGTGAAATATGTGCATACCAAATGCAAGAGCAGCAATTCCTTGTTCCCCAGTAGATAAATCTGCAATAATGGCAGGCCATGCATCTGGGTTTATCTTCTCGATGTCAGTGAAACCCGAGAGTTCATACAGCATCTGCATGATGAAGTGAATTAATGATTATCTGCAATCTTATGAGAAGTGAACAAAATCAAGCTTAATATGCAACCTTTTTATCAGCTTCTGGAAGCTGTCGTTTCTCCAAGGCCATTTTCCAGCTTATAAGATCTTGGCGTGAAAGAAGGCTGCATCGGACAAGGAATAAAGTTAACTTATGAAATGCAAAGGAGTCAGGATACAAAATATGATAACAATTTAAAACAGAAAGAACAAATATTTTATGCCGTCTTGTTTCATGCGAATATTGAAAATGAAGGATTTAAAATTAAGGCTCCCGCAGCTTTACCAGTACTATTTATATATTATTGTCAATGCGTTATTAAAAATGTAGAATTTCTTTTCGACAAGCTGGATAAGTTCTGGCAACGTAAATACCTTTCAGGGGAAAACAAGAATGTGCCTTCAGCATCGTCAAGCAAATCACGGTTAGAAAGCTTGCTCGTGATAAGTCCCGCTTCTGCCAACCCTGAAAACAGTAAACAGAATTTAGCTTCATATGTAATACTTTTGGGTAGAATTCAAATTCAGAGTTTATATTAACCTTGAATGGATGAAAAATCAGGGTCTTCAGGAGTAACATCATCGAAAGCAAGCTCAGTAACATTCTCTATATACATAGCAGGATACACCTTCGAGGTTGTGTTTCTGAAAAAAGTTTAAGAACACACATAAATGTACGAATTTTCACTTTTTAATACAAAATACGTACAGTTTAACCCCCATAGATACATTAATATTACGAAAGTATACCTTGATAATGCGCTGCTGGCAGATACCAGCCACCTGGCATATTCTCTGCGAGTACATAGATCACTAGGTTGGGTGTCAGTTCCAATGACCTGAAAGATGGGACAAATTGAACTATAAGCTGCAAGATTGACAAGTGCCAGAACAATGCAAAACTCTACATCAACCAACATAGTGAGGGTCTTTTATAACATGAAAAATAATATTACCTTCAGAACTTGCAGAGCTGCAAATGCTTGACACTGCACCTGATCCGCAGCTGCAGGGACAAGAATCTTTCCAGGATTAACTAGGACAGACATAAAAGGTGCAGGAATTCCCGCAGAAGAATATACACTTCCACCACTCGGTATTTTCAAAGGCGGTCCATTGTCGAGCTCATCTTGACTATTTATGTTTAGTTGATCGTATGCCCCATCTGTTGATTCTGGCACAGGAGTTTCTGAAGATTCAGTTTCTTTCATTGTATCTATGTCTGAGACTGATGACATACTTTCCGCAGCCAAGTACTCGGGTGTTCCGTCAACCTCAGGAAGCTCCGCAGTTACAGTGGAGAGAGTTGTTCCCGTGACATTTACCGGAGAAACCTCAGGAAGCTCCTCAGTTAAAGTCCCGTTGGCTGCATAAGTGTCGATGTCAGATAAAGACGACAGGGAATCTTCATTCGGACTGTTAACACGATTTTCAAAATCAGACACATCGGCTAGTTCAGTGTCCAGAAGGCTATCTGGATTTTCAGAAGTTGGATTTTCCGCATCCCCAAGATTACTACTTTCTGAATCTAGAAGAATAGGCTCAGTGGATGTGTCTAACAGAGACTTAGATTCAGAACTTATTTTCTCACTTTCTGCTGTCTCAAGATCAGTTTCAACGACGATCACCAAATCTGCTTCAGGCGTATTTTGAGGGATACTTTCAGTGGCTTCTGTTTCATCAGGCATGACACTATCAACTGAAGATGTCTCCTTACCAAGTAGTTTATCTTCACCAGACCCTTCATCACCTTGCTGAGCTATATCATTGTTTTCTATACTCCTATCCTCGTCCTTAAGAGTGTTTTCCTCACTGTTATCTACCTTGATCTCATCACTAGAAATTTCATCAGATGACTGAATCATGCTTTCCTGCTGAGATGTCAACGAATGCATCTCCTGTTTCTTTGTTCCTGCACTCGAAAGATGATTACTCAGTACATCAGTAACAAAAAACTTGTGAAAGAACTTGAATAGCTTTAAGAGAAGGAGTATTACGCTTGTTAAAAGATGCTGTTGCAAAGCTTAGTCCAACAAACAAAATGATTCCAGCCACTCCAGCACCAACTACACCTGAAAGCAAACTACTTCCAGATTGTTATTAGTCCACCAGAAAAACCGGTAAACTATATACATTTTCAGATAGAGAAATCAAAATGCTAAAGAGTCTAAACCAAGCTTCATCGTAACATACATTGGACCATTTTGAGAATGTGCACTGGTTAAACAACCTTTTAAATAACAATGAAACAGAGAAAAGAGGCTTACTGTTCATTAACTCATCCTAAAGATAGTGTATGCACTTAAATAAGAACACAACACTCATGGCTCATAAAATTACTCTTATTATAAAGTATGCAAACCTTGTAGTACGATTAAGCACTGAGATACTTTAGCTTCATTGAACAAGCATTTCAACAGTGTAAATCAAACATTCACCTCGAAAACTCCGAATTCAACAGTTTAAAAAAAAATCATAACACTAGTTGAATTCCCCGCATATACCTTCAATTAAACTCTTCTTCTTAGCTCTAGAAGACTTCTGCTTATCATCGTTACCAGAATCATCCCAACCAGCCAAGCCATCGGATGGTGGCTTAGACGAATCCGATCCGGTCCACGCAGCGTCAACTTCAGGCTTCTGCGAAACACAGACAACTCCACAACCCGATTTCCTAGCTAACCGCGAAGGTCGTAAGTAAACGGCGCGAGAATTCCGACGAACGCCGGAGCTAAAAGCGAGACGGAGCTGGAGGGAGGAAGGAGTCCACGTGGCGGTTGCAGAAGCCATGGGAGTAGAGAGAGGATAAGAAAATGTGGAGAGATTCTGGTAGAAGAAGAAAGAATAATGGCAGAGGAGGAAGAGGATTAGGGTTTAGAAAAAATTAGGAGTAAAAAAAATATCAAATATGCGTCTTGGTTGGGTTGGTGGATTGTGTTCGTTTCGTTACAGAATAGTGTGTTGGAGTGATGAGCCTCACACAAACACACACCTAACCACCACCTTTAGAAATGCTTTTTTTATTTTTATTTTTAATCTTTCCATGTTTAACACAAATGGTTTAACAAGTGAAAACGCTAAATCAAACCACGTCAGCGCCAAGGCAAGACCAAGTGTTGACACTTAAATATCTCTTTTTGTTTTTAACATTTGGAATCTCAGATTCTCGTTGACATAGATGACAAAAAAAAAAAAAAAAAAAATAAACTCGTTGACATAAAACGCAGTAATCTATTTGCCACTGAGGGTCAAGGGTTAAAAGCAAGGCAATATTGAATAAACTATACGAGATTACACGTAAGTAGTTGAAGAGGGTTGGGAAAAAAAAGGAGAGGGTTCATATTCTGTGTTATATCATCAGAGGAGGTAGAACTGAGAATAGAGATAATCCCTGATTTTGTAATAGTCTTCACACAACGGTCCTTCTATCAGAATTTGCTGTGGACCTGATGCTCCTCCCTGAACAATCCCCCAAAATATATAAAATTATAAGCCATTGTGTGATTTGCTTGATACTTGTAGTAATATTTGTAAGAAATTGCTTTGTAGTATTACCTTTTGACCAGTTGGACCGACCTTTCGTAGAGTGACATATTCACCACAGCGTAAAGCTCCTCCACCTGCAAATTCTACCTGAACACCTTTGCTCGACAGAAACTGCTTGAAGTCTGCAATTTTCAGATCACCTACTAGGACAGGTTTGTGTGGAAGAGCAGCACTTGGCATCGGTTGTAGAGACCTCATGTCGCTCTCTGTCTTCCCTACTTCAGAATCCACCCAAGCTACTTCTGAATCTCCCAGCTGATATGGATTTCATCATTTATTCAGGGACATTGGATGAGAATCCGAAATATATATATATATATAACCATGGAAAATCAAAAGATACCTTCTTAAAGACCACATTGCTCATCAGCTTTTCAGAAAGTTGGACCTGATGTAGTACCATACAGTGTTATTACAATCAACAACTCAAAAACCATGGCATTAGAAGGATCTTCCTAATAAGTTTTCAGATTTCTACCTTGTAAGCACACAAATCAGAAGTCACATCCACCGTTTCCTCTATTTGAGGAGCATACACGTGTGGACATATGTTGTTCAAGCAGTGTTGCTTCAAATGCTCTGTAGCCTCAGCTATCGCGTGCACCAGAACCTTCACATGATATAAGATTACATCACCGTAAGTTTATCCAGTGCTTAACACTATATATAAGACAAGAGAAAAAATTGCAACGTACAAGTTTAAGAGGAGAAACATGTGCAATCATTGACTTGATTGAGCGGCCGTCAGACCGACCTTCATAGTCCATTTTAACAAGTGAACAACTAACAGTCACCTGTGTCAAAGCATAAGAACAAACTAAATCATTTACCCAGGACATTAGACAGTAGTTAGGTGTACACAGAAGATTAAAAAAGCCATCTCTGTTTTGTATGCCAGGCAATGCCTACATTCTGAGAATAGTCTTCTGAAACTTTTACATGACATAAGACGGACACATAAGTCTCTTTAAAGAAAAAACCGATTATCCAAACAAGAAACTATCAATAAGTTGTGTTATTATGCTGAAGATCAGATTAGCAAGGTCTCTGGTAGAAAGATAAATTTAAGAGGCACAACGCAACGTCAATAAGAAATCCTATCTCCCTGTTTCTACGTGAGAAGACTATTCCTTGTGCCTATCATTGATAAGCAGTCTACAACGATAATCAGAGTTTGTAGAAAGGGAGAACAAATGAGAGGATTAGCTGAGACCCAAATCTCTACCAATGTCTCAGCTAATAAGGAGCTCTAATGAAGTTTGGATTAGAGTCTACTTACAATGAGCTCATTGGAAATGACTTTTGAAGGTCTTGTATCAAGCATGAGACTAGCAGTTGCCTCATCAAGCCTTCCATCCACATCAGCTCCGTTCTGAAATGGAATTATATATCACAAATTTGATAGCAACAAAGGACTCTAAATAGAATGCTCCCAAAGCTGATACTAAATAAGGTTTAGAGATAATATATCAGCAATAATGTTATACATTCACACAAATATTAACCATAGCATAGAAAACCTTACTAGTAAGCAAACGTTTGAAAAAAAAAAGTAAAGTAAAGATGCAACTGTAGAACCAGTGCACTAAATTGATGAATTGCACTCATACCAAATCAGGGGCCTAAGCAGCTTTATTGAAAAATATTTCCTATTTGTATCCCAAATTCTCAGTGCATATTGTGCAGATCTCTTACATATCTTTTATTTTATAATACCAACAAAATTATCATACGGAACCACTGCAAACATCATGGAAACTAAGAGGTCTAGTTTGCAAATATAGCAAGAGCTAAATAAAGATCAAGTTAAGACCCGAACTACAAGGAACGTACATGCATTGCTCCTCGGTCCATGTCTTCATCCTTGATCACGTAGTCATCTGGATTAATAATCTCCCCGAATTCGTCCCATTCAGATGTGTTATCATAGAATGGGAACATTGGAGCGACGCTGCTGGATGGGGGAACAAATCCATCAATCAATATATCTTTATATGCAGGCCCGTGAGAACCAACAACTGCAAGTGTGGTCAGAAATTTGAAAGGTCAGTTGCAGACCATTACGAACTGGAAAGAACAGCCATCAACAACAGTAACAGGAAGTCTAACTGAAAAAATAACGTATTGTGGGACTGTGAAAAACCTAAAACAAATTCCCAGAAATGTATCATGAGACTTCTAAATGTACTTACTAATTCACTCCAAGATAACTACATAAATGCCTCATAGACCAACTAACCAGTACATTACAGAGAGTACCATATCCATAGCCTCATTTTCAGTACTATACACTTCAATTTAAGTTAAAGTGTAAATGATAAATAAGAAGTTACAGGCCACAGAATATAGGCAACTTAAATGTTTTATAATATAAGACAAAATTTACCATCGTGAGTAGTCTTGGTATCTATGACCATAGGTTCACTTGAATTATCATCGGATCCATGGGAAGCTTTTGTTTCCTCCTCTTTGACGAGGCTAGCTCGCAAAGCTTCTTCCCTTTTGATTCTGTTTTGCTCTTCTTCATATGCAATCAACTCTTCCCCAGCCAAAGGAACCCTCTTAGACATTGTGACTTTAACAAATTTTGGAGGTGGAGCCGACTGAAGCATGCGAGCTAAAGTACCAAACTGCCACATAACGAGAAAAACAGTAGTTTAGTGTTATGTGATTGATTACAAACAAAAACATCTTGCAAATCTTAGATCACATGAACCCAAAGCCTTAGAAAATTAGAAATTATCCTAAAGGTGCAAGCCAAGCTTTGGTAGTAATTTTATGCAATGCTAATACATTTTCTTTCGTTAACATATAAGGATTCTAAAAACGTACCTGGCCTGTTTCAGTAAAGAGGACTAAATTCCTGGGATCATTTGCCCACTCCACGAATATATCACGAGCAAAACCGGCTTCAAGACTAGCCATGGAAGCAAGAACAACCTATATAATGAGGTTTAGTCACTAAAACATACAATGGGAAAAATATAGTTCTATTATCAGCTGAGGTGAAAGGAAATAAAATATAAAATCCACCAATAATCCACCATGGAAGCAAGAACAACCTATATAATGAGGTTTAGTCACTACAGCATACAATGGGAAAGATATAGTTCTATTACTGCCAAACATTTATGAGTTACTTATAATTTTATAAACCAACCTTTGGACCAGGTGGAGCATTATCCAGATCAGTCTTGTTTATCAAGAGAGTGACATGCCTGCATGTGTTTAAATTTCATTTTGATGTCTTCTGTATTGTATACAAACGACGGCAAAATTAAGACATTATTAGAAGAAAATCTACCTCAATAGAAAGGCATTATCACGGGAAGTCTCAAAGGACTTTGAAATGGAGTCACTCATCCACTCGAGGAAACTCTTAACATAGTCAATTGTGCTAGATGACACGTATGTGAGAAAGTAAATGGGAAAGCTGAAACCTCTTTGTGACCAATGCTGCAGGTTTAATCAATATTCAGTCTCTGCATAAATAGCTGAATATTACCTGAGAACATAATACATTCAAATTGGTTCCCTTACCTGTTCCAGTATCAAGAGAAGTTCCAGGACCCGACCCGCAGTGTCTACTGGCAATAGAACATTTCCCCCAACTTCAAGATGTTTTGAGATGGTATCTGATTAATAAATGCAGACATGCACACGTGATTATGGCAGTTAGAAGCAGAAATTTGTAATACCATGGAAAGATTATAAAACATATTGAGCTATAAGCCAACCTAAAAATTCTTTGTCCCTTTGCTGTCTAGCGGTTTGATTGGTATAAAGAGCATGATATGCATCGGTTATCAGAACAGCAGGACGAACGAAAGACTGTAAAACAGTTCCATTTAAATGCCTGAATTAAGATGTACAATTCAGTATCACGATTTCTTTTCTTTATCACGAACTCCAAATCAGGTGTTGAAAGCTGAACATGTTTACCTTTCTTTCCGATGATTGTAGTCAACAGCATATATAACACCCTCCCCGTCCTTTGTTATCCTCCAGATGCTACCTCCTAGCATGTGTCCAGCAACATGAGGAGCAATTACAATGCCTTCTCCCTTTCCTAATAGAGCAAAGATAAAACTGTTGAGGCATCCTTATTGAAGTCATTCATAACTTAGGTATTCAACAACCAAATACTCAATGTGTGTTCGTGACCTCATTCCCGATATAGGATAAATAGATAATGCAAAAATTGCTTGACATAAGTCTCAAGTTTCTAAAAGAACGAGAATTACGAAAACCACATACCAGGAAGATGGTAATTTTGTGAGTAAGTCAATCTGATGACATTCTGGAAAGCATTATCAATGTCATCCAGTGTAAACAGATCAAAGTCGGATACTTGCTGAAACAGTAAGATCATCGTGTTACAACGCATAAAAATTGTGAAAATTAACCAACTCTGCACTAAACAAACGAGAAATCGAAACTCTCACCTTCCTAGATAAAAACTGATCATACATTGTGAGAAGGCCTAGTCTATGAACAGGCTCAGTAGCATAAACTGGAGCAGAGAGTCCAAGCTGCTTCATAGCATAAGGAAGAGCACCAAGGTGAAGCGTATCTGGATGAGAAAGCAATACTGCATCTATGGTAGAAGCAACCCTGCAATAATCCAGAAGAATCGTAAAACCACAGTTTGTAATTGGAAATCAAAAAACGAAGACTAATTTGAAAATGGAGGTAAGAAGAAGAGAAACCTGGAGAGAGGTTCGAGGAGCGATGTGTCAAAGAGATCGTTCCAACCACAGTCGATGAGGAAGTTGAAACCATCAATGGAGACTAAGTAGGAGAGAGGATTCTCGTTGTAAACTCCACAGAGAGGAGTCACCTGCACCGAGGTACCCATTTTTTCCGTTCGCCGAGATAAACCCTAATTTTCTCCGATAAGCCAAAGATGAAGGAAGAGCCACCGTGAAAGAGGGGTTTTTTAATCTGAAATTACACTTCCCGGCTCAGTTAATTTTAAAATATTCTTTTCCTTAATTTTTATTTACTTAAACATTTTCACTTTTTTCTTATATAATTCGAACTTTTCCATCAAAAATTTGTAGGATTGTGGTTTTTATGACTTTTTTTTTCTTTTTTTTTATCATGAATTGAGTTTTATGATTTTTTTTTTTTTTTTTTTTTTTTGATAAACCCTATCGGCTGATCCGGTCAGCCCCGGTAGAAACGCACCGAAGTGCTTCAGAGTGGACTTCTCCCCGAAGGGCCACCACACTGTCTATACCGAGTTTGGAATGCTTTCCGACTAATGCCAGGGGTAGTTAGGCCGCCTGCATTTCTGACTACCAGGTAAACCAATTGGGCCAAGGCCCAACTGACAGACTTCCCACACAACAATGACTTTTGTTTCCAGGGTGGATCGAACCTGAGTTAGTTCCTTCCAACCTTTCCCCAATTCTCCCTTACTACTGGACCACTGCTGTGCGGGCGAGTTTTATGATTATCATAACTATTACATGAGATTGATTTAAGCAAAATATGTATTTTTTTAAACTGAAAACGTATATGAATTTGTGAAATTAGTTAGGCGTTAGCATTAACAAAGTGTTCCGCTAGCATTTAACAATATTGTTGCATCATATAAAATCCTACATTACAAAAACAAACCATATGTGCACGAAGACAGATGATTTTATAGTTATGGTCTATAACTCTATATTTTTTTATTTTTTTAATCAATAATATATTATTTCGAAAAATTTCAAATGGGTTAGGCCGCCTTACACGCGTGATCCAAAAAGCAAAAGAAAAACAGAAACCTATAATCCAAAAGAGTGATCGGAGCCTGAGATCCGGCGGTTTCAAAGTCCACGGCTTTGCGGCCTCGACGAAGGTTCGGAGACCAAAACCAAAAGAGACCGGTTTCCGGTGATTAGTTACAAACCTCCCGAAAAGCTAATCACCCAGACAACACGGTTTCGCGATGGCGAATCCCGACCTAGCAACTCGTCACACTCAGATCTATTCTCTCTCCTTCAAACCGGAGCTTGCCGTAGATCCGAGTATCTCCTCCTCGATCTGGACGGGAGGATGCCGAGAGACGGCGGAAATAGAAGGCGGTGGCTCAACACAAACCTCCTAACCCAAAACTCTATCACGGCCATCTAAGATCCAAGATCTACCGTTAACCTCCACATCAAACGACGGAACCCTCCTAGCCTCCACCGATTTCCGCCGTAGCCACAGCATCCAGAACTAGCGGCTGAGCCTTGAGGATCCATGAAGCTCCCTGACGTCTTCAAAACGGGTACCACAGCCGCAGAGAAACCTCACCGCAAAATCCAGAGCCACAACCACATCGGAGGAGACTTCCCGCCACCGCCAATAGAGAAGAAAAGCTACTCACTCTTGAATCAACAACGATTGGCTAAGCCTTAAATGAAGCACCAATCGAGAAACAGAAAGAGGAAAACAAACGGAGCTTGACCGGAAATCGTCTTCAAGAGAGAGAAGCTCGATTATCGAGGCAACGATTGTACCCTCCCCTATAATATAGAGTTTTCGTCTATAACTCTATATACATGTAGGTAAGTTAAACTTATGTGCTTAATATGATCATGAACTCACTGACCACTTCAATAATTTGCAAAGTGGCCATAAATAGGCTAAGGTCAAGTTAATGGGCATATTGGCTATAGTAGTAGCATGATCGTGCAAGCGAAATCCAAACATTTCCTTAAACTAGATCAATGAGCATATGTTTTGCAAGTAAAAATACTATTCCAAGTTAGCATATGCTGCATATATGTGTGTTGCACAATATGGATATTGTAGTGATCCATTAGTTCGAAATGAGCTAATATAAAAAGATTGTGTTAATTAGGAATATGATGGAACGACACCGATAAGAAAGCAAGTTCTTTTGGATTTATGAACTTTGATATATAGCTTCACTTCAAAGGCAAACAAGAAAAGCATATCCATACATTTGGTGAAGGAGCTAGGACCAAATCATCATGATGGCCCGAGGCTAAAGGCTAACAACCATAACCAACTATCAAACTTTTCTTTGTTGATATGAATACCAAAGTTGAAGTTAGGTTGATGAATCAAACATATATATATATATATATATATATTTGATTAGTTAACGAACGAGTCTGTATAAATGTATCATTTACAACTGATAGTTTTTTTTTTTTTGGGTCAAACAACTGAACTGATAGTTGTTATTGTACTTTAAAGAGAGAGAGGTTTAATAAGAAGATTCGGTGAACCTAAACCAAAAGACACCTGAAGAAAGGTTTGATTTTCGATTCTAAACCATCTGTTGCTGATCCCCACCCACCCATCAAGACCCATCTCTATACCAAGACTTGTTTGTAAAAATACCATCCATTTCCTTTTAACAAAAAAATAGAAAATAAAATTGCTTTTGGCCCTATGCTGCCTGTTCTGCACAACATAACTAAACTTAACTCTCATGTGAAACTGATAAGTGATAGAGAACTGTGTTTGTGAGTCTTTGACTGTAACTTAAATTGGATTTTAATACAGTTTATAGAAAGAGAAATCTTACAAAACCAGAAACTGATAAATTTTAAATGGTTTGACCATACTAAATTCAGAAAAAAAATTGGAAATATTGACTGAACGAAATCAAAATTATGAATGTGAAATTTAGGAAATAAATATTGTAGTTGAACAGAATTTTTTTTTAAAAAAATGTTTCTCCCATCTAAAGTTTTGTAATGCTAAATGTTCTTTTAATCAATTTCCTATTGAATGAATAAGATATCATGTGGACTTTTACCTTTAGTATAAAAAAAAGAAACATTTATATAAGAAAATAAACATATAAAAAAGCGGAAATAACATTATTATTTTTTGGTCAGATATGTCTCTCTTTACAAACACACACACATGAAAAATAAGTGAGTTCTCCATGTGGGGGGAAGTATATATAATATATATTTACAAATGCATTAATGTATAATATATGATATGAGATGATAATAAGAGATTTATAACAAGTAACAATCAATCTTATTCATACAAAGGAAAACCAAAAAATAAGATAACAAAAGCTTCTTTGTTGTGCCTATCAAATATCATCTCTTGGTTACATACCTCTTGCCCACTTGGCCTCTCTCTCTCTCTTTTTCCCATAAATCATTATTATCTATAAATGTCTAAAAACGTTTCCACATTTCCCTCTTAAAATCTCTCCAAAATCAATTTATTTCTTTCTTTATTTATTTCTCTGTGTTACAAAGAATAACAAATAAAAAGGCGACGACATCGTTTCCAATCCAAAGTCTCTCCTTCATTCACCATTGAAAGAAAGCCTCAGAAGAAAAGTTAAAAGAATGAAAACGACGACGACGCGGCTTCTTGATCTAAAGGCTGCTATGGCTCTTCTTCTCCTCCTCCTCTACGTGGCCTTCTCTCCGCCGCTCGTTTCCGGCGACCCTGGACGGCGAGTTAGCATGACACTGGTTCGAGACGCCGCCGCTCTTGGTGCTTGTATGTTCTTCCTTCTTTCTCCTTTAATCATTTTCTTGATAACATATAACATTGAGTAATCGAATTAGCTTTTGATATTTCTCTATAGTTTTTTTTTGTTTTTTTATTTTTATTTTGGTTGCTGAGTTAATTCACTAAAACTTTTGTTTTGTAAGCGCATGTCACGCAACATGTTCTTAAACACACATGAACCACTCTTTCTAATTTACTAGCTATCATTACATACGTTGAAATTTTGATTCTTCGTAATATTTATTTTTTTTGATTTTTTGGTATAGTTTGCTTGGACGGGAGCTTACCGGCGTATCATTTAGACAGAGGCTTCGGTGCTGGATCAAACAATTGGCTTTTACAGTTTGAGGTAAAATTATATTATTATTGTTATTACATATTTTACTCTATAAAAGCCTCTCTAAGTAATAAGATTTAAAAAAGAAAAGGTCTCTCTAAGTGATTGGAAAATGTTTAAATAAAAGAACACACAACAGTCGTTATTCTTAAAATTATATAATAATATTCGAAGAAATAATTTGCTGGGAACAAATCATCCTGGTTAGTGAATTTGTTAGTCTCTCTTTTTAATTGGTCCTGCATAGTCAAAGTATTGCTGTTGTAACCAACTCCATGAGTAGGCAAAAATAATTGAATCCAGCTATATCCTATGTAAGTAAAGATTAAAGTATTTTTCTGTGTTATTCATCATCTTATGAAATACTATTATAATAATTCTTGATAACGATTTGAAAATCAAAGATTAAAAATGTGATGTAGATAGGAGTACTTGACTTCTAGTAATGACTAAAGATTATAATTCGAGATAACAACAAATCTACTAGTACTAATTACGGCGCCGTTTTGGGAACACTAGAGCATCGCAAATACGCATCGTGTCTTGAGCTAGTTGGATCATGTCTCATGCCTTTCACTTTATGACGCGCATTTATAACAACATTCTCTCTTTAGTAGTAATAAACACATTTATTATTTTTATTCAGTCTCATTTGTCTATGCAAGTTACTGATGATACAAAATGGTTTTATATATAAAGGGAGGAGGATGGTGCAATGATATAGCATCATGCGTGGATAGAGCAAAGACCCGTCGAGGCTCTACACGTTACATGAGCAAGACCGTCGTCTTCTCCGGTATCTTGAGTAACAACGCCACTCAAAATCCAGGTCATTTTTGCTTAATACAAAAAACTCATGCATCATTATATATAGAGTATTTAAATTTATTAAAAGAACATGTTTGCTTGTGGTTGTGGTCTCTCTTTCACGTGATGGTTCAAATGTTTCTGTTTAAGAGAAAATAAAAAATCCTTAGCTTTTTCTAAAAATAAAATTATAAATCGTTAGAAATAATAATTTTGGCTCTATCTCTTCCTATATATTTATTTAATTTTATAGCTTTCTTCACCATACTTGCTTTTTTATTTGTCTTTGTCCCCCTTTTGTAACGAGAGAACAACACGCTATCGAAATCGATCTAACCTCAAAACCCATGTCAAATTACACATCTATCCTACCTTCTTCGAGATTAGATATGTAACTACAGGAAGGTTAAACTGTCATTTTACATCTGTGACATGTGAAGTCCAGTTTTGGTCTGTCTTGAGTCAAAAGAAACAAAAAACATTGCTGTGGCTTTATTAGAACATCACATTCACACACAATACGTCATTCACTTTGGTTTGGACTTGGACTGACATAAAAAAATATATATACTTTATGGTGATTCAGATTTTTACAACTGGAACAAAGTGAGGCTGAGGTATTGCGACGGAGCATCATTTGCGGGAGATTCACAACATGGCAATGGGGTAACTAAACCAATTTGTTTTCTTTAACCGACTTTAATAACCGGAAAAATACGTTCTGGTTTATTGTTCTTGTTTTTTTTACTGATTTTTACCGATTTGATGAATTTGACAGACGTCACTGCTTTATTTCAGAGGACAACGAATATGGAATGCCATTATTCTTGACCTTCTTCCCAAAGGCTTAGCAAAAGCCCACAAGGTAAGAAAAATTATAACCCGTTTTTAAGTTTTCATCACCCAAATCAAATGTTTTTACCAAATATAACCATCGATTAAGTATGATATTGTGATATTCCCTTCTAGTTTAAATTTGTCTGATTGATGTGTTTCGATACTAAACCGGTCAATTCCATATATTAACCGGTACACAGGCTCTTCTGACCGGTTGTTCAGCTGGTGGTTTGTCTACGTTTCTGCATTGTGACAATTTCACGAGCTATTTGCCTGAAAACGCTAGCGTTAAGTGCATGAGCGACGCTGGATTCTTCCTTGACGCGTAAGTTTTTCTTCAATCAAATGTTTGTTGTGGTGATCTCTGTTTAATTTATTACACGGTTTAACCAACATGTATGGTTTGTATTGGTTTAACAGAATCGATGTAGCAGCAAACCGGACAATGAGATCTTTTTACAAACAGCTTGTGTCTCTACAGGTACTACTAAATGAGTTTTATAAAGTTAAAAAAATATCTCAATTATTGCCCATAAGTTTCTAATTTTCTTACATTTCGTGTAACAAACTTTACAGGGTATACAAAAAAACCTCGATCCAAATTGCACACACTCATTTTTTCCTGAGCCATCTCTGGTACAATATCTCAAATACATTTTTAATAATTTCTTAAAAAAATTAAATATAAAATCTCTAATATTATTTGTAAATTCATCTTTTGCAGTGTTTTTTCCCGCAATACACATTACGATTTATCGAAACGCCATTTTTCATCTTAAATTCAGCTTACGATGTATTCCAGGTATGCTTTTCCCCTTAACTACACCGGTTCAATTTAGTTTTAACCGGCGGTTTGGTATGTTTTAACCTTTTGTTGTTTTACAAAATCAGTTCCATCATGGCCTGGTTCCACCTTCTGCTGATCGAACCGGGCGTTGGAATCGTTGCAAGCTTAATGTGACAGCATGTAATCTACATCAGCTCGATGCACTCCAAGGTTCGAAACTCAAATGGTTCGGTTCAAATGAGAAAACCGGCAAAACAAAACAAACATAACTTTAACCGATGTTTCGGTTTTGTTGTCGACAGGGTTTAGGAAAGATATGTTGGAAGCTTTGATGAATTTCTTCAGGAATTCAAGTAGAGGAGGAATGTTTATAAACTCATGCTTCGATCATTGTCAAAGTGCTTTAGAAGAGACTTGGCTCTCTCCTACTTCACCAAGAATCCACGATAAGGTATAGCTAAACCTGAATTTCATTCTCAACTCGTTTTCAACTATCCGGTTCAAAACTGGATTCGGTTTGGGTTTCAGACAATTGCTGAGACGGTTGGAGATTGGTATTTCGGGAGAGGAGAAGAAGAAGCTAAAGAAATTGATTGCCCATATCCATGTGATAAAACTTGTCATAATCTCATTCCAGCTTCTACTTCAGATTTTTTGGTAAATCTAGATATTTAATCACTTTTTAATTACAGTTTCCTATATAGTCATTTACATTTTCTCCAAAAGTCTTACTTGTAAAGGTTCGATTACATCCCAATTGAGTTGTGTAGTTATATATATGTTTTTCTTTTTGTCATTCAAGGCTTCTAATGCTCCAGGCCATAACTATCCTGGTACACAATTGACCTTTCTTCTTCTTCTTCTTCTTATCAATTTTTTTTGTTTATAGTTAGTAAACTTTTTAGAATCTTCCTTTGGATAATGATTTTGTTATGTAGCAACAAAGAGATCAACTCTCATTTTTTTGTTGTTGTTGTTGTTGTTATGTTTGTTACATCAGGGACTTTAATTCGACGCCAAGTTGATCTAGATGAACTTATCTATTGACTTTAGAAGTTGATGTTAATTCAAGATTGCAGTGGTAAAATATGCCCAAATGTGACAAATAATTCAATAACTACAATACTTCTAGTAATGAAAGTAATACAGTAAACGCAATGTTTAACTTTTGTCAATCCATATTCATTTCTCATTTATCAAACACTAGAACGCAGTTGACCCAATTAGAGATTTAGAGGTAGTCCGTAGATATACGATCCATCAGGAGTACACATAAAGCCATTAAACGATAAACTTTAAACTGAAGAGGCAAAAAAATATCATCTGACCAACGGGATAAAACCATTTCTGCCAACATAGGGCCGTGAATGGCGTAAATCATATTGTATTGCAAACAGAGGGAATCACAAACGTAACACTAACAAACAATGTCTCAAATCCAAGCACCCGAAAACACTTATAAACATATATTTTCCTAATCATTAGACCTAAAATCACCATCACACATAGCCAAATGCGAATACAAGAAAACCAAGACCGGAACAGAAAAGAAAAAAGCAAGCCATCAACATAAGAAGATACTAAACTCACACAAAAGAATAAAGAAAAAGAGAGAAGCTGTTGTTATTGCTCCTCCTGCACTTCCTCTTCGTCTTCTTCATACTCATAACCTTCTTCCTCATCAGCTGTTGCGTCTTGGTACTGCTGATACTCTGAAACCAAATCATTCATGTTGCTCTCAGCCTCTGTGAACTCCATCTCGTCCATTCCTTCACCAGTGTACCAATGCAAGAAAGCTTTTCTTCTGAACATAGCTGTGAACTGTTCGCTTACACGCCTGAACATCTCCTGGATCGACGTTGAGTTCCCGATGAAAGTGGATGCCATTTTCAGACCCGTTGGCGGAATGTCACAGACGGTTGATTTCACGTTGTTGGGGATCCATTCAACAAAGTACGATGAGTTCTTGTTCTGAACGTTGATCATCTGCTCGTCCACTTCTTTGGTGCTCATTTTGCCTCTGAACATGGCTGATGCGGTTAAGTACCTGCCGTGGCGTGGGTCAGCTGCACACATCATGTTCTTCGAATCCCACATCTGTTGGGTAAGCTCAGGGACGGTTAAGGCTCTGTACTGCTGTGATCCACGAGATGTGAGGGGTGCAAACCCAACCATGAAGAAGTGGAGACGAGGGAATGGGATTAAGTTCACAGCAAGCTTGCGCAGGTCGGAGTTTAGCTGACCAGGGAAACGGAGGCAGCAAGTAACACCACTCATGGTTGCAGAGATGAGGTGATTCAAATCTCCAACTGAACAAGAAGAAAAAAACAAACAATCCCATTAGAACTTTGAAACTTAACTATATAATGGGATAATTAATAATACAAAGAGAAGAAGAGGCTTACAGCTAGGAGTGGTGAGCTTAAGAGTTCTGAAACAAATATCATAGAGAGCTTCATTGTCAAGAACCATACACTCATCTGCATTCTCCACGAGTTGATGAACAGAGAGAGTTGCATTGTAAGGCTCAACAACAGTGTCAGACACTTTCGGAGATGGAAAGACCGAAAACGTCAGCATCATCCTGTCAGGATACTCTTCTCTGATCTTTGAAATCAACAAAGTTCCCATTCCAGATCCAGTTCCTCCTCCCAATGAGTGACACACTTGGAATCCTGCACATCATTCACATCAACACACACAAAAATTAAAACCACGTTCCACAAATCCCTAAAACCTTAACCATGCATATTATTCACATCAAGACATACAAAATCTTAACTATGACAATTTCACAAATCCAGTTCCAGAATTACTTTAGAAATCGATAAATTTAGAAACCCCAGGAACGAAGAGAATGATTCTAACCTTGCAAGCAGTCACAATTCTCAGCTTCCTTGCGAACAACATCGAGAACCGAATCGATAAGCTCAGCACCTTCGGTATAGTGTCCTTTCGCCCAATTGTTACCGGCACCGGATTGACCAAAGACGAAGTTATCGGGACGGAAGATCTGACCGTACGGACCGGATCTGACACTATCCATAGTCCCTGGCTCCAGATCCATCAAGACGGCGCGTGGGACGAACCTCCCGCAACTCGCTTCGTTGTAGTAGACATTGACTCGTTCGAGCTGCAAATCGTTCTCTCCTTGGTACCTCCCCGTCGAATCGATGCCGTGCTCGGCGCAAACTACTTCCCAGAACTTAGCTCCGATCTGGTTTCCACATTGACCACCCTGAATGTGAAGAATCTCACGCATCTTCGATTACTAAGCTAAGTAGAGAACTGAGTAATTCAGAGAGAGAGAGAGAGAGAGTTTGAACGGTTACGACTTGCGAAGAAATGAAGAAGAACGAGGTGGTTGGTTTTATACTACGTAGATAACGGAGACGGTCCTTTTTCATTATTGCCGGTTCTAACTGTATCGGTATTATAAACCGTTCCACACTTAACCAATAAACCAACGATTTGAATTTTTACAATACCTTACTTTTCTTCAGTTTTTCCATCTCATATATGATTTGATTATTTGGTTTATCGAAAAATTTAGATTTTTAGATATTAATTTCAACTTAATCGAACTTAACCGATAAACCGAAGCCAAAACTATGCCGGATAGATTCAAACCGGCATTCTTCTTTGTTGCCGCCACGAATGACGGAGGTAAGTAACGGCTGTTGGGTCCATTGGCCCACGACATAAACAAAATGAAAAATTCTTTATCACTCTGCAAATAATTTCGAATATTTTTTTCCTCAAAGCAAGAAAAAAACATTCGGTATATTTTTGTCAGTATTGAAAAAAAAGAAGTTAATACTACTGCAAACAAAGAAAAGTTAAAAGAAATAGAATAAAATTAAATAGTAAATTTCTTTAACTTTTGTAATAATAATCATATACATTTTTCAAATATATATTGTAGAGCTAATTTTTTTTACCTTTATATTTTTTTTTTTTGAATAATCAAAGAGGTTCTGGACCGAAGCTCATATATTTCCTCATATCCGAAAATAGAACATGTTATATGGTCTCGTCTCAAGCGCTAGCCGAACCGGCGGTCTCGAACTTTTATATTACTTGGTCAAACATAATGTTTTCTTTTTAATTTTTTGTTTGGGATGCATTAAACTGCTATATAAAAACAATAGAATGATCTGATCAGAGACAGTGAGAGTGCAGTGGTATAGTACAGATGGATACAGAGTGGATGATCAGGTATTAATTCTCACGCTCTACATGATGCATGTGAGAATACTGACCGTTGAAGATAAAAAAGGCTGCGAGATCTGAACAAATAACAATTCTCTCTACTTTGTTTTTATTCTTTTTTTTTCTCTTGCACATGAAGCCGAACCGTGACGGACACGTGATACCCAACCGGAAAAAATTCACGTGACTCGTATAAAATCTGAGATGTGTAATCACTAATCAGTGATTGTTATGGCCATATTAGTCTAAGGTTAATTAGTATTCTTACAAAAGATGCACATGTGCAAGTTGATTTTTTCCACCATTTAATAATTAAGGTGTTATTTTGTTTGACGGCAGTCTAGTTTTTGTGTGGATGTAGCTTAAGCTTTATATATATATATGTTATTATTATCATCATACAGTAGTGTAGTGCGATGGGTGGGTCTAATCTGAACAGTAACGTGCAAATCACTCTATGATCAACTAGATATATTTAAAAACAGGTGAATTTGAGGACCTACGGTGACGTGAAAATTAGAGAAGAAGACAGCAAAAACAGCTTTAATAATGATTATGGCCTATTTCAGAAGCAATGTATGTAATCCAAAAGAAATCAAAGTTAGAGCAACTTGTGGTGTCAGTGATGAGTAGTAGTAGCCGTCAAGTTACACCATCAACTTCATTAACCAACTCCATCTTCTAAACTCTACTACGCTTAAACATTTTGAGATTAAAGGGATTGTTATTGTTTACCAAATTTAAACTAACTGAGTAATTTCAAACTCACATTTTAGGCCGGTGCTTTACACAGACTTATCATTTTTGACAATTGACGCATAAACTCTTGTAAAAACAATAAAAGACTAATCTAAACCTTATATTGTAATTATATGAAGTTTTTTTTTTCGTTTTGAGTTTTCTTGTTAATATCCTAAACTTGAAACATATCTATCATCTACAACAACATGGAACCGGATATAAAACAAGTTGAAACCGGTAGGTTATTTGGTATACTCTACACAACCAAAACTTTCAAGAACCGGTCTGGTTCTGCTTGCTCCAATACTTCATCTCCATATGTAGGATTCTCGCAGTCGTACTCTGTTTCCTCTTCGCAACCGAGTAAAGCGATACAGGATCATACGGAGGCGGCAAGGCACAGGGACCAGACTCTGCAGGGTGCTTCACAAGTGATTCTGTCATGAACTTCCGCTCGTTCCCACTCCTCGTGCACGCCATTGTTTCCGAACAAATCTCCACGGCATTCGGGGGAACCTCAGGTTTAAACTGGAGGAGTTTTGAGTATTCGTTTAAAAGATGGTACATGTAATCATATACATAATCCATCTTGAGTTCTTGTTGGATGAATTCGCTCGCAGCCTTTCCAATATCTTGTGCCTGCGTCAATATTTGTGTTTCATTATAGATTTACAACAATGTACCTATTTGAAGACCAAGACCTTCACAGTGGAAGCTCTAGTGGTGTTGATTAAGCAATGTACCTTTTGAATGTGAGAGTTTCCCCAATCAACGGCGAACTTGATGGAGCGGCACTTGTCCTTCTCCCTAACGGGCCAATAATGGTGAGCTGGAAGCAGGCCTCGTGTGAAGAAATCATAGTAATGAGGTTTCACCAGCAGAGTCATAGAGTCACACGCCAAAATGTACTTCTCGCTCACCGACCACGCCGAGCCTTCTATATATATCTTGTACCTGTGTTACATAAAGCCATAAAACGTTACAATCCCTTTCTTAGTTCAACTTTGAAGTCTACAAAAAAAATTACACTTACCTGTGATGGCATTGGTTCGCTAAGTCTGATTGCTTGTAACCTTCCTTGGATTCTTTGATCCAATCCTACAAGATAAAATCATAAGTAAACATAACAGATGTAAAAGCTGTATTGAGAATTGCAGTTGTAACCAGCAGAATCAGATAACTTGACATTGACATTATTATTACCTGAGCATACAAACGAGCGTTCCACTCGTGTTCCTCAGAGACATTACATTTCATGAGATCTTGTCGTGTCTCTGCGACCACTGGATTCCCTTTCCAGTAAGCATAAGGCTCTCTGTTTATCCAATTGATCTTCTCGTTCCCTTCTCTTAGTTCCTTCAACAAACTCTCCCATGGCTTTATATTCACTTCCGCCCTACAAAATGTCATGGGTGTTACTGATCAATTCGAAACTATTAGGGTGTAACTGAGAGATCTTGATAAATTCAAGGGTGCTTCATTAATTACCACCCCCAGAACGACCAATCAGGAAACACAATATCAAGCGTCTCCTCATTCCCACAGTAACGAAACAGAGGTGGAGGCGACGGCGCGTCAACTCCGGCGAACTCCGCAGCTCTAACGACCGGCCAGTCAACGCAGTCAAACATAAGCTCAAGATCTGGGATCTTCCCAGGGTACTTCCTTAGAAGCTGTAAGAATCCCCAGATAGTGAACACGTCCCTCGTCTGAAACGCATCTTGAAACTTCTCCACGTAAACCTTCCCGCCGACGATCGCTAACCGGAAATTCGCCGTCTTATTGGCTCTCTCCAGTGCTTCCCTCGTGATTCCCGTTCTAGCCCATGGACGGAGATCCTCGTGGATCCAACGAAAGTAATCCGGACACGTGGCGGTCGGAGGATGGTTTGTATCGTCATCATTGAAGCTCGCCGTCGTTGGGTCTTTGTTTTTCGGACATGTATTCCCGGTTGTTTCGTTGGCGGAGCAGTGTAGTGTGAACTGGGGTTTTGGGTTTTGTGTAATTACTGTCGCTGGTCGAGGGTACTTTGGGGATATCGTATTGGTTTGGGTTTTAGTCTTTGGCGTCGCCGCCACTGCTTCTTTCTCTATCAGAACCTAAATTTGTGAAACGAGTTGCATTAAGTTAGCAGATTAACAGACCTAAACCAAACTGAACCGAACCAAAACAAAAATAATCAATCAAACCAAACCAAACCAAATTTTTAATAATTTGATGAACTTTTGTTAGCTTAATTTTGATTTGATGAACTGTAGTTAGCTTAGTTTTGAACATCATTATTACAAAATCGAGAATTCTATTAAAAACGAAACTAAACCGGAATCGAAAAAACCCGGTTAAAAATCCCAATCTTTTTTTGTTTTTAAACCCCAAAAACCTTTAAATAGTTTTTTTTTTGGTAAAAACCTTTAAATAGTTTTAAACCCGAAGAAGAACTCCACAATTTGCCTACTTGTGAGCAGTAGCGGGAGACAGCTAATGGAACTGAAAATAAAAGTCATACATAGGGTCCGATGATGGAACACGTGTCGTGTTCTGTCTAATTCGCCGACAACACCAACCAACCAACAACAATAGAAAATTCTCTCACGTGACAAAAAGTCTCACAACAAAAACTCAAACTCCATAAAGAAATATACACAAATCACACCGAAGAATTAATTAGACTGAGAAAAGGAAAACGACAGGAGGGAGTGTCGTTTCGTGGGATGGACACTTACTGTAGGGTCGAGAAGGAGGCGCGTGGAAACAAACGCGCCGACGACGAGAAGGATGATGAGGGAGACTAGGGCGTATGATCTGTTGGGAGATGAGCCGAAACCGGACTTTACAAAGGGAGACCAGACTGCGTCGATGAAGTAACGACAATGCCCTCCCGATGAACCGTTCTTGGACGGCGAGTTTCTCATCGGAAACGAACCTTCCCGGCTGGGGAAACCCAAAAAGACAAAAAGAAAGAGAGAGAGGGAGGACAACAATAAGTAAGAAAAATAAAGAGACGAAGAGAGAATCTTGTGAGTTAAGGAAGGAATGTGAAGTTATGTAGTAGTGCTCATTAAATTTCAACTTACCTTTTTTCGTAATAGTGCTCCCCCAAGCCTTGAGGGATATTAATTTCAAAAAGTCACATTAAAAGCCAAAACCTAATAGGTTTTGGAAACGAAAATTTTTTTAAAAAAAATCTTGAATTTATATAGCCTAACACTAATTTAGTAGTTTTATTTGGTTTTGAGGTATTCTAAAATTTTCGGATCATCCTTATTAACAAAAGTTACTAAATTAGTGTTAGGCTATATAAATTCAAAATTTTATTATCCTTAGTAACACTAACGAATTTATTCAATTTGAATATTTCATATACAGTTTGGATCGATGTGTTGTATCGCAAAACATGTCCTTTTCTATCTGATTGAACTCATTGATCTCTTGTAGCTTTTACTTTATAACCCACTTGCTCTGTTTCTTTTCTAAATCTGGTTTCATTCTTAGCCAAACAATAGCAAAATCAGAGACTTCAAACCTAACAAGCATGTCTCTAAAGCAATACACTTCTTTAGAGTTAGTATATTAAAAATTCAACTTTCTATATCAAATGCTAATGGATTACATGAATCACTCATTTATTTACTAGTTAGAGTAGGAAGATCCCTCATCCATGAATCACACAGGCATGGTATTGGCTAATCATCTTAATTTTTCTCCCACGAGTCCATAAATGGATCCAACAAGAGACAAGAGACAGACAATCAAGCAAACAAAGCTACAACCTCTAAGAAGAAGCCATGGCCGCGTCCAACTTTGTATCTTCTTTTGCAATATACACATCTCCACAGGATAATACACTGCCAAAGGCCAAAATCCAAATGCCCCCAACACTCCTAATACTTCGTTGAAGAAGGGAAACATAACTGCCACTCCTGTTGTGATCACCACATACATTGTTCTCAAACATAGCCTCATTGGATTCAGTCTCATTGTTCCTCCTAACATTGGAAGTTTGAAGCCGTAGAATCGGACTATGAATTGGTTTTGTGGGTATTTCTCGGTTAGCCATCTCTCCATAGCCGCGAATATCGGTTGACTGAAGATCTGAAATGGCATTAATCTATATGTTATTACTATCTCCCTAGTTGTTTGTTTGCATTGAAACATGTTATATCAAAATCAAATATAACGTTTTGGTATTTTAACATTTTTGTTTCGGTAATTGTAAACTCAAATGTCAAAAACATCTATATATTTATTAAATCGTGGTTTGTTTTCTAAAATGTGAGTACACATGTAAAGAAAAACATAGACGTTTTGGTTAGTTTGGACATGAGGGTTCTTTCATGATACCTGGTATCCACCAACTAAGTGAAGAATAATGCAAGCGTTGGCGAAATCGATGAGCCAAAATGGTTCATAGAATCCGAAACCGGTCAAAAGATTTCCCGGGGTGGAATCTCCAAAGGCCGCGTAGCCTAAGCATCCGCAACAGAAGAAGAAGAATGTTTGGATGAATACCGCAACGATCGAGGCTTTCTTCATCGTTTGCTTCTCTGCCGGTGGTGATCTCAGTGTGTCCTATCCTTAATTTTCATTCGACCCACATAAAAAAAGGTTTCTTAGCTTGATCTCTTAGAGTAATTAATCTTACTTACTTAATTAGTATCATCTATGTATGAACATAAATTATTTACCTGAATCTCAAGAAGTATGATTGAGAAAGGATATGAAAAGGCAATGTTCCCAAGAGCTTGGAACACTAACCATACTTTTGTACTTCTGTTATCAGCTGGAGTTCCCTTTACACTTCCCTCAATCGTTCGTTTTTCTTCATTGAAGAAACATAAATATTCAATAGTCTTTTTTTTAATCTCATAATCAAATAATTAATAATTATTGAAATGTTAGACTCAGTATATCAAATTATATTGAAAAGCAAAACAAAGAAAGAATAATCTAAATGAATCATATATATGTACCAATGATTTTGCCAAGGGAGAGGCCGATGCCAATGAAGGAGTAAGCAAGAGACATAGTCGCAGCAATAGTAGAGAGCCATAGCATATTGTGGAAATTAGGTATTTGTGACAAAAATATCTGAAGCAAACCAAACAAAAGCATGAAGATGTTGTTGTTGTTGTCTCCATAAGAACATGTTGCATTGTGTCCTTCTCTATGATAACAATTCGTTTTGATAATTGCTCTGTAAGGAAAATGAAAGAAACTCATACATATCAATTAAAAAATGCCAAAGAATGAAAAAAACAAAAAAAACAGTTTAAATATGTTTAATTACCTAATGCATGTAGCGGTAACAATGGTAAAAGCAATGCAAAAACCCATAAGGCTAATGTATACAACAGCTCCACATACGATTTCATTCTTCTTCCCTGCAAATTAAACTAACCATCTTAACAAACTACAATTACAACTATAGTATAAGCTCCAAGCCATAATCTCCTTGGTCGGGTGGAAAAGAGTAAAATAATTAGTCTTTTCACATTGCATTTATTCAAATTCTTGATTTTGAAATCTTTTTTTCTTTCCATTAAATGAAATCAGAATATGAGTTTTGAAGTAACTAACCTAAATAAACCTTAACGGCTTGAGTGTAAGAATTAAGTCGGAGAGGACCGTTGTCAGGATCGGGGTAACGGTAGCAATCGGCAAGAAGAAAAGCAGAGAGAAGTGTGACTCCCGCAAAGGCAAAAATCGCGGCCGGACCAGCGATCCAGCCAAGCTCTGCCGTGGCCCAAGCCAAAGACAACACTCCTGCTCCTATCACTCCTGTTATTATATGTGTCACAGCCGTCCATAACGTTCCTTTTAAAGAAAATTCAAGAAAACACAACGTAATTATTATAAGCGACGACTATATATAATCTGATTAACATTACTACAGGGTTTTAGTTTTACCTGTTCTTACAGAAACTGAATCCTGAAGTCGAGTTTCGTTTGGTGTTATAACTCGAGACTCGTTATCTTCTTTAATGTCCATTAGTTTTTCTTCTTCTTGATTTTGGATGACAGAGATAAAGATATTTATGGGAACCTTGTTTGACTAAATTGGAAAGACAATGGGGTCTTCTTAGATGTGTCGGGGTCGTCCATGGACTAATTGGGCGTGTCCACAGAACAATATTTGGACGGTTCGTAATGGACAATAGTCTAAAATTTAAGACTATGTTCATTGGATATGCTCATGGGATTTGTCCATTTCTATTTTTAAACCGTCTATAACTACTATTGTAATTTACGTGTAGTAATTTATATTACTCGTGTGCATGTGAATAATATAAGATAGTTTAGTCGATGGTCACACGTCTCACATCAACGTATACCATTAGTCCATTGATTGGAATAGTGGTCCATTTTTCTTGGTTTAGAATACAAAAAGAATACAATGTGTTTATCTCGATACTTTTAATCCTATCCATCAACAATAACTTTATTATCAACTTTTTTTTTCTTTCTTAAGGAATGGATTTTTTCTAATATTCTGTTTGTTAGAAATAATTCTAATGGTCTGTAATTGGTATTCCCATCAGATCTCACCATATGTTAAAAGTAAAAATACGTTAATTAACCATCACTTTTAATTGAAAAGGTTTTGATTAAAGATAAAAAATCATAAAAATATATCAAAACTAAGTTGGTTAGTATGTGATGTGCAAACCTTTCAATCGATGTTTGTATCGTAAACGTGTCCTTATCTCGACGTGAAATTGACATTTGAACTCATTAATCTCTTGTGCCGTTTACTTTTAGCCACTTGCTCTGTTTCTTATCTTCGTTCGTAGCCAAACACGAACACATGAAATCAGAGAGTTTAAAGTTTAAAACTTACAAGCGTGTCTCTGTGCAATACACACTTCAATAGAGTTGGTGTATTAAATTTTTTAACTTTCTATATTTAATGCTAATGGATTACACAAAAGTTTTCTTCAGTTATTTACCAAAGACCCTTCATGTATCACACATGCAGTTTTAGTTGATCATCCTAGTTTTGCTCCAACAAGTCCATAAATGGATCCAACAAGAGACAAGAGACAGACAAACAAGCAAACAAAGCTAAAACCTCTAAGAAGAAGCCATGGCCGCGTCCAACTTTGTATCTTCTTCTGCATTATACACATCTCCACAGGAAAATACACTGCCAAAGGCCAAAATCCAATTGCCCCCAACACTCCTAATACTTCGTTGAAGTAGGGAAACATTACTGCCACTCCCGTTGTGATCACCACATACACTGTTCTCATGCATAGCCTCATTGGATTCAATCTCACTGTTTCTCCTCGTAACATTGGAAGTTTTAAGACATAGAATCGGGAGATGAATTTGTTTTGTGGGTATTTCTCCGATAACCATCTCTCCATAGCCGCAAAAATAGGTTGACTATAAACCTAAAATGACATTATATTTATGTTACAAACGTGAAATTGTATGGTTTTAACTCTCAGTTATATGTTTGCATTTGAGCATGTATCAAATCTAATCTAATGTTTTGGTATTGTAAACATTTTTGTTTTGATCATTGTAACTCAAAATGTCAAAACATATACATTACCAGCCAAAAATATTTGGTCTAAAATACTAAAAATTGTGGTTTGTTTAATAAAATGTGAATTCAGATGTCATGGAAAACATATTGACGTTTGAGATAATGGCAAACCTTTTGGTTAGATTAGCACAAGGGTTTTTAGATTACCTGGCATCCACCAACTAAGTGAAGAACAATGCAAGCATTGGCGAAATCTACAAGCCAAAATGGCTCATAGAATCCAAAACCGGTCAGAAGATTTCCCGGGGTGGAATCTCCAAAGGCCGCGTAGCCTAAGCATCCACAACATAAGAAGAAGAATGTTTGGATGAATACAGCAACCGTTGAGGCTTTCTTCATCGTTATCTTCTCCGCAGGTGGTGATCTCAATGTGTCCTGTTCTTAATTTTCATTCAACCCATATAAATTTTTTCTGATCAGAAACTATAACATACAATTTTTAGAATTGAGTCGTTAATAATGTTTTAAGTTGTCTTACTAATTAGTATCATAATGATGTATCTAAAGGTGAATTATTTATCTGAATCTCAAGAAGTATGATTGAGAAAGGATATGAAAAGGCAATGTTCCCAAGAGCTTGAAACACCAAGCATACTTTTGCACCTCTGTTTTCAGCTGGACTTCCCTTCACACTTCCCTCAATTTTTCGTTTTTCTTCATTTCGAAAAAAAAGAAAAAATTAAGTACTGGTCGTCTTTTATCTCATAATCAAATGATCTTAAGCGAAGACTCAATCAACAGCCAAACATTAAAAAAACGAAATACGATGAATTATCTGGTACCAATGATTTTGCCAAGGGCAAGGCCTATGCCAGTGAAGGAGTAAGTAAGAGACATAATCGCAGCAACAATAGAGAGCCATAACATGTCGTGGAAGTTAGGTATTTGTGACATAAAGATCTGAACCAAACCAAACAAAACCATGAAGTTGTTGTTGTTGTCTCCATATGAACATGTTGCATTGTGTCCTTTTCTATGATAACAATTCGATTTCATAATTGCTCTGTAAGGAAAATGAAAGAAACTCATACATATCAGTTAGAAAGTTTTCCAAAAAAAGAAATAAACAACAGTTTAAAATATATTTACCTAATGCATGTAGCCGTAACAATGGTATAAGCAATGCAAAACCCCATAAGGTTAATGTATACAACAACCCCACATACGAGTTCATTCTTCTTCCCTGCAAATTAAACTAACCATCTTAACATAATATAAAGCTTGAACCCCATAATAGCTTTGGTAGGGGAGCAAAATAATTAGTCTCTTGTCACATTGCATGTATTCAAATTCTTGATTTTGAAAGCTTTTTGTCATATACATGGCAAGTTGAGCATAATGAAATTAGAGTATGAGGTTTGAAGTTGACCTAAATACACTTTAACGGCTTGAGCGTAAGAATTAAGCCGAAGGGGACCGTTGTCAGGATCGGGGTAACGGTAGCAATCGGCAAGAAGAAAAGCAGAGAGAAGTGTGACTCCCGCAAAGGCAAAAATCGCGGCCGGACCAGCGATCCAGCCAAGCTCTGCCGTGGCCCAAGCCAAAGACAACACTCCTGCTCCTATCACTCCTGTTATTATATGTGTCACAGCCGTCCATAACGTTCCTTTTTTTTTTATTTTTTATTCAAGAAAACACACAACGTAATTAATTATTAGCGACTATATATATAACCTGATTATATGATTACTAAAGGGAATAATTTTACCTGTTCTTGCGGAAACTGAATCACGAAGTTGAGTTTCGGTTGATGTTATAACTCGAGACTCGTTATCTTCTTTAGTGTCCATCATTTTTTTTGTTTGCTTGATATATTTTGGATGACGATGATGATGAATATATTTAGTAGGTGTATGCAGAAGGAGGATATGAATACATTTAATCTTCTTGGGGAAAGAAACCTTGTTTAAGTAAATTGGAAGACAGATGGTTGTCTACTACTACTATTATAACTTTACGTGTAGCTAAATTTATATTACTCGTGTTCATGTAAATTGTATATAAGATATTCTATAGTCTATGGCCACATCTAAGTAGACATTGATTGGAAATTGGAAATGGTCGAAGCTAAACAGTTGGGTGGTCCATTAGTTTTTGCTTAGAATGCAAAAAGAATAATATATGTGTTCATATATCTCACTACTTTTAATTGTATCCATCGATATTAACTTTATAATCAACTTATTCTTTTAGGAATTTTTCTTCTAATATTCTGTTTGCTAGAGTTAACTCTAATAGTCTTGATTGCTATTCCCATCTCAACCAGCATATGTTAAAGTAAAAAATACGTTAACGTAAACCATCACGTTTTTATTGAATAGGCTATTTAATTATTATTATGGGGAAATTTCAAAAATACCCCTTTTCCAATATCACTTTTTAAAAATACCCTTATTCCTATATTTATCAAAAAGCCACTATAAAATTTGAAATTTATCAAAAACATATGTGTAAACTTATATTTATAGACACAAATTATCTTTATATGTGTGTAAATTTTTATATATATTTTATAAATACCGTATTAATACATTTTAAAAATCATTTAAAAACCTTATAAAACTGTGTAAACCTTTTAAAAACCTTATAAAAACATTATAAATGCCGTTTAGGACCTTTTAAAACCTTATAAATATTTGGATTTAGTCTTCTAGTAGTAATGATGACCTCGATGTACCTTATTAAGCATATAAAAGTTTATAATTTTTCATATTTGAAAAGGGGTATTTTTGAAATTAGATAGAAAAGAGTGGTATTTTTAAAAATGGGTACACCAAAAGGGGTATTTCTCAAAAATTCTCTATTATTATAGATCAAATATATCAAAATAATTAGCTATTGGTTAGTCATCGGAATTTTGCTCCGACAAGTCCATGAATAGATCCAACAAGAGACAAGAGAGAGACGAGCAAGCAAACAAAGCTGAAAACTCTAAGTAGAAGCCATGGTCGCGTCCAACTTCGGATCTTCCTCTGCAATATACACATCTCCACAGGGAAATACACTGCCAAAGGCCAAAACCCAAGTGCACCCAACACTCCAAGTACTTCATTGAAGTATGGAAACACCATTGCTACTCCCGTTATGATAACCACATACATCGTTCTCAAACACATCCTCATTGGATTCACTCTCACCATTCCTCCTCGTAACATTGGCAGTTTGAAACCGTAGAATCTGGCGACGAACTTGTTTTGTGGGTATTTCTCTGTTAGCCATCTCTCCATAGCCGCAAATATTGGTTGACTGTAGACCTACAATGACATCCCATATGTTAAAATACAAAAATTGCATATATAATTAGCCAAAAAATAGTATTTCCTAAAATATTAAAATTGTGCATGTCAATAAAAGATGTGTTGGTTAGATGCATGGGACTAATAAGGGGATTGTTTGTACGATACCTGATATCCACCTACTAAATGAAGAACAATACAAGCGTTGGCGAAATCGACAAGCCAGAATGGCTCATAGAATCCGAAACCGGTCAAGAGATTTCCCGGGGTGGAATCTCCAAAGGCCGCGTAGCCAAAACATCCACAGCAAAGGTAGAAGAATGTTGTGATGATTACCCCGGCCAGAGAGGCTTTCTTCATCGTTTGCTTCTCCGCTGGTGGGGATCCCAATGTGTCCTGTTCTTAATTTTCATTCAGTCCACATGAAAAGGTTTCTTGATCAGCAGAGTATATATCAACTTCTTAGGCTCTTGTGATTTAATGTACAAATTTTTAGAATCTCTTGGAGTAGTTAATGTTTTTGTCTTACTTACTTAATTAGCATCATTATGTGTATGAACTTAAATTATTTACCTGAATCTCAAGAAGTATGGTTGAGAAAGGATATGAAAAGGCAATGTTCCCAAGAGCTTGGAACACTAACCATACTTTTGAACCAATGTTGTCTGCTGGACTTCCCTTTAAGCTTCCCTCAATTTGTCGTTTTTCTTAATTAGTTTCAGAAACAAAACAAAGATTTAAATCATTCAAATGATCTTCCATCTCAAAATAAATTGACGATATATAGTTACATAGACAATGTATAGTAACATATGAACACTTTAACGCTTAATAATTGGTTAGTGTCAGAAGCAAGAAAGCAAAAATTGATCCGTAAACGAGAGATGGTTATCTTTACCGATGATTTTGCCAAAGGCGAGGCCGAGGCCTATGGAAGAGTAAGCAAAAGACATAATCGCAGCGACAAGAGAGAGCCATAGCATGTTGTGGAAATTAGGTATTTGTGACATAAAGATCTGAAGCAAACCAAACAAAAGCATGAAGTAGTTGTTTTTGTCTCCAAATGAACATGTTGCAGTGTGTCCTTCTCTATGATAACAATTCGATCTCATGATTGCTCTGTAATGAAATGGAAGAACCTCAAAATTAATTTCACCCAAAAGAAAGAAAAAAATATCAATATTGAAAATCACAACATGTCTAAGAGAGAAAAACTGTGTATATATAGTAGGCTTAACATAACTATTACCTAAGGCAAGTAGCTGTCACAATGGTATAAGCAACGCCACAACCAACAAGGGTAATGTATACAAAGACCCCGCATACGATCTGATTCTTCTTCCCTGCAAATTGAAATCACAAACTGAATACTTACCAATTATGTATATATTTCTGGTAACTAAAAATATAAGCTCATTCTAGAAAGGTATCCTCTACGGCTGTACAACTCGACCAACACCATCAGACCAATTAAACTAGTTTACTATGTTTGGTCGGAATATGAGATTTGAAGCGAACCTAAATACAATTTAACGGCTTGAGAGTAAGAGTTAAGTCGGATGGGACCGTTTTCAGAATCAGGGTAACGGTAGCAATCGGAAAGAAGAAAAGCAGAGAGAAGTGTGACTCCGGCGAAGGCTATCATGGCGGCTGGACCAGCAATCCAACCAAGCTCGGCCATGGCCCAAGCCAAAGATAACACTCCTGCTCCTATCACTCCTGTTATTATATGTGCCACCGCCGTCCACAACGTTCCTTCATATTATAATCAAGAAAACACTATTAGCAACTAAAAATATACATTGAATTACAAACTAAATGATAAACTTTACGGATATAATTACCAGTTCTTACAGAAACTGAATCATGAAGTTGAAGTTCGGTCGGACTCATAACACGAGACTCTTCATCTTCTTTAGTGTCCATGTTTTTATCCCACGATTTTTGTTTGTTAACGAAGACGAAGACGAAGATGTATAGTTTTTATGTTACGTGTATACTTATGCGGGGAAGACGACATGAAAATGCTTTATCTTCTCGAGAAGAGAATTATTGTGTGAACGGTGGTAAGAAAACATTAGAGAAAATTTGTCATTTACCATTCTATTATTGGTTTATATAATGGATGGTCACATCACATCTACCAATTTAGTCATTTGATTGGAATGGTTTAACAAATCTTTATTTTGTTTAGTATACAAAAAGCCATAAAGAACAACAATGAGCTTAGCCTAACATGATTCGGTATCTAAAATAAATGAAAACATTATTTTGATTATTTATCGAAAGAAAAAAATATAAAACGTGTGAATATGTTTAATGATGAGCTCTTGATTTTGTTAAGAAGGGCTCTAAAGCTTTTATTAACAAAATTTTAGGTTAAGAACCCACCATTATTCATGTTCTAAGACCATGTCGGTGGTAGAATGGTAGACGAATTTGTAAGTACTGTTTTTTTCATGAAAGATGATTGTCGATTGGAATTGTCTGCCGTATAAACAGTAGAATATTTACACCATCTCATTGGTTATACCATAAATATCTTAAGTTATAGTTTAAATATAATTTTAAAACCCTTTTGAAGAGAGAAGACAAAAGTGTTTTAAAGAAGACACTTTGTATTCTAGATGTCATTTTCTTATTGGTTTAATTTCTAATATTATTTATTTTTTTAATATAATTTAAGACAAACCATCTATATTACTAGCTGATGGAGATGCTATTTAGTTGCAAAATATTGTCTCAAAAGATTATATAATATTGAAAAAATGTCATTAAAATTTCATAAACATTGTGGTATGTCATATAATATGCTAAGTTCTGTTAACTAACCATTTTACACATCAAATATTGTTGACAAAACTAAAAACGATATTCTATTAAACTACAACATTAATTGTTTAATTATTACTCCCTCCGTTTCATAATATAAACTGTTTAAGGAATTTTGTTTTGTATCAATATATAAGATGTTTTACAAATTTTTTGATAGATTTTAATGTTGTTTTGATGTTTTGACTCTTTAAATTCTGCGGGCTTTTGTATGATTGGTTAAATTTTATTTTTAGTTAATTATTAAATAATATTTATTTATTTTAAACAATTTTATTAATTTTTGTGCTTTTAGCTAAAAAAATTATATTACGGAACAGACGGTGTATTTTGTTTTAGAAATTGTTCAATTATCCTTTTTAACTGCACATATATTTCGGTTTGATCAACAATATTTAATATATTAAACGAGTAGTCAACCGGTGTATTTAAATAAACTCCCACAAAATTTATTGATTTTTTAAAATTTGTGTACTAGACATTTTTCCCTTTTTCGAAATAACTCAAAACTTTAGTTTACCCTCACAGTTACTTTGCCGTCTTCTTCAGTTTTAAGGGTTTCTACAACAAAAAAGAAGTTTCGATTTTTTCTTCTTTACTGTGAGTAAAATCAAGCATGGGGAGACTGTTCTCAAGTGAAAAGCTATCCCTGCGAGAAGGCTGTGAAGTCGAAGTCTCTTACAATAACAATGTCATTGAAGGCGTTTGGTTCAAAGCCATTATCGAGGCAAAACCGCCAACGAATCCCAGTTCTGTATCCAAGGAACTCTTTGTTCGGTTGCTTAAGGATGACTCTTCCACTCCTCTTTGCGAAATCATACACAAAGCCTCGATTCGACCCATTCCCCCAAAAAGTGTGCAAGCTCTCATCGATATCGAGATAGGCACCATCGTCGACGCTGATTATAAACAAGCGTGGTGGACTGGTTTTGTGGTCAAAGAGATTAGTGATGGCAAGTGTTTTGTGTTCTTTGATTCACTCTCTGATATCATTCTGTTTGATAGAAAGCATTTGAGGCCTCATCTTGAGTGGGTCGATAAGCAGATATCCTCATGGTGGTTCACTGAATCAACACGAAATTCAGAGGTAATGGAGTTTTTGAGGTGAAGATTTGCTTCTCAATTTTTTTTTTGTCTTTAATGCTATTATGATCGAAAGTTTTGTTTTTTTCTAATGTATGGATACTCTGGTTGTTGAAGCTTATTGAAAGACTTTAACTTTACTGTTAGTTCTTGAAGCGGTTGGCTGAGGAGCCTATGTTTAGTCCTGGAACAATGGTGGAATTGAGCTCTAAGAGAAATGGAGATGAGGTGGTTTGGGTTCCTGCTATGGTTATTAAAGAGTTTAAAGAGGATGATGGTGATGACTATAAATATATTGTCAAGGATATGCCTTTGATCGGCAAGAGTTATGAGTCAAGACCCACCAAAACTGTCGATTTGCGTAGTCTTAGGCCTATACCGCCTTCCATTCGGGTTGAAGAGTATCAGTTGGAGGAATTCATAGAGGTGTATAATGATGGTATTGGTTGGCGTCAAGGACGATTTATGGAAAATCAAGTACTAGTGATGGGAAGTCTCTCTCAGAAATGGTGTGTATTGCTTATGGAGGCTACAAAGAAGAAAATGATGTTCAAAAAATCGGATCTTAGGCCTTTGAAGGTGTGGGAAGATGGCGTTTGGAAGGTATTTTATATTCACTGGATTCAGTCAACACTAGATTATTGTTAAAATTGACTAATCTGTGAACTGTTTGCAAGAATGGGAAGATGAAAACTGCCATTTCAGTTTTAGAACTTCAGCAAAAAACTTGCTCCTTTGACTGCCGTTCTTAGATGTGTATTGATGGTTTGCATTGAAAGTCTTTGTGTTATTATTATCATCCTATTGTGGCTTCTGATCTGTGTAAGATGTTGCAGAAAAGGGAATTGTCTTCAACTCAGGGACCAGGAGATGAGATGGGTGAGTCTGTGATGAATGGTAAGTTGGTAACACTAACCAACGTATTATACCCATATTCAATTTCCGTATCATGAAAAAATTGACCTTATAACTACAGGAAATGAATTCGATCCACCTGTAACTCCACCTCCGGGGATAACTACAACACCGTTGAAACAGATAGAGGCTGAAACTCAAAGAAAGATATTCTCCAAGAAGCCACTTCCAAGGATCCAGAGGGGTTCGGGAAACGACTCAACACGAGAGAATGTAAAGCTAATTCTTCACTTTTATAATTCTCACTTTCTCTGTAGTTTGTTAGCTGGTGGCTTATCATCTTATCCTCTTGACTGTTATTTATCTATTGGTTGATATTTGACAACTTCCATGCAGGAAAATAGCAAAGATATTAATCGAAAGAGGAAAAGAGAAGATAACATTTGCTCTGTTGCTCGTGTTGAGGAAGACAAAGCAAAGGATACAACAATGGTTTTGCCCTTTGAGAAGAAGTTACCAATTTGGAAGACACTTGAATCAATGGAGGTATTTAAAACAGTCCCACAAAGTCCTCATTTCAGCTTATTGGCAGAGACTAGAGAAGAATCCCGTGAAATGTTAGCGGTTGGTATGATGCTTACCTTTTCTGGTTTACTTGAGGAAGTTAAACTTCTGCCACTCAGCGAGACCATAAGCTCATTTATAAGCGTCAGTAAGTCCTTGGCTGAGTTAGAGAAACACGGGTTCAATGTAAAAGCAGCTCAGCTGCGGATCTATAAGCTGTTGACAATTAAAAGTATGCAATCAAAGAAAAAGGAGGAACTCAAAGGCGCCAAGAAAGCGACCGCAGAGAAAGAGAGTGCAAAGGTTGAGAACGAGCGTAAGATTCTCGAGCTGCAAAGGTTGAATGAGGAGATGGAGAAAGAGATAGCTCAGAGTAAGTCATGTGAAGCAAAGATTGTCCAACAGCTTGATGTTGTGAAGCTTGAGTTCCAGGCAACTACATCGGCTCCGTGGTAGAAAAAGCATTATATGATCATCTCTCTATAATGCAATTAGATTATATGCAGACAAAAAACACTTCGTTGGCCCTTTTGGATGATGAATGGATGTTTAGTCTCAACTTTTTGTGTTGTTCAGTGACACAAATGGAATGATTATGCTTATTAGGGGTTTATGTATCTCTGTGAGTGGATGAAATTTTTATTTTTTTTCTTCTTTATTCATCTCAATTCTTAAAGAGTTATCTAATTTGTTTATTCTTCTAAATAAACCCCCAAAACTAAAATAAAAAAATAAAAAAAAGGGCTACCGTACATTTTTTTTGTTTTGCCACTGTTAAAAAACGCTGTCTTCTCCCATCGGTAGTGATTCCCACATTAAAGAGAAGCTGCTTCAGTGGCTTTATCTATTGGGGTTTTCGGGTTCAGTTTTAGGGTTTTTTCTACCAAAAAAAAAAAAACAAGAAAAGTTCCAAATAATTTTCTATAAAGAAGTTAGGTTTTTTTCTTTTGTTCCTTCTCTTTTTAACTGAGAGTAAGTAATCAAGCAATGAGGTACGCTCGGGGTGACAGTCCTTCTATGGTGGAAAATTGTAAATTCGAAATTTGTTATCCCAAAACCAAATGTCTTCATGGAAGTCGAAATATCTTACAACAAGTTTGGTATAAAGCCGCTGTCGTGAAAGAAGCGCCAAAGAATTCCAAATCTAGAGGCCGTGTACTCTGCGTTCGGTTGCTCAAGGATGATTTTTCTACTCCTCTTTCGCAATTTCGGACAATATCTTCAGTGATTCAACCGGTTCCTCCCAGAAGCTGCCGAGATGATTTTGGTATAGGCTTCATCGTCCAGGCTGATTACAAAAATGCGTGGGTGACTGGTTTTGTAGTCAAGAAGATTGATGTCGACAACTATTTGGTGTGTTTTGTTTCACCGCCTGATGTCATTCAGTTTGATAGAAAGCATTTGAGGCTTCATCTTGATTGGCTCGATCAGAGGAGAGACAAATGTTGGCTCATACAACCAAAACTTAATAATGAGGTAAAAATTCGATTTTTTTGTCTGAAATTTCTTCTCAATTTTGTTGCTTTCCTTTGCCTATGTTATCGGTTTTATTTTTGTTTCTAATGTTTTTGTATGTTTTGGTTGTGTGAATAACTCAACTTTACTGTCAGTTCTTGAGGCGGTTAGCTAAGCAGCCTATGTTTAGTCCTGGAACAATGGTGGAAGTGAGCTCTAAGATTAATGAAACTGAAGTCGTCTGGCTTCCTGCAATGGTTATTAAAGAGTTTAAGGGTGATGACGGTGATGCTGATGCCAATGATAATAACGATGATGATAATGATGATGATGACGATGATGATGCTGATGATGATGAAAATCATGACGCTGAAAATGATGATGATGAGTATAAGTATATTGTCAATATCAGGGTCTGTGATAAGTCCTTGAGTAATAAGGCAAGACCCAACAAAATCGTTGATTTCCGTAATCTTAGGCCTACTCCGCCTTCTATTTCGGTTGATGAGTATCAATCTGAGGAGCACGTAGAGGTGTTTCATTGTGATATGGGATGGCGTCAAGGACGAGTGATGCGAACTCTCCCTCAGAAACGGTATACAGTGCTTTTAGAGGCTACCAAAATGGAATTGGCATTCAATCACTGGGATCTTAGACCTTTAAAGGTGTGGGAAGATGGTGTTTGGAAGGTATTTTTAACGTTTTCTTTTTAGTCAAGACAAATATATTATTGTCAATAATGACTAATCAGTGTGGATTGTCTGCAAAGAATCTTGAAAATATGAAATCTGCCATTTCAGCTTTTAAACTTCAGTAAGAAAACTTGCTCTTTTGACTGCATTTCTTAGATGTATAATGATAGGCTGCATTGGAAGTCTTTGTATTACTATTTTCCTGTTGTGGTTTTTGATCTGTTTTAGATGTTGCAGACAAGGGAATCGTCGTTAACACAGGGATCAGGAGATGATACGGGTGATTCTGTGATGAATGGTAAGTTGGTAACACTCTCTGAAATCTAACGGATTTTTCAAACCCAATTTCAATTTCTGTATGTGATGTCACTGTTTTCCAAATTCCAGCAAATGAATCTGATCCACCTTTAACTCCACCTCCGGGCATCACTACACCACAGTTGACACAAGTAGAGGCTGAAACTCAAAGAAAGGCACTCCCCAAGAAGACACTTCCAAGGAATCAGAATGGCTCGGCAGACGAGTCAATACAAGAAAATGTAAAGTTAATTCTTCACTTTAACATTATAATTCCCATTTTTCTATGTAGTTTGTTAGCTGGTGGCACTGCACTTATTATCTTAATCCTCTTTACTGTTATGTATCTATTGAATGATATTTCACATTTGGGATTATCAACTTCCATGCAGGGAAGTAGCGAAGATATTAATCGAAAGAGGAAAAGAGAAGAGGAGCTTTGTTCTGTTGCTTGTGCTGAGGAAGACAAAGCGAAGGATACAACAATGGTTTTGCCTTTTGAGAAGAAGTTACCAATTTGGAAGACACTAGAGTCGATGGAGGTTTTTAAAACTGTCCCACAAAGTCCTCATTTCAGCCCATTGGCAGAGTCTAGAGAAGATTACCGTGAAATGTCTGCAGTTGGTATGATGCTTACCTTTTCTGGTTTACTTGATGAAGTCAAAGCTCTGCAACAAGAAGATCCCATAAGCTCACTATTAAGCCTCAGTGATTCCTTCTCCAAGTTAGAGAAACACGGGTTCAATGTAAAAGCACCTCAGTTACGGATCAGTAAGCTGCTGTCTCTCAGAGATAGGCAGTCAAAGAAAACGGATGAACTCAAAAGTGCCGAGAAAGCAGCTGTAGAGAAAGAGAGGGTACTGGTTGAGAATGAGCGCAAGATTCGCGAGCTGCAGAGGCTGAATGAAAACACGGAGAAAGAGATAGCTGAGAGTAAATCATGTGCAGCAAAGATTGTCCAACAGCTTGATGATGTGAAGCTTGACATTCAGACAACTGCATCAGCTCCATGGTAGATAGTTAATATGACCTCTAATCTAAGCTAATCTCTAGTATGTATATGAAAACTTTAGATTATATGTAATTGGAAAAGACTTCGTTGGCCCTTTTGATGATGAATGATGATGTTTAGTGTTAACTAGTTTAATTAATTTGTGTCTGTGTACTTAAATATACTAAGAGAGATTACGTCTGAATCGGTTAAGACTCTGTTAGTGACACTAATGGAATGATTACGAGAAAAGACAAAACAACTTTAAGAGAAAGTAGGCAAAGTAATAAGAAGAATATTGCAGAGCTGTCCATTAACATTGAGACTTCTACATACGTCACATACTCAATCCTTTTACCAAAAGCCACCACAAACTTTTGTCAATTTCTCTCAATCAAAATACCCCATTTCTCTCTCTCTCTCTTTTATTTTAAAGAAGAACAAAACAAAAAAACATAGAAACTCTTTCCTTTCTCGATCTCTTCTCTTCTTGAACTTCTTCCAAGATCCCCAGACCAAATGGCTCAGGTTTGGTTTCTCATATCAGTCTTTAGAAAAATTGATTCATAGCTCTTTCTCCTAAATTGTAAATCTTTTTTTACTTTTGGTTTGATAGAAAGTGGTGTTGAAGGTTTTAACCATGACTGATGATAAGACCAAACAGAAAGCCATAGAAGCTGCAGCTGATATCTTTGGTGATTCTCCTTACTAATTCTTCTTTTATTACTTTTCGATTGAAAACATTCAATTCTTGTTTCTGGGTATCATTGCCTTAGTAGTTCTAAACTATTATAGATTCTTAGGATTTCTCAAAAGTTACAAGAAAGATTAAACAGCTTTGTTGCTGCTAGCTAAAACGATACGAAACAATCGTGTTACTGAATCTGGCTCGATTGTATATAATTGCGTCAATTTTGGGGAGCTTGGGTTATTTGACCTTTTGTGACACATTTTGTCAACGAGATGCTTTTAGGCTTTTAGCAGTGAAGAACAAATAGTGTGAGTGAGTGTAATGGGTGCACTTATTTGGAGGCCCATATTTTGATAGGCTAGTGATTGAAGGCCTTCTTCACTAGTAATGGATGTGGGCATGTGTGATTGTGGTCGGCCTTATTGGTAAACTATAGACGAGTGTAAATGATCAAAGATGATACAAGTTTGTAGTATATGCTAAAGAGGAATGTGTTTAAGCAGGAGTTGATTCGATAGCAGCGGATATGAAGGAGCAAAAACTGACGGTGATCGGTCTGATGGATGCGGTTGCGGTGGTGAAGAAGTTGAAGAAGGTAGGTAAAGTCGATTTGATATCGGTTGGACCGGCCAAAGAGGAGAAGAAAGAAGAGAAGAAGGAAGAGAAGAAAGAGGAAAAGAAAGAGGAGAAGAAGGAAGAGAAGAAGGCTGAAGAACCTAAGAAATAAAATGAGTAATTGTTCCATATATTGAAAACCCCTAAATTTTTTTGTCATCTTGAATAATCTTATGGTGTAAAAGTAATTGTTCAATACTTTGTAATAAAATTAAAGTACATTGGACATTTTATTTTTATTTTTTTATAAGGGAACAACCAAACTAACGAGTACAACAAGTTTACTATTTTTACAAGTGTACTACAATTGTGATAATCAAAATACTCAAAGCTATCAGAATCTTAATTACTCATGGAATTAAATATCAACTATTATTAATTAGTAAATCGTATAAACAATTATTAACATCAAATGACTCTTAAACCAATATTAACGATAATGGCGATTTACTTGTGATTTACCTTTTGTTTACTGCACCTTTCTTTTACTATAAATAGCAAGTATTAGCTACCTTTCTGTTATAAAAATTGTGAATACTAATTATTCTTGATTTAGCATATTCTATAATATATATAATGATTAATTGGATTCATTCACTTAATTAACTTTTACCAAATTTACATCCAACGATATAAAACTTTACGGTTTCGATAAGAAAACAAGAATCGCGCAAAGAAAGAAATGTTACAAGTTTATAAAGAGTTTCTTTTAGGTTAGGGCTATCTATATAAATTAAAGTAGCGTAACGTAAAGTATCCTATCTTTTATTTTTCTCAGTTGTATTTCTCTTAACTTATTTTTTATTAACCTTATATGACGTCATGGGGAGGGGGAGTTGGTGAAACAATCAAAAAGAAGTTAAAAACGGTTTAAGATAATTCCCATATTTATCCGGTTTATTAGATGATAATTTTGAAATTTCTATAATACAACCCGGTTTGATAACATTTTGAGCTGAGTAGCGAACCGGTTCCGTCTTACTGATGTCCACTTTTAAACAACAAAATTCGAAAAAGGTCACACTCCTATATGATTTCTGAGACTTGTGAATTTGCCGTTGAATCCTTATACTTCGAAAACATTTCAATCTGAGTACCAAAACTTATTAGCATATATGAAATGAACCCCATATAGTAACGTCATTGAAGTAATTCAAAAGAAAATAGGGGTGGAAATTGAAAATATAAATAACATATTGGATGGATTTTATAAAATGATTAATGATCGTGCATCAATGATCCTAATTAAAGGAAGAAAACTAAAATATATAAATAGGGGAAGAAGGAGGCGAGTCATTTTATGACAACGAGGAACAGAACATATATATCATTTTACTTACCAAACATTTCTTTCCCCAGCTCAGTTTCTTGAAAATACGACAATTCATTTTTCTAAATATATATATATATATATATATATTTTTTTCTATCTCTCTCTCTTATATAACCAAAAAAAAGAGTTGTGAATCATTCTGATTCTCTTGTAAATATTTAGTTGTTGAAACTTAAAACGTCGTCATGGCTGAAGAGGAATCGAAGAAGGTGACAGAGACCGTTACGGAACCAGCTCCATCACCCCAAGCTCCGGTGGAGAAGAAACCTGCAGTTGCTGCCACGGATGTCTCTGATCCTCAGGAGAAACCTGTTGTTGTTGCTCCACAGGAGAAGCCTGTTGTTGCGGCCGAGGATGTTGTTGTTCCACAGCCACAAGAGAAGCCTGTGGCTCCACCACCGGTTCTTCCATCTCCTGCGCCCGTGGAGGAGAAGCTAGAGGACTCCAAGGCTCTTGTTCCCGTCGTCGCTAGTAATTTACTCATATCTTTTTTCATAATATATATAGAAAGATTATAAGTCAAGTTTGCTGAACGATCATGAAAATCTTAGGCAAATATTTTTTCTTTGTTTTTTTCTATAAATTAACTGATAAGAGTCAAAATTACCTGATTTTCTTAAAGTTTTTTTTTTTTTACTGATAACGTTTAAATATATTTTTTCTTTATTTCAAGATTAAGAACATAATTTTTCCTTTAATAATATTTAAAGTGAAAGTTCTGTATTAATATCAATTTTAAGGTTCTTTTTTTAGGAGTAGTACTTATATTTTTTTGTTCGTGTGTGGCAGAGGAAGTAGAGGAAGAAAAGAAAGAAGGATCAGTTAATCGAGGTAATTAACGAGCTAAATACATGGTTAATTAAATAATTAGTTGTCAAATTCAGAAGTAAATAATTAGGTCGTTTCGTTTGGGTTCTGTTTGTGTTTATCAATGTCTTTAATTATTTCCGTACATACAATATATAAACTCTGATTAGTAGTGATTGTAATTTGCTCAAAAATAATATTGGGAGTGAAGATGCTGTTCTGGCTAGAGTTGAGACAGAGAAGAGGATGTCACTTATCAAAGCTTGGGAAGAGGCTGAGAAATGCAAAGTGGAGAACAAGTAACGTTTTTCATCCTAATCACTTAATCCATGATAAATATTATGGTTAAGGTTTTGAAGCAAATGTTTGAAACAGAGCTGAGAAGAAGCTTTCTTCAATTGGGTCATGGGAGAACAACAAGAAAGCAGCTGTGGAAGCTGAACTCAAGAAAATGGAGGTTTACACTCTGGATTCTTATTTGTGTTTAAAAATTAGGCTTAAAATATTTTGCATACTCTGTCCAAGATTTTGACACATCTTTGATATTAGCCCTGACTTTTATTTAATTGCGAAATTGGAATTTGGAAAACAGGAGCAATTAGAGAAAAAGAAGGCAGAGTATGTGGAGGTTATGAAGAACAAAATAGCTCAAATTCACAAAGAGGCAGAAGAGAAAAGAGCGATGATCGAAGCTAAGCGTGGAGAAGAGATCCTCAAAGCCGAGGAATTAGCGGCCAAGTACCGCGCCACCGGAACCGCTCCCAAAAAGCTTTTTGGGTGCATATGATCTCTAAATCATATCCATAGCAAAACTTGTTGGGATTAATATGGCAACATAGAAAGTTATAAGGTCAAAAATGAAAACAACTTATATTGATTGGGGTGCGTTTGTTAATTTAATTTGTATTTGTTTGTTCAGCTTTTTTCATTTGAAACTTGAAAGGCTTATTCCTAGCTTTATGAATTGGTACGTGAAATGATATAATTTTCTTTCTTTATTGCGTAACCTTTGATCTCCTTCCCCGGCCCCTATTCTAAATGCGGTAATAAGTGGTACGATATGTAAAACAAAGAACAAGGTCCCATAGCTTCATATGTGTTGCAGCAAAAACAGATAAGACTCAAATCATATTAATGTAAACATAAGATAATACCAAACATCACAACAAACAAAATAAAATATTTAAGCCACGAATCGAGCGGTTTATGACAACATATTTAACAATGTCACTGGTTCGTGTAAGTGTAAAAAACCAATATTGGAGCCCTAAACAATATCAATAAATGTAAATCACGGCCCATAAGAAATACTAAGGCCCAAACCCAACTAAAGAGAGAGAACTCGGAAACTAGGGTTTCATCCGGAGGAGCTTCATTACTTGAGATTTCAGTCTTTCTTCCTTTTGCCTCTCTCGCATTTTCTACAGCCTTTTGCCCCTCTCAGAGCTCCGCGGAGAGCAGCTATCAGTAGCCATGGCTGAGCAAGTTCGTTTTTTATCCGTCTCTTTATATTCATTTCAACACTCTCTTACTCTATTACGATTCTAATCTTCTTCTTATTTCTTCACTTGCAGACTGAGAAAGCTTTTCTTAAGCAACCCAAGGTTTTCCTAAGGTATAATTCTTGACAACCAATAAAAATCTCATCTTTTTACTTATTATGTATCCATTTGATTCTGAATTGGTGGTTCATATGATTGAGAGGTTTTAATGGTGTTTTTGTGTTTCAGCTCGAAGAAATCTGGGAAAGGAAAGAGACCTGGAAAGGGTGGAAACCGATTCTGGAAGAACATTGGTTTGGGCTTCAAGACTCCTCGTGAAGCCATTGAAGGTTTGTCCTTTTTTCTTTCTTTGTTCTGTTTCTTCTGATTGATCTGAAATGGATGGTTTAGTGTAACTATTAAGTAATTAGGTGACTAACAGTGTGTAATCTAAGGTTTCCTATCTAGAAATCTGCATTTTTCACTTCACTATTAAACTGTGATAATCATATATCTAGCTTAGGCATAGATTTTTTTGGTTGGTGGTGGAGTAGAGAATTGTGTCAGATTGCTTGCTGTTATGAGATTTGAAATGGTATACTGAAGTTTAAGATCGAAATATTAAGTCATGTTCTGTTTTTTTTTCTGTGGAATAGGAGCTTACATTGACCAGAAATGTCCATTCACTGGAACTGTTTCTATCAGAGGTCGTATCTTAGCTGGTACTTGCCACAGTGCCAAGATGCAGAGAACCATCATTGTTCGTAGGAATTATCTCCACTTTGTGAAGAAGTATCAGCGGTAAGTTTTGTTCATCTAAATCCACATTGTGATCTCTGTTCTCGGTATAGCATAAATGGTTTAAGGTTTTTAAGTTTAACTTACATTATTATCTTGTTTATTTTAATCAGATATGAGAAGAGACACTCCAATATCCCTGCCCATGTCTCACCGTGCTTCCGTGTCAAGGAAGGTGACCATGTCATCATTGGCCAATGCAGGTAGAAAATTTGGGTTGTCTCTGTTTATAGATGTAGGCAACGCTGGGAAAACAATATCTGATTGTTTGAGGTTTATTTTGCAGGCCGTTGTCTAAGACTGTTAGGTTCAATGTGCTGAAGGTGATCCCAGCTGGTGCATCCGCTTTTGGAAAGAAGGCATTCACTGGAGTCTAAGAGATTTCAAAGTCTGGAGATTTTGGTTTTGGGAATGTTTTAATGTTTTGTTTGATGATCCCTTTTTGTTTGGAGACTTTGATTATCATAGACGAAAATACAAAATCTACGCACTTTCGTTGACCAAAATCTACTAAATTTTGTTGGGCAAAAACTATTTCACCATATCGCAATCAAGGTCTGTAGAAAAGTGGAACTTCGGAAGTTTAGTCTTCATACTTAGGCAGGCAGGTGTTGTTATTTGAGAACAACAGCAAAATGGTGTTATTCGATACTGAGCAGGAATTTAGAGGATGACTAAGAAAGAAGACAGAGGTCTTTTGGTCCATTAAGAAAAGGGTTTTGAGCTATCAGTTTAACCAAGCCACCGAAATGGTGTATTTGAATATGGGTTAACTTTATTTTAAAGGAACCTAACGAGCCAGTGATAAAAGGATGAAGACATCAAGACATTGAAATTGGTGAATGCGATCTCCATGTACATAAGAACCCAGCATATACATACATATTTAAATGCTAATAATTATATTTCTGTTAGAATACCATTAACATTAACATTAAGAATTAGAAAATGTAATTAGTATGGTCTGTGTAGAATTACATTCACTGCCAATTCTAAGTTGTTTGTTCCGTTGTCACAATCGGAATCTGTAATATCGTTGTTTACTTTTCCTTGGCAAAGCTAATATTATTGTTGGTTTTGGTTTCTGCAGTTAAATACAAAATAGTGAACTTGTATATACAATGATACGTAGAAAGGCGTTACACGTTCGCATAACAATTAGCAAGTAGTTTTGTTGTTGTTGGTGTTGTGTTCCATAGTCCATAGATATTTTAGTTGATTGTGATTGCAACTGTAGATTACTATATTCTCTCGTGCTCTCAATTATGAATGTTGGAATCAACAAATGCATAAATTATATGTTCACATTTTGTGTTGTAAATAAGCTACTAGTAATTAAATGGCTTTAAGACGATTTTATTTTAGGATTAAACCACAGGAACATGGCCTTTCCCATCGACATCCGACTTTACAGCTTACCATATTGCTAGTTTTGATTAGGCTTTTCTCATTCCATCAGTCATAATTTCATTTTTTTTCTTTCTTTCTTTCTATTGTGAAGCTCCCAAAAAAGCAAAAATAACTAATCTCGTGATGCGATATAAAATTTATCATATGCCTGCCAACAAAACTAGTAGCTAGCTAATAATGAACATTATTATTTCTCAAAATATTGAATGAAAAATAAATCCTTTACAAGAAAAAAAAGAAAGGAACGATATATAAAATTCTCTCACAACTGATACAAAAATCAACCTCAGGTAGTAAATCAAATTTGAAGAAAAAAAAAAAGAAAGAAATCAAGAAGCATCAACATTATCATCATCATCATCATAATTCATAAAAACATATAGTAATGATAAAAATCAAGAAGAGGAATAATAATATTAAAAGAAGACTATGGCTTTGTTTTGCCCACGTAAACCTGTAGTACTCCATCAGATCCCCCAGCCACTAGGGTGCACTGGTCCACACCTGATTGCCTCCAACAGACGCTACTCACGAACCGCTTATCCGAACCCGAATTCATCCCTACCGGTTCGAACCCGTCTATCCATACCGGCTTCCCCCACCTCTTATCATACACGAACACCTTGTTGTTCTCCGATCCGCATCCGAACAGCGCGCCGTTTCTCCACACCGATAACCCCACGAAGTTTCTATTGTTCACGTGCCCTTCGTACGTGCGAATCACTCTCCCGTCCTCCACGCTCCACAGCTTCAGACACCCGTCCGTGCCTGCCGTCACCACCGTACCGCCGTCTAGGAACCTCACATACGACACCGTTTTCGTGTGTCCTTCCAAAGTCAACGCCGGGTCAACGAGTTTCCTCATATCGTAAACGTACCCTTTCCGATCAGCGCATCCCACGGCCACCGCCGGTCCGCCGGATGGATCGAACTCCACGCAACAAACGGCGCTCCGGCATATCCCCGCCGGTCGTACTACGCCGACAGATTCCTCCGGCGGACACCTCGGATCCCATACCTGCATAGTCCCGTCGTCTGATCCCGACGCGCCCACCACAGAACCGCCGCCGTTGCGAGTGTAATCCACGCTCCATACGCGGCGGCCTCCGTGCTCGTCCCTTTCGAAAACCGGCGTTCTCTTCTCGAGATCGTACTCGGTCACTACGCCGTCGTAATCTCCCGACCCGATGACACGACCGCCCGACCCGGGTCTCCACCGTAGACTACTGAGCTTCGCCGGCGTACAGATGTAATACTCGCAAGCTGTCGCTTGATCGACGAAAGAAACGCCTCCTCCTCCTCCAGAGACGGCGGCGCTGGTGCGTAAGAGAGAAGGGAGGCCGTAAAAACGAATCTTTCTAGAAATACCGGCGGTAGCGACGATGTTATCAGTGGGGTCGAACTCAATAGCACCGATAACGTCGGAGGCGGAGGAGGAAGAGGAAGAGACGACGGTGGAGAGAGAAAGATCCCATTCGTATCTAGCTTCTTCTTGTTCTTGTTCTTCTTCTTGTTCTTGATGCGGAGGATGAAGAGTGTTCATATGAAAACAGAGTAATCACTGTTCTTGTAAAGCTTCTTCTTTGGGATTCGGACCAATCGAGAACCAATCCCATTCAAAGAATTTTTTATTAATACATTTTTTATTATAAATATAGTTTCTAAAAAAGTATCACTATAAATAAATATGGTAAATAAAAATGGGTTTATTTACGAATCCACGTAATAATTTTATCCATTCGTATACAAAGGAGGACAGAGAAGGTCCCATATTAAATCCTATTTCAGGTAAGAAAATGTGAAGTGAGTCGTCGTGGCTACTTATATAGCCAAACATGGAAACTTGTATTTAATTCATGCATTCCATCTAGTAGGCGAAACGACGTTAATTTATAACGTTAATCCGAGTTAACATTTCGAGTTTTCGACTGAACCTATAAATGTGGAACTAATTAGTATTGATTGTTATGCTACATCATAAACTAAGATATATATAATATGTAGCGGTGATGATTGGTGAAGAAACTAAGATATTATTTATAGAGATTCTTACTGATGTTCGAGCTTTGATAATCTTATAAGTTGGTTCTACAATGGCGTTAGGTGTTGTATTGTTTGATGTAAATTTTCAATTTGGTTGTTGTTTGAAACTATATACAACTTTTGACGATGTGATTGATAAAGACGTTAGCATATTTTCCCCCCTAACCATTTAATGCATTTATACAATCTTCTCTAGCTATTTTACAGCATTTAATTATACACAAATTTGTTTTTGTCAAAATCAAGTTTTAAATTTAGAAGTAGACATATTCGCTTAAAACTTACATATCGTATACACGAATCATATAGCGATGAATTGTAAGCCAAAGAGAAAATGAAAAATGTAAGAGAATTTTGTGGACAGCAAAGTGAGGAGGAGTCATACGTGTGTTATGTTACCACCTTTGGTCATTGTCCTCTCTCTTTTTTCTTTTGTCTCTTCGTTACTTCTCAGCCTCACGTCTTTAAAACACACACACACTTGACTACTTGAGCTCTGGAATTGCAATTTTTGGACCCACGCTTCTTCGAGGAAATGGAATTGGATTCGATTTCTCTATTCCAATGCTATTTATTAATACTTCTCCAAAAAACGAGTAGCCACCTAAATTATTAATTCAGTACTCACCAACAAGTGGTCTTCTACACTCTTTTTGTTTACGTGGGTACATACAACTTTATACTTAATGAAATGAAATGTGATGAATGAAAACTTACAAATTCGCATTTCAATTTTATTTCGTTTTGTAGAAATTTTCCAAAAAAAAATCTACTGGGTTTTGTTTACACAGAATATTTTTTAATATTTGTTTTGTTAACTTCAGGTGAAGTTACTTTTTATTTAGTTGTTTACCAAATACAAAGATCTGTTTAAGGAAGAAACAAAACAGATCAGTTTTTTCTCGGAAAGTAAAATATGTTCGATTAGAGACTTTGACCGGAACAAACTAAATCGAACTCTCTAACCAGAATGGGACTGAAAAGAATTGGGGCTAGCACTTGACCCACGGCCAGTGCTGAGTTGAAGAGCCTCCAAAGCCTTTTGAATCTCCATGTTCATTGCACTGTCAACACTTCCCGAAGACAGTTTCTTGTGAGATTTCTGGAGATGCAGCTTCAGAGAACTGCTGCTTAGACCTGCGTTCTTACCACAAACTGGACACACTTTCATTGTCGGTTTCCTCTGTCTCCACTCCATCGACACTTTCCCGTGACATTTCTTGTCGAGGTTAAGTAAGATCCGGGCAAATCCGTCGTTCGGTTGAGCTCGTCTATGTACTTTTCTTAGTTTGCTCCATGCTTCTAAAAGTGTGAGGTTCCTGGTTGTTAATCCCACCAGCAAAACAAATGAGAAGAAGAATTGGAGAATTTTTTGTTGATTTTCATACTTTGAATCATGTTTCAACAAATTCTAATTGTCCCCAAAAACTTACTTTCGGAGCATTAGGTAAGCAAGCACTACGGTTGCACTTCTACTCCGACCTTCAAAGCAATGAACCAAAATTTTGCCACCTGTTTCCTCGCCATGGTTGATGAAATCGAGAGCTTCTTGAAAGATGCTCTCGATCTTTGCGTCTTCATCATCGGTTATCTGGTCAAAGGGAAGACACAAGAAGAGAACTCTCATCTTTATAGATGCATTTTTTATAAATTCATTTTAGCAATGCCTTGGTAACGAATCACATAATCAAGCGTCAGAGAAGAAAGGTTCACTTACTGAGAAATTTTTGTACTTAAACAGATCGGGGTATTGAGTATCCGATTGCCCGATTTCATTTGCGCACAAACATAGAATATGAGTTATACCTATATGCTGAAGAGTGTAAACTGACCGTGCAGCTAATCCTCCCCCGATAAAAAGATTACCTTGTATCATTGATGGTTTCTCTGTGTTAGCCGCTTTGCAAATCAATGATATCCTCTCAAGCATATGCTCAAGTCTAACCTGTTATAAATGAGAATGCAAACAAGAGAAACAAAGTTTAAGTTCGGTTGCCAAAAAACATATTCTAAAATGAAGATCACTTTCAGGAAAAAAGGAAATAACAAAATCCCATCATACCTTTAGCTCGTAAGCATCAGTGCAACTGTTATTATCACTGCCCTCAAAAAAACCAGTGTTGAAACCGTTCTCTTGGCAGAGTTTCAAAACTTCGTTCCGCAATGTTTCATTCCACTGGTCTAGTTCTTTATTAGACTCAGCATCAATCTGAACCACCACGAAAACTATCAGACTGAATGAAGAGAAATTTGCTAAGAATTTCCATCCAAGAAGACAAGCTCTTTTATATTTTAAAAACTGAACCAAATCTACTGATTTAAACATAGTAATCATAGCTCGAAGAGACTAACCTTTGCAAATTTATGAAAGTCGCGAAGCTTTGCTGCCAAACGCTGACTGCTAAGAGATTCTCCACCTTTATTGTATCTTCCATGCCAACTTTCTCGTGACTTAGGCGAACAAGCATCTTCTTTGTTTTCTGAAGTTGGTGTCCTAGGTACTGCTTTCTGCATATCTGCCTCACTGTGATCAATATCACTAGGCACCCGATCTTTAGAGGGAGATGGATAATGAGTCATCTCATGCCCATGAATTTGTGAAGGTGATTCAGGAACAGCATAATCCTCTCTGTCAAAATCTGCATACATTGTTTTGTCCATCATACTAAAGAATGCCCGAAGCAACACATCTAGTTTCTGATGAAGGGTAACAAGGAAGATGTGAAACTCTTGCAAATCCCTGACACCAGCAAGAAAACCATTTCGGAACTCACGTACAACTGGTGTTACTACTGATCGAACTTTAGATATTTCTTCACCAACTTCAGCCAGTGGATGTCCTAAATTTCCTTCTGTTATTTCATGTAACAAATTTGAAGAATATTGGCTACTATTGAGGAGTAGCTCAACTAATCTTGGATAAATTTCCTGGTCGCTTGCTCGTTTTCCAGCAGGAGGCCGTCGTGGAACACCCGAGTCTATGGCAACGAGGTGAAAATCAGCAGCTACTGATCTATCAGACATTGGACTCATTAAACCAGTGTCATATGATTTAGGTGATTCCGTTATATCAGAAAAATCAGACGACTGTGAGACTAACATTTGATCACTGATACTCAACCTTGATCTGCTATCTACGGATGAAGCTCTTCTTTCCCTTTGAATGGATCTGTAGTCCTTTGGATGGTACCGTTTGATGGCGGAATCAAAAGCTTCTTCAAATGAGCGTTCAAGATGTTTGGTGGAGGACACAATTCTATCTGTTAATAACAGATTTGCCGGGTTGCCACGCCACCTCAGCTGACGACAAGGTAATCTGTCTTCGTTCCTAATTACTAGATCTAAGACCAAAATTCTCCCTAGAGCGGCCGCAGCTCTCTCTGCTTTTTCTTCAGTTTCAAAACTACTCATGCTCTCCAGCATTGGACATCCATGAACATAACTGCCATAAAAAAAAATTGAGAATCTAGTGCTTAAAAGAGGGACTCTATACAAACATTGTAAATTTGAAAATGTGGAATAAGGTCAATGCCTAAATTATCCAATTAGGTAGGACTAGATTTTCACATTATCCTATTAGGTAAGACTAGATTTCTGTTCAATTATTTCTCTCATCTTTATTATCATTTAAGACAAGACTAGATTTCTGTTAAACTATTGTTATCAAATTATAGCCAATTAAATGATTCCACCTCATATTTTTTTTTTATAAATATAATGTTTTTGTCTAATGAACATACCAGCTTTAATTTTTCTGAAAAATCTAAAATTAGATGGTATATTCAAGCTTTTTTAAAATCACCGGACGTGGTCGGGGTAACTATCTCGTAAAAAACTAAAGCAAAGGAACAAGAAAACAGTCAATAGTATGTTTGATGGTCGAAGTCTAAAATGGAGAAACGATAAAAAGAATAAAGATGAATCTTGTGCGTTCACCTCATTAAGAGAAGACAACGGCTGAGCTCAAGGGCTTCCAGAAGTTCTGAACATGTCATTTCACCAACTTCATCTCCCTCCGAAGTTGCTTTGGCTTGTGCCTTTTCGGTTGCTTCTTTGATTAGTGTCCACTCAGGGTTACAGCTATGAATTACTCTAGCCTGTCTCATGATGATAGATCCACATTACGAAAAACGAAAAAGTAGTAAAGAAAACTTAAGGAAGTGAAAGGAGGGAACTAATGCTACAAATTTTGAAATACATAAAAGAAAAGAAGCACCTGGGGAATCTGCACCCCTAGCCACTTGGAAAACTCATAACCTAGACGTTCTGACTGCGTAGCCATCCTTGATGAAGCAAATTTTATAACGGCTGCTTCTTCCTTTCGAGAAGCATCTTCAGAGCTGGAACTATTGAACAGGGCAAAGAAAACAACTCCGCCAGAATTCACAGTAACCTGTGCATGAAACAAGAAAAGAAGCAACGCATACATAAGAAATTCATCTACATATATGATGCCAAAAGATCCTTGTATGATTCGGTTGATGGAAGTTTTTTCAGTTCAATCTACCAATCCAAGATAATAAGGAAATAATAATATACCTCAAGGGGTTTACTCTGGTCCTCTTCAGAATGATCAGTACTACTACTATGTTCAGTATGGTGAAGCGAAGACAACATGTTCCACGAAAAACAGCTCGAGTCGATATCCACAATAGAAGCTTTACCAAGCCTTTCCCATAAACTAATTTCTGAACTCTGCTTGCTTGGTGGACTTTTAGGATCAGCATTCCTCTCTCCTGCACTGGATAATTCGCCTATCAACTGTCAAATGCAAACAAACTTCTTCTCATGAAGACTAATGTCCTAATTTAGAAACCTTGTTCTTATACTCTAACGATCCCAAAAACAATAGCAAAGTTTAGTGTTAACCTAGTGACCATATCATCGATGCGGTGAAGGCGGTGAGGGAAGCCAGAGGATCCGTAAGTAGCACTTCGTTTACGAACTAAATCCAACCATTGTGTAAACCGATAAGCTGGACCAGATGCTATATCTCCCAACATGTACAAAACCTGATAAAAAAAATTCCAAAAGCTTCTTAATCATCTAACGAAGCTTTCTATAACCCTGAAAGGGTCTAAAACGAATCAAGGATCTTAGCAATTTACACGAGAAGTAACGGTGAGTGGAAGAGGAGACTCGTGCTCGTCGTGACCAAGGTAGAGATCTTTCTCTTCGTCTTTCTCCTGCGATATCACCATAATATCAGATCTCTCCGAAATCAGAGAGAAAACAAATTCAAAATCTGGGCTCTACGAAATCAGAGAAAAAAATGTGGGGATGACTAATGATAGATTATTAAATTTAGGGTGGAAAGAAAAAGAAAGGGTTACTTGAGAAAATGTATGATCTCGCTTCTTCTCAGCTTCCGCCATTGAAAAAGCTTCGTCTGACCAGTTTTGATTTTAATTTTAGAAATGTCTTTTTCTTCAAATGTCAGCTTTGTATAAGAGAAGAGGAAGTCGCAAGATATTAAATCTTCATATGGAAATTTAATTTTTTATCGTAAGCTTATTTCTCAAATTAATATGGAACCATAAATATCACAAAATGTTGTATTATCTATGAAGAGGAAGTCGCAATATATCTTAATTAATATTGAGATATGGAAATTAAATGTTTTATTCGTAAGCTTATTTCCCAATTTAATCAAACCATAAATATCTTTTTTTCCTATTAACCCAAAAAAAAATCGAGCTAGGGTTTTTCATCTGTCCCAATCACTGACGGCTTTCTCTGTTTCTCTGAATTCGCCAATAGAGGTAAACTGAATCTGATCTTCACCAAATCATCGATTTTATCACCTTCTTCTTGTAGATTTATCCTTTTTTCGTTTCTGCAGTGTGACATTGGGAGAGATGAGTAAACGAAAGCGTGCAGACCCGAAACTATCGGGACGTGATCCGAACGAAGCACACGAGAAGAAGCTTCTGGATATGATTCGAAGCAAGCAAGGTGCGGGCGCGACTATGTACGAGTTGAAAGGCGATAAAACCATCCCACCAACTATGTTTACTCGATTAGTCCAATCTCTCAAGAAGAAGGGTCTCATCAAAGAAATACCAACCATGAACAACAAAGGTCACAAACATTTTCTAGCTATGGAGTTTGAGCCTGATAAGGAACTTACAGGTGGGGAATGGTACATTGATGGGACGCTTGATGTGTCCAAGATCGAAGATTTGAAAGCCAAGTGTGTGATGATTTTGGAGAGGCATAGGCATAGGGTTGTTACTTTGGATGTTATGTGTGGGTATTTTGTTAAGGAGGAGAAGTTGAGTGTTGATCAGACTAAGGAGATTCTTAAGAATTTGGTTTTGGATAATCAGATCATGGAGGTTAAGAGCAATGGATTGAACGAGTTTGCTTCTACCAGGATTGGAGAAGTTTGCTACAAGCTGACCGGGAAAAAATCCGGTAATGGTGAGGCCCGAGGTGGAGCTTTCGCTTCGATTCCTTGCGGTGCTTGTCCGCATATCGGGCTTTGTACACCTGATGGTGTTATCTCCCCTACTACATGTGTTTATTTCCAGAAATGGTTAGAGTTTTAGCTCTCTCTTTTTTTTTGGGGATTAATAATACTTTAAGATGTTTTGTTTACATAATAGAATGCTATTGATATCTACAAAGTATAAATTAAGAGTTGAGGTTGTGATTTGAGAGAGTAGATGTAGGAGAAGAAGATGGAAGAAGCTGATCGGTTTCTTTGCGACAAGCTTCCCACAATTGTTGCTCTACTCCTAGTTTCCTTAGCTCTAACAAACCTCGTTCCACTGAAAAGGGAATATGTTTTTAGCCTTAGTCTGATGTTAGAATCACAAAGTGGGATAATTGGGAAATTTCATTTGAATAAGTTTATTACCGTCAACGATATCCTGAGAAGTCGGGGATTTTCCTTCGCTACGGCTGATCCAAAACTGCAGGCGTTCATCAGCAACGTCTTCTTCCACACCATGCAATTTGGCTCTACCCCAGAAGTACATCAGCCACGCCTGCATATATAAACCAAATCACATACGTATAAATAAACTTACCAACCATTGTATACCAACTAAATGTGACAGTATAACCTTATGGCTTCAAATTATTGGCTAAACAAATTACCTGCTTAAAGGCAACATCTTCTTGTTCCCCTTCTTTTATCTCTGCATTTGAGAAATTTGTGATATCATAGTAAGAATTTCATTAAGTTGCAGATGTGATATTATGTGTATATCTGAATTCTCATGGAGACTTCTTCACTTACCGTATGTCTCTACAAACCTGAGTTCTCCATGACCTTTTGAAGAATCTGTGAGATGGGAGAAAACAGACTTAAAATCTCCATGACTAGTAAAAAATATGACTATCTATGTCTCTGTGTACTAATTGATAATATAGCATACAAACCTTGACGAACAAAACTCGGTGTTCTCCCTTGTGCGAATGCAAGCATAACAGCCTCCTCAACCTAAATTTAATTGTGATATGAAAACTTAAAATTGCTCTTGGAGATTTCAAGGGAAACCTCATCATTATAAATGTAGTAAGGTTAGATGACATCAGTTATTTCAGAAAGAATGGTAGATACCTTTAAGGATGCTAGTTCTCTCAAACCCATCTCAACTGAAAGCATGCTTTCGATATTTCCTTCTCCAGTCAGATCACTTGAAATTCTGGCAGTTTTGCTCTGATCACTCCCACCTGATCAAATCCCAAAGGCTGGTAAGTAAAGATGATGCAGACAAAAGTATCAGCAAAAGCTTGTCCGGTTTAGAAATATAGCAAATATTTAGACTAGCCTTCATCCTGAGATAACTCCTTGGCCTTTTGTGCTGCAGAAATGACCAGCTCAAATGGAAGAGGGGCCAAAGCAGACCACTTTTCATGCCTTGATAGTGCTATGTCAGAACAAATGCCTATATAAGGAAGCCACAGGAAAAGCAAATATAAGCCTTTGTACCATGAGAACACATTCTTAAGTTCAGAAACTTAACACGGAAAAGAAAAACTAAGTTATAAAAATGGATTCATCACTTACCATGCTGCACTGCCAAACCCCAATACCGGGCAAGCCAGCATCTCTTCAAGGCTACTTCCTCCTAGATGATCATTTTATTTTCAATACAATCAGACATCTTTTAATATATATGAGTGATAGACTGGGGATTTCTCAACATACCATTTCGTCCTGTGTTAAAACCATCCTTTGAGTCATTGTACGAAGTGCCTTTGCGTCTGACTCTGCTTCTTGAAGCCTTTCGGCTGCTGTTACGACCTCATCCTTCAGGCTCTGAACACAAAGACATGAGTTCACCATGCAGATTAGAATAACACACATACTATGAAACCAAAGTAATAGTATACCTTACCTGAAGTTCTGCGCGGAGGGAATCAAGTTCCTCCTTTTTCCCATGTTTTTTCTCGTTAGCAGCCTTAAGAGCAACCTGTCGCAGGTACCATTATTCCAGCCAATCAGTCTAAATTTATAGGCTTCAAAGAATGTCTATCTCTAACTTCTCATATATATACTCTACACACTAATTAACCTCTCTTTGCCGCAATGCCGCTTCCTTCCTGAAGAAAATCACAATTTATCATGAGCACTGTCGTATATACTAAATAAGAGAAAGATAAAAGAAAAAATAAAGAAAAAGAGATCACAGGATCTCACCTACTTAACAATTTGGCTTCTAAAGACACTCCTTCTCCAAGAGAAGCAACCTTTTGGGACAAGGAAAAAGAAAAAACAAATGAATCTGTCACTAGATGCAAATACCTACATGTCATTCCAAGTTAAATGTATGCAAATTCCATGGAATCTAATTCTCCTAAACATAGAGTATAAAGTTCATTGCATTTGCATGTATGTATGGCCTCAAAAATGTCTGCATCTTCGCTTGGTTTGTCCCTAAATCTTATGATACTGATATCAGTGAAGATACTAATGAAAAGTGAATAGATACCTGTTTCTCCAGCTCTCGAGCTCTGGCTTCTGCTGCCACACGTTTTTCTTCTGCATGGTAAAGCTGTAATCCAGAACAACTGTTATGAAAGAAAGAAAAAAACAGAGAAGGATAGATTATATATATAAAACAATTCTAACCCTCTCCAGTACAATCTCATTCTCCTCTTGTAACATATCCACCTGCAAATTAACATAAAGTCAGCCTCTAAGTCAAATTTTTCTGAAATTTTTCTTAGCATCAACCTACAAAAAGAAATGTCTACATACTTCATCACGAAGAGCTGAAGCTTCTCGCTGATACCCATTATCTCTGGAATTTACTACGGGTGGTGCTAAATCACCAAAATATCTGAAAACGTCATATTTTTTTTGTGAAATTAAGAGTGATGATGACTCAGAGTCTGAGTCTCAGACAAAACAAAAAACTCATGTTCGCTAGACAACAATAAGTTTGACAAATTCAAAGTGAAATAATTTGTTTTTTTCTTCTTCACCTTTGATCTCTACCCTTAAATGAATGATCAATTGGAGGAATAATCACCGGAGGTTTCAACGACGGCATCCAAACAGGAGACGCGTTCGGAGCTAAGGATCTACCAAACGTTGATGGTCTTCCAGTAGATGAAGAACGCACTGAACTCACTTGCTCTGTTATGTTTCTTCCTAACTAATTAATCATAAAAGCCACAAATGAGAAAAATCAAATCCCACAAGCCGCCATTAACGATTCTTAAATTTTAATTACCGCAGGTGACTGAGATCGATTACGGCGAGCGAAGGAACCGTTGATAGCTCCAGAAGAAGGTTGTGCGAATTTGAATTCGTCATCATCATCATCATCATCGTTGTTGTGTAAAGCCATAACCTTGGCTAGCCGTTGAGCCGCGGCTTTAGTGGCTACGTTCTGAGTCCGTTTAACGGTGGATAAACCACCAACACCGCCACCGAGCTGATTCCGGTGAGCGGGAGACATCGATGGCGATCTCGATTCTGTTCCGTTAGATGATCTGCTCCATTGACGAGCGTACACTGGACTCCTCGCCCTCGTGAGATCCATCAGCGTAAAAGAGCTTTTGTAAGATTTGCGTGTGGGAGGGATTTTGGTAAGCAGTTTAAAAACAATGTTGGAGACTAAAGAAACGACGGCGTTTAGTGCGGAGAAGAAGAAGAACACATGCGTTTTTAAGATTTGCCGGAGAAAAATATGGGGGAGACCCTTTATTAGTCAACTGCAAGATTTGATTTTATTGTTACTTTATGACTACTTCTGACGTACTTTAAAAGTTAAAACTAGTTTAGGACAAGGATTCAAAATAATTGATGTCAAACTTTCTTTGTTTTAATACATTTTATTTTTGAGTTTGGTAAACTATTATTTTCTTTTAAGAAACATAATCTAAAATAATTTAGTAATTTACTTAAATTATCTTATAAATAATATCAACAATCTAGAAACAAGACCTAACCTTTAATGGAGGATTCAGTAAAGACATATTATTATTGGAAAACTCTTAAGGTAAATAATGCTTTTAAGGTTAAGAGAAATCTTCTCTTAACAAATCTCAAGTACTTAAAAGCCTTCCAATAATGATGGCCTTAGTCTTAGAAATAGGCCTAGAAAAAGATTATCTGCAACGATTACAATATTAAACTATGAAAATCCATTTGAATGGAGCAAATTTTCTGTTTTTACCGTAGGAGTTTCAATTATTTACAGTTTTATAAACTTGAAATGGTAAAGAAACAAACGCAAATCATACGGACTAATATGTCATTTCATGTAACGGCCTAACGAACTCCGGCGCGCCAAAAAAGTGAAGAAGACTCGAAGTGAAAGAAAGATATCTGTAAAATCAAAGCCTGGTTACTTTCTCCACCTCCCAAGAAGTCTTTTGGTGTCCCAAGCTTTTTTAAGGACTCAAAAGATTTTTTTTACAATTCTCGAGATGGATTTAAAGGAAAGACAGTATCGAACACGACCCTCGCAAAGACATGCCTTGTTTCCGGGAAATCCCCTGAAAGTAACGAACCATACTCGATCTTGCTTCCTTGCTTCGCCTCAAATCCCATTTGTGTCTCCTCTTTTCTCACACACTCGAAGATTCTGCTTGCTCTAAGGTACAATTGCAACGGTATAAACACCTAAGGAAAAAAAGAAAAACAAATATCAACCATCAATTTCAAACACTTGTTAAGATTTTTCAAGAGTTTATTACCATATCTGAATACGGTGCTTGAGGGTAAGCTGCCATAGCTTTCGATATAAAATACCCATCAGTCATCTGGTTTAAGGCATCTTTGATAGAAACATCAAGATCCATGACCTCGTCCAACAGGGTTTCGAAGTCGAGATTATCCTCGGGCTCTACTAGCTCGATGAAGCTTCTATCGTGTTCCCTAGTGATCTTCTTTGTGATTTCCACAGCTTCTAGAATATCTCCACAGTTGTGAACAGCGAGGCAAAACGCAGCTACAACTAAAGGACTTCGAGGTTGATCAGCAAGTGCTTTATGAAACGCCAAGATTGCTATCCTGTATCAAAATTTCAGATATTATATAATACCCTAAGAAGAATGGAGGAATGCGCAATTCATAAGAAAAGACATGAATTCAAATGAGGATCTATATTACCATAAGCTGCTGTGACAAGGCCTATCAGGCGCTAATAATTTATCCAAATTAGCAAAGAGAGACTGCATCAGAGAATTTAGCTTCAGTTTCTTGACTCGATGTTCTAAACGACAAACACATCTACAACTATCTAAGAGACACTTTCTTTCTTACCAGAAGCATGTTAGTCCTTTTATCACGTCTCCTGAAACCACTGCGTACAAGATATGCTGCCTGTAAAATTAAAGTTAGATAGACAAACATTACTTTGGAGGATAATAAGCTTCTCTGATTCCATTTACCTGAATTGGTAGAATAATCTCTAGTATCCCAAATTTCCACAGCAATCTCAAAGAAGCTTCTGCTGATCCATAAGCTAACATGTAATTCATTTCCATCAAGATCCTTCCCTGACAGAATCATCCATGAACACGATATAGGCTTAGCACAATATGCAAAGCATATATTTCTTTGGAGGATATATGATGCAATGTGAGACTACCTTGTCAAGTCTTTGTACTAGGAAAGAAAGGTTCTTAACAAAATGAGCGGTTTCCTTGGACATTCTGAAACCTAAACGCGCAGCAATTCTTATTGCACGAAGAATCCGAGCTGGAAATATCATAAATGATGAGCTTGATAAGTTTTCACTCTACAGGTTACAAAGAAAATTGTATCTTCTTTTAACAAACTTACCACAGTCCTGTTGAAAAGACGTGCCCGCGTGAATAACTGTTCGAACCTGTGATTGTAGAAACACACTGAGAATAAATGTGAAGTCACCAAAAATGGTCTGAAATTAATCTGAAAGCAAATTAAAGTGGAATACATTCACACTTTAGCTCTTTTAATATCTTCTATTCCTCCCAGATAGTCATATACCACTTTGGCATATGGATCAAACATCAAACTGAGGTAGGAAAAACAATGTAAACACACAAAGAGACATGAGTAAGGAGAAACTTTAATGAATTTGGGATGCCAAGGAGAAAACAAATCACTGAAGCATTAACAAGATTACCCATTAATCGTGAAATCACGCTGCAAACAGTTATTCAAACGGATACAGTCCTCGTCACCATCTGAGCCACTCGATTCTTTAAGTTCAGTTCTCATGTTTCCCCGGGAATTCTGTGCAGAGGTACTAAAACTCGAAACCTACTCACATGAAAGAAAGTCAAATTCAAAAACATAAGCTTTTCCCTTTTGCTATGCATATATTGTTTTTGAAAGAAATAAAAAGACTAGTTAAAAAACACAAACCTCTACTAAATCATCTCCAACGTATACGTGACATATAGGAAACCTTCTGCCAACAATTTCACATCTTGGGAAAGTCCGAACCACCTAAACGTTATCGATGCCAAAGAATACTTAGAATCAGATTGAGATAATGTAAACAGTGAGAAAAAAAGAGGACCAACCTCTTTAAGCTCTGCAGAGGTGAGTATATCAAAGTCTTTTGGTGTCCGTTTCAGTATAAGATCCCGTACACAGCCTCCCACAAGGTAAACATCATGTCCTAGAGATTACATAAACAACATGAGATACATAGTTAGATAAAGTTTTGAAACTTAGAGAGAAAACTAAGGACTTTGGAAACTATCATCAACCTTTGTTCTTAAGGCCATTAAGCACTTTTCTAGTGGGTTTTGCAATCATTGAACTGCTTATTCCAAGGTCTTTCGAACTTAGTTGCTTCCACTCACAGTCCCCTTCATTTGCCAAATCAATCAAATCAAGCCAAAAGATAAGAAACAAATCGAATTAGTTTAAGAATAACTCCAAGAAAAATGAATAAGAACAATGAATTCATGACAAAATCTAGTAAAAACATGGAGTTAAGCTTACTTGTTCCAACAGAAACCTTGTCTTGACGATCACCGTCTTTGGTGAAACCATCATCAATAGTCTCAATTGAAGCAGCAACAGTGTTGAACCGAATCTGAGAGCAAAAAAAACCGGAATTAAGAAAGAAGACGAATGTTTAGAAATGATGTTACTGAGTTCACCTTCCATAAGCGGTGGTACTGGAGAGTACGAACAGGGAAATTGTATGATCTGCAAGTGAAACCCACACTGGAAATCACCATGGGAATTGAAAAGATTCAACATTTCATCATGGGGTATTCAAACTTTTATCAGTTCAGTGGATTGAAAAAGAGCAGCAACAGAGAGAGGCTTGAAGAGGAGGTTCTTCTTCTACTTTCTGAGGTTGAGGCCGGTCCGGAGAGGGAAGGGTTTTTGGTCGATTCCACGCGCCACTCATCACGCGCCGTGTGACCAATTGGTAAAAGAAACTTTTGTCGTTTTAATGCTACTCCATAGAACATCTTGTCGTTTCTATGAATTCTTATTCTTGTAAATGTTTATCAGGAAATACTTATATTTTAATGATAATGGTTGGTTAGTGTTTACTGTTTACCAAAAGGTATTAAGCTGGTTAAACAGCATAGCAATCTTATTATTGTAAATGTTTGTTGTTTTGTAGAAATTTGTTTTTAATGATCGATCTCACAACTTTGATCATGTTGTTAACCAACTTTTAAATATAGAAGAAAACAAAAATCATTGAAAGTTATGTGTTTATGCTTAAAAGATACTCATAGTTTTGTCATAAAATACTCCTAAATGCAATTTTAAAAATATCAAATACATGGATTTGTAAAGTATAAATTTTGGTGAAGTATGTATGTCAAACTCATTAAAATTGAGTTGATAGAAAAATCCTCAATTCGAAATTTTGTGCAGGATTTATCAAAGAAGATGGTTAATAAACCAACCAAATTGGCTAGTAGTCAAAAGGGAATGTTCTTTTTAGAACAATATTACCTAATTAATAAGAAAATTGTATATTTATGGAAACAAATCTATAAACAGATGATTAATTGATGATTAAATATTTATGGAAACAACAAAATGGATTCATTACAAAAATCTATAAAAAAAAAAAGTCAAAACATATACAGAAACAAAGATAAACTTTATGTAATTAAGGATGTGTTATCAGGTAAAATAAAATAAAATGACAAGGAGTAAAAACCGAAATTACAAAGAGCTCCACAAACACGTGTCCACTATTTGAACTCCTCTCTCTCTCTCTCTTTTGCTTTCCTTCTGAGGACGATCCTCTCTCTCTCTCTCGCGAATCCAATTTCTCCAGATAACAAAAAAAAAACCTAATACTGCGCATTTTAGCAAGATATGGTTCTTCCAGAGTAAGAAACTAAGAAGAAGAAGAAGAAGAAACTGAGTAAGACCTACTCAAAATCTCTCTCCCAAGCTTCATCGATTTCTCTCCGTTTCTCACTTGACTATGGCCGAGCTACAGTCAGTAGAAGGTCACCAGATTAACGGCGGATTTATCCCGCCGGCGTTAATAACCTCCGGTGAAGCACCGGAAACATCCGCCGCGGCAGCAGTTTCAGTCGGATCGAAACGATTGAGAAGGCCTAGCGTTAGGTTAGGAGACATCGGCGGCGACCAGTACCACCAACACGTGGTTGCGGCTTACGATTCGCCGCACGTGCGACGGCCGAAATGGAGGCCGAGTGGTGGTGGTAACAGAAAAGAGAGTGGGAGGACGACGTCTTCGTCGAGGACGAGAACTATGACGAATTTGAGCTCCGGGTATGAGAACACCGGAACCCTAGATGAAGATCCGATTGCGATTGGGAGTTGGCGGGTTAAGAAATGGGTCAAATCGTCCGGTGGAGAGACGGCTGCGACGAATACAGCTTCGGCGAAGCGGGCTCGGTCGAATTGGGCGGCGAGAAACGATGGCGTAGAGCAGGGAGGTGAGAAAATGAGTGGAGAAGAAGAGGAAGAGGAAGAAGAAGATGAAGATGAATTGGGAGAAGAAGGGTTTAGGGATTTTAGCAGAGAAGATTCGGAGAGTCCGATGAAAGAGCAAACGCAGGAGAATAGGAGAAGGTACGAGGTTGAGTTGTCGGGAGATTGGCAAAGTGGAGGAAGAGGAAGAGAAGGAGTTAAGATATGGTTACAAGAGTTAGGGTTAGGGAGATATTGGCCTATGTTTGAGATGCATGAAGTTGATGAACAAGTCTTACCATTGTTGACATTGGAGGATCTTAAAGACATGGGGATCAATGCTGTTGGATCTAGGAGGAAGATGTATTGTGCGATTCAGAAGCTTGGGAGGGAGTTCTCATGAAGAGTTTTGGTTTTTGTTTTTGTTTTTTTTTTGTGACAGCCATTGGCAATGTAAGCTGCAATGTCTGAAGCTCTTTATTTTCTTCAATATTTGGATGTTTTGTTTGGATGTAACAATTAGTCATAGTAGTGTTAGTTGTTGTAATATTAGAGGATGATGATGAAGAAGGATTATTAACTCATTGTTATTGTGTACTTTTATGGTTGGGAACTTAGTGACCATTTCTCCAAAATCTTTTTAACAAACATAGGAGGAAGCAGCAGTTGTTGTTCGGAGTTATAAAAGAACTCTGACATCATTCAACGAGATTACTATACAATTAAACTCTTGGAATAACATGGAGAAGAATCACATAAATGCCGTTGCATCAAGTCAACACTTGAGGAAAGGAGGACTGACTCTAGGGTTGGGTTTTTGATAAGAGAGGGAATGGCTTGAACCCTGCGAATCAGATTTGTGCGGAAAGCCGAAGTTAACACTTAACACCGCAATTGCTTGCGTTTTCCTGGATGCATCTCTTATTTCATTGTTTTATTCTTCAATCCAGCTTGATGTCATTTTTCGTCTGTTCTATCTTCTTCGGCTCCGCCGGGAAATATTTAATACCACTTAGGTCCCCTACTTTGCTTATAACCTGTGTCCAACACAAAGACACACATTGATTCAAAACTTTGACTAGCATTGAAACAGAGTTCTACCACAGGTTAGGCCCTTTCTTTGCTTTTGTGCTTTAGGACTTATGTGATTGAATGTACTTGTGAGAGAAAAAACACAACTAGAATGCAAGGTTTTACCTTGAGAGCTTTTATAAGATCTTCTCTTGAATGAGATGCGGATATGCAAATACGTGCCCTAGCCAGCAGTAATGGTGTAGCTGGGAAACCCACGACCACCACTGCCACCTGTTCAGAGTTTCAAGGTTACATTGCACCCACAAGTTAATTCTTTACTTTGTGTTGTACTTTGCAATACTGGAGTTCTCAAATGATACATAGATTTGAGTAAACATAACTTACTTTTTGTCGCAGACATTCTCTTGAGAAAGCTGGAATTTTTGCTGGGTTGTAAAGCATTATCGGCATGACTGGGGAATCATTGTCTCCAAGTACCTCAAATCCCATCTTCTGCAGTTCAGCCCGGAAAAAGTTGCTGTTCTCACGTATCCTTGCTAGCTTTTGTGCCCCTGTTCAGTATTTGAAAGTATGTTAGTGTTTAGGTAATGTATACCTGACTAGATAGATTGTGCTCAGTCACTTCACTTAAAAAAGTGCAATAAATGACATAATGAGAAAGAAACTAGAGTACCTCGATTTGAACCATCCTCTCCCAGAATAACTTTAATAGCAGATATGATTTGTTGCGCGGAAGGAGTTGGTATCGATGTTGCGTAAAGATGAGCTGGACATTGATGCTTTAAATATTGGATGAGCTCCTAAAGAAGTTGAAGATAAAATAATAATAAATTGATTAGCCTTTTGTTGAATTTGAGAAGTGTACAACTTACTTAAGCATCACATGGTATGTACGTGGCCGAAGCTGTCAGCTATATACTTATCTTTGTCATTTCGACAGGTTCAAAGAAAGTTTTGACATCTGAGTGCAAGTTACGGGTATCTAAATTATTTTTGAGGTTAACTAAAATCTCAGTATTTACCAAAACAAGGTTAGACCTCCGAAATTTGTAAATAGAAGATCAGTAAATGTAAACACTTGCTAACCTTCGATCCAGCAATATAGCCACCACAAGACCCAAAAGATTTCGTGAAGGTTCCCATCATTACGTCCACATCAGCTGTGTCAACTCCTAGGAGTTCACAAATACCCTTCCCTGTTTTACCAATTGCCCCAATGCTGTGAGCTTCATCCAAGTAAACATATGCCTGAAACGAGGGCAGAAGATAAGTTAGAAGTATCACACCAGAAAGCTCGAATTTAGTCGATAGAGTTCCTTAATCGCTCGCCAATGTTGAATGTGGCACATAGTGAATCAAATTTACTCTTTCAGGGAGGTTTTGCACACAAAATGGTTTCAGTTGTCAACAGATTCTCACAATCGGAAATGCAGGAATATTGGCTCACCTTATACTTCTTGCATATGGCAACAACTTCGGGCAGATGACAAATCTCCCCCTCCATGCTGTAAATGCCTTCAACAACAACAATAATTTTCTTCCATGGTCGATGTGTCCTAGGTTGACCCTCTGCAATTTGTTCTCTCAAAACTCGTTCCAAATGGGAAGGCGCTAAGAAACAAAAACAAGAGAATATACATGTAAGCCATCCAGTTTAAGGAAATAACCTCTGGAGCTAAAACACCAGACAAAAATGCTTACTGTTATGCTGGAAAACGCGGATAGTGGCTCCTGAACCTCGAGCACCATTGACAATTGAACTATGGTTTAAAGAATCACTTATTATCAACCCTCCCTGTGTATAAGAGAGCACAAGCAAAAATTTATTAAAAAATTTAAGCATGGGTTTCTGAAAAACAAACAACATAGGTTTCCTTGATAAAAGGTAAGCCCTTGCATACCTTTCCAATCAAGACTGGAATGATAGCGGAGTTTGTTGCATAACCCATGCCAAAAACAACAGCAGCAGGCTTTCCGACAAATCTAGTAACACATTCCTCAAGTTCTGCATGCACTGATGTAGTTCCTGATGGCAGAAAACAAGTTTGTCAGGAAGCAGAGCCAAAAATGCTTCCAGACTCCATAGGCAAGGACACAATACCTGCATCAACACGAGAGCTACATGTACTTGCGGAAAATTTCTTCAAGGACTCAATAACACGAGGTGTGCAATATTCATCAAAAGAACCAAACCCAAGATAATTGTACGATCCCAAATTGAGGCACCTGCTAGTCTTTGTTGTTCGCCTGCACAGAGTTGACACCAAAGTTTACAAACTTTCTTCGCATACTCTTAATGCAGATTTCAAAGCTTCCCAGAATTAAGATTCTAAAGGGAAAATTTTCAAGAAGTATCACTCCTTCGAGTTCATTCATTTCATATTCTCCCAAAAAGAGGACCAAAGAAGCTAGCTGCTAAAAGTGCTGATAGAAACACTCACTTTAGCGTCTTGTTGTTATCATTAGAGTACCGCTCGACCACATCAAACCAGGCATCAGGTGCACTTGATATAGGTCGTTCAAAACAATCCTAGAAGCAGACAGAGATTAACATTAGACATCAAACAGCAAACACGAAACAACACACGGAACTAATACACAGAAACATTCCCAATTCTTAGAGCTTGCATAATTACAATGCCAATATAATCAAATCAAATTTCAAACAGAATCCACGAAACGAAATGGATTTGATGATGATGATGATGATGATGATGATGATGAGATTACCTGAATCCGATGATACAATCGCCTAATATAAAAATCCTCATGCCCCAAACAGATCGGTGCGTATCCCTGTAGTCACAAAAACAAATTCACCGGAAGCAAATATAGTTAAACAATCTTGTACACTGATCCACATCTAATCTAACAACATTGTGAATGAAATGAAAGATGAGACGGTAAGGAGAAAACAGACATGGAGATTGCTAGTGAGCCACCAATCAATGAAACGGCGGAAGAAATCACGGAGCTGGCCAAAAGCGAAGAGCAACCCGTAGCTGAAGTAGGTTGATACAGCGGTTAGATAAGGGATCGTAATCATGGCGGCTTTCGTCTTCTTCTTCTCCGGTCAATCAACTTGTCTTCTCCTCTCTCTCTCTCTCTCCCTCCTTTAGCTCGCCGTCGCTAGACCGAATCGGAAAACGAATTTAGCGAGGAGATCTGGAGATTTTTCGACTCTCCGGAATTGAAAAGTTGAAAGAAAGAGACAGAGACAGAGAGATTTGAATTGGAATCTTTTTCCCCTCCGGCAGATAGAGAAAGGGATCGGATCCTAAAAACCATTTTTATTTCTTTATTTTATTTTCTTCATAGGACTTATATATTTAAATTAATCAATACAGATAATTCAGGAATATTTAAAAACAAAATAATTCATTGGGCCTTAGAGCCCACTAACTTAACTAAATAGAATTTAAATGGATCGGATCAGCTTTATGGTTGTAAAAATTATTGGACCAAAATAACAAAACCAAGGCCTAAAAATGTAATGGCTATTTGCTAGAAAACATACAAGTTAAAAATTTAAAATGAAAAAGAGGTCCTACCGGGAGTCGAACCCAGGTCGCTGGATTCAAAGTCCAGAGTGCTAACCACTACACCATAGAACCGGATGCTTTACTTAGCAAAAGAATTATATCTATTCCTTTAAGTTTTCGTGAGTCTTGTATTAGTTAGAATAAGATATAGCATTATTTTGTTTTTCAATTTCCGGGTTTTTGTCATCAATCATAAAAATAATTATTTGGTAATAGATTTAATGTCTAATTTAAGAACGGTTTAAAATATAAACGATAAATACGACGATACGAGATCTTAACACAAAATCTAATAAAAAATAATAATTTTGTTAAAAATAACATATAATATACTAATTTAGTATATAAAAAAAAGGGCTCCTAATAATTTTTCAGTACTCTTTGAAGTCATACAAAAAGAAATCTAAAACTTAATACTATATAAATAAAATCCAAAAACATTTTCAACCTAGGGCGCCCTAATAGTATTTGAGCTGACCTTGTTCTAATTAACAACAACTCTTAAAAGATTTTAGAAATCCCTCTTACGTACCAAACTGTTTTCGATGGCATTATGTTGCATCAAGGAATACATGTGGATGTTGGAATGACTACTGAAGAAAGAAAAATATTATTTCTCCTCTATAGCAGCCATGCAAATAAGGATTTCTAAGAATTAGGATATGTCATTGTTGACACCAAAAGAGTTATATCTTCTTTATCAAAAGATACGCTACATAACTTGCATCCGTCCAATAAATACAATATCAAATCGGTTTTTTGGAAACAAAAAAAAAATGTTTTCATCGTGCATATATGAATCAACCAAGAGAATTGAAAAGAGAAACCAATTCTTCCTTCTCTTATTTTGATTTTGTTACTATATATGACTTTTAGCTAGTTTTGATATTCAATATAACCAAATTGTATATATAATTACTACTCTTCGTATGAACACCAACCATATCTGCAAAGCTGCAACAGACTGAAACATGTAGGAAAAAACGGTTTGGGTTTTCAATTTTGATCCGGTACGTTTAGAAAAAAATGAACCAAATTAATTTTTTTTTTGTCATTAATTGAAATTAGATCATCCAGATTATACTTCATCCACCCAAATAAATAACTAATTTAATTTGCATAATATAACAAAAATCAAGGAATAGATAAACCTTAATTAGCATCGTTTAAATACGTCCATACACCTAGAAAGACATAAAATGATAAAACAAACAACTTTTCCTATAAAAGTATTAAATTAAATCTTTGATGATTTTCGTATACATATCTGAATTATTATAAGTTTGATAGAGCAGATAAACTTAATTAGCAACATGCATGATAATAGTATATAACTTTTGAAAAGAAGAGGGAAAAGAAAAAATGGTGGTGCACCAAAGCTGCCGGCCAACTCTATACTAAACGCCAAAGGATGGAACCATATTGCTCAAACGTACGTTTTTGCCTTATCATGGAAATGAAGATATATATCTTCATGATACTTATTACTTCATAATTTCATATTCTATCGGATTATGTAAATTGTCTGACGAAATGATTGACGAACCATATTTCAAATAGCCTGCTATATCGTATAGAAGATAATTTTGTCATAATTAATAAAAAATATGCGGTAATTTTTTATTGACCAAGTTAGTAATAATAATAAAAAAACTGTTTATATTATTTATGTACAATATACTTCATATATTCCTATTTTCCCGCAAAACGTATATATTCATATGTCTGTTATTAATTTCTAACTGTAGAAATAATGGACCATTAAATATTGTTATTTTTATATAAGACAAATTAGTGTTAATATTTTTTAAAAAATAAAAACAATTTAAGAGTGGATGGCAAAAGATAATATATAAATATAAGAAATAAAATGTACAAATTCAATTATTCAGTATAACAAAGTTGAGAGTGTGTTGGCATTATATCGTAATTTATATTGGAAAAAAACAAGAAAGGCAAGTATACAACAACTACACAAGTTGCCAAGGGTTCTATCAGATTTTGGGGAAGACAAACATCATTGTACATTCATAGTGTTATAAAAAAAATTTAAAAAAGTTTTAATTATAGAATAAAGAAAAGTGAAAAGAGAAAGAGCGAAAAAAAAAGAAAAAAAAATGGAAAAACAAAAACAAAATACTGATATTATCTCATTCTTCTTTACATGGGAGTGGAATCATCACTCACATATTGTCCAATAAAGCTTTCAATAATTTAGAGATATATCACTCCACACAAAAAAAAATCGCCACGTTACATGTAAATCTTATCTCCTGTTTTTTATTAGAACATTTTTGATTATTAAAGAAAAAAATAATTTTGTTTGATTAGAAACCATCTTTTTTTGGCTAAAACCCAAAGAACACTTCGTAAACATCTTTTACAATGACACAAATCATCGTGATATAAAAGACGTGTTTGTGCACATATTTAAAAAAAAAAAAAAAAAAACGATATTAACTCGATCATAAATTTACTTTTGTTCATGCGTCATGACCTGGCCTTGTAAGTTAGACATGGTCAGTGTACCTTTGATACTATGATACTTTGTTTTTTAAGGATTGTTTTTTTTTTTTTTTTGTCGAATATATAGAATTTTTTTACGGTAGGAAAAGTAGAAACTAATTCTTGAATCATTGACATATATATGATTTCTAGCAGATAAAACTTTAACTAAATTTAATTATAGTAGTATATATATGATGATTATAGAAAACTGCTACATGACTTTAATTACAGTAGCATAAAGAGTTATAATATATGTACTGGCGATGAATTATTCGACGTGATTAGCTTTCTTAAAATTGTCTTTGTTTTTATTTTTGGTGCAGGAAACATGATATGTTGTTTCAATATTGTAAAACCTTTTTATCTGTTCCCGAATAATTTGGCTTTTTGCTTACACGTGTATATTATAACTGACGTAAAGGTTAGTTGGGTTCAGTTGTATATATCTGCATTAGTATTTTGTTGCTTAAGCTAGCATTTGAGCTATATATGTAGATATATCATATATGTATAGGATATGTATATATTCATTGTTTGAGTTCACAACGAAATTGAGAAACACTCATTCAATCTTTATTATCACAGCGGTAACAATCTTTAGACACAAATCTTGCTTTGTAGTATGTAATCAAGGACTTTGAGTTTCTGCCTTTGACGAATCATCCTTGAATTTTCGGTAAACACTTATAGTTAAAAGTCTAGAGCAATTTAGTGTTTTCAAGTTGAAATCACCTTTATTTTTCAGCAACTTATGGAGAAAAAATCTTCAATATCATCATCATTTCGTCTAACTCTTTTAGCTTCAACGTTTTGATCGAGTGAATACACTATAATATTTTGTTACAATTTATGCTACCATATTTTTATTTTTCTGCAGTAGGACCATTTGTATAGGTTTAAATTTTTTGACTGTAAAACCTAAATAATTACGTTTTTAGAAGAAAACAAAATGATTTCATTGGTGGTTAATGCATAGATATAACGTCGAACTATTTTATGATCATACGTATACATTCGTTAGTATTTAGTAATCACATTCAAGTTCATAATTTAAAAGAGGAGACATCAACTTTTAATCATTCAAAACTTTTTTCCTAGACTTTAAAATTATATATCTCAAAAAAATGGTGATATATATCTAGTGGCACTGTGACAATAATAAATCCTGCCAATCATTTCATATCCTCTTCAATCTATCTTTTAAATCTTTCTCTTTTTATATAGGGGCCTCTTGATAAAGCCGACGACGTACTCGTTATCTCCATGCATGTTTTAAAATATATTATGATATTTGCATGGGAGATATATAATACCAGGTCACGATTCACAATGGACATGGCTAGCCATGATTTGCCAAAAAGTTTGGAATATAAAGCATTCAATTACCCTATATGACGTCTTCATAACACTCGATGGAGATTTCTCCTATGCACCTTTCTCTTTTGCATCATTCATTGGTCAGATAAGAAAAACATTTATATAAAAGGAAAAAGATATATATGGTTACAATAATTTAAAATATATATTCGACAACTAATGTTGATGGGAATGTAAATAACTGTTATAATATTAAAGAAAAAAACTCAAAAAAAAAAATGTTTAAAGGTGTTGCGACGACTGTGAAATAAAAAGAAACTTTCTTGCCTTTAGCCAATGAATTTGAAGGTTCTTTTGCATGCATGGGTTTTGATTATTCTTATATAGAGGAACGCGGGATGCACACTGCCTTACTTTATTAGATATTAAACAAAGTCAGAGAGTGATGATGATGAGAGTTACAAACACATGACTATATCAAAATGACAAAATCTATATTTTTGGTGATTAAACATTTAGGTTACACTAACTAAGACACGTTGTTTTTACGTCGTGATACTATATTAAATATACAGCCATACAGGACAGTTAACATTAGAACTGTAAAAATTTAGACACAAAACACTAAATATATAGTGAATTTTTTTATTTTTTTTAATTACATTGTAGTAATTTTAGTACAAATTTTTTGTTTGATTAGATTTGTTTTTTTTACCAGCCTCATAAGAAAAACAGCACGTATTTGGATCCAATATATATATATATATATTTTTTTTTTCTTTTATCACTATATATATATTGCAACACCGACGTCATAAATGAATTTTTTCTCTTTTGAACTTTCATTTCAGTAGTGATATTCAAAATTAATAGAAGACAGAAAAATTCAAGTCATATGCATTTTATGTT